GTGCTTGGTGAGAGCCAGCAACACAAATGCCTTCTCGTTTGTGAGGTTCAGACATCCTGCTCGGTACCTCCCGGATCTTGCTCACACACTCAGACTCCTTTCTAGGAGAATCATGATTGTTAGAAAAGGAGTTGCTATGGTGTTGTGTTGGCTTAATCTGCAGGCCTTCTGATGTCTCACCAGGTAGTGGAGGACATGGTCTTTGAACTGCACTGCTATTTCCAATCTCGATATTCCTTTCTTCTAGTTTTGGTTCCGCCGACAGGCGGCCTTGAGCTTCTTTCCTCGTGGTATCAAGGTCGTCGGCCTTGGTATGCTTATATTCTCGGTTCTCTGTCGCCGGGCTGAACTCAGAGGACGAAGGCGTGGGCGGCAGCTCTAGAGTTGGCGGCGTCCACATCGAGGTTGCGTGACCTAAAATTATAGACATATCATCAGACAGAGCTTTGGTGGGACGTAGTGTTCCTACACCAGCATAAAAGCATTCACAGTCAACATCACCAAGCATACATTTTGAACGGGCAGCTGGCACCGGCAGCATGTCGGGCACTTTGGTATCTTTGGGGTCTTTGGAAATCGGCGGCGGGGGCTTTTCGTCGGGCTCCGAGCTGGAGGTAGAATGCTTGCTTCTATCTTTCTTCCACTTAACCCCAGGTTTCTGCCACTCTCTCTGACCGGCAAGATCCTCGTGTGACTTCCATCTCTTTGCCGTATGGAGCCCTTTTGAGGCCCAAGAGTCAGAGACGCTCCCGCTACCAAGATCCATAAAGTCGTCCTCTGGAAAAGGCGTATTGTGGTCAGTGAAGAATCGAACTAACTCCAGTAGGCCTTCCGATCTCTGAGGTCTCTGCACGGACCCTGCTGATCTGGGGGTGTATTTGCAATTGTCTCTGTCTCTCGCCTTTAACGTCTCATGCGAAAATAGCTCTCCTGGCGATACCAATTCCTCGCCGAAAGTCTCCATCTCTCCGCCCAACACCGCCGTCAAGGCCGCCCTTCTTTATATACCCGCAGCAGAGGTCGCAGGCCGGACAGGAACAGAGGGAGGAGATACAGAGCACAGCAGAAACCAAATGAATTTGGCAATTCCAGAGAGCAAGAACGGTTCCTTTCACCAGGCCTTTTGACCGACAAGAGCCGCTTCCCTGCTCGATATCACATGAGTGAAAAAGAACCAACTAGCAGCGGTGAGAAACAGGGGCACTATGCAGAAGCGTATGTAAAGCGGTCCCATGCATCAAGCAGTCGCTCGAGACGAACCACTCATAGAAATCTCACATACCATAACCTCAAGGGCTCACACGCAATTGGAACACACGACCCACCGAGACAAGGCTTTGGGGCACGTTCAGGTGAATCCGTGCCAATGCATGGGAAGAGCTCACAGAGCTGCAGAGCTGCACATAATCGTTGTGGATCAGAGATACGAGCACCGAATCCTAAATATGAGGCCTCAAGAGAAGGCCCAAAAGCGAATCCAGAAATGATCGCGACAACGAACTCAAGGACACGTTCAACAATCACGTTGCAGCTTTCTGGTTTCACCGGGCACAAGACACGGGTTGCCGCATATATATGTATTATTTTAAACCTCTGCAGGAAGCTCAGGAATTTTTTTTCTCCCTCCATGGCTTGGGCTGGCGAGTCCAGAAAAAAGAAAATAAAAAAAAGAAATAACGACAAAAGCAAAACCAAGCCAGGGCGAAGATCTGATCGCCGCTTGTCGGAAAGGCTCCCGTTACCCGGTTTCCTGCCACCTAAAGGATGGGTTTATTGAATTATTGCTGAAGATCCTGGACATTTTGCGTCTGTGCAAGGAAAAATTGATGCTTGGATCCAGGAAAATACTCCGAAGATGTAAAAGCTCCTGACGGACTCCAAAAGCCGCGAATAATGAGCTCTTGAGTCCAAGGCCGAAATCAACTCTAGCCTCTCCGCCGTTCGGATAACCTAATAGTTAATACTCCGTAGACGACAGGCGATAATTTAGTCCATCCTCGTCAGCCGCTCCAATTCGCCGCTTTGACGCCTCCTTGGGGGAGCTCAATAACTACAGAGTTCTCCATACTCCGTACTCCGTACGGAGTACATAACGAGGAATAAGGTGTCTTTTGGTCATTTGCTAACCCTTCCTGTCTCCATCGCGGGATCAACGACGTCATGAGGGAGGATAGGTCACAAAGGTTCACCGGCATACGGAGGAAAGATAAACAGAAAAGAAAGCTCCCAGGCGATTTTAGCAAGGATTCTGCAGTCAACCGGTCCGCTTTGAAACCAAAATTTACGACTCAACTGCTCAGGTTAGAGTTAAGCTTCTTTCCTCAGAGAAATTGTGGCATCTTCCAGCTTCGCTACGTTTCTTGAGCGACCAGTCGTAAATCTGATGTCGAAATCGGCCGAGATCTTTGGTTACCATAGAATTGGGCGACTTACTATGCATGGATGCGAATGTCTGGAGGACTCCGTTTGTACGATGCTTTCGTGGATTTCAGATTTGTACCTTCAAGGAGTTGTCGACAGAAACCTTGGTCCCAAACGATTGTGGTTCGCCCAAGTTGCCCCTGATCTGAGCTGCAGTGACACCATCGAACCTTGTTCAAAATCTTCCCACAAACGCCAAACCTTTGGGGCTTAAATTGGGCGTAATAATGGCGTCGGATCGGCTTCGATGGACAACTGCGAACCCGCTTTTCCGATAACTTCTTGATGGGAGTTCACGGTTGTCAAAATAGGAGCGCAACATGCCCTGAATGAGGGGCTTTCAACAAGGAGTGGAAGAATCGACCTTGGCCTTCGCTGTCGGGAGCATGGGTGTTGATGCACGCAGCCAGGGGCCATCATTGGTTTGCTGCATGGTGACGATGTGAAGTGCCCTGCTTCGTCTGCACCTCAGCCCCTTTTCAGTGCCAGGCTCGCGACCATGTTGCTGCAGCATATCCATAGTGCGCCCAAAGTACCGAGCAGTTGTCTCGACCTTGTACGCACTCTCAAACCTCGCCGAATTTCCTCTTCCGGTATAACTAGCAAGGCCTATTAGCTCAACCACCCAGCGCCACCCCGTCGACGCCCCCTTCCAGGAGCTACAAGTAACTACATAACAACCAGGAATTTCCGTTGTCGGCACGGCAGTCTTGCAAAATCTCTCTCCTCCGTACTCCGTACGACTCGCCTAAAAACTTCGGCTGCAGCAGCAGCGGCCCAACCAGCAAAACGACGGTAACTACAGCACACGCGTCTCGCGTCTCCTTTGTGCTCATGGATTCTCAAATACGCTTTCCGGGATTGCTTGAGTTATTGAGCGGAATCTTAAGAAGACCGTTCCTCAGAACGGGGGACGTTGTTGCAGCCATGTCTGGGGTCCATTTCCGCGGCAGCAGCATTCACGTCCGCTTCTAAGCCTTCCTATACGCCGTCAGGGGCTCAACCTATATGAGTGACTTACAAGCTGCGCATCAACTTTGGGGATGACAAGCCTAGAGACATGTGAACTCAAAAAAGACAACCAACTGGGACAGCGTGCTCAGAAACCGTTCTATATCTGGGATAGTAAATTGGACCTCGATCAGCTGGGAGAACTCAGGTTTTGTATTGTCTCCCAGCTATTGCGATAGTATAGAAGGCTAATGCTGCATGTGGTCTGTCAAAGTTCCATCGCGAGCCATCCGTCCCAACATTGCTTGACATTTTGCCTACAAACCTGAATCAGTAGGAAGACTCCAAAACTGACCAGCAACTGGTTTAGGTGCTAACGAATGCTGTAATCAAACAAAGATAGGACGGTGGAGTGATATCTGGCAGAATGCACCTCGCCTTGGGATATATGAATACTCCAAAAGCCTGATTTTGTCCTGGATAACAACGTAGCTCTTCTTTGTGTATCTATATGTCCTGGGTTCACAGACAAAAGTAAGGAAAGACAGCAGAGCAGTCTTTTAGGTCTTAACAGACTATAAATTCTTCTGTTTTGTTGCTCTGCGTGCGAATACAAAGCAAAATAATCATAACACTTTTATGGGCCATGCGCAACAATTTTGTCAGTGTGTTCCTAGTCATTAGTATCCTGCTTGATGCAATTGAATCATTGTCACATACAATGGCTCAGAAATTTTCAAACGCCACAGAATATTTCAGAGGTTCGACAACCATTCAGAGCTAACGTACAGCAACCAGTGTGAGGGAATTAATACTAGTAGAGGTAAAGACCATGAGGATGATGCTAACAAATAAGATACAGTTACAGTATATGGCGTCTCTGTTTTGATACCTTTTCGGGACCATCACAACAGCGATTTTCATTATTAACACTGGCCCCTGAAATGATCAGTTCATCAAGATTGGTTTGTGGCTGATCTCTGTGGCCACTAAAGCTACAGGATGGCCAAGCTGTGAGGAGAACCTTTGCTCAGGATACATTCAGTTATCACTGCACTACTACTCTCCTTTTCTGTTGTTTAAAATGTTTAATTTTAGAATTGTTGAGGATTTATGATATCTGCCATACAAGTTAAACTTTTGTGAATGCATTGAAGTGAGTATACTCGCTATATTCCGTATCATTATGTGAGGCTGCTGCGCAGAATCACAGCTCCTACTAATATGGCCTGTGCTTGCTGTACAAATAAATACTTCACTTTCAAGCCCTCAGACTATCAGGAGCTGAACGGTTGGTCAAGAGTAAGTTACTTCAGGAGATGAAATGTTGCTGCAATTCGACTGTGTAACAGCGAACCATACATCTTTGCCCCCTGTCCCATGTTCTATTCGAAGTCGCGAAATGGGAATCTGCATCTAGCCGGCCTTGAAAACCCTTTTCGGAGGGTCCGGATTCTTGAGATTGGCACGGAGTACCCCGTAGTACGCCCGGAAAAAAGATGGTCTGGCTGGGCAATACTCGAGGGGGCTGCTCCTTTCAACCAAAGGAGCCATCAGTGAAAAGTATTGGTGGTTACATTACGTACCAGGCGGTCGAGAATAAGATGTCTTATGCATAGGGCCGTTGAAGAGAAAGCAAAAAAAGAAACAAGAAATGCTCCTCGTGTTCGTCTGCGAGAGCATATGCAAGGAATAATTCCGCCAGGGCCCTCAACACCGCCATGCTATCCTGCAGATGCAAAGACCTCATATCAACCATGCCCGTTTCGTGTCAAGGCCGCTCCTTAAAAAGAAAAATGCACCCCTTGTCAACTATAATAATACAACCATCAATGTGTTTGTCAGGAATGTAACACGTTGCCGGAACCAGTATATCGATCAGTAATCGCAGTAGAAGCCCATCCCACCTCAAATGACGCCATCCGGGATATTTAAGCAAAGTAGAGGAAAAGAGGACCTGCCAACCAGAATTCCCTAATGATACAGGATAAATATGTACTGGTAAAGCCCAAAAGCACGTGTGAACAGAGAAGTATCAAGATGTCAAAAAGTAACGTCGTTGCGGAAATGGCCCGTTCACCTTCGTTTAGGACGAATGAACGGATCTACTGGTTTCTTCTTGCGGATTGGAGGCCGTTTCATCGGCCCGTTTCGAAGCACAGACACACCCTACGTTTTATCGGTCAGTTCAGGGCTATAAAGAGCGATTGCACAAAGTGAAATGGACATCAGCGCCGATAACAACATACATTTCCGCTTGGGGCCACCGCTGTAGGTTTATCCTGGCCTTTTGCATCAATTGGACGATGTCCAGGGCTGTCCTTGGAAGGTATCACGAGATCCTATGGGAAAAGGCAAAGCGTATCAGTTTAACTAGCTCCGGTATGCGATAGACCCGTAGTCTACGCTGTCATTGGGTTACTTACACCCGCTGGTGGTGCCACTGAATGTGGATCAAATTTCCTACCCTTCAAGCCTTTGGGTGCATTGGCTGGCTGAGCATTGTGACCGGATCTCGGAATTTTGGAATCCTTTCTATCAGGAGCATCCGAGTCCATGTGTTTCCGCTTTCCAGCCATCTTCGTGGCTGCATTCGGTTGGCCTTGACGGGAATCGCTCGGGCGAGGGGTTGTCCCTGGTACCTGGATGGTAGGAACTTTCGGGTCGTGGTCTCCCAGCTGCTTCTCTTTTCTAATGTCGGCTTTTCTTTTTTGAAGCGTTCGAAATTGATGCTCTTCTCTCATGATCCTATCCTTCTCCGTCTTTGTTAGAACTCGGTTAGATTTGCATATTTCAGCAACATGGCCAAACATTCCGCACACCATACACCGAATTGCGGTGCAGTCTCTCTTTGAATGACCTTCCTCGCGACATCGAAAACATGTTCCTTGACTGACGGTTTTCGCTTCATAATTGTCGCAGTTTTGTGCTATGTGCAAAAGACTCCCACAATATCCACAAGCCAACTTCTCATTCAAACCATTTCCTCCGCCACCAGCTACATCAGGAAGCCGCACTGGTGTAAGCATGCCACTGCGGGAGGGAACGTCGTCTATCGATAGGCCGTTGGTGGTATCATTCGAAAGCCTTGAGGCAGGCCTGCTGCTCCCGTTGCCCCCTGTCACGGAGGAACCAGGTCTTGAAGATGGCTCCGAAACAATGGGATCCATTGAAGCATCAGTCATTTCAATATCATTCGGCACCAAGCTCCTTTGTGGTGACTGTAGTATTTTGTACACATCACCATCGGTATACAATTGTCGTTCCCGCGCGTCATTAATTAGCCCTCTCCAGAATTCTCCACGAGCAAGAGATTGCGAATTGCCCAGAACCCAAAGAGATGATTTGGCACGAGTTAAACCCACGTTCATACGACGGATATCGGCCAAGAAACCAATGCCATGGTTGGAAGCTCTGACGCAGGAGAAAATGATCACTTCACACTCCCTGCCTTGGAAAGCATCGGTTGTATTAAATTCAACAGCCTTAAAGATGGCATTCCCATATTTATTAGCAAAATGTTGCTTGAGTTCTCTTAGCTGACCTTTATATGGAGTAATAATTCCAATCTTTCCTGCAAAATCGTAAGTGGGAAAGTCTTGGACCAATCGATCATACAGCCGCATTGCCACTCTGAGTTCCGCCATGTTAACGAGTGAGTGGCCTTTTGGTGCACTCGCATGCATTCCTTGAACATCGAAGAAGCGGTATGGACCAAGTAACTCAGTATTATGCCAAGGTCGAATCCGCAGCTTAGCCATAGCAGGGCCATCTTGAAGTCGCCCATCATAAAACGCAGCACTTGGAAATCGGCTTATCTCCGGATGCATACGATACTGGGTATCCAACAAGTGGACATCCTGTGGATGGTTCGCCTGCATTCTAACAAACAAACTTTGCTCGTACTGGAATCGTGACGCTTCTTTCGACAAAACAGTCGGCGGTAATTGCTTCGGATCACCAACTAAAATACACTTGGAACAGCCGTACTTTAGTGGAATGAGTGCACTGAGTTCAATAGATTGAGCGGCTTCATCAATAATGACCGTTTCAAATTCAATGCTCAAAGTCTGGAACATCTCGTGGCCACTGCCGCTAAGTGTAGCGCAAATAACATGAGCTTCATCGATAATTTCTTGCTGTATTTTTCTGCGTGTTAGCTCTGCGTTACGAGCAGCTGCTTGGTTTTTATCTCGAGCAGAATCAATTGCTTGACTGAGCTGTGCTTTCTTTTTCTTTAGTAAATCAAATTCCCTCTCGAGTTCAGCTGGAAGAGCTTGGGCCTTTGCTCGACATTGGTCCATCCGCTCTCGAATTTCGTTGAACTTGTTCGACGTATCTTTATGCTCCGTGTAAAGGCTTTGAAGATCCCTTTCACTCCCATTTTTCTGGCCAATCTCACTGAGTTTCGCATTCACACGTTCATCTAGCGTAACATCCAAGACGTTCGTATTGATAGCATCACTTCGACCGAGTCGAAGGACCGAGATCTTTTGGGCCCTTCCCTGTAGTGTTTTGACGCCCTCTTTGAATCGCATAACTAATTCGTCCACAGCAGCGTTACTAGGCGCACAGACGAGCAGCTTCTTCGCCAATGTCCGCGCGGTTTTATCACCAGGACGAGGGGGGGCAATTCGATGTTCAGACAGGGTGGGAGTTAATAGAGCACCCACAAGTGCGACGATCGTTTTCGTCTTTCCTGAACCCGGCGGACTACAAAGAATACGGCATTAGCTGAAGGCACACGGAATGGCAACCAAGAAAGTGCGTGGCCTTACCCCTGTATCAACGTAAAGGCATCATTATCCATTGCAGACTTTACCGCTTTTGCCTGAGCCAGATTCAGATCATACGTGCCGAGAATATGTTTTACAGATTCTGTGCTATAGTTGAGGATGGGAGATGGCTTCGCCCTTATGATCTCATCGCTCAGGTCATAGTACTTCAGCGCCATCAGAGCACCATATTCTCGCTCCAGAGGCGTAAGCGAAGAGATCCGTACGCCGTATAAGCTCGCTCCGGGTGAAATGGTGTTTATTAGTGGGTTCATGGGGTTTACACGATACGTTATCTCCATCTGCCCCTTTTTCTTGATGAGGCCACTTACACGAGCCAAGCAATGATGCGCTTTGGAGTCTGTCGTTGGGTTACTGCCTTTAGAGATGAGAATCATATCTGCCTCGCCTAGTCCAAGATCCTTCACTGTCTGTGGTGCCATAGAAGTGCTAACTTCTACAAAATTATCGACCGAAACTCGGTTGGCGACTGTTATCTCGAACGGCTTGAATGTACCGTCCTCTTTGGCAGATTGAAATCCCTGCCACGCTTCTAGGATCAAAAGCGGTTCGAAAGTTCGTTGGTACTCCAAGGCATTCGTAAAGGTATTTGAGACAAGAGTATAATCTGTTCGACCGCAATTAGGTGGAAGGTCGCCGGTCGCAAAAAAATCCCAACTCAGTATTGTCTTATGAAGCGTAGTCAAATCTGGTGAGAGTCTTGCCCTCATGTCCTTAGCGGAGCGAGCTACCTTGATCTTCTTGACAGGCATACGTTGTTGTAATCGCATCTTCTTGCTTTCTTCATATGCTCTGACCGCATCTGGTTTCATAGGCGTTTTCTGTCCAAGCGTTCCTTGGTCTTCATCATCACTCTCAGATTCGGAGCTAGTTTGGGAAACCATCATACTGTCGACCGGCTTCGGCTCGGTGATATCAACACTGATGGAATCAAGACCAGAGCCCTGAGACATCGTCTGTTCGGCAACACCAAGAAAAGCTGAGTTCTTTTTTCGGCGATCTGCCTCCAGTTTATCCCGTCTTTTCTTCTCTTCTCTTTCTCTTTCTCGCTTTTCACGGAAAGACTGGACACTCTGCGTTAGTGGCGACGGTTTCAGTAGAGGCTTGGGAGCCACAGATATCCGCTTTTCTGTCTTTTTAGACGTGGCAGCTAATCTTGCCTTGTTTAGCTCAACGGACGAAGAAAGCTGCATGAGTGTTTCATCCGGAATATCCTCACTGAATTCTTCCTCCGTAGACTCTTTCGGGGTAGATACCGCGGATCTGTCGACAGGTTTCGCAAAGTCCCTGATCGTTGTCTGCTTCTTAATGATAGGTAGTGTAGCTTGTGTGGGTGCTAAAGGCTCTCCATAGTAAGCTTCCAGCGCCCTAACAAGCTCTGCCTTCTCTCGTTGCGTGAGGATTGTCTTGACTTCCGATGTCACCGCTACGCCCCGTATGAAGTTTATTGCGTCCTCGGGCAATTCTACATTTAATTCTCCCAGGCGGCGTAAGAGTTTCACCACCAAACCTCCCAAGGTGGTAGCAAGGTATTCGTCCTTCAGGCGAAGCCACTTCACCATTCCACTCATTGTCTTAGTTGGCGCTTTTAGAAGAATTTCACTGGCGGATTTAGAGATACTGGAGTTCGACTCAACAATGGCGGTCACAAAAATAGGGAACTGATCAAAAAGGAGATCGGCGAATTGCATCGTATCCCGGCAGAACTCCATCATAGTGGTCCTATCAACTCCTGTCCTGTGCCATGCCTCCGTCTGGTTAAATATCGTGGTCAGCCCAACCCACTGGTACTCCCAGAGCTTTTGAAGAGAAGCGGTCTCCGCATCGTCGGCCAGTTTACGACTTCTAAGAATTCCTGTTTGAGAGTCACAAAGGACGTCAATGATATCGGTTCCCGTTTTTACCATCCTCGGTGCAGAAGCGAACGTTTTCATCTTGGCAATCCGACGATAGGACCAGCTAAAGGCATACAGTGTAGATGTCCAAAAGGCTTGAAACAGGTGTGAAATCGCCTCTCTGCGACCGGATTGCCCGCTGACTGTTTTGATAAGATCAATAGCCGCCTGGTAGGTATTCAAATCTGCGGAGAAAAGAGCAGAGATAGGGGCCAAAGGCGCTGAGGGATCCTGGAATAGCTCGTCAAGTTTCTCTGGCTTGAAATCCGCCAGTCTTTCCAGTATCAGGCAAAAACAATGCGTAATATGGCCATACATCGTATTGTAATGTGTCTTTTCCGGATTATTTTCTCCTCTAGTCGGGAATTTTTCCAAGCCCGGAAGAGGATATAAACCGATCAACGCGGAGCGTGACAGCGCAATATTACCTTCGTGGAGATGCCTGACAACCTCATCCCAAATAACCGGAGTGTAAGTACTCACATTTTGTTGCAGGTTCTTGTTCTCTAGGATCATCCCGTAGTCGGCTTTCAGCGATTCGCATTCGAAAGACAAAACATTCCGCACAACATCGGTACAGAGAGGTACAAGGTCCATGGGTTTGCCATTAATGACGAATTTTGGGGGGTTGAATATTATGTTAATATGCTTGGTGACTATTTCCAGCGTCTCGGATAAAACGACGGTCGCCACAGAGCCCCTGGAGGTGGAATCTTCTGTGAAGCTTCGAAGAAGCATAATTATAACCGACAAGCCGGCGTTTATGCAGTAAAACTTCACTACTTCTGGAAATTCAGACTCTTGGATGCGAGTAAGTAGCTGATACGTCAAATATCGACATGTTTGCGGCCGGTGTGCATCCAAAAGCGATCTCACAAAAGAGTGCAGAAACAACAATACGCCTCTCAAGGCGGACATCTCAAAAGGCTCCTCCTCCACCATTTCACGGAAAAGCTTGTCGAGTTGTGGATTGTGAAAGATGCGTTCGAGAATAGCCTGTGGTGGAATTGTTTGCATCGCATCCCAGAATACTCTTGGCGCCTTTTCGACAAGAACACGGATCGTATTCAATAGTGGCCGGAGGCAAGGGCCCTGAATCTCAAGGTGTTCGACAGACAGGCGGCAGATGTCGATTTCAAGTCCTCTTAAATTATGAGTAATGATTCCCTCATCGCATCTTTGAACAATGAGATACAATCCCCGCCATAATCTCTCGACGATATCCGGCTGATAAGGCTGATAGGTAGCTTGAGACAACGCTGGCATAAGTGGCTCCTTGACTGCTTGTTCGAAGTCTTCTTTGGTAAGGGGTTCGGGCACTTTTTCCCAAGCAAGCTCAGCCCATTTGCTTCGAAGAGGGTCCGGATCAAAGATAAATCGACTCAATCCAGGGACATACTCCATAATTCGTAGGCGCTGATGAGTTTGGACCAATTTAAATGGTTCATCGAAATGCTGACGGAATTTGTCCTCCTGCTTCATCAACGCTTGACAGTTCAGTGCTTCAAAAATTGCACACAAGCCTGACCTGTCCAAAATCTCAGGGCACCTCTGACTAGGGTCGAGGCTGCTTAATGTCTGGGCAGCTGAATCCAAATGGTTCAAAATGCGGCCTATATCCCAATCATCCAGCATCTTGCCAAACTGCGCAACCTCACTTTCTTCGTAGTGCTCTTTAAGTGTCTCCCATAACCACGATTTGCCCTTGTAATATTCTATAATGCAAAGCTCACAGCTCTCAAGACTTTGCTGAAGACGATTCCATATCCAAGTCTGATGCTCGATCAATTCTGCCTCGTGAAAAGCCAATAGCGGCATACATGACAGGAATTTCTCGCGGCGTATCCTCGCCTCTTCCCGCGCTTTTCGAATTTCTGCGAGTCGCTTGCACGCGTCCTCGTCATTTCTCTTGCATTTTTCCCTATCGACATGTTTCTCCTTGTATTGCGACCTGTCATCATCGTTTTGACGCGGGCAGAGTAGGTGGAGTTCATTCGACAGGGCTTTAAGCTCTCTAAATATGGAAGAACATCATCGTCAGCGCGAATATTATATGACAGTTGGTCATCCAATCAATAAAACATCGGCGGAGAAGCTAGTCAGTTTCCAGAAGAAAATAGAACTTTCACGCAATATCATACCCGAGAGTTCCTAGCAACTCTGCCATATCATAGGCGCCCTCACGCGTGTTAAGAACTGTTCAATCAAACCTCCTGAAATCGTTCGACAGGGGAAACTTTTTTGAAGAGAATGAAAATATCCTTCTAAAGAGCAACCTTTTAAAAGCCCCATGAAGCATCCATGATTGCACAACAACACTAACTGGTCAATCACTTTGTGAACAGCAGTGGAGTAATCAACCACAGAGCGCTGTTGGGAGAAGCAGGTATTCACCAGCTGATAAAGAAAGAAGAGAAATAGGAATAGAAATGTAGGAGAGAAGTGAAGACCACACAGGCCTCAACAGTCTACTGTTCTCATATGTTAGGGAAAAAAAAAATAATAAAAAAAAAAAAAAAAAAAAAATTGGCTGTTGCGCGGAGTGATGTGTGTTGATGCAGCTCCTCACAGTTCCGACTAGCAAGATTATTAACCAAACGAGTGGAGTAACTATCCTGTACTCCGTACAAGAGTACGGGGTCTGCCGTACAGCGCAAATGACTAAGTTCTAGCCAGAGATTAAGTTGGGTTAACTACTCCGTACCGAATCCGAAAAATAGTTATATTACCATCAAATCAGTTTTTGGAATGGCTTCCGCCGCAATGCCACTTCAATCATCACTTGAGCAGCCAAGTAAGGTCCTGTCTATATTCATGGGATGTACTCAGCTACGGAGTATGAGGTATATACAGAGTACATGTTAATTATTGACATTGGGATTGGGTGGCTCATGATACCAACCTCTGTCTCGCAATTCCAGGCCCCACACTAACGCGCCCTCCTACAGGAGCTTCTTGAACTACTATATCGATGGATGCTAATCAGATCTTGCTACAGCAGCTACAGGACTAAGGTATTCTGGCAATAAGCGAAATACGGAGAAAAAAGCTTCACTTAAAATTGTATATGCATGTCCTCCTGTTAACAAGCCAAGCCACAAAATATCATTCCCAGCAACAAGAAAAAGAAATGGCCAATCCCAAGGAAGAAAGGACTACATAGAGACAAGGGGTATGCAAAGTGAAATGAAAATGACATCCTTGAAGGAGCGGATTGAAGTAAGAAACCATGGAAGGGTATGGAAAAGTAGACAAAGCAATCCGCAGTCGATGAGGAAAATTTTATACACCATGGTTCGTCAAAATAGGGAAAACAATTAATAATAACATATATACCATGGGCAGAAAATTGGCTGTCCATCCATGCCCAACTGTTCTTTTCAGGAAAGGGGGAAAAAAGGACAAGAATCTGAGGCTCAATATTTTGTGGAAAATCCAGGGATCGGGAAAAGACACCAGACACAGCTCGACAAGTAAAACGAAACGAGTCACAGAACGCCTCTAATGATTACACGATTAATAGAAAAGAAAAAGAGAAAAAATTGGATGGAAAAGGGTCCTCGTTAGGAGGTAGAAAGCAAGGAAAATGGCACATGTAGCTCATAGATATCTCGAGGGCGCGTAAACACAAAAACGGAATATGTGGTGAAGGAAGAGTTGGGGGAAACCCAACACAATTAAATGGTCGCAGCAAAGATCGTGAATCACAGACAAAGTAGTAAGAGTGGGTACAGAATGTAAGAGCGACGAGTTTCAATGTTCGGGTATCGACTTGTGCCCTTGGCGATCATATCTGCCATGGGTAGATTCCATACGTGCTAGCATTGCAGCCGACGTGAAGTCATTGCTCGCTTCAAAGCTAGATCGAGCTCGTTCCATCGAGGACCGGCCTTGTTCAAATGATTGTCGTGTTCTATCGATCGAATGCCGTGGATAATGTCGGAAATCCAGCGACTGCCGTGTGTTACGATCAAGTGAATGCTGAGGTTGATGTCTGAAGTCGAGGCTTGCCGTATACCCAGTGCCATCGCTGCCATTTTGACTACGTGGGTTGTGTGTGTGTGCTGTAGGCGCTACCGACGGAGGATAGATAGGTCGCTCGTCTTCAGGTATATCTGTGGTTCCTTTGTTCGGTGTCACCTCAACCGGTTTACCTAGATCTGAATCTGGGAATGAGGGAGCTCTAGCCGTAGGAGGAACATAGGCCTCGAAGTTCTCGAGATGTTTGAAACGGCCCATTATCACCTGTTCACGAATAATATCCACGTCACGCGGGAAGTATATCTTCTGGAAGGATTTGATCGCAAATCTTGGCGCCAGACATATCGTCACCGTCAGTAATGTCAAAGCCCAGAAAGAAAGGCTCCCAAAAACTTCAGCTCCAGACTTGTAAAATTGCCCAGAGGCAAGAACCGATGAGTAGACACCGGTCCAAAACCAAATGAGGAGTGAGCTTATGGCGTTAATTAAAACGGTAAGCCAATCCCAACGGTAAGTGTTGAGTAAAATATAGACGTTGCTGGCAACCACAGCACTACAGCCAACAAAAATTCCCATTCGCATGCGGTCATTAAGATCTAAACCGTTTTCTGTCACGTTTTGAGCCGGCTGGTAAAGTAGGTATGTCATATAAAAGCATATAACCGACTGATAGAAGCCATCGAGCATATACAGCCTATGAATTGTTAGTGAACAGGAAATATCCACGGTATAGGGAAAGGAATAGTACCAGAATTTGCGTTGAGTCCATTCTTTACGTTCAATACCTCTCTTGTAGAGCTGCGGAACAGCCAAGGACACCTTATCATCCACATCTTGGTCAAGAACACCCATCAAAATCACAGGCAGAGATGTAAAGGCCAAGTTGACTAAGATGATATAAGTGTAATCGAAGAGGTAGGACAAATCGAAATTGTTGTATATGCAGTACCAAAAGAGAGCGAATGTCCACACAAGGTTCTAAAGAGCATGAATCAGCATTAGCTTACACATTTGTCTGAAATGGGATCATACCTTGTAGAAAAAGTTGGCAATCGTTTCACCCAAGCGGCGATAAGACCATCTTCCATGAACTAGAACCAACCTCTGTAGGAATCGGAATTGTCCAATAGCATAGTCGGACGACATAACAGCTTGTCGACCCTCTTCACCCGCAATACCTACGCCAACGTCTGCTTCTTGGATCATCGCAACATCGTTGGCCCCGTCACCAATAGAGAGAGCCATCACGTTCAGGCCTTCCTTGACCATCTGAACGACGCTAGCCTTCTGGCCAGGACTGACTCGACAACAAAGAACAGCCCTGCACTGTTTGCACAACAAAAGGAATTTTTGTTTCAGCTCAGGTCCCAGCATGAGTTTCAGGGTGTCACCGTCAACAACCACAGCGTGGGTTGGGTCTGGTGGTTCGTGATTTTCCCGAGCCGCAGCAAGTTCTTCATCTGACCCAGTGAGGCCAAAATCAGCCAAATGACTGTCCAGCTCTTTCGACGCGGAACTCGGGTCGTCGCTATCGATATTGAAGATGATCAACTCCATCTCATTCGTCAATAGATTGCATGAAAAGCCAATGTTGATTGCGGTTTCCACTTTATCTCCTGTTAAGACCCAGAGCTTGATTCCAGCAGTGGCCAACAGAGCGATAGTATCGGGCACCCCTTCCTGAAGCCTATCCTCAATAGCAGTGCCGCCAAGCAGCGTGAGCTCTCGCTCAATGGCGGAGGAAACTTCTTCGAGCTTCGCATCACGATCTACTAATGCGGCGGCTGCAAGCTCATGTGCTTTATTCCAAGTCTGGTACTCCTCTTCGCTGAGGACACGGTCAGCAATGCAAAGCGTCCGTAGCCCTTCTCTTGCAAATATCTCCAGGTGTTCTGCCGTCTTTTTTCTAAGTTCTTGCTGCTCACCACGAGCCAATCGTGAATAGATTATACTGTCTGCGCCTTTACAAAACAATCTAATCTTCCCATCAGGCATTCGCACAATAGCGCTCATTCTTTTCCTGGAAGAATTGAATTCCAGGGTATTAAGGACAGTATAGGAGCGTTCTTCACCCATAACATTCACCTTGATATCATCACCGGATCGCCCAAGAACGGTGAAACCGCAATCGCGGGCTGTAGCAACCAAGGCTGCCTCATCTGGTGACTGAGCTTTGAAATCAATTTTGGGAGGATCACCAGGCGTTCGCTCCGTGATGACGGTATGACACAAAGCTAGAGCTAGCATGAAGTGCTCATTAGCTTTTCGTTGTTCATCTCCGGACTCACCAGAAAGGTCAGAAACAAAATCCGGTGATACAAAAGTAAGGTTATCATCATGGAGATAGGGATTGTCGTGGATGGACCGAAGCTGCTGAACCATCAACACCCGCGATTTGGCGATGTTTTCTTTAGCCTTTCTAGATACTTCTTCTACGTCGATTCCCTCCCGCCGTTGCATGCCAGCTTGTGCTTCAGTGTAGGCTTCTCCATAAGAAACGCCGTTGATTGTACACTTTCTGAATTCCATGACGTTCTGGGTTAAAGTGCCCGTTTTGTCCGAAAATATGTACTCGATCTGGCCAAGATCGTCGGATATGTTCCACGACTTTGGCGTGCATGGATACTGTAGCTTTTCGTAGAACATAAAATTGTCACTGTGGATAAAGATGGCCTGGATAGTTCTCACAATTTCGAGAGAGATATAAAGGGAAATTGGGACAAGGTTCTGAAATAGAATGACACCTGCCCAGAATGTGATGAAACCATCGACGGACGGTGAACCTCCGTAAGAACCGAATTCAAACCAGTCCAGTGAATTATTACCACGAGCCCAGGTCACCCCTTGGACAATGCCGGCGACAAGGCACATGAAAAACAAGAGAATGAAATTGTATATGACGTTCCAATTGAGGTCCTTCGCTAACCTGGCACGTTTTCGTGGTGTCTCGCCAGAATTGAGCATGATTTTAGTTTGTAAACCGGTGAAGACAACCACACCGAGAACCCATTCAGTATTTCGCAAGCTGCAGCCACGAAGAAGCATGTTGTTAATGGTGATAGGTTCGACCATTTCCTTCACCGGTGCATCAGGGTCTTTCGGGTTGCGTTGATTCCATTTAACGGCACCATTATATTGGTAGAGGTTGGCATGTGGCAACTCGCTCTCGATGACGAAAGTAGCCTTTTCGCAGTCCCTTGCATGTTTGACGGCGCGCCCACAATGAAGAGCCTGTCTAACTTTAAGATTTGTCTCGCCATCCAGATTCTTTGTCTCCACGTAACAAGCACCATCGGGATCGGAGGTAGACAGGATAACAACATCAGCAGGAATTTGCTCCTCGTTATAGATACGGACAAAATCTCCAACCTGGACATTCTTCCAATAGTCTCGCGCAAACCTAGCCGTCCCCGGGGTCTGTTTTGTTTTGTCCAAGACACTGCCGTAGCTTTTAGGGGCGATGGGTATACCCTCGAAACCCAAGGATTCGGGGGCGAGATGCGTAGCTAACGATGGATTTCCACTTGAGAGAGGCAACGAAGACTCGTCCTCGAGTTGAGTAGTTTCTTCTGAACCCCATGCGCTTGATTGAGTCTGTCGCCTATTCAAAGAAGGCGACTGAATGGGCGTCATTGGTATCCCATCGTCGGCCTCTTCAGCACGCGTGGATTGGAAAGAAGTCCTGATTGAATATACGGAACCTCGCCGTGTGGTCGCGATAGAACCACGCCTGTCGGGCGTCTCGTCAACGGGTTCGTGAGGCTCGCCATGTCGCAAGCGTTTAATGGACTTCCACGTTCGTTTTACGCCCCTGGTGGACGCTTTCTTTATTCGACGCCAGAGGGAGATATTGTCCTCAGTAGAATTCACATTATTCCAATCCAGCAACCGATGGATTGGCGAATTGTTTAACTCATTGTCCAAAACGGTTCGACGCCAGTCTTCGATCGCGTCTTTGATGCCAGTGATTGTTAAGATAGCAATTAGGGGAACAGCACCCAGCCCCGGATTCGAAGCACCGAAAATCGGAAAAAACTAGGAACGCCAGAAGATCAGTTACTTATTGAGCGGATAAGTTGGCGATTTGGGCACACTCACACTGAGGATGATAATGAACAGAAAGTAAACATTGGCGATATTGTGGAACTGAAACCATAAGTTCTTAGGAATAAAAGTTAGGGGCGTGTACTTTGCAGTTCTGATTTTGTTCCTAGCATAATCGGCCACTAGATTGCCGTCTTCGTCCCTATCTTCCGGCGGTATCGGTGTGTTGAAGTATATCCTCCGCTGGCCCTCTTCCGACTCGCTTCCTGTCGGAGAGTGCCTGCCGTTGGGCAAACCATTTGCAGCGGATTTGCGCTTCTCTTCCTTAGAGTTCAGTCTGCGATGAAATCTATCTATGATGGACACCCGCTTCTTAATTCCTCTGGAACCCGCATGTCGCTGTGTTGCCCATCGCATTCGGCGGACCGGCTTCGAGACGTTTGCTTCACCATCGTTCCCGAACTGAACCACCGCCATCAGGGGCTATATGGACGACTGTCTCCTACAGGTCCTAGGAACGAGGGAAAGGAGTGGAAATTGACATCCAGGGCGAACTTTCTGGGGAGAACGAGCGGGCGAAGGTGAAAGGAGCGATGTGGCCGACTGGCACGGGCAATCTCGACAGGCGAATTACTGGAACCGACAGGATGAAAGGAACCACGTCAACCATAAGTCTACCTCGAGGCAAAAAAAAAAGAAAAAAAGGTGTCGACTGCCAGTTTGGCTTCTTTCCGCGATGCGAGTGAAATATCGAGGGAGCGGAGTGATAACGACAACGGGCAGTTTGGGAGGTGACGACGAACGATAATAATCGCCGGCGAGCTGTTCTTAGGCTGTGGAAGCGGAGATTCGCGCCCTTTGCCGCCTATGTTTGCGTTGATCAAGGGGGGAGAAATGGAAGCCGAAAAAAGGACACAGTTTGGCCGTCGGGGTATTAGCCCTGTTCAGGCGGTCGCTGGCGTCGACGAGTTGGAACACACCTAATTTAATGCGGAACAACGTTAATCAGACCCCGGTTTGATCCGGGCGGGACCGCAGCATTGGCTTTGCAGGTGTTTCGTCATCCAAAGAAAAGGTTTCTTGAGGCTGAATACGGAGATCCTTCAATGGAATCAAGGCTGGCGGCGAAAGAAAAGCTTAACTTATCGAATCGCCGACCTCGAGCCTTACCTTGCGCCCCCCCCCCAAAAGAGTTCCCTGCTGCGTGTTACCGTACTTCCCGGCTGGACAAAGGCATCGTTTGAAGCCCGTGGATAGATCGGCTCCTCCCTTGCAGATTTTTAACCGCCCCCGGGCCTACGTACGAGCGGGACTTGGCACTGCGGTTATGTGGAGCCGGTGCAGACATACATAACTTTTTGTGAGCGGATTCAGCCCGGCAGAAGCGGATCAATCGCCAGGGGGCTGGGGCCTTCCGGCGCAACTGGTACCCCGTACGGAGAACTCTGTGCTGCATGCTGGCCATATAAACCCCCAGGAGTAGTTACACATTGGAGTCGACCATTTGAAGTACTTTGGAGCAGCAAGGATATGATGTTGTAGAGCAAGTACTCCGTATGTACAGAATAGTAAGCATTTGATGTGGCTGCTGTCTTGGTTACTGAAAAACCCACAAAGCAAGGCTGAGCACGGTCCACTGAATTGGATCAATGAGTGTCTGGCTTCGCCCAAACCGCAAATTGATTCGTCCTGTGTAACTCGCTACGGAGTAACCACCCTGTAGGTAGGCCCCCAACAACAGGGCTCTCACGAATTCATGCGGAAGAAGAACTCTATATGAATGAGTCTGTCGATTTATAACTCTGTAAACTGCGCCTTGTGCTCCGTATCGCAGAAGCTGAAACTGCGGCGTCATAGGGCGATGGAAGCCAGGAGAGGACACTTTTGACGCGAACCAATCCTCCGTGCGCCGTGACGGAACCTTATGTCGTCCAGACGTCGTGTGGCGTCGGGCGAGTCGTCGGCCATACTGATATCCAGAAAAGGATATATTGGTGGATTATTAATAGCGCCTCAGTCACGTGGACTCGCGACGTTTTGTGTGGAACGCGGTTCGCGACGCAGAACGTTGGGTTATCGACTGGAGCTGCGTCTCGATCGGGGTGGAAAAGATGCTCGTCGCACTGTGCACAACTTCCATGGGAGACTCTGTGTAAAATGGCAAAAGAGCGTACGATTGCCAGCTACTTCAAGACCTCCACAGGTGCATCCAAAGCTGCCGATAAAGATGACACTCCAAGCCCACCCTCCTCCCCGCTCAGCCCTTGTCCATCGAATATCTCCTCACAGACCTTCTCGTCGCCCACGAAGCCGCCGCCGCCACGGCAAAGTCCGCTGAAGAATACACTTACCTCGCGGCTTTCACTCTCAAACGATGGGCCCACTATCTGCAACCCAAAACCACCCCCTTCATCACAGCACACGTCTTTTGGGACAAGCTTCGGGAGCTCTCAGCGAGTGGTCAAGGATGGTCAGGTTGTTGTGACCGGTACTGATGGAGAAGATACTGAATCCATCTATTCCTTCGGGTCTGATGATGACCTCTGCCGAAAACTTCTGGGCTCGGGAAGTCCGTTGCGTCCCTCTGAAAAGAAGGGAACCAGCAAAATACCTACGACACCGCCCGGATATAAGTTCTCCCTAGAAGATTTGGTTACCCACGCCGTAGACGATAGGGAAACTGAAGCCAATATATCAAGATTGAGACTCTCTTTTAAAGGCCCGGGAGAGAACAGTGGCACAAGCAAGGTCAATAGAACCCCAAAGCAACGAAGCAGGATGTTTCGCGATAGTGTTTTGGCGTCGGCCGTCGGCGAAGATACAAACACGGAGACAATGCAACGGCTAAAAGCCGCAGTTGATAGGACAGAAGCAGTGGACCAAGGGAAGACCTGGTCTTTTTTCGAGGACACAATCTCGTCTGTGCCTCCACCGAAATTTCCTGAAAAGTCAGTTGCTCCAGGTTCCTGGGAGTCCGTTCTAACAGGCGAGTATCGTATCCTCCACCAAGGTTCCCTTGGTTGTTCTAACCAAATTACGTAGTCCCTGAGACGCGCGAGAGGGCGTTTTTCTCTGGTTTAGTCGGAGAATCATTATCCGGCAACACGCTTCCTGACGAAATTTTTATCTGGATCTTTCATGCCTGTATAGTTCTCCCTTTTTTGGCAGACTGAGTTGAGATTAACGTGATTTCTAGGTACAACTGAACCTCGCAATGAGGTCCGATTCGCTTACTGCAGTGCCATCAAAGTTCGTATCCCAATTTTTTCCTTTTTTTTTTTTTTTTTTTTTTTTCCTCCTACTGGATTCATGAACTAACTCTCTCAGGTGGCGCCGGCAAAACGCGTATCGTCTCTTATACATTCCACTCATATTGAACAGTTGTTCCGCAATCTAGGAGCCCGGCAAGATGCACTCTCAATTCAAGATGTCGTCATGCCCGATTTCCATGCTTTAAGCCGTAAGTCATCTTATGCACCCATTCATCCCGTGGTCTCTAATTTCCTTAGGTCCCAAGCCGAAGGACTATAAATATCTCTTGTCTGCTCTCGATGTTATAGAAGGTATAGCATCAAAGTAAGATCACCTGCCTGTGCTTTCTTTAAAATCAAACTAACACTCGATATGCTATAGGCTAAATAACGATGCGCGCGATTATGCTTTGAAAGTCGCTCTGCGCCTCACACTTGATGAAACCTCTATGCGCGATTGCTTTGTGTCCACAGCAACTCAACGAGCAATAACATCTCTTCTAGGAGAGGGTGTCTTACTTGCAGATTTAGCTGTTAGTCACCCAGCTCACTGTGGCAGTACAAATACTAATCACAAGTAAAGCTTTACGAACTCTCCGTTGTCCTATATAACACAATTAAAGACCCCGCACTCCAAAGCCAACTATTAAAGCACATATCCCCAGCGACGCCAAAAGTAGCGCTGTTGCGATGCCGTTTAGCAGCTGCGTTCTTTTTTGAAGATAAAGCCTTCCTTGATAAGCCAGCGGAGCTAGTATTCGATTTAAAGCGAATGACGATCCGGTTGCAGGACGACCGGTTCAAAATACACCGTTCAACGCCCACAGGACAAGAACCGCTGGACTACTGGGAGCTTAGTGCTATCACATCCATCCTAGATGTTGCAATTGGCTCCGGGACAGCCGAGAAGTCTTTTCCGAACAAAGAGAGCGAAGCCAAATTCAATCGAGATGTGGACAAGCTAGCAGAGCAAATTAAAGTCATATTCACGGCGATCAAGGACACAGGAGCTTCACATCTAAAACGGACGGAATCAAAAGAGTATCTGCAGGCCCTTCATTATCGTCTGATATATGGCGTTCGAACAAAGCCACGTCCAAAGGTTTCTTGGTTTGTGCCCTCCAAGAGTGGAGGTGTGGCTGACGAGTCCTGGAGTGGAATTAAGAAGAGTGGAAATCTAATGGACAGGTTTTTGTCCTGCGGGAAAGATAACGATTCCAATGATGGCGACCTCTCCGACCAGGCTACTGATATGCGACTATGAGCGATCTCCCCAGAGACAGCCATAACGTAATGACCTTGACGATTTACTCAATGCCGTCGCCCCAACTCCCAGCGGAGGAAGCAATTCCCTGGATATTATGTATTTAAACTATGTTTGAAATAATATCGGCACTAATATAAGCCCGCCCGTTCTTATCCCAAAACTACCAGTAAAGAGCATCTACGTAGGAAAAAGACGCTATAAGATTAGAACATAGCCAAACAAAAGCGTAATATCACATATAATGTGGCTCAGCTCTAGCGAAAGACCAAAAAAATAAAGAAAGAAAAGCCCTAGCAGCAAGAAAGCGTGCGTACTCCGCACAAAGCTTCAATCGTAGAATTTCCGGTTTTCGTTCTTGCCGAACAGCAATTCTCGAACCACCGGAAGCGCGTCTGATTCAAGGAGCCTAAGCCGCTCTTCGAAAGTATTGATGATCTCGATCTTGCCCCCGCCGCCGACGATGATAACACCACCCGCGCTAAAGCAACATGCAGATTAGAATCCTCTCAAGAGAAATAAAAAAAGGAAAAAGGGAAAAGGAGACTTACGATGCTTCCGGAAGTGGCTCACTCTCGTCAAGCTCCACAGAAACCTCCTTGCCAACTTTCTCTTCGAACTCTTTGGCCGCCTCCTTGCCAGCCTTCTTGACCGCGTCATAATCTTTCTTTCGCGCCCGAACCTGAATCTTATTCTCGTTCAATGCATACAGTCCTTCGAGCACCAAGCCCTTCAAAACCTCCCCGTACTCTTTCCTCTCCTTTTCCTTGGCCTTGTTTCTTTGGCCCTCCTCCAAGACAACACTCAGGCTCTCTCTCGCTCGCTCAAACAGCTCATCCAGCACAGCCTGTTTCGCAGACAAAACACGCAGGCGACTCTTATTCGCGAGCGTCGAGCGAGTGATCTGCTGAGACATAGCGGCCTGTTTGAACTTCTTTTCGTAGAGGGTGTCGATGGCGGCAGTCTCCCGGCGGACGAGCTTGGATTTTTCAATGGCGAATTCTTCGTCGGCTTTGATTTGGATCTCACGGGCCTTTTCTAGGGCTTCTTGTTTTATGAACGCGGTCATTTTGCGGAGCTCGCCCGCGACCTGAGGGGAGGTTGTGGTTAGCCGGGGGTTGGGAGAATGGAACAGCCGTCGGAGGGGACTGGGTTGGTGGACGCAAGGCATACCTGGTCGTCGGATAGTGCATGGCTTTGTGACATTTTGAATGAAGATGTATCCGATGGAATTAGTAGGCGTGGACCGGAGGAATAAGCGCAGAAGAGCCGGAAGGAGGGAGGTTGGAGGTGCTGGTGACCTTGACTTTGTGCAGTGAAACAACGGAAACCAGTAGGGGCAAATCCAGATGCGAAAATGAATCTATCAATGAACTTCTGCCACCTATACAGCTATTGATGTTGGCTGGATAGGTCAGATGATAGCTTCGACGTTCATCACGCAGTTCCAGGTACCCCCATAACTACGCGCCGCCATCGACGAATGCAACTCGGGCCTTGGCATCATGTTTACGTAATTTGGGTGAGATCTGATAAGATGCCTTGATAAGAGTGACTGCTTAGTCATCGGATTAGTTTGTCTTGTTTGTTTTGTTTTCGCAGAAAGGGCTCTGGAGAGTACGGAAGACTCCGTCGAGACGGGTCGATAATATCTAGTCGTTACCAAGGAGGCGCCTTATAGCAAAGTCCGTAAATAGTTTAGCAAGTTGTATGGCACATAATTGTTGAGCTGCCAACATTTTAAAACCACCATGCTGAGACGCTGATGTCAACTCTGGCGCACCATGTGGGAACTACGGAGCACAGCGGACCCAGACCACCGACCAGCGCAGGCTACGCCGTCTTCATCCAACATGGTCCCCTTTCATCCAGCTGCTCTTCAGCTGGCACATTTCTCTTGCATTATATGACTCTACCACATTCTATACTTATGATGTCCGTCTCGTAACGGGATGCAGCTCTTGTTTCGTATGTACAAGAATCGGGAACCCCATGCATGAGGACGCTCGAGATGGGCGAGCTCGGTGGCTTATCACCCCAGGGCGGCATTGCGGTACGCGAACAATAGCATTCGAGTTTCTAGTAGGATATTTACTGATCTATGCTTCTAAGCAGATTGGCGTTTTGGTTGGCCTAATCTCGACGAGCCTTCAAGCCATCGGACTGACGCTCCAACGCAAATCACACATCCTCGAAGATGAAAAATATCCATACGATAATCGCAGACCACCGTATAAACGCGCAAGATGGCAGGTATGGATATGGACCTATAGTCACCCTTAGGACATTTGTACTAATCGGAAACAATAGCTCGGGATGTTTATGTTTGTTCTCTCCAATATCGTCGGTAGCACGATCCAGATCACGACCCTACCTCTCCCGGTCCTTTCCACTCTCCAGGCGGTATCTCCCCGGATTCCATGAAATGTGCTCGTGGGCAAGAAGCTTACAAACTACAGGCAGGGCTTGTCTTCAACACGATCTTTGCAACGTTGATACTGGGAGAGCCATTCACTCGTTACTCTTTCGGCGGCACCGTTCTCGTATGCGTCGGGGCAGTATTGATTGCAATATTTGGAGCTATCGGCGAACCGGCGCATACTCTGGACCAGCTTCTTGAACTTCTGAGCCGCCCACCATTCCTTCGATGGATAGCGGGAACTGCTGTGATTGTCGTGGTGACACTCCTCGGCGCCCGCTTGCTGAAAAACCTCTCAACCCCTGGCAGGACCAGTGGCTGGACTCTTTTGAAGCTCTCAAGATCGCACTCTCCGTATCACCATCATCACCACCACAGCCCACGTTTGAAGACGCTTCGAGGAGTCCTCTTTGGCGCTGTGAGCGGAATACTTTCTGCGCATTCACTTCTTGTAGCGAAAACGGCAGTTGAGCTGCTCGTTCGCACCATTCTCGATCGAGTGAACCAATTTAATCGGTGGCAGTCGTGGATTATCCTCCTCGGCCTGGTAGTACTCGCCCTTACCCAGTTATACTACATGCACCGCGGCCTCAAGCTGTGTAGCACCAGCATCCTTTACCCATTCGTATTTTGCGTCTATAACATTATCGCCATCCTGGACGGATTGATATATTTCCACCAAGCATCACGATTGTCAGGATTGCATGCCGGGCTTATAGCGTTGGGGACGGTCATTTTGCTCTCGGGTGTTCTTTGTCTCTCGTGGAGATTGGAAGAAGTCACGACGCAGCCAGAGGCTAGCCCTGCAGCCGCCGCCCTAGTTCCAGGACTCGGCATTTTGGAAGAACAAGCCACTTCTCCTACATACACTGATTTTATCTACCCATCCGACGAAGAATCATATCCTGCGGAGCGACAGCCACTACTATTACATTCACCGACCCAACAAACCACCCCGTCGCGCCGTTACACGCCCACCTTTTCTCGAATATCACCTCAACAGCGGCACAGCATCAATATAACCAACGAAGCAGCCCAGATATGGGCCGAACTCCACGACGAGAGCAACAACATCACCACGCAAGAACAGGACCGCGTCCCAACATCTCCAACTCCCTTCCACCGTCACCGACATTCTCATCACAAAAGCCAACGCAGCAAGAGCAGCGCTGCGCCCTTTCCGCCCAATGACATCAGCACACCTCAACCATCGTCCCCCGTCACCGGAAGAGAGAGATCCATAAAGTGGAAAAGCATATTCAAAGCAAGTCCAAGCAGTCGCTCCCGCCAACATCGCAACGGCAACATGTGGCGTCGTGCATCCACTCCTGTGGTGGCAGAAGAGAACCACGAGGGTCGGAGGACGATCATACAGAGAGATGTAAGTGCGAATGCGAGGACGACGGCCCGCACGGATATACCAAATGGATCTCCGGAGGCGATACGAGCTTCTCTGGACGAGACACAACAAACCGAGCACGACAATGGGGAGGAAGTTATGTCCAAGGAAACGTGGTTTGGCCGGTTATTTCGTCGGCGCCGATAAAGGTTGTATTAGACCTTTTTTTTTCTCTGTATCCACTGATAGTATTACACCCCAAATAATAATTTTTCCTATTACCAGATATTATTTCATTAAACCTCGAAGTCGTAGACCATCAACGATAGAGAAATTAAAGGCCAAGAACACCTTCGGAAGGCATGCTGCACCGGGGACAATGTTGATAGGCGCCATCAACACACCCCCAAAAGAGAATCCGATATTGTTGTGGCTCAAGTAGAGGGAGAGTAAAAAAGAGTTTTTGAACAGAATCCCTATGACATTCTGCAAGCCATCATCGGAAGGCAATGTTGAAGCATAGAAAGCTAACAGGTAGGAAGATAAAGCCCTATAGAACACATGATACAACAGAATAGCAGAAAGAAACAAAACTGAGATGCATAACTCCACCCCCATGTCGTCGCAGAAAAATATTTCCCCATTTTCCATGGGTAAAACACAGATATCATAAAAGGGGAAAAACGGATTTGGAAGGGAATCCCACGTGGATTGCTTACCAGTGCAGGATGAATATCAAGGCAAGATTTACCCAGCTCAACCGAGATCATTGAAGACAGCCGGGAGCAGAGGTGGTCATAAAATATTTAGGGGTAACTAGTGCAAAACCGCAGCATCGAGCGAAGTACCCGAGGAAATAAGATGCGAAATATAATTATGACGCAAGTGTACCACATATTGCAAAAGCAAATGAAAACAGAATTCCCACCACGAATACACCAGTAACACCCAAGTCTCTGGAGGTCTAAACACCCGCAAAAGGAAACCAGAGGTAAAATACTCGGAACAGGCTAGAGTGATTTGTGTCTTTTGTCCTTCAGTATTCTGCGAGGCCAGTTAGTGCCAGTGGTGGTAGGGCGGAAAGCTAGACAAGAAACACAAAAGCCACGAACAAATGCAAAAGGGTTCAAACAAATAGTGTATAGGAATTGGGCATAAGGACAGGTAAATGCGATCCAAAACAGAATTGGCCTATTCGGGAGGGGATGGGGGTTTTTAAAAAAGATCTCGATAGTGTTGGGAGACGATGATGAAGGAGAGTGTTCATGGAAGTGTGCTAAAAGGGGGCAGGATTGAGTAAGGGGATGAACATAAACATATGGGTCAAGTATTCAATGGCCAGATGATAGAAACAGCAGTGAGGGGGATAGCGTAAAGAAACACATTAAGCTGTGGGTTGGTGCTGCGGAGGTATACGACCACCAACTGGCATCCCCGGATACTGACCTCCAGCCTGTGCTTGTTGCTGTTGTTGTTGGAGATTTTGATAGTAGGCCATCTGTTGCTGCTGGTCGGCGGTCATATAGCCTGGATGCATGGGGCCAGGCCGCGGGATTTGCGCCTGCTGAGCGCTGACACTAGCGTGGGAAACATCGTCGGTCGTCTCTGAGGGAACTTCGGGCGCCTCAACGCCATTTTCGGCGCTGGTAGGCTCCGGAGCATTCAAACAGGACTATAGTATCACCGAATTAGAGTATACGTCAAAAAAAAGTGCAATAATATGTATGGCGAAATAACGGTGAAAAACGTACTTGAATTAGGTTCTTCCCCTCCGCCTTGGTGACGAGAGGCTGTAGTTTGGGAGTTGTGAAGGTGTATACAAGGCCAGTCTCGGAGACTACTAGTAGGAGTACTTGGGTACCGGTGAGGACCGACAATTCATATGCCTATAACACAACAATAAGAAGCAATCAGCGACTATCAACAATATATCAATGAGAAGGGCTGGGCGCTAAAGGTGGTAGAGTTCCATGGATTGGAGCTTAGCCGGTATTAAATCCGATTTAAACTCACCTTCTTCATGATTCCAGCCTTTCGCTTTGAGAACGTGATGTGGCGACGGGACTTGTCCTGGATGAATTTGATTTCGATCTTGCGACGCTCACGTCCCGGCTTGTCCTCATCGTCGTCGTCGTCCTCAGCGGTACTAAGACGGGGACGCTTGGTGCCTCGATTTTCGACAGCTCCGTTGCCACCCGGAACGAGGTCTTCCTGGGTTGGAGAAGGGTTCTCATCGGCGACAGCGGTGATGTCAGTCATAATTGAAGAAAATGTGGGTGGAATTAAAAATAAAAGGTCGAAGATGGATGTTCGTGGTTGATTCAGTGAACAGTGATACCCAAAGAGGTATGATGTTTGCGAGGATGAGGGCACGCCGAATCGAGTAACGCGTTGGCAGTTGGGGATGTCAGGTTTGGGTAAGGTCGCGATGGATCAAGAATTTGGGGGGGAAAATGGGAAAAGAAAGGGAAGTGAATTAGGAAGGGAGCCGAGTCCTGAAGGGGGAAAACGCGGAAAAATATGACATTTCGAATACGCCGGATCAACTGCCGGACCGGTCAGATACCTGTTTTAAATAAAGGGTGTTGGTCACGGACACAGCGCGGTTACGCCTTAGATTACCGCTAGCCTCGTATTCGATTCGGGCGGGTCCTGCCTTCCCTGCGGTGTTTACGCAATTGGCCCCCTTCCGCATTCGATCGCCCGCTAACAAATACTAGCTGATACTAGCCTGTACATACCAGTTTCAAATTACCCGCCTTCCATTGGCTGTCTCGCGGGCATCCCCTCGTCCTTTGCGTATGCATACGTATCCAGATTACTAATTGGCTTGTCACCACCCTCCTAACCCAGTCAAGTTTGGCGCCAATCGGCAGTCACCTGCCTGGTCGACCCCAGCTTGTGAGCCATGATGTCCGTCGCTGCATCGGCTCGCCCTCCATTTAGTAACATCGCTCCGGGCTTCCACTGACAAATGCAGCCCCATCTTCCGGGCTACGGTTGGTGCCGTAGTTCGTAGAAAGGATACTCCGGACCAAAGGCGCAAAAGAAATTTTTGGGAATTATTAGCTACGGACTATGAACGGGGAAGATAACCAGTGATTTTCTCACTTTTTAACGGGGTGCTTTCGAGCCTTGAATGACGATGGGGGCCAAGTTTAACCGGATGCATTCTCCCATTGACACCAGTACTGAAAGCCGTCCAGCGTGTGTGTCCCTCGCGGTGGTTTCTTTTTTGCATGAGACAGGCAAAACTGCAGTTTGAACTCAAAAAAAAAAGAAGACCAACTACATCTTGCCCAGCTTCGGATACTTGTAAAAAAAAATCTAGTAGTGCACTTGACACATTTCTTGCACGATGTGTCTCGCAACCAGACACTGAAACCATCACTTAGCGGTATGTCTGTAGATAAAGAAGCCTGATTTGATAGCTGTCCTTTTCGAAGAGCCATGCAGTTTGAGCAATCGTTTGTCCAACCCCCCGCTCTTTAGACGAGCACGGAATATCGCTCGACATGGTCTTTACTTTTAGCTTGTCTTACTTTCCAAAAAAGCAGCAATTTGGTCAAAGCCATCAGGCTCTTTAATCCAGTGTCCTTCATTTTCAGCCCCGGAATATTCGTAAAATTTCACATCCATCCCCATCTCCTTTAAAAGCTGACACGCCTGTTGTCCCAGAGAAATATCCACAACAGCATCGTCGGTCCCGTGAAGCAATAGTACAGGCGTAGACAGCACAGCCTTTACCTCCTCGGGCTTTGAGTCGAATGGAGGGCACCCCGTTGTTCCAAGGAGAAAGGCAGGCATTATTAGGCACATGGATGTGCCGAGCTCAGAGGCATACTTCGATCGATAAAGCTGAATTGCCTGGTCGATATGCAGAGTGAAAGGTATCCACCCGCAACATCCTACGAATGCGCCAATCCTTCCCTTGACGCGCCCGGGGGAACAAAGTAGCGTCCACAATGCGGTAGCCATTCCCTGGCTCAACCCACCAAAGATAATATTGTCCGACCTGCCGCCTAACAACTCGATTTCCCGCTCAATAACGCCTAGGACATATTGGCTAGATTCTTTCAAGCCTTGTATTTGAAGATCCTGTCGCCTATTGGTATCAGCCAATGAAGCTATGTCAAACCATGCGGATTGATGTTCCATAAAGGTAGCGTTCCAGCGACTACCGGAGGATGGAAAGACCCATCGCCAGCTAGGAAACAGGGATGGAAGATCCTGCCCTCCAGATGTTTTAGAGGAGAAAAGGTCTTCAGTGAACTCCGGTCCATTACTCCCCCGGCCGTGCAGGAAGATAGCAGTATGCGTGTGTGGAGCTTGGGGCTCAACAATATGCAGGTCGGGGAATGTCCTGTTTTCGGCTTCCATATTCAACGCCTTATCCAGTTTGTTATCAACCAATACTTTCGTGTTTGAGGAGTGATTTTGAACTGGCGAACGGCCTGACCAACCATATCGACTATCACAACTGATACACAGATTTGTATCGCTCGATATCCAAAAGTTTAAAGCTTTCGCTGGTTAGAGGGAGTTCAGCGACCCAGAATTGGACATGGATTTTGCCGCGCGTTAGATATGGATAGCTTTCCAGAACCGCCCTGAGACTCGCAAGTACGGAGTGACCATGGAGGGGCCCGAAGTAAAACGTGGACGTGGACAGTGATCACCCCGCTTCGGCGCTTCGGAGCAACATAGATCCAGCAAAACCAAACCGCTCCGGCGAAACAAATATTCACATCCACCAAGTTCAAATAACTAGCCTTCGGAATCTTCTGTCCGACAAGACAATAGTCCATTCAGGGATGACCGCAAAAACTATGGACAAGCGCATCCCATGGCCATCGGCCTTTCGGGAAGCTTCATTCTCCCCCAGCCCCTTGAATAAACATCCCCTACGGAGGATATCAGCCAATATTCCCAGTGTCTCTCCCTCGGGATCACGGGCTTTGCAACCGCCGTTGAAAAGCATTAGTTTGGGAACAATTGTAGCCGCGGGCGGTTCAGTGCCGCCAGTTTACCTTTTCAGCGGAAGGAAATTCCTGGATACCCCTGCAGGATCTGCCGTCGCTCTTCTCGGGATAAGAGAGCTTCTCCCACGCTACACGGACAGTTCTATTCCGTTGAATTGAATAAATAATACCCCCCATGCATTTAAAGGATGCGATTAAACCCAGATTCTCCCCATCGGGCTATAATGATTTCAGGCCAGAATATCCGATTCCAGTTCTTTTGACTAACCCAGCCGCATACGGAATACAATGGCACCTCCAAAATCTCATATCATGGTAGTTGGGTATGCGCTTTTATTCCGATCAAATGCCTCAGTTCCTGTTCACAATCAACGTTTGCTCATGCCGAAATAGAGCCGGGGTTATCGGCCTCCAAACCTCGCTGTCTCTACTAGAAGCTGGATATGAAGTGACCATTGTGGCAGAGCACTTTCCAGGTGATGTTGACGATATGTACACCTCGCCACGGTGAGGTCCTAAAATCACCCCAGTCTATGTTTTAGTTTGACTTGGGCGCTCATGATGGCTTTGCTTTCAGGGCAGGAGGCCAGTGGCGATCGCATGCTCTTCCGGGGCAGGAGCAATGCGAATGGGATATCCAAACTTTCAAGTGCTGGAAAGCGATAGTTGAAGAAGAGGAGAAAACACCGGATCTGCTTCTCGAAAGGAGGTCGGGCTTGGCGGTAAGGGGTTTCTTTCACATGAACTCTAACTGACTATATGGGGTTCTCTTTCATCTTACATTTCCTACTCCTTACATTGCCTGAATACTAACGGGCATACCCAGGGCTATGAGTCGAACCTCTATTGGTGAGCACTAACGCACCAGCCTTGAGGAGGATAACAGCTATTGATACACAAACTTGAAACGGATAGGGATGATCCATCTCATTCTCCGGAGATACTTGCGACGAAAAATCAGGATCCATCAAACCTGTGGTGGGCACCTTATGTTCCAGGATTCTCCAGACTCCAGACCCCATTTCCTTCGGCAAATATTAAGGCAGGAGTAACATACAAGTCATTCTCGTTTGATCCTCCGAGATACATCAAGTGGCTCTTTCGCCGCGTTCTTTTGCGGGGTATTAAAACTGTTCATACCAAACTCCCCACGAGCAAAGGACTGCCCCATGCGTTACATGTAGCGAGAGCGGCTGCTCTCGAGGAATGCCGCCGTGAAGGCCGCCCATTTAGTATACCGGTCTTATTCGTCAATGCCACTGGCCTTGGTGCTCGAAACTTGGTTCCTGACGCTGCTGTTCACCCAGTTCGCGGCCAGACCCTCCTGGTTCGTGGCGAAGCACACAGGATTTACACGCACGTTATGTCTGCAGGCACACACCTTTCCAATGAGCAGATCGCATATGCGCTTCCGCGTAACGGCACCGGCACTTCATTGGTGGGTGGCAGTAAGCAAGTGGGCGCTTGGGATACTACGGAAGACGCGCAGCTTTCAGAAACCATTCTTCAATGGGCAAAGCGACTGGCGCCAGAGCTATGTGGAGACAACGGTGAGTTGGACGTTCTCAGTGTGCAAGTTGGGTTGAGGCCGGGAAGAACAGGTGGTGCTCGGGTGGAGAAGGAGATTCTGAAGGGATGCGGAGAGGATGGCGATGATTTGGTCATCATCCACTCATATGGCCATGGCGGAAGCGGGTTTCAGAACAGCGTCGGATCAGCCACAAAGGTGGTGAATTTGGTTGAAGAGCATTTAGACACACGGAAATGAGGCGAGGGCTGCGTGGAATCGATCCGTCCAAGTTTTGAAATGCCATCAATGCTTTGAACAAGTGAGGTATTTCGTACAATAGAAGCTAAGAGATGGGACGAGACTGCATGCAGCAGTTTTTCTTCCACTTTAGCGAGAAATCCAACTTCGCGCTTCAGTTCAACGTGATTAGTGTTGCTTTCATCACAAAATGTTCCTGTGGACTCTCCAGAAAATTCAAATTGGTTTGCGGAGGATCTCAAATAAGCTGATAATCCCTTATCCATAAGCAAGGGGTGCCAATTATTCATTCTATGCTCGAAATGGTGCAACAAGCGCAACTGCAACAGGATCATCAATGCTCGTACACAGGAGGAAAAGGCAGTGGGCGTCAAAATGTCCAAGGTGTCGTTAAGACAACATGCTATAGTGATAGTATTGCCTCCTATGCATTAAACTAAAATTTTTACATCTGGCATTCTAACAATCACCTAATATGTAGTGTACGCGCTATATCCTACCGAGAGCCTAAGTGTGAAGTTAGGGGTTATGAGCGAATGGCTTGCAAGCCCTAGGGGGAATTATGCGTTGGTTCAGGGCCGTTAGGAGTTTGTGTCTGTTTGTTTATTCATTTTCCTGACCATTATCATTCATTGGGTGGCTGTCTCTCCTGTTTAAATGTCACAATCAAGCTGACATGATAAGCGTACAGTGCCATAGTTAACTAGTCTCTGAATGCTACCAAAACTACTCCGTACTTCCCAAGCACCTCATCTCAGCAGACTTTGACCCTCAACAATCTTCACCAACGCTCAGCCTGTTCCCAGCTTCTTGCCTTGAAATGTCTCGCAGCCACATTAGTTCCCAATACCGCCGGTAAGACCCCCACTGCAACTGAATTTAGAGAGAATTTCAGTCAACATATTACATATACACCTTACTATAGAAACGATAAATTCAGATATTGTACGGCCACGAAAGCGCTGCGGATGGAACTAGAATTGGCTTAGAATCGAGCGGATGAAAAAGAGGCGATTATCAATCGCATTACCCATTATTTCGGGATGTTGAAGGAGAAGGGAGACTTGGAGTATGGTCTCACTGAGGAGCGAGGCAGAAGGGCAATGCTGGAAAGTTGCCTTGCAGCATCGAAATTAGCGAATCAACCACTCCGGACAATGCTCAACCGGGTTACTGGAGCTGCATCGCACTTTTTTCCTTAAGCATTTCGCTCTCCTCCCGGGTCACCTTGATCAAATCTCTGATCTCTGATAGTTCATCCTGCATCTTTTCCATATTTCTAGCCTTCTCTTCCACTCTATCCAATAGAATAAAACCCTCCTCGCTGCCAAATCGTTTCTTCGAGCGCTGGATAGAAATCTCGCTCAGTGACGTGTTCACCAGGAGCCTGCCGAAGGCATCGTATCGAGTCCGGGGCGCGGGCGCTCTTTTATACACGATGCCAGCGTACTATCCACAGTTAAATGACGACAAGAAGACTGTTAAAACTTATCATGTCCCTGGATATAGAAAGAAACACTTACCATGTCATCAACCTGGGGATCGCTGAAAACAGCGCCCGATGCCATTTCCGTCGAGCTTTGTCTCTTCGTTCTAGAATTATGTATTGCGGTAAACCATCAGAGTGTGTAAGCCAAAAAGCACCATCTCAATAGGATCTATATATATATGTATGTAAGTTGCATCCACCAGCTGCAAACAATTCATTGACCATCATCACCATTTGTGGATGTACAGAAAGGCACAAAGAAAGGAGATTAAAGATATTTTTGGTGATTTCTCCCAGTCGCGTATGCTGCTGCTTTCTGGACAATGTCAAGTTGTTCAAGACTAGCAAATCGACTCTTTGACTTCGCCATGTCTTTATTCATTTTGCGATTCAAAGCAGAAGTTCATTCCCTTTTCAACAAGCCGCTCCCCTTCTGCTCCAGGGCACATGATCATTGATTTACTTCAATGATAAAAGGAGGGCAGTGATGGATTACCAGCAAACAGCGTCAGCGTCCAGCCTTGATCCTTGTATTATTGATTGATGGAGCTGGAAGAGCGATTTACCGCCACGGTATAGGCACACAGCAGGCAGTAAAGACTGGCATCTCATCAGCTTTGATCTGCTGCTTGTACTATCGCCAGGCGGGACCAGGGAACATAGAAAGCACCGTCTCATGTCGCCTTACAACAATGGAGAGCTTACCGATGCTCAAGCCGTACAGCTCCGTGATCCTCTATGTGTATGCATCTACGGAGTACATCCAAGATCTCGAAGGGCTTCACTACCCCGCCCATGTACAACGGCTTGAACGACTCCGGGTGCAGGCCAACAACAATGCTTGGAGCTGAGGACACGAACCTGCAGACATGCTAAGGTGGCTCACCACTCAATGAGCCAAATTTTCGCACCATCAAATTTCTTCAACACTCAACTTCAATATGCAATAGCATGGTCAACAACAAAGCAATTAAGCTTGCAATTGAAGATCTTGAATTGCAAGAGACTTTAAATTACAGTGCAATCACAAAAAAATACTCAGTTAGTCAAGAGACCCTGTGCTGACAGTATCAAGGCCCACAAGTTAATCACCATAAAGCAATCTCCAGACATAAGAAGAAGCTCACTAATATACAGAAGAATGAGCTTCTAGAGTAAGTATATAAACAAGCTCTGTGATCACAGTCTTGCTTCTACATCTCAAATTCTTTGAAATATTGTGCAAGAGATGACAGAAGAGAACATAAGAATTAACTAAATAATATAATTTTGTGAGCACTACAAGAACAAGATCAAGTCTGTTTATCTCAAGCTGCTTAACAAGAATAGACAGATAGCAGATAATTACTACTGCTTTCAGCACTTCTATAATCTTATACTTTAATACTTTTTTTACTTCTTTGCAAGTGCAGTTGTTGAATTTAACTAATTTATTAAGTACTTGTGCTGCTGTATTTAGTTAAGTGAGAAAATCAGCCAGTATCTTTTGGGCCGGTTAGCGGGGCGCCGAGCCCGCCGCGCGCCGTCATCATTGGTCTGCTTGCTGCGCTAGGCCTGTTGTGGCAGCACCATTGCCACTTCAGGGATGGCGAGCCCCCTTGCCACTTTTGCGCCCTCTCACGCCGCCGGCCGCTCAATCTATAAAAGCCTGTCCCGCGCCCTCACAACAACCACATACTCTCTCCTCCTCTTTCTCTCCCTCTTTCTCTTCCTCTCTCACTCTCACTCACCCGCTCGCGCCTGGATGCACTGCCCCCTGCAGGGAACCAGTGCCGTCTTACCCGGCCCTCGCACCTTTTTCTTCCTGCGCCCACAGAGTCGCCGAACGGATGTCCGATGACCTCGCGGGCTGCTGCTTCATTGGTTTCTGAGCCATCCACGCCGCCCCTCGCGGTGTTACTTCATTTGATCTGGAGTCTAGGCTGCTGGGACATCTGCAGCCATGTTGCAATGGCCTTCGCCGTGTTGTACGATCGGCGACTGTGAACCGCAGATTGCCAATGGCTTTTTTTTTTTCATTTTTGGTTGGGAGGTCGAGAGTTTCCGCCCCCCTGCCCTCCCTTTTTCTCTTTTTTCTTTGCGGTTTTATCCGGTCGATCTGTTCTCCCGTACTCTGTTGTCTTGGGGCGCCTTTCGTCCGTGGAGATCTGTGCGGCAAAGCAACCGGCGACAATCAACTGAGGCCACGGGGAGGACCAGCGGGCGAGCCTCCTGGAGCCAGACCACTTGCTGAGCCCTGAGTGATGGAGGGTTGCATCACCCTTTGACCCACCAACGCAGACTGCCTCATTTCCTTTCCCCAGCCAATAGCAAAATTGCCGCACTTCTTTATTGGTATCAGTGTGCGCCTGCAGGTCAGACCCGGGGGGGCTCATCAGGATTGCATGCTCGACATGTCAGGGTTGGAAGTGGCAATAACCATATGCAATTGGTGCAGAGCGCCGGTTATCGACCTCCAGGTGGCTTTCTGATGAGGACGGACGCGTCAGCAGTCTCAGGGAAGATTCAGAGATCAGTGGAATTTGCCCCGTTGCTTCCTCTCCTATATGGGAGATGGCGAGGCAGTTGAAGCCTCTGCGCTGAGAGAAACTATAAAGGGTGGCCGAGCCTCCTACAGAATCACTGGCATTTCATGATCTGTTTCTCTCGCCCGCGCACGCTCTTCCCAGCAGGCCCAATGCCCACTCTCCCTACTCCCCCAATTCACCTCTGACTCAGAATCTCCCCTCTCAGATCCCCAATCTCCCACTCACAGATGGCCCTCGCGTTTCATGTGAACAACTTCAAGCTGTGGACGCCGCGGCACCCCAAGTCATTCTCACTGCACAAATGCCCCAATTCTTGCACCCCAGAACCCAGAAAACCCCCTTCCCCAGCCCCACATTGTGATGTCCCCCCCCAACACCCTGCTGTCCCCCAAGCATGGTCTTCCTTCAAAACTGCTGGCTGAAGTTTGTGTGCCTATCAGCAGTAATACTCAGCCATGTGCGCCATTGAGCTCCCCCTCCCAACCAAGAGAGATGTCTATACCACCACCCAGTTTGGAGAATCCCCAGCATGGCATATCATCTCTCTGTGATCTGGCACATCACACCCGGAATTCACATCCCATCCCTGCCCATGATGTCCAAGATAATATCTCTGATACACTGACCAAACTGTCTCCCCTTGGGAGAGGCACCACAGGGGCTGGTTCATCATCACCAAGCATAACCAGCTCAGATGGTAGCTTAGAAGACTTCTTCAGGCTCCCGGATCTCCAGAACAACATCCCCATTGACCCAGCGATCCTTGCCAACAACGCGCCCTGGGACATTAGTGACCTTCACCAGCCTGTCCAGCAAGGTGATGATCTTGCAAACCCAAAGACCACTTATCCCTATCCTGTTCCTTGCTCCTACAGCACGAACAACAACTTCCTCAGCAATGAACAGTCCAGGAGACGCAAGCGAGGGCCACAGCAACCAGAACCCCCTGCAAAGCAGCTTCATGTTGCCTCTGCATCATCTATGAAAGATTCCTCCACAGCCCTTCACTCCCATTTCCTGTTGCTACAGCTCAACAAGCATCTGCAGTTCCTTTCCTGGCTGTTTGAAGGTGCTTTGGCAAGTTGCATGCCTGACTCAGCACCACCAAAATGGGGAGACAAGAGTGCATGGCCAGTCAGTCACTCAGCTCCTCACAAGATTGAAAAAACTCAGTATGAGCACAGCAAGAAAAGAAAGAGCCACAGAGACAAGCTATAGTAATGACTTCCCAAGAATGACATATAGCTCCTGAGCATGATGAAGGAGCACTGACCCTGGTCAGAGATAGAGAGATGTTTTCCAGAAAGAACAGAATCAGCACTGCACCAGTGGGTGTCTATACTTCAAAAACATGAGAGGGGAATGCACACAGCTGAACCTGCCAGCATCACAGCAGCATCTGCAGCCCTGGAGGGTTGAGATGTATTGCTAATCCACATACATGAAAGTGATATCATGATCAACCATAAGGTGGCCTCTCCTAGCCATTCATTAACGGCCCTTGGTAGGCAGGGTAGCCTTGATTGGCAGTGTCCTTATCTTTCTCCTCCTCAGGGGCAACCCACAGCTCGCCACAGGTATATAACCGGAGAAGCCGAGCCACCTGCTCATCGCACTGCCATGCGTTCTCGTCTTCTACTGTACGCAGCCACAGCCGAATGATACCTACCCTCTGGTCCCCCCATGGTGATCCGCATGCGACAGCTGTGGAAGGGACACCACTGCTGCATGGGTTCTATTTTCAGACTTCGTCCTCGGATATTGTTGGCTGCTGCGCCGTACTTCAATGGCTGGCTACCCACTGGGAAATACTGCCCAACAAGTCTTTGCTTTCGGTCAAACTGCCCGGCTCAACTGCAGGAAATTTATGATGCGGTTTCCACTTACCTGTAACTTTGGCAGAAATTGACATTATTATTATTATGGTGTTCATAACATTCATCAAGTGAAGATATGTGCCGCTTGTGTTGCCTTCTTGTCAAGTTTGACCTTCTAAATTGGATTCGCCAAGCGTACGGCAAAGAAAGGAAATTTGATCCACTTCTCATGGCGCATCGTGGGCGCATCGTGGCCCTTGTAATTTGATGGCGGTGTCAAACCTATGCGCAGTGGTCTTCACACTTCTACAATGAGGAATAGAATATATACATAGCAAGTGAGGAAAGATGCCTCATATCATTTGTACAGAAGGGCAACAATGGAGTATCATTAGCCATTTATCAAATACAAAGATGAGATGAAACAAGTATAATCAATACAGGAACATGCTGCTGCTAAAATGTAAACTGCGCCTTCAATGACGACGCCCTATAGGCTCCCGATCTCTATATGTATATGTGAAAATGTCCGGCTGAGGGTTGGAATTGCTATCTCCCTTGCTCAAATTCAAGCTCCCTTTCGGCATCTTGACGACGCTGCTGTTCTCGAGCGTAGGATTGTTGTAAGTTCAAAACCTGAGTTGTAGTTTCATTTCCATGATTCATTTTTGTGTGGAGAATACAGCGGTACATCGCTATGTCATGGCAGCTGCGAAATATTCCATCCCAACGGGTGAAGAAAAATCTCAAAGTTCTTATCGCTGTATTTGTTCCTGGTACTTGACCTAGATTCACTTGATTCATTCAAGCTGGTCTTTGATTTTGTCCGGCGGAGGGAAGAGGTCCCATGCGTTAGGTAGCGGCCACCCGTTACTAAACATAAAGACACTGCGCACACCTGCTCTAGCTTCCCGTGCCGTCCCTAATTCAAGTTGTCAGGGATTCCGCAAAGTCAGAGCCTTCGGGATTCCACACCTGACTAAATCCTCACACGATTTCCTCCGCGATGAGTAGTCGTCCGCAGATATGGGTGCCGAACACTTAACTCCTTCAATCTTGCATCTGAAAGCCTCACTGCCCATGCCGCATAGCCTTTCTGTATCTGCCGTCGCAGAGGCCCACATTCGAGGAAGTCACAGGTGAAAAGTGGAGGTCCCAATTGTATGTTGAGAAGGGGTGATAGTTTGCCTAGTAGTATTTTGTGTTGGGAGGAAGGCCCTGGTTTTGATCGTCTTGCTAATAACCTTGTTAGATTCGAGACAAGTAAATGGTACCGGAGTAAACTATCATTCCGTCCTCTCTCCAGGACCTTTTCCCAGTTGCCGCCCTCCGTCGTTCTTCCTTTTTAAATCAGCCAACTCTTTCTCCCCTTCTCACTCGCTCATTTTCCCAAATCCATCCACTTCCATTCTTTTGCCCCTCGTGGCCCCAATATCCTGTTGAATTTGCTCTCAAATTATCTACTCCCACAATAACAGCGCTTCTTCGCAGCTACGTACGTTCAGCATGCAATCGTCAACATCGAACCTCATTGTGCCGGAGGCCAGTGATGTCTCTACCTATGGTGATTTTATAGACCCCGATGATTACGATATTCTTGAGCATTATTCCGAGAACATGGATGAGCATGAGTATTATCCCATCTGCCCCGGAGAAATTGTTGAAAAGAGATATCGTGTCGTGCATAAATTAGGTCATGGGGCCTTTTCTACAGTCTGGCTAGCGCATGATCTTCAAAAGAAAGTCGATGTTGCTCTAAAAATTATGACTGCTGACTGCGAATGGAATCATGAATTTCGCATGCAAAATGAAATTATTCGACATCTTAAGGATACCGATACCTCAAATCTTCTTTTGTATCAGGATACTTTCTCTCTACCAGGTCGTGATCGCGATCGCGATCATCGCGTCCTCGTCTTCCCCGTGCGGGGTCCCAGTCTAAGCTCACCTCACACAGACAGAATGTCAATGGCTACTCGCATGTCCGCTGCTAAGCAGCTGTTAAAAGCCCTAGAGTCTCTCCACAGGTGCGGAATTATTCATGGGGGTAGGTCAACTTTAGCTTACTCGACTCCTTTTTTGATATTTAGTAGTTTGTTTTATTTCCTTTGTGTTTTTGTTGGACAACATTGATTTGCTATCCTCTTTCTCTATTTACATGCTAATGCATCTCCGTGCAGACGTGAGCGGTGGGAATGTTTTGTGGGATATGGTCCCTCTGGACAAGTACAACACAGCTACGAAATACAAATATCTCGGTCGACCCAAAAAGGCAGCTCTACAACCCGGAGCTTGGAAAGCCGGAGAGCTTGTCAGTGAAGCAAAGATACCTCAATCTTTGCTGAGAGCAAAAGTATATCTCAGTGACTTTGACCTTGCAACAGATGCCAATAATCAGATCATGAATAAGTGGCGGCCGACCTGGGGATACTGTGCTCCTGAAAGAATGCATAAGTTTCCAGCCAGCTTTGCCGGTGATATGTGGGGTTATATGTGTATCTTTATGAGCTTATATTTTCGACATTCGATATTTGATCGGGGCCTTGATGCCATAGTTACTGCTCTTGGCCCGATGCCTAAGGAGTGGAAAGGCTTGAAAGAGAAACCAGAAGACGAGTGGTATGATCAGAATATGAGAGTTGATACTAAGGAAGTATTGGAACGGATGTTCAAACTCGAACTTGCTGACGTGAGTACAGCTGAGCGAGGTCATATAATATCCATTATTCTGGCAGTGCTTCGCTATCGTCCGGGGGAACGCCTTACTGCTACTCAGCTTCTCCATCATCCTTCATTCAAAGCGGTGATGAATATGTACTGCCCCTAGCATCTATGTATTACATACATGCATGACATATATAATTTTGTTGCCCTGTTCTTCTTGCAACATTTTCCTCTATTATGTTCTAGCTTGTATTCTCTTATTAGTTAATGAAATTACAATAAACCAAAAAGGCAAGTGACATTCTACCCACCTGGATGGGCTCTAGTATACAATGAAAATGCACCTGACTGTTGAGATATAGAATGATTTCACCTTACTTCGATGAACTACACTGGAGGAATCGAAAGCCAGCAAGGTGTGTTGATGTGAAGCCGGCAAAATAAAAACTCAAGTAATTTGAATGGGAGACAAGCAGGAGCTTCCCAGGAGGCTTCACTCGAACAGAGCAAGTCAGTCTTGTATGGTATGGATGTGCAATACAATACAATACTGTTAAGACATGTATTACTCCATATATTTTATTTTACCTGTTTCTCATGCATATGTGAGGAGTTTGCCGTAAGCGCCATTCTTACCTCCATCAAGCTATCTTTGAACTTGTTGCCTTCACTTACTCACTACTCCGTACTCTTCTCCAATCAAATCCAGAATGTTTATAAGAGATTCTCTCATGCATTGGGGTACAGGGTGAGTACCCTGATAAAACAATGCATTGGTCGGAAATGAAGTCACACTGATTCCGATCATTAAGTTTCTATAAACCCTTGCACCTTTCATCACATCTTTCTCATTCATATATAAACTCTCCATACCGGGAATAGACAATTTAGGGTTATCGGCAAGATTAGTCATCATTCTGTTCACCACCCTTGGTAGCTCATCGAAGTGCAGTCTCTGTCTAAACCCGAGGGCCGAAGTCCAATCAGGCCAGAGGCACAGTGGCAGAAGAATATTGACAAAAAGCCAGGGACTACATCATGTGGTCACTAGCACAATGACCAAGGGCCACTGACCCAGGTGCCATGCCGGAGGCAGGAGCCAAGAGGCCTGACAGGTCCATGAAACGCGGTCCATGGACCTGGTAGGCCCAAAGATGGCCAACTTGTGGCCGTGCTGGCCTGTGGACGGCAGAGGCCATTGAATCGATTTCCGTGGTCCTGTTGCGACCAAGGACCCACTGCCAAAAGGCCCCAGGATTTCCCCGCATTTTGCTCATGCGCGACGCTTGGTCTTTCTCTCTCGTTCTCGTTCGCTGTCGGCATACTGTGACACAGACGCCAACATCTCTTCGTCGACGTTCAACTCCCCGCCAAACACCATGAAGATGGTGTCGGTCCCATCTTCGATGGCCGCGTCACAGCACTGTACAGGAGCGATCGGTTTCAAGTCCTTGTCATAGAAGGTCGCCAGTCGGTTCCGAGCATCCTTCTTAGCCATTCGCTCCACCATGGACCGGTCGGAAGGCTCGGACGGGTTAATATCCATCTTATAAGTGTCGACCCAATTCCCTTGCTCGCGAGCCTTGAAAATGATGGTGGCCGTTCTAGCGCCGGTTGACACATCTTCGAGCCTGGATGCCCCTTGAAGCTGCGAATCTGGCTGCGAGCGTTGGGTGCCCGTTTTCAAAGATCGTTCGGCAGCGGCTCTCCTCGCAGTCCCCTGTGGAGCAACACCTCTCTCCGAAGCTATAACAACCGCTGCCCTCGGGCCCCTTCACCCTTTTGTCGCCTGTGCGGAGCCCCCTTCCCTTCTCTCTGTTCTTTGCAGAGGCAGGAGGAGAAGTTGGCATAAGCCAAGTAAGCAATATCAAATTTAATAAGGAAGATGTGACAGTGAAGAACTCTAATAATAATCTGTATGGGTGAACTTGTTAAAGAATCTATGCCGGCCTTCTTTGCAGGTATCAGTTGTAAATGTAAATTTCTTTTCATTTCTCCACTTGAACTTGACATTTGATTGGCTCATAAGTTGACAAGAAGTTGAATTACTAATATATTAGTCAAATAAAATATAACATCAGAGCAATACCTCAAAACTAGAAGTCACAACTAACAATGTTTCTACCGCTCTGGCTAAGAAAAAGGATAAAAGGTTTCTATCTAATCCTAATAGCTCTTGAGGATACCAGTGATAGGTTTATGACACTTTGGACAGTCATCACCAATGAGAGGATGAAGGCATCCTGCGCAAAATTGGTGTCCACACAGCAGAAGGGTTCTCCACTCCAATGGAATGCTATAGCAGATCTCACATTAACATTGATGCTGCAACTCCTAGATTTTAGTCTCAAGGTTGCAGAACATCTCATCCTTTATAGTCATCTCTGCACACAGGTGCTGCACTTCTTCCTCCAGCTTCTTCCTCTTCACACACTCTGCCTTGAAAATGGTATAAATTTCCTGATTTGCTGTTTCCTATCTCAATATCAGTAAGGAAAAATCCCCCCGAGTCTCACTGGGAAAGGTCTTACCAAAACCATGTCCAGGTTGGATATTTTTTGTGTTTTCAGTGGCCGCTCCATTTCAGACTCCAGAGCATCAGAGGACACTAAATCATTGGATGGACCATCATAGATTGGATAGCTGTAGTCTGTAAAGATTCTCTTTCTTTGTGACCTTCGCGTCCCTTGTGCCAGGGGCTGTTCATCCATCTCATCTGAAATGATGATGACAGTGCGGGAACTATTGGCTGATGCCATAGCTAAGAGATGGAAAGATGGTCATGTTGTAGATCAGCAAAGAGGAGTGATGAAGAGCTCCAGAGAGGGCTTGGCGGAAGGTTTTGATTGATGGTGTAGGATGGGAGGTGGAAAGCAAATTGAAAGAAAGATGGATCCAAGACAGGAGGGAGCCCATATATATATACTTAGGGCGGGGAAAGTGATCATAAGATTCAGGCAGTGCAGTTAGGGGTTTGTTGGTTCAACTTCCTGGCCTGTTGCAAGAGAGATTAGTTAATGGGCTTCTGACCTAAGGAGGCTCCTGACTTGGGGAAGATTTTGACTTGAAGAAGTTTTTGACTTAGGGAAGGCTTCTGACCTAGGGACAGTAGTGAACCTAGGGACAGCAGTGGCCCCAGGGAAGGCAGTGGCCCTAGAGATGGTAGTGAACCTAGGAATGGTATGACTTAGGGAGGCTTCTGGCCTGGGGAGGCTTCTGGCCTAGGGAAGTTTTTGACTCTGGTCCATGGATCGCGGACCTCATCTTTACACAATGTATAGATTGAATTTTATAGTTAAATCACTGCTGTTTTTAGCTAGCTCTGTAATGACTGCTAGCGATTTACAAAAAGAATCAGCAGCTAAAGAGACTAGATGATGCCAAAAAGCATTTCAGCCTTGGGCTGTCTTTAACAGGAAAATGGAAATCACTGCTAAGAGAGCCTGGAGCATCTTTTATATCAGTTAGAGGCACTTTCTGATATCCATCTGCCCAAGTGCAATCCTGAATCAAAGAACAACACGGGCAGCAGCATGCTTCACACCAATCTGATGTACCATAATGTTGGACTTATTCCTTGTCTTTGTGCGCCCTCACACACCCTGACAGCTGCAAAGAGAAAGACAGAACAATACACTAAAGACTAAGTTAGAATGAGATAACTGCTTGTTCATTCAGATTTAGTGAAGAGTTGGGAGATATCAGTCATAATGAAAAAATTGATACATAACAAAAATTATAGTTACAGAAAGGCAACTTTATCTGATCACTTTGTATGGCAATAAGAACTTATATGTTAACAGATGCAGCTGATGGCTGAAAATTGACAAGCTTAAACATATTTAAAGAAAAAGAGTCTGCAAGCTTAAAGTAACTTAAAAAAGCAAAAAATATCTGCAAGCCAAAACTGCAAGCTAAAAAGATCTGCAAGTCAAAAAGATCTGCATGGCAAAAAGGTCTGCATGGCAAAAAGGTCTGCATGGCAAAAAGATCTGCAAGCCAATTCTCTAAAAGTTAATGCGAAGAATTTCTTGTGGCAGAGCAGCTATTCTCTATTGTGTGATGGCTAGAATATTGTTTAACAGAGGGTGAACACATGTTTTCATATCTAAGCTAATAATTTAGTGACACGTGTCCACATTTGCTAATATAAAAATGGAATGGCTTCATTATTCAGTGAGCTGATTAACTTCATCTAAATGATCTGCAACCTCTGCTACATGGACATAAGCACATAGGAAGAAACTCCAGCAGCAACCACTCATCATTTAAAGAACTACAAGATGCCCAGTTTCAAGACACAATAGATCACTGTGAGATTAATAGTATTTTGTGAAATAAAATGAGTTGATGATGGGGACTTCATTGATTGGTACAGTGCGGCGCGCATAGAATGGCCAAATACTCCATATAAATAGATGAAATTCTCAACTTTTGCTTGCTTTTCATCAGAGCAAAATAATGCAACCACCATTCGCGCACGCTGCCTTTTTGGGATCAGAGACACAGAATCCATGATTGTGGCAAATATTGATTGGCACTATTTAACAGCAGCAACACTGCCCACATCTGCTTCCTTGAATACTGGCTAGCTCTGCTGCCCCCAACTTTCCAACTCCAGCCTCATCAACTGGCATTCTCAGTAGTTCCAGATGGTGATTTAGGTTTCTCGGCATTTTGTAGCAAAAGTATTAGTGGAGGGATATGAACTAATGGGGATTCAGTGTATATGTTGATAGAGCAATGTAGCCTGACTTGCATTTCTTTTGTGTTTTGATATAGCATGCATTTGAGCAAGAGTGAGCATGGCCATGATGTGTGAGGGCCGCAACTCCTATTATTACATATATATATATATATATATATCTATACTACAAAACTAGTTCTCTAGGCTCTGTTGATATTCTAACACCAGTTTCTCCCAAGCACAACCCCACACCACAGTTCCATGGGCATTCTCTGCATGGTTGAGAAGAGCAGATTTGGCTGGAAGCACCTTCCCCTCACAAACATTGCACTCAACCCCAGTGGCTGGCCATGGAGGGTTGATATGCCTTCATAGAAAATGCCTTGTAAGTGATCCAGGTGTTGTGTATTTTTTAATGCAGTCCTTCAGTGAGCAACTAGGATTCCCAACACAGAGAAAGCAAATACAAGATCAAAAGCAAGCCTGAGGCTGTTCAGCTGTAGGCTTGGCCTGCACAGACTCCATTGCTTGATGCAAGAGGACCTCAGTGTTATCCTTTACCAAGCACCTCTGCCACTTGATCAGAGGATAAGGATCATCAACCACAGGCCAGCACGCGGGCCAGCATGAGGGCTGCCCTTCCTCCACACCACAGAATGCAACCCCTGCATTGATTGTGTTGATCCTCCACTGATATTCTGCTTCAAGACTAGTGCCTGGCATGGTCAGCATGCAGTCAACAAACATCAAGTGCTCTGGAGGCATGAAGGCCTCATGCTTGAAAGTGTCCATGACTTTGGTATCCACCAGCTTCCCAGCCAGTTGTCATTCAAGATCAATCACAGGTTGCTCATTCTTATAGTGCTCAAGGTTCTCATGGATCTGTCAGTTCCACTGCCACTGCTTCTTGTTGTGCAGCTTACAGACAGTGCTGTTGTACACCAACTTTGCTTCTGCTGTCTGATCACGGAAAACTTCCAGTCTCACCAGCACATCAGGGTTGGACTCAGCAAGTGCTCTGTTGTCAAGGTGCCCTAAAGCAGACTTGCACACCTCGTTGGCACATTCTAACTCAGCTTCATGATTCTTCAATTCCTGCTTGCACTTCTGAACAGTATCCTGCCAGCCAAGAACAACTGGAAGGTAGTTGAGGGACCTTGATTCTTCTGCGGAGAGCTTAAACAGTCAGTTGGGGTCAATTAATGCACTCATTGAGCAGGCAAATCACACGAATGCTGTTTGGGAGCCTGTTTTTCGGACAATTCCCTGCGCGTCAACATCAACATCCACCTGATAATGCTTGACAAAGGTGCAAATATCTGCGTGTTGGAGCATGATGTTCTGAAGAACCTCCATAACTTCCTCTGTTCATTGTTAGCCTTCCGACATGACTGAAATATGAAGAAAATGGAGAGGTACTTACCACTGTTGTTAAATGCCTCAGCTCCAGCATAGTGGAGGTTGTACAGGTGGGCGACCTTCTCAAAGCCTGTGATCTCACCAGCTCAGCGCATCCGGGAACTCACCATGGATGCAGTCATCCTCTGATCCAGGCAAATTTTAAATCCAGTGAATGTCAGCTCCATCTGGCAAAATACAAACTTATCCAGTAATTCATTCTTTAGTAGCAGCGGCTGCTGTCCCTTGCCATCCAGCACTTTGATGCTGTAGAGTTTCTCTGCAGAATCCAACACTGGTCCAGTTGTTGAAATTGACTTGAATCCTCCAATGTGAAAGAGCATAGTCAGCAGGCAGATATGCGGGCTGAGAACCAGAGTCAGGTCAAAGATGATTTCCAGAATCTTAAACTTGTTCCTATCAATTCTGTCAGTCAACCAGGCCATGCCACAAGAATCAGAAACACTTACAGTGCCTTATCTTCAAGAAATCTTTTGGTAAACTCTGGTTTTAAGAATATGAACAATTGGGGGCGTCCACCATCTGGAACTCAGATCAGGGTTAGCATGATGTCTTGATACTGAAGATGAAGGATTGCTGAGGGACAGCTGGCAGTGATGGCTGCAAGCTGCAAGAAGAAAAGCATTTAAATGCACTGCCAACCAGAGACAAATGTCATCTCAGTAGTGGTGAGGATGACTTGAGTGAACTCAGCAACATCTTCAATATACATGTTCTTCTTTGGCCACCCAACAAGAGCCAGCTTTTTTTCTGTGGCCACCTGTGCAACAACCTGCAAGAGATTAGTGGTGCTCCTGGTTTAGTGACCTGAGGAGAGGGTGCTCACATCTTCCACCTTGACAATTGTATCTTTGTTGAGTCCTGATGCTGTTTCCTGTTTGAGGACAAGATGCCACCACTTCCAAAATGTCTCCAGCAAGCTTTTGCATTTAATGCCCGGACAGTATTGATTATTCTTGCCACAACAGATATCACACCACCAACTGAAGAACACATACAGGAAGTGAACTGTCTCCTCTGAATCAGAGATCTGATCCCATTGCCGCTCCACATTAGCCTTGATGTGCTGACAATACCTGCCCAGCACCACTGGTGAGCTTATAACACTGTTTAAGGGTCAAACAAGCCACTGCCTATCTCTCCCAGTAATTGTGGATCTCATCAAGTTTTTCCTGGGTTTTGGGGCTGTACCGCTTCTGTCGAAGCTGAGCAATATCAAGACTCTCTGCTAAAGCCAGGTAGTGTTCAGCAGGAAGTTGGCTGTTGTTGTCATCTTCATTGTCACTGACAGAGCCACTTTCATACCTGCTGTCTGAAATGATGGCATCCAGTGTGGAGAGGGAATCCAGAGCAGCTAAAACATCCATCTTGCTGCTGCTCTGCTTGTCAGGTCCGGCCAAACACACAGAGGCGCCATGATCAGGGCGGCCCAAGGAGAGCCGACAGTAGAGAGGGACAGGACAAGTAATGAATGATTTAAGACACTTTCATGGATAGAACTGGCCAGATAGTGCTGCAAAGAAGGGGAGGAAAGGGAGGCATAGACAGCATGATGAGAGTGACAGGGACTGGAAGCAGAGAGAACAACATGATCTTGGGGGGGAGCCAAAACCAACAGAGTGAAGTGTCAAAAACAGCTCCCCCCCTCCTTCCAAAAGAAGGGCAGTGGGTGATTGTGGGTGAATGAGGGTGCTTGGAAGCGCGCGAAAATGCAGCAACTTTAAAAATTGTGGCCATGCGTGGAGGGAAGCGTCACAGCTGTGGGGATATATTCACATGATGATCGAGGTTGGGCAGTTAGCAGGAGTCCAAAAGCAGCCGCAAAAACAGCAATTTTCAGCTGCTGGCAAACCGTCACATTGTTATATATAGTATAATATTACACCAGAAAATACATACAACTTTAATAAAAAAGAATTTCTTCTAGACTTCTGTTATATCTTGAAGTATCTTGTTTTTATTAAAGCTCTATAAGCTAGTAAAAGTGTTGTAATTCAGAATAAAAGCTGGAAATTTCTCTTACTGCTTTGTTTAGTCTCTGCAGATAAAATTATATTGTCTCTAACTCTTATTTATCAGAATGAATTCAGAGATCTTTGAAATATATAACTGAATGATTTTGATGAAAGTAAATATATCTACTTTACAGTCTTAGTGAATAACTGAAGTAATAACAAATATGATCTGGAGTGATTATAATAAGTTTTTAATGTATATACAAAAACAAAAGCAGATAGAGTAAGATATCTACTTCTACTAGATGGGCATTCTTTCTATATAAATATGAAATTTATTGAATATGCAAATTACAAAAGAATTCTGCTGTTGATTCTTCCACCACACTCTATCTATTATTTGCAGTCTCTTAATATTAGTGTTTTTGAGCTGCTGGGCAAGATGTATTTCAGTAAGCTGAAATCTCTACTATACTGTGAACTGAGCTATATTTGAATAACAAAAAGAGATTTCTGAAGACTATTCAATACAGTATGAAAGAAGACTTTAATAGATGACAATATATATACTGACTTTGCAAAGACTGGAATTTATTCTCTGAATCTCTAGTATTAACTAAGCTGATTTAAAACTACTGATCAACAAGACTTTATATTACTAGTTAAGTCTTTCATCTCTACAAATATACAAAAGCTTTATCAAGAGATTAAGAATATTTATCTTCAGTATAGCTTAAATTTACAGAGTATCTTTTGTGCTGGTTAGTGGAGTGCCCAGCAGGCTGGGCACTGCTCTTGTTGGTCTGTATTGTGTGCTAGGCCCATTGCAGCAGCACTGTTGCTGCTTTGGGGATGGCAGGCCCTCTTGCCACTTTTGCAACCTCTCATGCTGCTTCAATAAATGGCTGCTTGATCTACAAAAACTCATCTTGTGCTCTTGCAATAATCACATACTCTTTTCTTCTCTTTCTTTCCTCTTTCTCTTTCTCTTCCTCACCCTGCCTCCTGCACTCACATGTGCTACACTGCGCCCCCCTTCTCCTTTCCCCCCTTGCAGGGATGGTGCTGTCTTATCTGGCCCTCACCTGTCTGGATCCTGCGCCCGTGGAGTCATCAAACCATGGTGTGATACTGTCCCATGGGCCTCCAGGCCCTCCACATCGCCCCCTTGTAATGCTGCCTTGCTTGACTCTGGGATTAAGGCTGCTGGAGTGTTGTCTGCAGCTGTTCTTTTCTGTATGTGTGCCTTGCACTGTGCTGCATGATCAGTGATTCCAGACAGCAGAATCTTTGCTTTCTGATTGATCTATGCTTTTATATCCATTTTCATTATCAACACTTTTTATTTTCTATTTTATTTTATTTGTTTATTTATTTTAATTTTTCTTTTCTTTTTTTTTTTTTTAACTCTTTCGAAGGCCTGCTTCTCAAGACTCTGCTTGTCTTGGAAGCCCCAGAGACAGAATAGGTGGCAGCCAATCAAGCAGATTGGGATGGCCGGTGAGCCAGTGTCTGCAGACCAGCTTGCTGGGCCTGAGCAATGTGTGTTGCATCACCCTTTGGGCCACCAAGACTGACTGCCATGATTGCATTTCTTTCTGCAGACCAATAGCAAAAATGCTGTGTTTCATTTGTGCTGGTGTGTGACTGCAGGTCAGACCAAGGCAGGCAGTGTCAGGATTGCATGCTTGGACATGTGAAGGCTGCAAGTAGTGAATGGGCAAATATGATTGGAGCAGGCCACTGGTTATCAGGCTTCATGTGGCTTTTTTGGCCAGTGCAGGACATGTCAGCAGTCTCAGAGGGGATCAAGAGATTAGAGGAATTTGTTCATTCACTCCATCTTGCTCCCTCTCTGAGGAGAGATGGCAGACTGTGAGGCAGTGAAGTCTCTGCACTGAGAGGAGCTATAAGTGGTGGCCTCGCCCCCTACAAAATCACTGGCACTTTGCAGTCTGTCTTCTCACCCGCGCATGCCCATTCCCCAGGCAAGATCTCCCCTCTCAACTCCCCAATCCCCAATCCTCAATTCTCAATCCCCAATCTCCTATCCTCTATCCAGATGGCCCTCACATTTCATGTGAACAACTTCAAACCATGAGCACCACAGCATCTCAAGCCCTTCTCACTGCATAAATGCCACAATTCTCACACTCTAGAAGCCAGAAATCTCTCTCCTCCAACTCTCTGTTGTGATGTCTCTGCTAATACTCTGCTGCCCTGCAAGCATGGTCTTTCTTTGAAGCTGCCAGCTGAGATCTGCATGCCTATCAGCAGCAATAATCAGTTGTGTTTGCCTTTGAGCTCCCTGCTCTGATAATCAAGAGAGATGTCTACACCATCATCCAGTTCAAAGAATTCCTGGCATGGCATATCATCTCTCTGTGAACCTGCACATCATGCCTTGAATTCACATCCCATTTCATATCCCACTTCAGCCCATGATGTTCAAGATAATAGCTCTGACACACCAACCAAGCTGCCTCCTCTTGGAAGAGGCACTAAAGAGGCTGATTCATTGTTGTCCAGTTTAGCCAGCTCAGATGGTAGCTTAGATGATTTTTTCAGGCTGCTGGATCTCCAGAACAACATCTCCATTGACCCAGTGATCCTTGCTGATGATGACACACCTTGAGATACTGGTGATCTTCACCAGCCTGTGCAGCAAGGTGATGATCTTGCATACCCAAAGACTATGTATCTATATCCTGAACCTCCCCCATCTATGTCCTGTGACACCCCCAACCATCATCAAGAATCTGAAGAGAGGCCTGACAGCTGGAAGAGAAATTCTCAGAGAGATGATGACACTCACACTCTGGATCATCAGCAGATTCACCCTGTCTGTTGCAGCACTGATGTTGATATGCCTTGTCTTTACAGCACAAGTGATGACTTTGTTGGCAACAAACAGTTCAGGAGACACAAGCAAGGGCCACAGCAACTAGAAGAACCAGCCACAAAGTGGCTTTACATTGCCTCTGTATCATCTATGGAAGGCTCCTCCAAAGCTCTTTGCTCTCATTTTCTGTTACTGCTGCTTAACAAGCATCTGCAGTTCCTTTCATAGCTGTTTGAAGATGCTTTGTCAAGTTGCATGCCTGACTTAATACCAGTAATATAAGTGAGAGACAAGAGTATGCAGTCAGCCAGTCACTCAGCTTTTTACAAGATCAGAAAATCTCAGTATGAGCACAGCAAGAGAAGAAAGAGTCACAGAGACAAGCTGTAGTAATAGCTTCCAGAGAATAATACATGGCTTTTAAGTATGATGGAGGAGCACCAATCCTGGCCAGAGATAGAGAGATGTTTTCCAGAAAGAACAGAATTAGCACTGCACCAGCAGGTGTCTACACTTCAGAGATAAGAGAAGGGAATGTGTACAGTCAAATCTGCTGGTGCCACAGTAGCATCTGCAGCCCTGGAGTGGTGAGACATAATGCTACTCCATGTCTATGTATATAAAAGTGATATCAGATTAAGGTGGCTTAAAGGTGGCCTTGAATAAAACCAGAGAAGCCGAGCCCTCCTGTCCATCGCACTGCCATGCAATCCCCTCTTCTACTGTACGCAGCCACAGCCAAATGATACCTACCCTCTTGTCCCTCCCCACAGTGATTCGCATGCGACAGCTGTGGAAGGGACACCAATGCTGCATGAGTTCTATTTTCAGACTTCGCCCTCGGATATTGTTGGCTGCTGCGCCGTGCTTGAATGCCTGGGGAGAGCAACCTTGGAACCCGAGACCGGCACCCTGTGACTTGGCCCCATTTCTTGGTATATATAGAGGGCTCCCTTTCCCTCTAGATCCATCGTTCTTCTCACTCCTAACGGCCCTGGATAACAGCCGGAGCGACATCCTGCATCAACGCCCCTTTCCACCATCCTGATACGCAAGCTGTACGTCAACGGAGAGGTAAAATCCCGTGACCTCTCCTTCGGCCGTTGGGTATATGTATGGCCTTCTCCCCCCTCTCTGACTCCATATTTCTTTCAATTCCTTTTCCACTCTCCATCCACCGAGGGGTCCTGTTCAGCCATGGCTTCTACCGAAGCTGAACCCCGCAGCGTCATCGTCATCGACGACGATACAGATGCAGAGACACCTCGGTCCCCGCCGCGAGAGCTACGGAGAAAGAGACGCCTTGTGGACTATAGCCTCCCGGAGTATGAGGCTCTGTTTGATGGCCCAGCGCTCCTCAATTCCTCCGCATCCACAACATCACAGCCGCCGAAGAAACGCAAAATACCCAACTTGAAAGTAGTTCTGGTAAGAACTTTCTCCCAGCCGAGCCGGACTTGTCCTTTGCTGATATTAGGATAGGCGACAGCAAATCAAGAAATTCACACCATATTTGAAGCAGAGTCCGCGAAGATCGGGGACCTACAGGAAGAAGTGCGGCGCCTGAAGAAGAGCAACACCGAGCTAGAAATCAAGCACCGTGCAGAGCTGATCAGGAAAAACGAGAAGATCTGCAAGCTAGAGGCTGAGGTCAGCGAACTGGAGCATTGATGTCAATGTCCAATGCTATACCATCCCTTCAGAGTGGAAAACCCTCCTGTGCGGGCACAGGTTCTGCCCAGGGTGCCTCTCTCCTGACCCAGAGACCTGTGGATCATGTCGTCGAGATTTCACTGGCTATATAAAGAGTTATTAGGTAGCAATGCTTTGTTTTGTCTGCAGCGCTAGATTCGTACGATCGTAGTTTTGACCGCGTTCGGGAGAGGCTGGTGTTGGATTTCCAACAGAGCCTAGCAAAAGTCAGTCAAAGGCATGGTGGATTAAAAGACAAAACAAGAGCAATTCACGCTATCAATACACCGAATCTCCATTAGTTTACAGCATCTTCATTCTCTTCATTCTCTTCGTTCCTCTTTTGTTTTCTATGTTTGGTGTCTTCATATTGTTTCACTTTACTTTTCTTCTTCATTATATCTATCCTCGCCGGCACACACATTTCCAGAACTTGGAAATCCCAATTCGGATACAATCTCCCCAAACCGTATTTCGAGAAAACGCCCGGACCTCTCCCTCTGAATGCGCCCGCTTGAAGCACCCACTTTGACCAATTTGGCTAACAAGTCATCGCTTACTTTGAATCACTAAATTATAAGTACATACGAATTTCTTCAAACATTGTAGACGCACATACGGCAGGAATTAGAGAATTTTTATATGGTGGTTAGGCGTCTTATAGTTATAACTGCCACAAAGGCTAAGTTAGCTATTCAGACATGAGCGAGACTCTACGCTCTGTTCTCCTTGGAGAAGGTTAGACCTACGATTCGTGAGATGATAGCCAGATTTTGTTTCAGGATGGCACAGGCACAGTGAGTATTTCTATTTCATATTCCCGGGATCTGGAAAAGAGGTAGCTGGCTAAATGTTGGCCAAGTTAATATGCCGGGCGGAACTGAATATATGGATCGCCGCCGAGTTCGATTGGAGGCCTTTAAACCCGGAGTGCCTCGACCAGGTCATCAGATACCAAAAGACCACAGTGAGGCACACATTTCTTGTACTCTATATCTGACAATATCGGCCATTGATTCACCCTCCAGACACTAATGGGATGATTGCATGGTGTCTAAAAAGAACTTAATACATTTGCTCCACAACTAAAAGTCCAGTCATGTTCTGACCTGAAAAAAAGGCTCACGGATACTTGCAATACAACAATCAACCCCAAACCCCATGGATGAAGACAAACCCCAGAATCACCACAATAGAAATAGGGATCTCCCATCAGCGTCCTCAGATTGGTTGGACCATGGACCTAGCCATCTCGAGCTTAGCACTGTCCACAATACCTCTGGCCACAAGTTTAGCAATCACTCAGATGGTCCAGCCTTGACAATTTTCCACAACAGCCTGTCGATTTACTGCTCTCGGAGGGGGTTCGTTCTCGGCCACCTGTTTTACAATGAGCGCCTGGGCGTCCGTGACGACGGCAAGGTTGTATGCATTTGAGAAAGACGCCGACTGGAGGATGTTGGTTGGACCGGGTGAAGGTTGATAACTCATGCATTCAGCATCTCCTTTGACTTGGTAAACTGGGCCGGGTTCGTTTTCGCGGGCGACAAAGAGTGACCAATGCTGGGGTTCGTCGTCGGCTTGATTCTGCTGGATAAGCGAGAGGCGTAGTGCACGGTCTAGTGTAGGCAAGTTGCCTTCGAGTTCCTCGGATTCGATCCATTGTTGCGTCCCCCTTTTGCGCCTGAACTCACGGCCGTTGAACACGCAATATTCAGAAAAGCCGACGGACTTGAAAGGAGTGCCTGGGGGCTGGTGGTTGGCTGGGACGGAAAAACAAATATTCCGAACGTCTCAAGCCTGGTTCCGCTCCGGTTGTTCAAGTCGCTCGCAACATATTCGTTGATGGGCGTCAAATGTTTTAAAGCATGCGACGAAGGATAATTCTCTTTCCACATTTGCGGAAACCAAGCCTGAGTACCTGAATCCATGGCGTCCAACGCCTCAATCCCGGCCCTAATAGTGTCCAGATCAGAAAGCACACACAACCTTGAGGATGGCGTTCCATTTGCATATGAAAATCTCCATGTGGGCGAGACTTATCTCAAGCTGGATAAAACGCTCTTCAGAATTACGCCTGATGCAAAGAAAGGACCACCATTAGAGGGGGATGTGATTACTGTTCTAAGCAAGCAAGGCGGTCGGTTGGTTCTTGAGCGAGATTATTCTTATGTTTCCAAGGGCGGAACGGCTGTAAGGCGCTTTGAGGTTGAAGCTATGAAGCTGGTAGCAAAGCGCACCTCTGTCCCTCTTCCTGAAGTTATTTACAGCCTCATAAGTGGTTGCAGTGGCGAGATCGGCATGACAACTATTCCAGGCACTACACTAGAAAGCCTATGGGATAAGTTGAACAGCGAAACAAAAAAGTCTATATGCCATGAGACATGGGATCAAATCGCCAAACTCCGAGAAATCCCACAACCACCTGCCTTAAAACAGTTCTTCCAGTGTCTTGCTGACGGCTCGCCAACTCTCGACCCTCTAATTGAAGACTTGGACCGCTGTGGAACCCCTTTATACACAGATGAAGACGTCAGAGCCCGAATATACCACCGCTACCTTCATTTTGGTGGTCTGCGATATAAAAATGAGCTACCAGACATGCTCCCTCGATCATCCCGTACAGTTTTTACACACGCTGACATTGCCCCACGGAACATCATGGTTGATGACCATTATCACATTACCGGCATCCTCGACTGGGAGTATGCCGGCTGGTACCCTGATTACTGGGAGTATGCGCAGATCATGAGGCCCGCTTGCCAGACGGGCGATTGGCAGAAATGGATGGATCTCACTGCGCCCCGTAAATGGGATATCTCGGGAATAGCAGCCGCGAGACGAATTTTATTTTGATAACCGCCACAAATTTGCAAATAAATAGTACTACTACCATGATTTAGCTGACAACACATGGTTTTGATTGAGATGTGGTCACCCGTCAATCCAGTCGCCTGTTCATCCCTGCGCCCGTCATCCATTACGCCCGAGAATTGCTGACTAGTGGCTCAAGATATTAGTTGAATCTTTGTTCAATAAGCTATTCCCATGCTATATTTCGACTTTGTGAGGCAGACTTGGAAAACCTGCACAGTTTAACTTTCATTGACCTGGAGCTCCTACAATCCTAACTACGGAGTTCAAAGAAGCTTTCCTCTAAATGTTTTTCAAGGATCTTCAACTCTTTTCGCCTGTCCTGTCTACTGTTTGGCTCTGAAGCGATGAGTTCGACCTCCTCATCTGAGAATGCTAGAACATCTGTGGGCGTGAAGAGGTGGCAGAGGTTGCGTACAATATGACGTTCCACAACCTGACGGCAGACATTGTCTACAAATGTCTTCATATCAACCTAGAACAACTTTCAGTGCTGGTGTGGGGAGTGTTGACTTCTAAGCTCTGACCTTATAATAAGCAGCTAGTCCGGCCTTGGCTTCTTCACAGGCTTGTTGCTCCATATTCACGACAACATGATTCTGCAAAGAGCCTAGGAGCTTCGCCAAATCATGAGGCGTGTTGCTGACGTGGATCTTGCCCCCAATCATCCGACACGCTTTGAAGGGCATGCTCTAAGACGGTGTTCGCTCTATCGTGACGGGCTTTCTGGATGTTGTCCGTGTAATAGTGGTTATATGTGATTAGCTGAGCGCGCTCGTCGTCACAGAGCTTTCGCAACTCGTCCAGCGCGGTGTCGAGATTGCTTTGAAGGGAGCGGTCGAGGATCTTGTGTATATCCCGACGGATGTGCTCTTCTATGACCACATGTGCCAGCGCCCGAGTAACAAATGTGGATGTCTCCTCGTGGACGCGATGTATGTGTCGCTTCGCTATAGCCGGCCACCGGCTGGATTGCTCATGGAAGAGTTCCGTAAGAAATGCGTTGTTGTAGTTGCCTGGTAACTCCAATCCCCGAGTATTCATATAGATCTTTAAGGGGAGTGGTTAGTGCGGAAGCTGGCTCTACCCAGACTAGAGGGAAACGGGAAGAGAGGGACGCCATGCATACCTTCTTTATCCAGCGGTCAAACTCGGCTTCATTCATATAGAATGGCTCGTCGGCGTCGCCGCTATGATCGTATTTATCCTCCTTCTCCCTATCCTCCTCAGAGTCGGCAGAGCTCTCGAAAAGGTCGTCGATGGGAACTCTTTCCATCTTTCGCTTCTGGGACTTGTCTCTCATGTAATCCGCAAATAGACTGTTGAGTGTATGGATCTGACCGCGAAGCCGATTGCGGGAAATTCCGTTCTGGTCATATCCGAAGAAATCGGACGCTATGTGTTGGTATGTTCCATCCAGCGCTGCTTGGATGAGACCAACAAAATCCATACTCAGCTTACTTAGGAAAAAACGCTGTTCGCTGACCGTCGATCTCTCCTGCCCAAGATCTTGGAGTTGGACCTTGGTTTTGTCAAGGAGAAGGCGGACCTCCGCGCACACCTTAGGGAGCTCTCTTTCGATGTGGTCTCCCAGGAGGCCCTGGAGGAAAGGCTGTAACCTATCCACACCGACTCTCGACAGGTCGATCCCGTGCTCTCTCCACGGCGGAGATCGAAAGAAGTCCGCCTCTTGTCTTTTCCTCTCGGATAGGCTGATCCCTTCTTCCAGCTGCTGTGGTGAAGGATTCTTGAGAAGAAAGAATCCGTGTTTCAGTCTTGTTGAATCAAGGTTGTTCGTGAGCAGTGCAATGCGCCCTTCGGTACCCTTGTTGATGAGATCAGGCTTGGTGATGATGCCAACGGTTCTCTCGCCAGCTCTGTCAAAGTGGCGAGCGCGCTGGATGATCGGTTGCGTGGCGATGTCGTTCGTTGCCTGTACCACGGCAAGGATGATCGTCCGTGAGCTCTGAAGATACGAATCTACGAGGTCTTCAACTAACTTGATATCATGCGCATCGTGCTCCTCATTCTCCACGGATACCAGCCCTGGAAGGTCTACAACGGTTAGATGGAGACCAACATCTCCGACGACTTCGATCCGCAGGACATCGGCGGAGAATGCGGGCGCGCTGTCGCCGCTGCTGACAAATCCTCGAATGCCCATACAGCAGGCTGCGTCGTTTATGGTCTCTGGTAGCTCATCATATCCGCTAAGCCGACGTCGATAGTTTCGAAGCTCATCTGCGGTCGCTGCAGGTCGGCCGTTGTGAGGGATGATAGACGCTGTGATGGAGATTTCGTTTTGTGTATGACGGAGGATAATCTCGGTTGCGAACTTGGTGCAAACCCCATCCTGACGAGGGAAAGGAAGCCCTGTTATGCCCTCCAAGACTGAGCTCTTCCCTGCAGATTGCGCCCCGCAGACGACAAGCTGCGGCAAGGAAATGTAATCGCCGATCCCTTTCGCTCGGATCCCGTCGATTTGGTTGAGTCTCCGACTGACTGTGATCGACTTGAGTATTGATACACTTAGAGAATTTATCATGTCAGGCAAATTCTGTGAGGATATATATAGGTGGAAGATCCTTATGCTCCGGAATTGGGTTGAGACATCTGAGAGCTAGAACCCCCTTGATGCCATTGGATTTGAGTGATGAATCATAAATACAATGTTGAAAATTTTGAACTTCCAGGCATCTGTCTGTTGTGCAACGTCGGGCCATGAGCACAGTAGCAAAGGATCCTGTTTTGGTTCCAAAAATTCCCGCGGCTCCCTTGCCAATGCTCATCTAGATCGCCAAATCCGTTTGTATTCAGCCAAGTTCTTGAGAAAACACTTCCAGAAGGCTGGTATGTATGGGCAAGAAGAATAAAACAAAGAAAAAGGAGACCACGATGGTCACGGGAGTCCAATACCTCTTCTAAAGATGACTGATGCCGATGTAAAGCCATGATTGATAAAATCGATAAAGAGATTGTGGTAGGCTCTGCGTGAAGAAAGCGGAATGGAAAACTGTCGGCTTCGTCCGTATTTAATAGATACATGTAGCTTGTCATAAGATAACCCTTTGGCCCGGCGGTTGATCATCGTCTCGGTATATGAAGAACTCACATTCCATTAGTTTTTGGACTGAAAATGAACCAGTGGCTCGTCCTAGCATTCACTCACTCTATGATCTGGGCGTCACATTCTCAGGGAGTTCCTAGAGTTACAGTTCCTGGGTCAGATCATCAAGAGACCTGTTCCGGCTCTTAAGAAGTGCTTTATGGGCTCCTAGACGCGACTTTTACGGTACTAAAACACAAAACGATCACACGATTTTCATGGCGAATCCATGGCGGGGGATCCAGACGACTACGCAACACGTGATGATATTTATGGGTAATGTGCTTACGGAAAGGCGTATAAAGATATTCTGGAGATACTCTGGATCAAGTTGACATAGCATATGCAAGCAAAATGATAGTAATTCATTCTTATCTTAAACACAACACCAACACACTATTTCTGCCTTCTTGTTACAAGTCTTTAGACTCTCTAGCTGAGAAATCTACTGCTGATATTTCTTTACAATCTTTTCTATCCACTCTCTGTATCTCTCACTCTGGCTGCAATATCAGACTGTCCACACATTTATTTTCATAGCCACACTAATTTCTATGCTTTAAAGAATACACTCATTTAATATTTAATAGCTAGTTTAATAATAATAATTTGTTGTTGAGATAATTAATAAATTTGTAGTGTGGAGCATTGGAAGGAATTTGGCTCATTGAGTGGTTTGGCTTGTTGAGTGGTGAGCCACCTTAGGTGTCGGTGTAGGGCGCGTACTTCTTTGTCCCCGCGATGAACTTGCTATGATTGGACGCTACTAGTTAGTTATCATAGTTAACTACGGAGTAGGCTGTACTAAGTTGTACCCAATCGATTGGTACATCAGAACTGCTGCGAGCCTCCACCAGAGTTTTCATCTGGCTTCGCCCTATTCAGGCATAGTTCACCATCTTTCCAGGCCCAACAGCCACGCTCTTGCTCATATCCAGCTGGAGACATCAGGATTGGTTGATGGTATGCCCATGAGGGGGTCCCACCTCCATTTGCTTTCACTGCGCGCACGGGTTTGACACCCGAACGCTCGCGTGGACGGTGGACTCCTTGGTCTGAGTTTCAAGATGCAAGCCGAATTGCACCCCGGGCTATAAGACGCCCTGGAGGGCGACATATTCACGGGGCCTTTGACCGACCGCCCGAACTAATGCTGCCCCGACCACGAGGGAATGCAGGGGCACGCGTGCCCGCTGAAACCCCGAGGATTACGACTTTGGTGGATTGGGCCTATAGGCTGCCGCAATCAGCTGTGTCGTCCCATGTCTCCAGGGTTAGCTACATACAGTAAAGCCTCTATATAACGATCACTTTACATAACGAATCCTCTACATAACGGACGAAAATCTCTTCCAAAATTAAATCTCCATACAAAATATTCGTTAACCTGTATACTACGAGATTCGTTGAATATCTCTCAAGATTTCTTAATATATCGTTATAAAAAGGCAAAAAAAGACCAAAATGCCCCACCGAATCACAATTTTGATTGGGCAGAAGAAGAAATTACACTCCCACAAGGCTCTTAATTCTTCCCTCTCCAACAAGGCCTTGATGACATGGTGAAAAAGCTTCACTTGAATGAAGAGCGGCAGGATAAGGGAGATAGAGAGCTAATTCAACAGTTAAATTGTTATGAGAGAAGATTAAGGGCTTGGAGGCTTGAAAATCAGCAGCAGCAGCAGGATATTAGAGCGTATTTTGTATGCTATCTCTATATAACGGATCCCTCTATATAACGAACTGAACAGGCTTCCAAAATTGATTCGTTATATAGAGGCTTTACTGTAGTAAGTAGTTTGTGGGGGGGAAAAGAGAAGCTTTTTCTAAGCTCCATTTAAGAGGAAACTTAACGCTTGAACAGCCACGCTCCACGGTCCTCGCCGTCCTTCGATCCACACAACTTTCACAAGACTTGGAAATCGAATGCAGGCGGAAGAATATTTTTCAACAAACTGTGGCCAATTTAGCTGCATCGCTTGCCATGCTCCGGTGGCAACCGAAACTCAACTCACATTTTAACCCGTTCCCCACTACCTAACTCGTGAAGGGACCATGTTCTCCACATGCCAGCCGAGTATCAATATCTTTCTCCATTTCTTCGGTTCATCTCTACACATGCTACCTAATCACCTACTCCATTGTAAGCTTTGTATTGGTGGCTTGCAAGGCACATCAATGGTTGCCGCAGAATCACTTCCATCTTTGTTCCTGAGAGCAACCACTAACTGTTTTTGTACAATTGAAGCTCATTCTCCAGGGTGCGGAACTCATCCAAATTTCAAGCGAGAGGGTGGGGATTTCGATAACTCTATCAGGCACCGTCTCTATGGAGTATGCTAGTGCGTTGTCTTCCTTCTCGCAAAAATTTGTGATAGAGAAACCCGGCGTTTCACCGAGCACCACTCAGAATACGTTGCGCTGCGAGCTGCAAACCCGGAGTGGTTACCATAGGAAGGACAGTGTTCATGGCCACAACGTGTCAATAGAGTGAGATGTTCCGTCTTTCTTCCGGCCGTGTTTAAGTCCCTGAAGGGCGAAAAGCCGCGGAACCCAGCAGCTTCGAGCGCCGTGGCAATGGGGAGCAGACCTTTCCGTGTGATGCGGGTGCCCGTATCTTCATTTTTCGAGAACAATGTGTCTATGTCGGCCGAACTGCGCTAGCAATTTCGTCCTGACATGATTCCCGGATAATATCTTTTGTCCTGTTTGTGTTCGTCTGGTGATATGCTTTCCTCTTCCCCGCGTGAGGTTTCTAAAAGTTAACCAACTGCATATTAAAACTAATTGCGCAAGACGCAACGGATTTTAGGCTGTTTAGGTTTGGCGTCCCGCAATTTATAGTTGCTCCCCGCATAACGCCTCTGGCCTTAACCTTCTCGCTGGGTACTAAGGCTCCGCATGCAGGCTGTATATTCTTCCGGCTCTCTAGGTGCAAAGACTAGGTTCTGACAGCATGATAGAATGCTTTTGTCAACAGCACGGCTATTGTCTTTTCCCCATCGTGGAGAGCTCCAGCGAAGACTCGAGATCTCAATTGGCTTTGTCCTCGATGCCCATCGGCCGTCGAAAACATGGGAAGCTTTCCACAGCTTGGATCTGGGGTATTTCGTGGGGAAGCGAACTGCCATTATCAACATGGCTCCAGGGGAATGGTATAAAGACCTTGCAATGCACCCATTTTTTGGAGTTGTCTTGGAATTCATCTTTCAACCATCAGTTGCACAAAGCCGGAGGCAAACATTCTAAAGATGGGCGGTTCCGTGCTCACAAAGTACCTTGTGACGCTGGGCCTGGCGCTCAGCGCCACTGCCACGAAGCCAGTGCCCAAGCAGCCTAATATTGTCTTTGTCATCACTGATGATCAGGACTTGCATATGGACACGCTGGAGCATATGCCATATCTGCAGAAGCACCTCGTGAAGGAAGGAACCTCGTTTAGCAACCACTTCTGCACCATTGCTCTCTGCTGCCCGTCGCGAGTCAACCTGTTGACAGGAAAGGCTCCCCACAACACCAACGTCACTGACGTCGCGCCGCCATGGGGTATGGTTCTTTTTAAATTCTAATTTACATCTACGTAAGAACACGATGCTGACCATCCTGCAGGAGGATATCCCAAATTCATTGCCAATGGTTACAACGACAACTATCTTCCCGTATGGATGCAGGAAGCAGGCTATAATACCTATTACGTCGGCAAGTTGATGAACGCTCATACCATTGTGAACTACAACGAGCCCGTGGCGGCGGGCTGGACTGGCTCTGATTTCCTCCTGGATCCAACCACGTACGATTACTGGGGTGCGAAGATGAGCCGCAACGGAGCTGCCCCAGTGAGCTATGCTGGCCAGTATTCGTCTGATGTCGTTGCCGAAAAGGTATTGGGCTTTATGGATGATGCTATGAAGGAAGATAAGCCATTCTTCTTGGTTGCTGCCCCCGTCTCTCCCCACGGTCAAGTCAAACCCCCACCGCTTTGGTTCGACAAGCCTGAATACCCTGCTCGACATGCGCACCTCTTCAAGGACTACAAGATTCCAAGAACTTCCAACTTCAATCCAAAAGATGTGAGTTCACTCAATCGTCCTTCAATTTGACCTCTGGCAAGCGCAAACGCTGACGTATAGTTGGTTTATAGCCTAGTGGAGTGGGCTGGGTCGCTTCTATGCCTCGCTTGAATCAGACACAAATTGAATACCACGACGAGTATCAACGCTGCCGCCTTCGAGCTCTGCAGTCTGTGGACGAGATGATCGACTCCATGGTTGAGAAACTTGCGGAGAACGATCTTTTGGACAACACCTATTTCATCTATACCACCGATAATGGTTTCCATATCAGTCAACATCGTCTTCCCCCAGGCAAGACTTGCGGTTTCGACACAGATATTCGCATTCCAATGATAGTCCGAGGTCCCGGCGTCGCCAAGGGCGCTACCAACGACGATGTTTCTTCCCACACCGACATGGCACCAACTTTCTTGGCTCTTGCCGGTCAGGAGCGCGAGGGATTAGACGGAGTGCCAATCTCATTTACCAAGACCCACGGGAAACCTCGCAAGACCGAACATGCAGCTGTAGAATTCTGGGGTGTTGGCCGCACAGAGGGCATCTACGACCCTTTCTATCAAAATGAGTTCAAGTTACCCGACGGTAACTACGGGAACAACACATATAAGGGCATCCGTTTGGTCGGAAATGACTACAGCCTCTACTACTCTGTGTGGTGCTCAAATGAAAAGGAGTACTATGATGTTTCTGTAAGTACTTTTCAAGTGAAATGGTCGGATCAATACTTCCGACAGAACGCTGACGGCTGTACTTCTCATTATTAGACCGACCCAGGCCAGATCAAGAATCTCGCTGCCGACCCTGTTCTTGCAAGCAAGCACAAGATCCGCGGCCGTCCCTACGAGCAGATTGTGAACAGACTTGATGCTCTCATGATGGTCATCAAATCTTGCAAGGGCAATGAATGTGTTGAGCCATGGAAGTCTCTCCACCCCGAGGGCAATGTCTCCAGCTTAAAGGATGCCCTCCACCACAGATACGACGATTTCTATGAGAAGCAGCCGAAGGTCAGCTTCAGCTCTTGTGAACTCGGATATATCAAGGAGGCCGAGGGTCCACAAGTGGCCAATGTCTACAAGGGGCGCCATCCCCATGACAAGAGAGAGCCAGAGTATGGTGGTCACTGGAGCTACTGGGTCTAAGCTCGGACGCTGGTGTCAGGACGTCGTTTTCAAGTCTTTAGTAATTCTCCTGACGTGGTGCATTACTTGTATATAGTGTTATACTTTATTTGTTCATATTGAGAGGTAGATATGAAATATATAGGTTGATCGAAGAATTGACTCGAATGCTCCCCAGTACGGAGGAACTAACTACTTTTTTTGCGTGGTCGCGATCTGCAAAGAGTTCTCAAGCTTTACTCTGTACGGAGTACGGAGTAGAGTTGTGAGAATGCGTTGAGCCCAAACAGCCCTTGAAGCGCCGGGCCCGTCTTGGCACAGCATCGCCCCCTCCTATTTTTAGCTGTCTGGCTCGGCTCTCCCTTCAACTCTCACGAAGCTGGGCTGGAACTTCACTCTGGAGCTCTTGATGCCTGGATCCAGCTGTCCCAAATCCAATGAGAATTTTTACCAGTGGCATCGAAATAATGTCACTGGACCTTGCAATGTGCAGCGGCGTGCTGACCAGGGCTTTTTATGTAAATATGAATGTATCGTCTGTCGTTATGCTCCTGGTGCTGTTTGCCGCCGTCTGTCGCTGGGCGCCAGGGCTGCTCTGAGACCTGACTGGTCGCACCTCTGCATCATCCTTGACTCTTCAGTGCAAGGGACATGCCCCCGTGTGACATTTTCCGGTACATATGAAGATGGAATATTGCTCAGATATTTCTAATCATGTTTCGTCGTTATGATACCTTTGATCGCTAATTCTCCCGCCCCTCCTCAGTGTCCTTGTACTGCATGTCGAGATGCATTGAGCGTGAGCGAAAGAAGAGCTGTAAAATAGTACAGCCAGCCCGGCACTCTCGTTCATTGGCGCTTGCAGATTTTAATTTAATTCCTTTATTTTGTTTGCAAGTCTATCGACGCTGGTCGTCAGTTGCTTTCGTGTCCATAGCTTGTTCACTTCTTGCCAGACGAGAGAGGGAGCAGACCAAAAGGTCATCTGGCGTGACATACCGCTGAATTGATAAAAGATGCGGGACAAACTGCTCCTCACTTACCTGGTTGCAGACGTCCTCTTTTTGGGAGGCGGCGCCTTAATTCTCACCGTTGCGTTGACGGCCAGAGATAAGATTCGATCTGCACCAACGCTGGATAATGTCGCAGAGAGATTGCTGCTTGCTCACTGTCCCCAGCTAGGTGCGGCGATCCAAACTAGCACATTTTGCAGTGGGGTCTTCTTTACTTCCCAAGTGGATGCTGACGGTTCTATTTACATTTACAGGAGAGATTATCAACGCCGGATTCGTCTTCTTCACGTTCCTCCTTTCGATCCCAGCCATTATTCAATCAAATGATCGGATATGGATGAAAATCCACGGCTGGATGGTTGTGATAAGCGGATTCATCACACTGATCATAGGATTGATCATCTGGTTTTTGACGTTAAGGACAAGGTCAACATTGAGCGATGCGTGGGGAAACGAGACACCAGAGGTGCAGAGCTTGTTGCAACAACGAGTATGTCGATCGTTCTTCCTCAGAAATACACCTTTCTTGCTGGTTTTTCTTCTTCGAGAACTAAAGAGAGGTAAATTAGTTTAATTGTTGCGGCTACTTGAACAGCACCTCGCCGCCATTTCAGGTCGATAAAACGTGTCCGACCGATCTCGATGCGGCACAAAAACCAGGATGTGTTGGCCCGTTTTCCAATTTTGCGAACAGCTTTCTGGATGTGATTTTCACTGCGGACTTTGGCATAGTGGGTATGAAGACTTCCATGTCGCAGGATGATGTGTTTCAGAGATCTGTGGATGCTGATTGTTCTCGTCTTTTAGCTATCGATGCTCTCCTACTTCTCTGTGTTGCAATGGTCCTCAAGGACCGGAAGGAGCGTGCAAGATATCGGTTGATTGACTCAAAGAACGGGTTCGGTACAATATAAACCGGTGAGGCGGTTGATTCCAAATATTTTTCTTCGGCTTACGACAACTTCACTTCATCCAACGGTTTCTGATATGTCAGCGATATTTCATGCCGGTATATACTTGTTATGGTTTTTTAGTATATGTACATTTAGAGGACAGATGTGATTGCAATACTTGTTTCTGTTTCATGCCATCATGAATGCACGATGTATTTCTAGCAAGTGTTGGGTATCTTGGTTTAATTCACTCATCCGATTATCATGACATTCACAATCAAACACATGGAAATCCAGAAGGTGATGAATCATTTCATCATGCGTTCCTTATTCTCTTGCTGGGACTCTCCTCAACGTCACAGTCTCTCTCAACCTGCTGGTAGTCCTCGAGCCTCTCCAGGGTTGAGAACTCTGACGGATTCACCTTCTCCCACTCGTCATCGTCGTCTTCTAGCTCCATATTACTGCTGCCTCCTATGCTCCTCTGTACATCGCTCGAGGGGGAGTTTTGCAAGCTTTCCTCTGTTCCATCCCAATTCAACTCCAGCTTGACGATCCTCGCTCCTCCGGGCTTCAGTCTCCGGTAATAACCTTCCACGATACTCCCTTGGACCTTGAACCCACGCGCAAGATACCATCGCAAGGCTTCCTCATTAGTTTCGTGTACGTGAGCTGTCACTGTTCGGATATTATAGTGTCTGACTAAGGCAGACACGGGTAGTGAGGATGTGGTAGATAGGGACGGCCGCCCAACATCGAGAGAATCATTATAAACCAAAGAATACAGCAACGACGCTGCAACGCCCTTTCCACGATACGGGGAGAGCAAGTGGAGCGTCTGAATATATAGATTCGTAGCTGGCCGCCCATCGACGGTATCACGTCCTAAAGGCTCTAGAAGACACCGTATCCCGCCAATGACCTTCTCCGCATGACTCGGCACCGGAGCATCCTCCGCGTATGCATTTCTTCCTAGATTCAGCCCCGTGACGGGGTGGTCGTGATATACCGCGACCCTGGACACGCTCGCGACCAGTGGATCGGTGATTGTCGCTGAGTAGAAGGATGTGGGGTACCGTATGGGGAGCAGCAGACCGGTTATGCGCATCAACGAGGGGATATGTGCTGTTTTCACAGGATCTATGGTGACTTGTGGATGTGGGGTGGGGCAGGACTGCGGGACACCAGGGTAGGGTGTGAGCTGTAAAGCGGGACTGGGACGCGTCGAGGAGACTGACTTGGGAGTCGTTGATGGGCGCGGAGGGGGTGGAAGGGGCGGCTGCTGCTGCTGCTGCTGCGAGGGAATAGGTGGAGGCCTGAGAGGTGAGAAGTACGCGGAGAGCGTTTTGGAGTGGCTGTTGTTGTTGCGAGAGGGCATGGTTGAGGGAAGGGGGAGGGGCGAAGGGGAGCCAGCGGACGCGAAAAAATGGGGTGCCATGTTCACGGTTTGGATCAGTTGCTATAGCAGGTCTGGAGAGGCATGGTAACCAACAGAAATCAAATTCTACCGTGTATTTAACGAAGGCTATGAGCGGAGTGTCCTCTTTTGTCTGCCGATGCCGCCGGGCGCGGTGCCTTGGGCCTGATCATGTCATCGCATCACGGGCGGTTTTAAAGTTGGAGATTGCGGAGATCGATAAGATAAGATCATGTTACTTGTGTGGTTGAACAACCAGCCCTTCTCCTCCAACGGCGACGGCATCTGGACCTTCGGTGCTCCAGCCGGAGAGAAAGAGAGGCACCTGTGTGATCTGAGAGCAGCGTCTACTTGGCCTGGTGCGCAGGTGCTGGCCAAGTTCATCAAAGGTACGTTGTTTGTCATTAACCGTGTAAATTCGGGTGTGTCCAGAGTTCTCCCAACGCTCCTCGCGAGTGAGTCGCTGCTGACGTCGATGGAGCAATTGTGTTCATGCACAGTCACCACAAAGAACACTGCTCCAGCCCGAAATCGCCTCCAATTGTTTCTCACTTCTAATACATTCTACCCATCTCTTCTAGCGCGCATCGCGCCCCTCTTCCTAGAACCTCCATCTCCCACGATTCGCGCGCGTCGACCGCCTCTCCTGTCCGATAGTCCATCCTTTCGATCTCAAGCTTCTGTTCGTCTCGATTTATAGACACAAATTATGTTTGCTTAATGCAATCACCTGAAGCGGTGCGCGATCAAAACTAGCACAAACTCCCAGCTCCTCGTTTGCGTTCAGCAGTGATCCTTCCGCACGTTGTTCTTGTCTTTCTGTTACAACTACGGATAAAGTATTCGCAATCGTCGAAGAAGTTTACTCGCGACTTGCAGAGCAATTATTCTGTTGCAATATGGCTGGTACGGAGGTGCAAAAGGCCGGTGGTCCCCCCAAAGATCAGTCCGAAACGTTGGCAACAATTGTAAGTGTCTCCAGGACGTCTATTTCGATCTACATAATCTAATTTAGTTCTCAGACCCGAGACATACTCGACGAGACCTTCTACAATATCATTCACGATATCGTCGCGAAAGTCCACCGTGAGGAGAAGGTAGCCCGAGCCACGTCAGCTGTAATCGGAGTAAGACAGCTCGCTGAGAAGGAGTCTGCTCCTCCCTCAGACGATGGAGCGGAAAATCAACAAACCGCGGCAGCGGTCAACGGCTCTTTGAACTCCATCAAGGTAGAGACGGGCGCAGCCGTGTATGATGGAGGCAGAGTATACTTGAAGGGCAACCCTCTGGTCACCACGAAAGAAATTCTTTGCCCAAACTGTCATCTGCCCCGACTGCTATATCCGCTATTTGGAGAAGGCGCGCGTCCGCCACCAGATCCAAATAAAGAGTACTGCAGGAAACACCCGCCAATACGTATGCCTGGTCGTGATGTTCACGGAAATCCGTTTGCCATCGAAAAAGCCACCAACAAGAAGAAGAAGACCCAAGGTCCGGACGGCAGCACCCCGACGTCTAGTCCCCCATCAAACGTCGAATCAGCTCCAGCTCCGAGTTCCCTCAAACAGCTGCCCGATAAGATGTTCATGCCGACAACGAAGTGTCCAAACTGCCCACGATACTTCCTCGTGACAAAAAGTGCCCAGCATTTGGACAGATGTTTAGGAATAACGACGAGACAATCCAGCCGTAATCGAACCCCTTTCGACAGCGGCATCAGTACTCCGGCGGCCTCAGCACCAACAGCTCGCAAACGGGCTCGTCCCGACGAAGAAGAGCTAGCACCTGCCAAAAAGCGGAAGGACATCTCAATGCAGGTCAAGTTCAAAACCGGGAAGCCTGCAGTTCCTAGCAAATTGAAAAACGGAACAACACTTGATATGGTGTCTCCTGGATCACCGCCTGCTGCCAATCTCTCCAAACCCATCGCGAAGACGAAGCTTAACAAACCCAGCAAGGATCGGGATCCAAAATAAATTGAAGAAGTGATCTTTTTACATTGCGACCCCTGTTGGGTAATGTTGATATGCCATTGTTTTGCTTGTGCCGTTGATATGCAGCTTTGGTTCTGTCATTTGGCCGCAGTCTATTGTCGTTGCTGGCCAAGGACTTTCCATACACCTAACTGCGACATGTCTCATACATAAACTTCATTTCTCTGGTGGATCATGTTGGCATTGGATTGGAGTTATGGGGTGTAGGAGATTGTTTGTCTCTCTCTCTCAATGATGTACAACTTTCTATTACTTGGAAATGGGCATTTCAGGTGTTTGAAAAACGCGTGGGTAAGAACCGACTTCATGGACTTGTGATTTTCATGTCTTTGTTTCCGATTTCACTGCATGCGAGGAAGGTTTTCGCTTTGCTAGTGACATATGAGAACTGGCGCTTTGGTGTTATGGACCCAGAGGTTTCTTACCGCAAAAGAACCAAAGAAATTTTACAGCAAATTTAGTTATGACCACTTTTCTTTTGCTTGTTTGTATTTTCCGTGTTTCCGAGCTCAAGTTATATTATACTGGGTAGGTGAGATGTGGTCATCATTCTGATATGCTCGCCGGTCAATAGCTACAAATATTAACTTCTTCCAAGTCAATGGCTTTCATTATTTAATGCGGTTTGGCACCAAAGCAACCCATACTCTATCACGCGTTTAGAGAGACAAGGTGGAGTCTGAATTCGCCGTGTTTTGGAATCATATTTTCAACGTCCTTCGGGTTCTGAGTTAACTTCCTTTGTCCTCTTCCAAACTTCAGGTCCAATAACTCGAAATGGGCACAGCATTCCAGCTTCGTGCCGGTGATAAATCTTTCGCTCTCGCCTTCCTGAAAATGCAAAATTCCCAAGAATCATCGGGGGATTGGATGCTCCAGCTGGTGGTTCGACCAGGTTGGGGCTGGCGGGAGACGCCGAATGAAGTCTAATCCTAGGCCGCTAATGCACGGGATCGCACACTCTGCACATCCTGCACATCAGCTCCAACACAACATCTTCGGTGTTCACGCCAGTTGTTCGATCGCGGGGTTTCATTGGACGGGGAACTTGGCGGCAAACGGCATGGCCTGACTGGTCAGATGCAACCCTCTTCATGAGCACCTTGTGGCCAATGGCCGATGAGAAATGGGTGATGTTCACTCAGGCTTCTGCAGCGTCGGCACGACCAGGCTCAAAATCCGAGGAAACTGGGGTGTCACTCGGTTGAATGCATTGTCAACTCTCGGATCGTACGGGGTGAGAGGCAGGGTACCCGTCGAATCCCCGATGATGATGAGGATGTGAGCCGCTCATGCGACCGTGGTCGAGGTGCATGAAATGCACCGTTCGCCCAGAAAAAACAGACTTGTGCATGAAGAATATTTCCTGAAGAAAGCTCGGGCCTTCAGTAAGTAAGGGGGAAAAAAAAATTCAAGGGTTGTGGAAAAATTCTCACCCTTTCTTGACGGAGCCAGAGCCGAGTAGTTCGTCGGCATCAAGACAAACAAGCCAATGGAGCACCAGCGATTCGATTCCCTGGGATTCCAACGTCACGCTGGATAAAATTGGGGAACATGACGACCGGCTCTCCCTGGATTGCCGGGGAAATGAGGAGCAGGATCGCGCACCGTGCTCCGTCCTCCTTTATGCGGCCGGATGGCTAGTTTACGCCACGTTCCTGTCCCCAACTCTGCACCCTGTCAACTTTCTAGCTCTCCATTCATTGGCTCCTTGTCTTCGACGAAGCAACGGAATCCTTTTCCCTGTCCAGTATCTGCTTACAGAAGTCTCTCGGTCGACACGATGGGTGGAATGTCTTCCTCGGACTTGGATCCCGAGTGAGCTCTTCGAAGCTTTCAGGGGCTTATCGGACGCCAAAAAGCTTCATCATCAATTGCAAGCATCCCTCGGCGGGGAGAAAATTTTTCAAGTTCGTCCCACCTGCGGCCTGCCTCTCTGCAGTCAGTATTTGGCGTCGAGCTACGGAGTTCTCCATGCGGTTGGGACACATTGGACAGCCGCCCTGTGCTACCTCCTCATCGCGACTTTCGCAGCCACTATCAAGGGAACGTGCACCATTTCTTCTTTGTCTCCACCGAGATCTGTTCTCACTCGCTGCACCGCCAATCTCGTCACAATTTTGCGCACCCCCAGATTTTCTTGGCGACTCTAGCCATTGATCTGGCGCATCTAAATATTGTGAAATACCACTGCACCCATCCCTCCGCGGCCTTCTTGCGGTGTGTTTTCTACCGTTGACATTCCCAAAGATCCGATCCTGTGGTTAGACCAAAGCTGGTCGTACGCTCATGTCGATGCTTGTGCAACATTGAGCCGGGGTCTAAATTTTGCGTTCTCCGCTGTAAAGTGGACTCGTCTATTCGGCCTTGAACATCCAATTTGTCCGCAGATTCATATTTGGTACGAGTTCGCCATCCTCAAGTGCACTGTGCACGATTTTTGCTATCCTTGGATACTGTGCACACCACATTTTTCCAGCCCATTACTCAGTGGAAGCTCTCAGCCCAAAGATACCTTCACCTCTATCGATAGCATATCCGGATCGAGGTTCAATGAAACATCAGACTAGTGAGAGTTCGTGGGCACAAAACTTTCCTCTTCGACGGGCGTCCTGTGAGTGGAAGATGCGCAAGGCCGGATAGTTCTCGCAACATCTGCAGCAGCGTCTTACTTATGTGTCAAATCTTCTTTTTCTCCGATAACAGACAGAAACATGGTATGACAAAGGCCAGAAGTTATAGGAAGGAAAGGCTTTGCGTCCGAATGGTATAATCGGATAACGACCTGTCAAGTCGGCAGAAGGCGCGCATCCTGTATTTTTCCGAACGTTCTACGAAACCAAACCGATTCTTTCCCATATCGATTATGATGTCGCCTTTGAACGGGTGGAAGGTTTTGTCCCCGGGTTGGGTCTCGAGAGATACGCAAGGATCTTTGGTTTCGATAGTGAAGCGGATTGATATTCCGATCACGAGCATGACCACACCTGGTCAATTAGAAGCAAGTCGACACGACCCATTCAATCAGGCCTCGAAGTACGCGTTGGGATGGGTTTACTTCTCGATTGTGCTATTGGTGTTTACCTTTGTTATAAGGTCATACCACATATGGGGTGACAAGATCCGGGCCGCGCTATACAGAGAAGAATTGCGGAATTTTGATAAATCACTGGAGCTCGACCATGAAATGGCCACACCAGCTACGGCCAACTCAACCAGTAGCTTTTTTCCCGTGCATGGTGCGTTACCTCCTCCGCCAAAGAGAGAGTCCGCCATAGCCAATATGCGGTGGTTGAACTACTCAATTGCGTTCGTACGATGGATATTTTACAGGCCGATACCTGTCATCAGACTCTGGAAGCTGGAAATTGTCCCGCCATCACTAGGAGCGATATTCATCGTCGGGTTGGCCTTCATTTTCGTCACCTTGTATAGTTTTGTTCCGCAGCCACTGTTCTACAACAGTATTCGAGACGGATCGCCCCCATTGGCAATCAGAGCAGGAATGCTCTCTGTCTCGCTGCTGCCTTGGATTATCGCCCTGAGCATGAAGGCCAACCTGATCAGCATGCTTACTGGAATAGGTCATGAGCGGCTGAATGTCCTTCATCGATGGGCTGGATACCTCTGTATGTTCCTGGCTCTCGTCCATATGATTCCATTTTTCATCACCCCTGTTTGGGAGGACGGAGCTCTTGAATTATTCCGCCAGTTCATCAAGGGTGACTACTACATTTACGGCTCTGGGCTGGCAGCGCTGGTTCCGCTCGCCGTTCTCTGTCTTCATTCCCTGCCTATTTTTCGAAATCGGATGTACGAACTATTCGTGACCTTGCACGCTCCGATATCAGTGGTTTTTGTGGGCATGATGTTTTGGCATTGCGCCAACTTTTTAACGTCCTGGCACTATTTGTACACGACGGTAGCGATTTGGGCGGCTTCCTATATCATTCGGGTGTTCTATTTAAACTGGACGAATCCATTTCGGCTTTCTTGGCTCATTGGAGAAGAGTCGGCAGTGACGACCCTCCCTGAAAATGCAGTCAAGGTTACCATCCCGACCCAAATGAGATGGAGGCCCGGACAATATGTTTATTTACGGATGCCGGGTATATCAATCTTTGAGAATCACCCGTTTACCATTGCTTCTTTATGCAGCGATGAGTTTCCATCCAGCTATGGGGAGGAGTACCGGGACATGGCTCTCGTTTTTAGGCCTTTTGGCGGCTTCACGAACAAAGTGTTGAACACCGCTCTAGTTAAAGGTCCCTTCAAAACATATCGTGCATTTATCGATGGGCCATATGGTGGGATGCGACGAGAATTGGCGGCATTCGACCACGTTGTATTTTTTGCAGGCGGGAGTGGCATTACTGCCATTGCGAGCCAATTGTTGGACCTGATCAAGAGAATGCGAGATGGGAAAGCATTAACTCGCACAGTAAGGGTGATATGGGCGCTTAAAAGACCTGAGACTATGGAATGGTTCAAGGAAGAGCTTCGTATCTGCCGAGAATATGCACCTCCAGGGACAGTTTCTTTCCACTTCTATCTAACCGGCTCAACGAGATATACCCACCAACCTAGTCGTTCGAGACCTCATAGCGGAGCGTTCCACGATAAAATAAACGATGTCTTCCAGGGGGTTGCCAGCAAGCGAGATTCCGCATATATCCGTGAAGAAGCGGCGGGTGATGAAGAGCGGGAAAAGGAGCTCCGCCGTGAGAATGAAGATACCATTGCTGCTCTTCCATCTGCGTACATTCCGCCCAAACAGTCATATGGCTGGAACTTCCCCGCTTCTCCCCCTCCCGAACAAGATCCCAGTTCCAGCAGCATGAATTTCGGTTTTCCTAGCACGCCAACTATGCTTCAAAAGAATCTTATGCGCTTCGCATTTTTGCCAACACAAAAACGGGATGGATGGAAGACGGAATATGGTCGTCCGGATATTCCCTTTATGCTACGACAATATTCGAAAGACTTCGGACGACGGTCTTGCGTATTCGTCTGTGGCCCGCCCAGTATGAGAGTCGACGTTGCGAATACCGTGGCGAGACTGCAAAGAAAGATAATGGACGACCCTAATAAAACCGAGCTCTTCCTGCATGCAGAGAATTATGCTATTTAATAGACACTGCGATGCCAGGATATTTCGTTATTATTATTATTTTCGATATTTTTCTTTTATTTGTCCTTCGGCGCATTTCAGGGACGGATTTTGCTTTCTATATACCCTGTATTTTGTAAATATGTTTTTCTTGGTCATTACACAAATATCCCATTTCTTCCTCTATGGCCTCGCTGCTCTTTTGAGGATATTACGGCTGTTTGGACCCGGGCAATGGCGGATCTTTTTTTTTTTTTTTTTGGTTTGTTGTGGGGGGGGGGGGGGGGGGGGGAGGAGAGAGGAAAGGAGTTAATAAAAAGACTGGAATAATGAGAATGAATCGAATACCCACTGACTTGAAGATTTCGAACTAGTGTTAGCTCCAAAGCTTTCAGATAAATTCCTAACAACACGTCGGTCTCTTTCTCGTTGTGCTCAGGTGTTTACAAATGAGTGTGCAGTTCACTCCCTCGAGATAGAGAAGGCTTGAGAACTGAGATTTATGAGCTGCGGAGCTTGAGTTAACAAGTCGTGAATGGAATACATAGTGAGTGGATTATAAGCTTGTCGGGATCTCGAGCAAATTGCCAAGTTTCTGAAAGTCTTTCGACTGTTTCATCGCAAAATAAGCCGAAATGTATGGAACTGCGCGACAAAACAACTTTTCGCACCCAGATCATGAGTGCGGTGAGTAGTCAACGAACCATCATCCCACCACATCGTAACATAATCCACAACCGAGCGGGACAACCAAGCGAGCGGGACACCAAAATACACATACAAATCTCCACCTTTTGCTCTCTTATATATCTCAACAACATTGTTGAATATACTTTAGAATTTAGATGTAGAGTATATAGACACTTAATAAACAGTCTTATCAATTTGATTTATTTATCTCTATTATTTGTGAAGATACTTTGATACATGCTAGTAAAAAGATAATAAAATACTATAACTTAACTAAGAAATAATTATTACATTTAGATAATTCTTATAATTTACAAAGTTTATTATATCTGTATAGTATCTTCTTCATTTTATAATGATCAGACATACGGAGAGACTTGTTAAGATATAAGAGACCAAAAAGTTGAGATTTGTATGTGTATTTTGGTGAGCCGCTCGGTGGTGGATTACGTGATATTATTACATAAGCATTTAGTCTTTGCGCTAATTTCATATTCACCGCATTGAGCTATAGTTATTCTGCCGGTTGAATATCAGAGTTGATCGGGGAGAAATGAGAGGAAACAAAGTCTAAAGGGAGCGCTCCAGCGCAACAATCATTCATCTCTTTCCCAATTATTGCATTTCTGGCAAAGAGTAACTCTAGTTAATTTCATCATGACATCCACGGCCCCTAACACAAAAGCTCCGGCTACACCTTCGCCGTTTCTTTCGCTTTCACCCGCCCACCTCGCCCGGCTCCAACCGCATACCTACGTTTACGCGCATCTAAACCCTTCACCTGATATTTCTAGACCATCCATCCGCATAAATGGTCGTACAGAGTCCCAATTCCGCCCGGCAAGTGTCAACACTGGCTCTTTGTCTCACACGAATGGTAGCGCGGTTGTTCGGATTGGCGACACAACTGCGGTATGTGGGGTCCGTGGGGAGATTTTATCAACACATGATATACCCGCATGGAAGGTTTCGAATAATGGTGCAGGTTCTAGCTGGGGTTCGCCACAAAAGCGGAATCAAGACCATGACGCCGAGGACGAGGACTATGATGAAGACGACTCAGAAATTCATGCATTCAACCTCTTAGTTCCGAATCTCTCTCTTAGCACGGGCTGCTCGCCGTCTATACTTCCTGGTTCTGCACCTTCGTCGCTCGCTCAATCGCTATCACACCAGCTCCTTTCCCTCCTTCATTCCTCACGACTAATACGAGCAAGTGATTTACGAATTTGGTCCAATCCAAACCCCACGCAAGCTCCATCCCAAGAACAATCTGAGGATATCGACATGGAGGATACTCCCGCTTTCACTGACTCGGTTGGAGCCCCAGAGCTCAAGGCATTTTGGACCCTCTACATTGATGTTCTAATAATTTCCCATGCGGGAAGTCCGTTCGATGCAGCCTGGGCAGCGATAGTTGCCGCGTTACAAGATGTGCGGCTTCCCAAAGCGTGGTGGGACATAGATAACGACATGGTTCTTTGTTCAGATCGTGTATCGGAGTCCAAAAAGTTGCGATTGCGGGGGATGCCTATATCAAGCTCATTTGCTGTTTTTGAAGCAGATCCTGTTGGAGATTGGAGGAAAGTTATTATTCCACTTCAGGATGGAGAGCCGAAAGAGAAAGACCAGACGAGTGCCGATGATGGCGATGCTGCAAGAAGGAAACGATGGATACTTGCGGATCCTGATGCTTTTGAGGAGAGTCTTTGTCAAGAACGGGTATGCATTGTAGTGGATAAGGATGGGAAGAAGCCGGGTTGCATGAAGATTTTGATGATGGAAAAAGGTGGTGGATTCTACGTTGGAAAAAGTGAGATAAAAGGACTTGTGGAGTTGGCATCTGTGAGGTGGGAGGAGTGGCGCGCCTTATTGGAAGGGGTGCGATGAGAAAATCAAGCTGCCAATACGCCATTATCAAAATATCTTAGGATATTTTCCGAAGAAGGAAAAAAAAAATAAAAAATAAAACCCAAACCAGATTCCATTGCTCCCGACGCTTGGGTATCTAGAAGTAACATATTAATCTTGAACTCTAGTTTCTCCCCTAGTTAGCGCTGGAGCCTAAATCTTGTCCCCAAAACATCCACCCCGAAGTGCCAATGCTATAACGAAAGGGAAATCTAGCCAGAGAATCAGTGGCTTACAGTATTGAGGTACTGTATCATTATTGAGTTCTCCGCTTTTTGGGTGGAGCTTCACCGACGTCCTCCACAAGGGCGGAGGAACTTGAGATACCACTTGATTCAAACCTCGGAGACACGGATTGCGTAAAGGTTTTGGGATCGAGATTAGCTGAATGACTTTGGCGTGTCTTCTTTCGGGGTACAGAAATAGAGAAAGAAACAAGGTCGATAGACGGGGAAGTGTTATCCTCCTCTGCGGTCTTTGCACATTTATTGGTTGCTTCCCCTTCCCCTTGGCCATCTTTGACCTTGGCTTTGTCCGTTTCTGATTTAGGTTCGCCAAATATGAGTTGCTTAAATAGACCTGCGAAAGAGGCCTTGGGGCGATCCTGTCCATTGTCCTTTTTGTCCTTCTTGCTATCTTTACCCTCCTCGTCATCCAAACCATCCGAAAAATTCCACATAACCGGAATATCTCCCTTCACAAGCGCTGTAAGCCAAATTGAGCTCAACACACCAGGAACAAGATACAGCAATGCAGGTTGTGGATGATTAGATAACTGCATTGCTACCAGCGTAGCCAACATTCCAAGCATATAGCCAGCCATCCCTGCTTTAAAATATGTTTTGCGGAATGCCTTTGCCTCAAAATATGACGACTCCTTATCTGGAAGCCTTAGGGCCGACTTTATGCTTGACCAGAAGCGCTCGCCCCATCCGCCCGTCGCGGTGACGTATTTAGGTCGGGAATCAGCATCGGCTCCGGTTCCGGTCAAGGTAGAGTGCTTCCGTAGATAATGTAGGTAAAGATCGAACCTCAATGCTAGTCCAATCATTGTGCCTGGAACCACAATATCTCCCAAACCAAGCATCGCCAGGGCAATGGCGCTAGGATCCTCCTTGGTGGGCGGTCGTGGAAATAGGAGCTTTATCGGTAAATCCAGCTTTTGCGCGACTGTGACCATCATGGGAGTATAAAATACGAAATAGATGTCGTAAAAGAATAAAGAGCCGAGTATCAAGCTTCCGGTAGCAAAGGTAGTAGGCGACAAGAACTGGAGGGCGCCGTATGAAAAGCCGAATCCCAGGAAATTGATCAGCCACCATGGCCGCGCGACAAAGGCGGAGTATCCAACTACGCACAGAGCGACGACAACACTCAAGACATCAAGTATGGTAAACCGAGTCCTGGCGCTGAAGACCGAACGGATATGGGCACGGAGGGTGGCTTTTTGGTAAACGAGACCGCGGATGTGCCAGAGCGATGAACGAAGACAGCCCGGAAGATAAAGAATCCCGAGAAACCCAGGCAAAGGCGAGACCCGTGTTCGAGGGGCCGCCATCGACCCCTTATCTCTAATAATCTCTATAAATATTCGCTTCTCCTGGTTTGCCTTCCACGCGGAGCCACGGGAAGTATAGAGCTCAGGGAACACAAATGATCTTATCACAGAGAAGCCGTCTTTTATAAACGCAGTCGTGAATATAAAACCAGCATGTGCGAAGTACCAATTGAGCACCTTGTTCAAAACTGCTGGGTCGAAATGCTTGAGCAGGAGGTATAAGCCCCCAAGAGTCAACCCGGACATTATAGGAAGCATAATCGCATCCGAAGGGTCAAATCCTTCCATCTTTTGCAGTATGCCCCCTTCGTCATCTGTATCATCTTCATCTTCACTGTGTTCCGTACAGCGTTTGCATTTCTTTTTCGGTGGTATGGCCGTGGACGAAGGCCTTGAAAGTGAAGCATGGGCACCGACATATATGCAAAATAGAGCCGAGATCAGTAAGTGGGTGTATGTTGGTATAAGCGGTTTGGCGATATCAAATCCATAGAGAAAACCCTCAATGGCCTCCGACAAGGAGGTCGGGAGGGACATGTTGGTTGAAAAAGAGCGAGGCGAGTGTTATCAGCGAGTGGACGACTGTGCCCTGTAGAGGAGAGCCAAAATTTTGAAGCAGTATTATTACTCGGAGATCAGAACGGATATCATCATCATCTTGAGCTTTTTGGTGCCTTAACAAAGACAATGGAGTAGTTAATTAAAAGTTGATGAAAGCTTTCATGAGGCGATCAAAGTTTGGGTCGGTTGTTTGCTCACCTGGTTGACATCATCTGCGCAACTCCTCTCCGGCGCTACAACAGGGCTTAGATTCTAGCTTGATCTGAATATTCACAATGGCTACAGATGTGGTTATTGATACTACCATGGTTAGTATGCGTGGCCTCGGAAACTCCTCGTTATTTTATTGTATGTACTTACCTTCACTCAGGGCTCCATCACTGTTGAGCTCTACAATGACCATGCACCAAAGGTAAATGAATCTGGTAACCTTCCTATAGCTGAGCTGGCTGCTAACTCCTGCAAATTGAATGCGTAGACATGCAAAAACTTTTCCACCTTAGCACAACGAGGCTATTACAATAATGTCATCTTCCATCGCATTATCCCCGACTTCATGGTCCAGACCGGGGATCCTACCGGCACAGGTCGCGGCGGAAGCTCCATTTACGGCGAGAAATTCGAGGACGAGATCAATCCATCCTTGAAACATACTGGTGCAGGTGTTTTGAGTATGGCAAATAGTGGACCGAATACTAACGGGAGCCAGTTTTTCATTACACTGGCGCCTACACCGTGGTTGGATGGAAAGCATACAATATTTGGCCGGGTGAAGAGCGGGATGAGGGTAGTGCAACGAATGGGACTTGTGAAAACCGATGGGGATGATAGACCAGTGGATCAGGTCAAAATTTTGAAGGCGAGGGTCGTCGAAGAGACTGGTGATGAGTGACAGGGCAGAATCGACGCCAGAGCAGGTTAATTTTGACTGTCTGCAGTATAAAGCAGTCATCATGAACACTCACGCACTATGGCCCACGGCAAGAACCCGCGATGGGACAAATGCACTGAGATACGTCGCAGCGCGCCCTTCATAACCATTGCAAGCCCCAGTGCAATGGCGGGGAGACATTTGGCAGAAAATATGTTACGCCCGCGCCGGCGAATTCTATGATATGGTAGATCTCTAGAAGAGCATTGTAGATTAAGCACAGTGACGGATTACGAGCGCACATTACGGAGTAGTCCTTCCCGGACAATGATGTACGGAGTATGTATCACCGCAAAACGAACCGCATCGATCAGATGTCTCCATCTTGAGCGGCAGATACAGGGTGAAATGTCCAATCTTCCACTCTATAGGGATGGCTCCAATGAAGGCGCCATCCATGGAGACAACGTTGCCAGTGTAAAAAGAAAAGCAGTTTGTCTACGCAGAGCGCAGCGAGTGGGTGATAGAAGAAATGAAGAATCAAGAGCTCGCTGAGGCGTCAAATTGTGCGGTCGCTGTGCCGAGTCTGCGCTAGGGCCCGGTTTGGCCTAGCGCAAATGTCGCTCGACTCGGCACATAAATTCAGTCTCAACTTCAACTTGTTTTTCCTCTTCTTTTCCTCCCGCCCAAGCACAAATATTGTGAAATAGACAAACCCCCCCAACCTTTCTTGGAATCACCCTGGGTGGTTGACCTCATCATGTCATAGCTAGATCTTCCTTGCTATCCAGGTGACATTATCTGGAATTATCTTCATCCAAAGCTGAAGGGGTGATCATGCTCGGACAAAACACCCTTAATGATACCACCTGGGACGTCTTAATATCTGGGACTGGCCTCCCCCAGTCACTGCTTGCACTGTGAGTTATCTTCTTTGATGGACCCATCATTGTTTGCCCCCAATCTAACAGCTCTCAATGTAGGGCGTTGTCGAGGTCTGGTAAAAAGGTCCTTCATATTGATAAAAATGACTATTATGGAGGCTCTGAAGCCGCCTTCAGCTTGCAGGAGGCAGAACACTGGGTAAACAAAGTTGGCTGCGGTGAGAACGGTCCTCTTCGGTCACCTTACTGGTGGCGCTGCTGCTGACCTGATGACTACGAAGTCAGAGCCGAATTTTGGCCCATTTGAGTCAGCGTCCGTATGGCGCTCTCCCTCAACAGAAAAAAAAGAAAATGGGAAACTTTCTTTTTCGAGGGCATATACGCTCTCTCTTTCTCCTCAGCTGATCTATACCCGCTCTAAACTACTCCCCAGCTTAGTATCTTCCAAGGTCTACCGCCAACTGGAGTTCCAAGCGATGGGGAACTGGTGGGTATATCGAGATGAAGCTCAAGTAGAGACAGGAAGTCAAGAACATGCCATTCGTGGCTTGCAGTGTGTACCAAGCAGCCGTGAAGACGTTTTTGCTGATGACACATTGACCATGAAATCCAAACGATCTTTGATGAAGTTTTTGAGATACCTAGGTCAGTCCGACGAAAGTGGGAGTTCGTCCACCGAAGAAGGTGACTTTGATACTCCGTTCTCAACCTTTCTCCGCTCCAAATTCCAGGTCCATTCGGATCTCTACTATCCCCTTCTTTGCTTATGTTTATCCCCGCATTCTATTTCCCAAACCACAGCTGGCTATGCTCTTCCAAAAATCAAAAGACACCTACAATCCATTGGTGTATTTGGGCCAGGATTTTCTTCTGTGGTTACTAAATGGGGTGGTGCCTCTGAGATCGCCCAGGTAGCCTGTCGAGCATGTGCAGTAGGCGGAGGCGTATACGCTTTAAACAGAGGAATAAGAAGCGTGGGACCTCCAGCACAGGGTTCGCCAGATGGAGATTCCAGTTTGCGAAGAGTGTGCTTGAGCGATGGAGAAACGGTATGTACTAGATATATCGTTGGCACTCCTTGGGATATTCCAGCAGATACACAGAAAGCAGAATTGCCCACCTTGACCAAGGTTTCGCGTTCTGTTATGATTGTGTCGTCGCCCCTAGAAGCTCTATTCCCTCCGATCGCCGAGAATGACCCTGTTGCAGCCGGGACTCTCGTTATCTTTCCTGGTCAGCAAGCTGCCGGAGAAGATGCAATTGATGAACCACCATTATACTTGCTATTGCACTCTAGCGATACCGGTGAATGCCCTTTTGGTCAATGTAAGTTTCTCTGCAATACCCAAACTTTGCCACGCTTTCTTTGTTGCCGCTCTCACTGATGATTTCAAATTTCGAATACTTATCTACATTGGCTGTAACATCTTTGATGATAAACCTTCCTCTGACAGCCTGATATGAGGGCAATTGTTCTGTTATTGTTATTCTCTCTATTTTCTTGGAACGCAGCGGCTAACGCGTTTGTTTTACAAGGTATAATATATGCGAGTGTTTTGCAACCATCCAGCAAGGGACACCCACGCATTGATTCAGCTGTGCAACAGCTCCTGAAATCAACTGACCCGGTGGCAGAAGTTCTTTGGAAAATGCAGTTCACCCAGCTCGGCCACCTTGGCACGGATATATTGCCGAAGGATGGACTCGCGGGCGTTGACAGTCAGATCCTGGTGTTTCCATCTCCGTGCCTTGACTTGGAGTTCAACGACAGCATGATCGATCAAGTCAGGCATGTGTGGAAGGACATTATGGGTGCAGATGCAGACGAGAACGAATTTCTCGTGTTTGAAAACCGAGAAGCTGCTGAAGAGGAAAACATGTCCGCTTCCTAGGCTTAAGCCAATGATGACAGTAATGATATGCTTGTTGCGCTACGGAATAGCTTAGATCGCTTATAAAGTAGTGCCACACCAATAAACCAGTCTATATCTAGTAACCTTTCAGCAGAAGTTCTTTTCATGTTCGTAGCCAGGCTTTCTCCGAGCAGCCACAAGTCTTAAGTTTCATCAAGTGACGCGATCCGGTTGAATTATTCCTTGGAGGAGCTGGCGGTTCGCACCGAAGAGCGGCGTATGAGCACACTAAACCCATCTTGGCAAAGTGCGTGGATGTCGGGTTCGCAACCTTGATCTGCCAAATTATCAGAATTGTCGGCTGGCGCAGTGAACGCTCAACGGGGCCAATTGCTCATCTATCGACTGCCCTGTGTTTAAGTTAACGATTGAAAGGCCATCCCGGGAATATATCCGGTTTTCCGACCTTTTCGCGCGAGCTTCAATTGAACGACCCGTCCTACAGTTTCGTTCCCGAAGCCGCCCGCTTTCTGGCAACAATCCGGCACGTCGTTCAGCAATAAGAAGCCATGGGAGCAGGCGGATCTAAACCCTCAGAAACGAGCGGAGGCTCGAGACATGTTTTTAGGAGGTTAGAATTTTCCACCTAGCAATACTCCGCGCGCATGGGCATCGGCTGCGATGAAGTGCGGGCTGGCAATCGCGAAACTAACGTATTTCCAATTGGCTATAATTTAGCGAAACTCCAATTCAATTCTCCCAGAATCTTGTTGAATCTTTACAATCGAGTTCAGAGGTAATACTCCCCACCCCCCGTTATCGCTGCAGTGTGTTTTTAACAATTCCAATCTGCAGACCGACTCCTCCCGTGCCCAAACCATAGAACTCCACATCCAAAACCGCGTCGCAGAGGAACTAAAACGTATCCAAGCCCGCGAAACTCAGACTCTTGCAGACCTCGAACAACGCCTCGCAGAAACTACTCAGTCATCAGCCTTCACAGACCAATCCACATCCCTTGACGCACCCCGCGTACCTTTCGCCGGCCCTGAAATCGCCGGATTACCCCAAGATCTCGACCAAGATGCTGCGAGACGGGAGCTAAGCAGCCAGCAGGTGGCGCTAGAGATTGAAGCGCTGCGGGAGAAACTCGCTGCTAGACGGAAGGTCAAGGAGGTCGATGCCGGCGTGGAGAAGGCGAGGGAGGACGTTGTCAACTGTTTGAGACGGAAGGAAAAGAGGCCGCTCGACTGCTGGGCTGAAGTGGATACATTCAAGAAGGAAGTTGCTAGATTAGAGAAAGACTGGGTGAAGAAGGTCATCGGCTAGAGCTTTGGTGGTTATATAACCCCGATGCGTTGAAGCATCTGTTGCCGAGCGAAAGTTCTATGACAGAAGCACTGAAAGTTATGTCTTTTGCATCGCAATGCAAGAGTGTTGTATTATAAAACAAAATGGGATGCATAACATAGAGCAGATGAAAATTTAAGATATAGTTTTTTATTTAATATACAGATTGACCATGCATTCGGGCAGATCGATCTCTCCAATATCAGTCGTATGCAATATCAATATGTTGTCAAATGCATTTATAGGAGGTCTTAAACCTCCCAGCAACCTAATCTCCCGACACTCTCACCAGCTGCTCTCACAATACACGTTCGTGCTAGCTTTTCCTTTGCAATGTTCAGCGTAGTAGGCGGGCTTGTGCACGGATTACCTTCCAGTCCCGACGAAGACGACAGAGACGGTGGTGTATAAGGCTCTATCTTGTTTGCAAGTATCACACCAATGCCTGTTCCCCTACCAGCACTCAGGTTGTAGTTCCCAGTTGTCACAAAACCAATCAAGTCCCGTTCATCCGGAGGTGGGGGGTGGCGGGATGTCTCAACTGAGTCTGAAAACACTCCGGTCGGAATAGCAACCGTGCTGTTGGAATTCTCACTACATGCGTCTGGTTTAGTATTCTGCTCTTTTTGGCCTCGAGACTGCCCTTTTTTGCGAGTCTTTTTGCCCACATTTCCTGAAGGCGATGCGTTGTTCAGGAGCGAAAGCCATTGGTTTCGAAGTACAGGGTCGGTTGTCGGAAGACGATAGATCCGTGCACGAGGGGCAGGAGTCCCGCGGTTGACCAAGCTAAGCCTGACAGTTGCGAGGGCCGGTTTTGCTAAGAGAGATTGCGAAGATAATGGAAGACGGTCAGACTTGGCCTTTTCCAGAAGGATAGAAGATGCAGCCGAGGGCGTAAGGTGATGGATTCCGAGAGGAGGAACTTCGGGATCCTTTGAAGTGGAGTTGATCTTCTCCGGAGCAACCGTGCTCTGGCTCTTAGAGCTTTCGCTCATCTCCGCTTTTTCGATATTGTTTTTTGAGCCTGCAGCTTTACTTTCTCCATCTGTCCCCTTTCCAACAAGTATCTCCCAATCGCAGGCCCAGCCACGACCAATTTCGCCGCGTCTACCGTTCCCAAGGTCAATACTGTCAAACTCCACTCGTTTACCCTTTGGCTTGCGCTCCCATAGGTCTTTCTGCAGGTTCCTCTGCCGGATCTCCCACGCCCACCCAGCCTGTGTTCCTGGAAAGTCACCCGGGAACCAGCTCTCTCCAGATTCAAACGCAAGCTGTTGCTGTTCATGGACACCGCCAAACCTGGGATTACCACCAGAAGAGAGTGGATAGTACATGATAGAATACCATATTGGCTTCACACATTTCCAAGGGACCAAGAGCGTCCAACGGCCTTGATAATTCGATGTTCTCGATGGACCACCCGGGCGAGATGTAAGAAGAATGACTGGGATCTGCGGATCTGTTGGTTTCGGTGATGGATATTCGCCAGGTGGTGCGAGTGCCTTCCTTTTGCTAATGGCTTTTTGGCTGGGAAGAAGCCGCGAAGCTGTGAGACGGGCAGGACGGGAAAATAGTTCTGGTCTTGACTGGGTTGCGTCTGGAGGCCAAGAAGATAGGAGAACAGAAAGACGATCAAGGCTTTCCTCAGAGTCAGAGGGCTTGACCGTCCGGGGAGGATATCGTAGACGTGGGTCAGAGGTATTAAAAGCTAAAAGGGCATTTTGCGGGAGCGAAGCGGGATTGGTTAGGCCGACAAGGGACTTCCAAACTTCTTCGGGGCAGCCTAAAGGCCTGCTGCTGCTTTCCGGCGGCGAAACAGGTGTGAGGGCGGCAAGTAAAGCTTCGGTTGAGCCGGGCCCCGACAGTTCAATGCTTCCAATCTCGAAACGGAGATCTTCAAGCAAAACTGGTGGCCTTTGTATCTTCGACACTTTCAACAGCTCTTGCCACAGCTGTAGAAAGGCTGAGGGATGTACTCGAAGGAACATTTTCCGCTTGGGTAGCTTGTTTGCCGGCACAGGCTTGCCTGCATCGACCAGTTCAACGTCCTCCAACTTATCGTGGGCACACCAAATCAGTGTAACTGGTGCAATTGGCAGCTTTTCACCATCCCTCTCGAATACCCACGTCTCTAGGCTTCTAGTCCCGGCTCTCCATTTTTTGCCTTTGTTTCCCCATGCTGCATCTCCCTCCACACCAATGGCTTTTAGCAATCCTTCGATACCCTCTTCCCTGCCTTCGAGTCCGATAGTAGAGACATAGCTCATATCCCACGCAATAGCTCCTCTCGCACTGTTCACACGATGCGTAGGCCTATAGGATTTCTCCGTAGGTGTCAACGGAATAGCGAATCGCCAAAACGGAGCCTTTGGTTCCGTCATATGCGCCCGTTTAGCATGAAACATATGTGTCGGCAACCATGTTTTTCCCCGTTGCCGCTTCTTATATTTAGACAGAGGCTTCTCAGGATGCGAGAGCTTGTTCTTTTTGATTTTCGGCACGCGCGGGGCGATATCAAATGTATGTTCGGCATCACCCACAACAGGAACCGCTTTATCAGCACCTGATTTTTTCGCAGCTCTCTCCGCTTTCGAGCGAGCATTAAGATTCTGCAAGCGTCGAGCTGTCTCAAGACGAAGCCGTATTTGTTCCGTGGGTTTACGCCGGCGAGCAGTAACAGTGGGCGTGTTATCCTCAATCATCTACAACATATCATTTTCAGCCCTAAATCCCAACACGTAGTAACCACCACAAAGGCTGACTCTGCCACAGTTCAGACAGTAATAAACATACCTCCCTCTTCGCCCTCGCCCTCAATCTCCTTGGCACCCTCTTCACATTATGACTTGCCGTCCTCCTCCTTAAAGCCCGCGGCACTTTTTGAAAAGCGCGACTTGTCAACGCATTTTTAGCACTACGTATCCCCGCCTCCAGCGCACGGATCTCGTATTGCCTCGCCGCCACGAAGGCGGATACGTCTAGCTCGCCGGTCTTGGAGAGCGCAGCCTCGGAGCTCTGTACGGCCAGAGTACGCGCATCATGGGTCTTGGCGCGTTTGCGGGTTTGGGGGTTTGCGTTGGGGCCAGCTTTGCGCTTTTCGGGTTTCGAGGGTTGTTGGGGTTTTCTCTGCCGCGGAGGGTTGGGAGCAGCCATTGGGTCGTTTGGCTGACGGATAGGGCGGAGAGAGAAAAGGTGTGAGCTCTCGGTTTGAGTGACAGAGAACAGAGTTTGATGGGATTTTGGCTGGATGTGTTTGCATGTCGTCACATTCAGAGCACCACGTCCAAGGAGCAGCACTATTTACATACCACCCATTGCATTTTTATAGCCTTGCTGCAGACCATGGAATACATAGTTAATATTTGGGGATTCTTTGATATTGTTGTGCAAGCAACCAAATTGTATTGTGTCTTTCTAGTCTGTATTGATACAACTGTTTTGGTGATCTAGCTAATAGTTACAACACTTTGGCCGTTTCCCTTGATTCTCCATAAGATAATGTTTTTCGGGTTTCTCATCGGTTTGTTCATCATTTACAACTTGGAAAAGACGGCGTCAGCGCCCGAGACCTATTCAGTTGTCAGCCTATGATACTTCTGCGTCAAGCGGGTTTCAGCATCGGCATATAAAACATACGGTAACTTCACGACCAGGCTCTATTTCAGCATAAGTAACCTTTCCATGATCGATAATAATAGCATATCGGCCAGTTCGCTCGCCGGCGTTCCAGCCAATGCTCTTTGAGAACTTAGCTTCCGGGTCGCTGAGGAAGAGCTAGAGATACCATCTCAAGTCAGCAAACAGACCTTATCTCTCTTAAGATGCTTTAAAAGATGTAAACATTGGAATATCTTACGATATCATCTCCGGTAACGCCATTGGCCTTGCCCCAGGCGCTCATGACCCAGGCATCGTTGAATGCGAGGACAGCAACGACGTCAACGCCCTTTTCCTTCAATTGAGGAAGCTTCTGGATGTATCCGGGGAGATGGCTGGCGGAGCAGGTAGGAGTAAAGGCACCTATCCATCAAATCGAGATGAGAGCCAGTCAACGAGGTAGTCGAGAAGAGATTTTTTTTTTTTTTTTTTTTTTTGGGGGGGGGGGGGGGGGGGGGGTTTGGGTTGTAGGTGTTTGCGTACCGGGAAGAGAGAAGAGGACGACCTTCTTGTCAGCCCAGAGCTTGGAAGCCTCGTAGTTTTGTGGCATGCCACACGCTTTGATGTCTTTATTGTCAGGTGTCCATGGAATGTAACTGTTGAAACGCATCATCGATGATGATCAGCACGCGATCACTGAAGACCAATTCACTGTCATTTCCGACCGCGCAGCACGGAAATGTCGTTCCAGAGAACTTACGAGAAGACAACGTCAGAAGGGAAGCTGTCTCCAGCTTTGAGAGAGGCCATTGTTGCGTAGTAGCGAGGTGAGGTTAGGTGTCTACAGTGGGTCGGATAGCTGCGGGGAAGCTGTCGCTGGGAGAAAGGGAGGCTGGTGGTGAATCGAGCGTTGGCAGACCGGCCACAGCTGTGGACTGATGAGGTTATAGAGCGGTGGGAGAGAGCAAGGAGAGAAGAGAGTCTGGTGGAATTCATTTCGGAGGAGAGTGAAGGGGGGGTGTTTGCGGCAATAAATACGCGTTCTAAGCAAGCTGCGGTGAAGTCTCAAGACATTGACCCTGGCGGGAAGTTAACTAGGAAATGCCCCTCTTTGATGCCGAAACAACCCAGAGATCTGCCTGGACCGGGGCCCAATGTATCTATGCAAAACAACCGCAATGGCTTGGAAAGCATGCAAGGGTATGATACAACTCTTGGAGGTAAATGTAATACATAATATGCTCTGGATAAAATGGCAAAGATTGTCCAAAATGATCTGGGCTCAAGCGATGCGACGCCGCTATCAAACTTCTAGACAGCTAACTAGCTCAAAGTTACCCCTGCTTCCGTTTCTCTGCCTGCCGAGCAACCAACGCACTCAGAGCGGCGCCGACACCGCTCCCATCCTTCGCGATACCGATCTGAATCTTCTTCTCACCCTTCTCTCCGATCTCCGGAATCTCACGCCATGCTTCTCGGATATACTTCTCGTATCCCGGATAAAACTCAATCAGGCTGCCATCGACACCAATGTCGATGACGTCTTCCGTACCTAGTCGTCCGCTGGATATGATAATCGCAGCGAGAGGCACAGCGCTAAGCCGTGCTGCCCGTTTCCCGATGGCATGCGTAAGGACCTTGATCGCTTTACAGTCCGTGGTGCTCGCGTTCTCGATCCCGAGATCGGATCGCAGCTCTTCCTTAACCTCCCGAAGGTCATCCGTCGAATCGCCTTCCACGGTAGACAGGAATTTCGTGTCAATGCCCCAATGTTGATACAGTATTGAGTCCTTTGGAATCGCGCTTGACCCGCCACACAAGTTCAGAGCAGGGCTTTTGTTCATGTGGAGTATTGTACAGCGAAGAATCTCACCCAGAAACATTCCTGATACTCGTTTTTCGAACATCTGGACCCCTGGGTTAACACTTATACCGTCCAGTTCTTGGTCATGTCTGGTGTTCGGCAGCACCTCGAGGGGGTTATCGAAACTACCCCACTCCGTGTTAACGACCATCTCGCTCGCTGATGCGTCAACGAGGTCTCCGCCGCGATTATTCAGCTTCTTGACTCGGTCCAGCCTCTCTACGTAGGCACCATTGGTGCCGGTACCGAAGATTGCACCAATTAACGCTTTAGAATGGCCACTGGAACAGTATGACCGTGCCATGAGAGTGCCCACGGTATCATTAATCAAAGCAGAGACTCGAACAGGTAAATTTCTCTGATCGACAGCATCTTGTAACAATTTGCAAACATCTTGGCCCACAGCCTCCGGAATGTCAAATCCTTTGGTCCAGCGATATAGATTGCCTTTATTGATGGCGGTCTGGATTACAGGGAAGCTGAAGGTAAAGCCTAGGTCGAATATATCCTCGTCGTGGAAGGCAATGTTGCCTAGCCTTCTTTTCTCGGTGTGGGAAGCGTAACGTTCTTCGTGATGCTTCTGAAGAAAACACTCTATCTGTTCCGCGATAAATCCGAAAAGCTCTGCGGCTGAGTCGCTCACCATCAGCTCGCGCGGAATGACGGCCTTCTCTTGAGTCATGTCGAAAGTTGAATCCCCGTTTAGATGGATCGAACAAACGCGGATGTTAGTCCCACCGAGGTCAACTGCGAGGTAGACGCCCTAGAAAAGCAGTACGCTATTAGCAACCTTGAATGCGTCAATTAAAACAACAACCTATCGCCGGATCTCTGCTGAAATGGGGGCATTTGGCAATCCCACAACCGCAGCTCCCGCTTCTGCTTTTGTCCCATCGCATATGACCCATGCGTGAAAAAAGGTGTATACAGTCTGGTGGTCACACCTTCTCACTGCCATCAGGCACACATGTAATATAGGATGGAATTTGGCTCAGCGTCGAGCCCTCCCCTGTCAGCCCAATCTCCATCTCGGAGAGGAATTTCTTCACTCCGCGGTTCACATCAGCGGACGAATACTCGAACTCTGCTGCAATGCGCTTCGCTTCAGCGATCACGGGTTGGTCTGACTGCGGCAACATATTGTAAAGCCAATAGCTCCGTATTTTGCTAGGTTTAAATGGGACAAGCGACAAGAAAAGAATGAAGATGGACGAAAAGAGGAAAAGCAGGTTGAAAAGCGTCGTTCCTCTGGAAACCAGGTTGAAGGATTCGGGCTCCAGCGGCAGAGTGGAATAGAGGCAGCGAACGGGGAGAAGTTCAGGCCAAGGTAGTGACGTAGTAGTCGTCCTTGTTCGCGACAGGCTCAGGCGGGGCACACCTTGAGATGAGCACTCATTGTTGGCCTTGACGGAGGAGCATCATGTGGGCTAAATGTCTGAAGAAGCGGCAATTAGTGAGAGAGTTTGTGCCCTTTCGCTTGTTTCCGGCAGCCTTCAAGAGGTTCTCCCTTTTGCAGGCAGGTTATTCTTGAGTAGCATTGGAGGGGCAGCTTTGACGAGTTTGTGGAAACTTTGCGATTTAAGGCTAGACAGAAATCAGACCGTGGAACAGTGCCCCTTGTACACAGCCAGTGACCTAGTCAACTTCAACATTTGTTTGGTGTTCGGGTGATGAGGCCGCAACTTCTAGGGGGTTGTTGCTCTTGAACGAGTACATATGGGGTCGCCAGTATTTTGCGCCCGTTTCTCCGCGGTTGGTCAAGCATAGAAGTAGTTAGAACATTCACCTTCAGTAAGTTTTGTGTGGATGTAGCACCTAGAGGCTGATTTGGTGTGTGGTGGCTGGATAACCAACAGTGAAGCTTGCCAGAGCGAAGCAAAATCCACAGCTGCAGATTGGAGGGCGCACGGACTGAGGTGGAGGCGGAAAAACGGCGCTGCTCGCAGCTCCACCGAAGCGGACCAAACGGGCTAAGGATAAGGAGAGCCACGGACTCTACAGAGTCACCTCGCTGCTTCATACCTCTTTATGTACGGAGTATGGAGTATTCTGACAATCGACATTGCCCTGTCCGCTCTCTGATCTCTGCTCCTCGTTTTCATCGCGTCTCACGCTATTTGATTGATCTGTGTCGATTGTGTCTCTCGGAAGGGTCACCTGGTCTTAGGCGCTGGGCCTTGTTACGCGATGACCTGGTCTGATCGTGGCAGCCAACAGCGGCTCCAGCTGATCCGCCGTTGGGCAAACTTGACTCGCTGGGCTGTTTAGTTTGTTGACTAGTTGGACTCCATCTGAATGCGCCAAGAGCTGGCCGGCCGTGATCAAGGTCCATCCCCAGCCGCAAGGCATAAATAGCCGACGGGCAAGCTCCAGGGACTGGAGCTTTTCTGGTCGTCAAGCACGGCGTCATGTTCGCACATTCATGTGCGGTTATCTAGTTGACTCTATAGTTAACTAGCTGTTTCCCCAGCACACAGATCATACCATCGTCTTCCTACTTTTGAGTTCTGGTATTATATACATAACTGCTCTGTAGGGCTCTAATTTCTTCCGCATTGCGAAAGGAGCCCCGATTGTCGAAGACCGTACCAATTATCCCAGATGGAGGCTCTTTCTCAGCCCACCGGCTCGGTGAAATCCGTAGTCGTCGAGGAGCCACCTCTTAAACCCCCTTTCTCGCGTGAAGCCGTGCCCAGCGACCTTGCAGTTCTTTCAGAAGTCATGAGCTCACTCCCGACGATTTCACGGACACGGCTCCACGATGCATTCCTCACCGAAACCGACGTAGCCAGCTATCTCCAACGAGACTTGGATCTTTCCCGTCTCAACAGGATTCACAATATTCTCTGGATGGCTGGGCGTCCCATCAATGCTCGTCCGTTACACCGCCAGCGGATGATGGGCCTCGAGATCATCCCTACAGAACAATCCGACCTCCACCTCCTCAAATTCTCAAACCATCTTCTTGTGAAGCCTCTTCCATCTTACCTACTTAACCACGATTTCTGGACGAAACATCTCTGTTCGTCCAAAGAGCTCCACGAGTCCGCATCGGGCCTCCTAGTTTCCTATATATGGCTCATCTGCTCCCCTATAGATCTGAAAGTCGCGCAAGACCACCAGCTCCTCCCTTCCAACCTCGCCTGGACCTGGTGGAAATCTTTTGTCGACGATGTATTCAAGCACATCAACATCAACGCTCTCGACACCGTCAATAAACGATATCACTTCGGTGAACTTCGCCTTAACCGCATAAACTCCATCTACCGCGTCCGGTTCTTCTTCACGCACTTTATCCGCGGCTACTTGTACGGATACAACCGCTACACGGTCTTCTTCGAGCGCAATTTTGGCTGGATACTAGTGGTTTTTGTGTATTTCTCGCTTGTGCTGTCTGCCATGCAGGTGGCAATGGATGTTCCGGGCCTTCAGGATAACACGGATTTTGTGAATGCGACGTACGGTTTCGTTATCTTCTCGATTGTAATAGTTGCTTTCTTCTTGGGTTTGGTGGCGCTCATTTTCACCTCGATATTCTTGTATAATATGGGTGCGGCTATAAGCGACGATAGGGAGAAAAGATTGCGGAGGGAGAAGCTGTCGAGGGAAAGGATTATATAGTTCTCGGCCACTGGGGCTATTTTTTCTACATCTAAAACGCTGGATATAATGGTTAACGACGCTTGGATGAAATGATATCATCTGCAATTCCCACTGCTCAGCACAAAGTCTAAACCTGCCGACATTGGATGATACAACAAACTTTCGTGAGTTCGTATAGTACTACATTGGGTATGATGATGTTATGTGACAAGAGCATTACACCGCCCAACGTCGTCCTCGTGAGCATGGCCGTGCAATCCTCCATCGAGAATCCACCGCTCATTATCGTCGTCATCATCCTGCACACGCCTCCACGTCTGTCTCTGCTTTCTCCTCCTCGTCTGAATACCACTGTCTCCTCCCACAGACCCAGCAGCCTTCCACACCGGCCTAACTAACCCAGCCCCTTTAAGCAGCGGATTCCGCGCAAATACGCCTTCTTTATCCGCACCAGACAGTCCACCAGCGCCCACTGTCTGGTCAACTTCCTCATCCTCATCCTCGGACTCATTATCCGGCGTTTGAGACTCTTCTTCCCGCTCAAACGTCCGCACAACTTTGCCTTTCTTAATATCCAAACTCATAACCATATTCCTCCTCTCCCACTCCGGTCGATTCCGCTCCTCCATCTCCCGCATCAACCGTTGCTGTTTTTTCAACGCCAATGCGCGCTGCGCCGGCGTCATCCACTGCGTTGACGAACTGGTAGGTATATCGAAGTCCGCGGCTTCATCCACGATCCTCGTTCGCTGTGCATTTTGGGCTTGGAAAGAGAGTAACTTGTCGCGATGGGCCTTGGCTGCCTCCAATTTGCTATCGCTGCTCGTGGCAAACGCCGGTGCCGGGCCGGAAGCACGATGCACGCTCTCGTTGTGTGCGCGCATCTTCTCGTTGCCGCGTTCGGCGCGTAATTCTCGAATCATGTCCTGTATCTCGGTCGTAGATAGCAGCGGCGTTCCACAAAACGAGCATGGTTGTAGCCCTTCTAGTGCGCATGTTATTTTTCCACAGGAGAGACAATTTGGCGCTGGAGTGAAGAGCGGATGGAGACTCGCGTTGCAATTACATTTTCTCCGCTTGCGTTCCTTTGGGTTTGTAGAGACTTCGAGCGCTGCGATCGCAGAAGTGAGATCGGCGATGTTATTCGTCGTCGTTGTCGTCGGCGTTGCCCCTCCAGACTGAGTCTGACCGCCCCCGCGAGAGGGTGTAGTAGTCCCGGGTGTCTTTGCCTTCTTCGATCTAACATTCGGTAAATACTCTGATATCAACGGACCAGATGCTGACGGAGGCGGCTTTCCAGGCCTTCTTCTCGCTGGGCTTTCGTTTCGCGATGCATCCGCCGAAGATGAAGGTATGTGCTCCTGCGACGAAGCGCCAGGAATATAATCCTCCTCCTTCCGTGACTTCACGTATCCTCCGCTCACATCGCCGTATCCCTCCGGCCTTCTAATCGCGGTCGGGGTATGTATCGATTCTTTCTGCCTTTGATTCCGCCTCGCGCCCGAGCCAGTATTATTATTCCCTACAGATCTCCCGCCTCTAGTAGCTGGTGCCTGTGATTGCGCCTGTACACCACCACCCCCGTTACCTCTCCTGAAATTAAACCCCGCGATAAACTCCAAAGACGCGGCCGAATCGTCCAGCAAATTTCGTAAGTGCTCTGCACTCTCTGCTTTCGACAAACTGGCGGTGTACGTGATTATCTGTTTTAACGACTCATTGTCCAGCGGCAGGAGTTTTGCGAGGTGGGGAAGGGCCCAGGCTTCGAGGGAGGACATCTGGGAGAGCCTCGACAGAGCGGATGAGGGTATGAATTTCGTTCAGCAAGTTTCGCGTAACAAGGTTGACAGAAGAAGAGGAAGGGCCTTCAGCTACGATCTTTGGTCATCAGTTGTGCTGTGATTCCAGGCGTTTGTAGAGAAGCAACAGGATATCAGTTAATATATCGCAAGTGAGTGAACTATTAAAATCCCTCTAAAAATCAGGGTCATGTCAGAAGAGCACGATGTCCTCTGCAGTTCCTGGAAGCTTGATAATGGTGTCTGTTAGGTTTCCGTCAGGCGCTCGGTCTGGAACTCGTTCAATTTCGGCGCTGCCACCCACCATACTCACGGGTGACGAGGCGGCGGCTTGGCGTTAAATTGCATAAACCTGTGTCCCCCGAACCCGGTGCCCTTGTGATCCGCAGTCTCTGCACGGAGTTGTTCAACCTTGCCCTTTCTTCCACCTCTACTCCGGACAGAGTACAAATCAAGCACTGGTCAATTGATATGGGATGGCCTTGTTATTCACTTTTCGTCCTATTTTACATACATGGTTGTACACACAATCTGGCCTTCCCATCCATATTTTATGAAATTCTTGAATAAAACCCTCTTTGGTTCGCAGAAATCCCTTATCAACGCCGAAGATCGCTCGTTCCTCTCTTCCCAAACGCCATGCCTTTTCCCTCATACCCTGTCCGTCTAAAAACTCCTTGGAAATGGGGGCTTATCGCTCTAGGCATGAAGAAGGGACGTAGGAACAGTGAATTACATATCCTTTGAACGAGGGCACATTGCAAAACATTCTTATGAGATCCTCCTCTCGCCGTGTCTGAAACTAGAAATCACATATCACGTTTGGAGATTTATCGGCTCAAAAGTGATAGGCGTTATCTGGTCGAAGCCAGCCCTGATTCCCGAGCCAGACAAGCTCGACAACGCTGTGGCCCTCCCAGTCCTTGCAGATGTAGGTCTGATGGACATTGTTGCCGACAACAACGGAGTCTGATAGCATCCATCGATCCTTTCTGATTCCAGGCTGGTCTTTAAGTCTCAGCGGTCCCAGTCTTTTCTCATAGCCCTTTGGATCCTCGTTCCATGTCTTTTCGGTGTGGTCGAAATTTATTGCGCTGGCGGAGATGCTGGCATCCATAGTGTATCGGACAATGGAGTAGCCATTAGTCAATACCCAGAAGCTCCGCTTCTCAACTCCATTGTCGCCTTGTTCGACTGTCTCGTCAAACTGCCAGCGTCGCAGCACGGAATGGCGTCCTGCAGCTATAGCTACAGCGCTCATTTTGGCAACATCCGTTTTAAACCAGGTGTTCCAGTGATGTATGGAGTTGATTTCTTTCCCGGATTCAAAAATTCCGTCGGGCTTCCCGGTCATGTCCATTTGGTACAGTGAATCCCAAGCCGTGAGCTTTGTTTTCCCAAATTTCTCAATGCATTGCGCTAGTTTTTGGTCTCCATGTCGTTCACCAAAATCTTGGCATATCTGGTACACTGGTTGGAGAGCGTCCAACAATCCTTTTGAGATAAATACCCCGGCTCCACCGAATGCAATGTGCCCAAAGGTTTTGACCTGCCAACTTGCTTCAGACAAACCACCGATGTAGTGTTTCTTAGAGGCGTCCAGCGTTGCGAGCTTCTCTGCAATTCTCGGCAGGAAAGGGAAGAACGTATCATCATCGACAAAGCTGACCCATTTCGTGTCTGGTCGCTCTTCATCAATAAATTCCCTCAAAGCACCAACCAAGCCGAAATAACGAGCATTGAACTCCAGCGGAGAAGGCTTCAATCTGAGGTCGAGGCCACGGGTCCGGAAATAAGCCTCCTGGAAGTCAAGGTCATGTCGGTTGTCAGGCACAAGAACGAGGAGAGTAGCCTTGGTATTTCCATAGGAATATAATAGGGATGGCAAGAGGCTGTCCAGCCTCTCAACGGTTGTTGCGAGGCCAAACAGGAGCTGGCTTGTACTTTCGATAGGCAGGTCTGTGGCGACGTTGACATCCACGATCGGTGGACACGGCCAAGGGTCGGTCTCGTTGGACACCTTTAGTCCACGCTCAAGAGCGTGAAACGGTGGAAGGACCTTTCCCTCGATGGGCTCCAGTGAATTGAATTTCGTGGTTGCGGGGTGAAAGTTGGGACGCATGTAAACGCGGGTATAGTTCTTGCGAATGAGCCATTCTCCCAGGGCCACTGCTGGGGCAACTGATTTGTCGGTGTGACACAATTCGTCAGGAGTTTTGTTGGGGATATCTGATTGCGAGTGGATGGAACTGGTGGAAGCCACTCGGTTCACTGGAGAATCAACCTTGATGAGGATGGTGTTGTCATACCGATGAGTACCCCAGAAGAAGAAGAATAAGGTGGTGATCGTTGCAACAATCACAGACATCAGAACACGAACCCTTATGTGAGCCATGATGACAAACAATGGATGCTTCTGACGTTCCGGAAGGCTTTATTTTGTAGCTCTGCTCTTGGCACAGGCCCTTTTCCCCTCCCTGGTAGACAGGCTATGGGATGAGAAGGAACAAGGCAATATGCTTAAAGGAAAAGAAGGGACTGGAGCAAAGCAGAGCTAAGAGAGTGGCATCAAGGGCCTCTGGAGGACGCGAAAAGCACGCGTTGGAAGGAAGATGGAGGAAAGGAGAGTCAGGTCAGAGGTTCTGATAAACACTGGCAACCCAAGGTTCAGGTCAGGGCCATTACGTTTATCACGTGCGTGTAATCAAACTGCAGATGAATAAAGGGAAAAAATGAGAAAAGAGGATAGGGGATAGAGGGAGAACTGCACACAGCGGAGTGTGGCTTGGGATGCAGCTCTGTGTCCTGCACGGCAGCCGCACATTGATTCTACATATAGAATTCAGACTGGGTTTATCTACTCCCAGGAACCGATCTTCTGTGTGTAATTCAACCGTGAGGTATGTGCATACATTGGATCAGATATGATTATGGGATACCAATGTCTCCACAAGATTGCGCAGTATGATTATCATCCAGAAGAAAAAGGGACTCTCCGAATTCCTTCCCCCCCATGCCGGAATGCAGGGTATGGCTTTCTAAAGAAGATTGAGTTCCCGCTCAACTTCCAACGGCAACTTGGAAGTTCGAGAATGCCCCCGGTTTGCATCTGCGGTGGCCCACTATCTACCCACTTGGCAATATTTAACTAGACAACTTTCGTTGTTAGAGTTGAGTGCATGGCTTCACTGGGCCATCTCAAGCGTTAAAGCACATCCGTCCCAATCAATCTTTTCCTGAAAGGATCAGATTCATCACTTGGAATAATATACCTTCAATCTAGCCGTTACATAGGAGAATCCCTTGCTTCAGAACTTGGTTTATTTCATTTGTGACGCATCAATTTGCACCCCACAAAATGAAAAGATGGACTCTTTAAGCAGTCTGGTGGAGTTGATCTGAGTCTCCATCCTGTGACGGCAATTTTGATGGAGCATCTCTGGGAAATCTGCAGTGATAATGAATTAATTCCGTTTCAAAGTTGTCAGCCACCTCACCCATAACAGGTCTGAGCTCAAGATTGAAGCTGGACTTCCAGAGGTTTCTGTTTCCAAAATTACAGCCCCAGTAATATGAAATTGGAAGATCGAGAGACAGCAATAACTACATATAGATCAGTGAATAACAGAACAAGCCACTCCTGTATATATCCCCTATACTATCACAAAACAAATGGCGCATTTAGCAAAATGAACACTTCTGCTTCCAATTCCTCCTCGTACTTATCACCAAATGTGCTGTGATATATATATTCCTTCTCGTTTTGGCTCCCATACGGCCACAAAGCTCGAGTGAATTCCCAATACTCCGGCTTAAACCCCGCGTTTTCGAAATCGATAAGGCCATGTAGTCGGCCAGACCGAATAATAATGTTCGACATGTGGAGGTCGGAATGCGTGAATACAACCTCATGTTTCTTCTCATATAGGAGGGAAATTGGACGCTCGTGTTTACGTTTGTCGATATCGACGACATCTCGAACGAGCCGGTCCGTGAAGTCGGCCACTGAGTTATATGGACCCCAAGAGTTGTCATCTTGCCCGTGTCGATGGTCACAAATTGGACCACCCAAAGTGTTCGCGATGAGATGGTTTGTGTTGTTTGGAATCCGTCGTAGCTGTTCGATCCAACCGGCCAGGTCTTTTCCTATCTGCTCCCGCTCTTCGAATGTTGTTCGGTAATGTACGCCGTTCAATGGATGCCCAAAAATCCTTGTCATCAGGATGAACCCTGATTTGTCATCTATCACGACAGAGTCAATCAATTTAGGTGCATTTATTGTCGTATACTTCTCCACTAATAGTAAGGCGTTCGCCTCGTTTTCTGTGTACTGGCGGGACACCTTGAGGCATAGACCCAGTGGGAGACATTTGATGGAGCATCTCCTTTGGATAGGATCAAAGTACTCAACCAGTCGAACGATCAGCTTATAAAGGGGTATCCGGGCAAAGTTGGGCAGAACGCGCAAAAATCCTCGAAGCAAAAATCTCCCCGTTTGTCCAAGTGTTCTAGGCTCTATGATCATGTTAGTCGACGCATAATAGCATGATTGAAGGGATGACTGACCGGTCCACTCAGGCCAACCCAGTCGCATGTGCTCCTCTATAACATGGAAATGCAAAGCTCTGGTAATAATAATATGGGCGTTTAACAGCACATTCACTGGAAGCGGATGAGTATCCGGATTCGGTGTCGACGGGATTTTATAGAACGACTCATGCCCATCCAAAGACTCGGGTAATATATTTCGAGGTGAGACGGCTTCAACCCACCACTGTAACCCATAGATTTAGCATCCTACATATCAATTCGAACGTTTTCGGGCAACTTTACCCCACCGTGGCGCTCGTCTCTGAAAGTATGGTCTGGCATTTCTAGATAAATTGACTTCTTAATTCTGAATTGTCCATAACGAAAAGAAGCCCGTACTGGCCGAGACATTAGCCAGAGGTTTTTCAGCTCATTCTTCTGATTACGCGTCTCGAGTAAACTAAAAATCTCCTCAACTCTCTCGCGAGTTAGGAGCGCCTCCAGCATCGGTCGCAAATATCCCTAATAATCGTTAAGCGAAACACGACGAACTCCGAACACAGTTACTTAAGAAAGCTGTTGAGCATACCCCAGGGCACAGGTCGCTATCGTTCACGAGCGATGGAGCGAGTATATATATAGGCTTAACATCGACGGTTGATCCTGTAATACAGCAACGATGCCCATCTCGCTCCCTGAGACCGGCTTCAATCTGTGGAGGTACTTGGTCATCGCGACACACTACCACACTATATGAATACGTAGCCCGATGAGATCAAGTTGAAGGATAGGCACATCTCACTTTTATTTGCCAATGTCAACCAGTCCTTTCGGATCGAGCGAAGTGTCTCCTCCAAGGTGCACTGCGGGTTTTCGGATAATCGCCGAAGCACATATCGGCCTGCATCATTAGGCTCAGCAGCCCAAAGGAGGAACGAACGTAGTGCGAGAATCTCAATGGCAGATAATTGCGCAGATTCGACTTTCTTCAGGCCTGCCTGATATTCTTGTCCAAATTTATTCATCGTGATGTAGATGGGGATTTTAGGAAGAGCTTAGGAGGAAAAATGGTGATAACTCTGATGAAGAGGTGTGGGTTTGGCAGCCTTATATTTCTTCCACACAAGTTAAACGCCAACAAGCCTGCTACATAAGAACAGAGTGGAGGGTTGTCAACACAAATGCACCATGTAGCCTTATATTTAGTTAACTAACTAAGAGTGAACTAACTAGTTGACAACGCTGTAGAGTCCCACATCCGCGAGCGTGGTTTGTGAGATGAACTCTCCGCCTATTTGTCAAAGAAATAGCCGCCACATCCCTGGCCTAAAATTGGGTAATTGGATCATACATACTCACACACCTCTTTGTAACTTTTCCATACTGAACTGTATGTTCTGGAAGGCGCAAATAGTTATGTAGCTAGTTAACTCATGTGAGGTAGCTCCAGGTTATTTGAAGGCACTGCAAAAAGGAGGGTTGCTCCAGAGTTTTCTGTTTTGTTAACAGAGGACTCCATACAAAGTAATTTTTGCCATACATAGTCAACTAAGTACGGAGTGCATAGTTAGTTAACTGAGTTAACCTAGTAACCCACCTATTCTTAGCTCAGCCAAGAGTTTTGGTTCCCAAGATTGAACCTCTGGGATCTCAAGCAATATGAAAAGAAGCCCTGGCAAGATTCATGCGAAGGTCAAAAGTATTCTGGGACTGGTTAATACAGAACATAGAGTTGTTAACTACTCTGTACTTTGTATCGAGAGCCAATGCTAACAAACTACAGAGTATGGAGTATTTAGTTAAACTACCTATAATGATGCGCCAGCAATAACTAGCTCTTGAGTTAATTTGTGAGAGGACATAGAGAGCACGGTATAACTAGTCAACGTTAAGCTGGTTACTCTATACTTACTATTAACTGAAAATTCCATGCTCTCTCTATATAGAGTCAAGTTGCTTCAAAATATGTAGTTATAGCCACACAAAAAAAAACCTCCCCCCATATAACACATAGTTAATAGGCAGTCATAGTAAGAGTCAAAAAACAAATAACTCAACTCAAAAAGCCGAAGAACTCCAACTTCCAAACAATGACAGCTTGTCCAACATCCTGAATATCAATCGGGCTTCTCATAAGTCCCCAGTAACTGTCCTTGGGGTACCAGATGCTAATTTCTCTGTTCTCCAAGTGGCAGAAGGCGATCCAGGATGTGATTAGCTAACAAAACATGAGCATATGATAATCTTTCAAATCTTGACTGCTAGGAAACCCTTACTCCACATCATTGCATCTCCTTTCATTCTCTTCTGCTCTAGAAATAAACCCGACCGAGAAGCAGACCCGTAGGACCCAAGGCGTTGGCACTTATTTATTAAAAACCTGGCTTGTAACAACTGAGCGTTGTCCATTAGACGCCTGACCAGCAAAAAACAACCCTTCGTCCTCCAGTACCTCAACGTGATTGCGATCCGGTTGGAATCCGGTGTAACCTTGATCTGCAGTAACATAAATCGCCTCCTTCAACCAGGTTCGGCAGGTTTTGCCTTGGATAGGGATTTGCTCGAGCACGCCCACAAAAGCTAAGTGAAGTTCTCTTTCGAAGGCAGTGAGATTCGAAATTTTGATTGCGGTCAAAAAGTGTGTTGAATTGAGCAAGTGTGGATGCCAACGAGCTTCGAAGCGAAAAGGCCCGCCCCCGAGATTGGTATTGTGGTACATCATTCCGGTTCTCTCGTTCGCGGCAACGACCAGGCTCCAATGATACTGCCCTGGCTTTGCCATCCGGAATAAAACAACATAAAGACCTCCTGGCTCCAATGAAAGGTCATGGTTAAGTTGTGGCTCACCAGCCGGCACGGTCGAAGGGTTAGGGACGTTAGCCTGCTGAGAAGAAACGGCGAACGAAGTATTGCTCATCTTGATAGAAGTGAAAAATGAGGGCAGGTAAAACCAACAAAAGAAAAAGGGAGCAATGTAGTCTGAAGCACAGTAGATAATATTGATCGAAAGAGCTGTTTGGAATGGCGATGATGATCTGGGATGACAGACTTGATGGAGAGTGCAGCCAGATTTTATATTTCCTGAAGCATTATTTTTTTTAAGAAAAAAAAAGCTGTGAATCTGAAACTTAGGACTTTCACTAACCTGTGAAGCGCCTACCTCTTGAATGTCATGGAAGAGTTGAATGAGTAGGCGCCTATTCACGAAGAGCGCTAGGTGAAACCGTGGATCTCGGGCAAAAGCATTGGATGAGAATACAGAAGGGCTTCGAGTCAACACTGGATCCCTTCGCGCATTGGAAGCGCTAGGGCCCAACCTAGATCATCCACCCTAGTCACCGAAGCTTGAGACAAGAGCTCTGGAGCCGACACGACGAGCTAGAAATAGCCATTGGTTCTCGAAATAGCAGGCACTGGTTTGGGCGTTTCCACGGCATCTTAGATCGACATGACGGGTACTTATCCATTGGTGTTTCAACATGGCTGGCGGCACAGGAGGAAGAAGGTGCTGGCACCGGGCCGTTCTCCGCAGAGCACTAACTTGAAGCTCGGCGCATAGCAGAAAGGAATGAAACGCATGCAGAGAATGAGGTACTCCACACGGAGCACGTTCACGAATTCGATGAGTCCTCTATGTATGGAACCACAATTGGTGCATATGATTCGATCAACGAGCCTCAGTATCGTGCCAGGATGAAGAATGTGATGATCCTCTTTGCTCGTCGGGATTGCTTTGGGACTTGGCGCTTTGCCTTAGTAGAAGGTTGGGCCCATGATGATCCCCGGCGCTTATTTTCAGCCGCAGGGTTGGCCGGAAAATTACTTGGCAGCGCTAATTAAGCTTTAGCCTCATTTGATCACAGGGTTGTTCCTTGTGCGAGTGGTCATGCATATGTGCCTGCAGGTGGTTCCCATAGATTCAGCCGGCTTGGTCTGTTGATACTCCTTTCAATAGTTAACGGACTTCCAATCAAAGCGCAAGATCTTCCACCTGAGTACGGAGTATATCTGGCGAACTATCGAGGGCCTTCTCCCAAAGATGTAAATTTAACCGCCGTTCAGAACACTGCGCAGTCTCCTTTTGGTTGATAGGGAGCGGGTTAGCAATGCGGAAAAACGCTTGCTACAGTCCGGCTAGAAGAGGATATCCCGTAGCGGCTCCTTGACGAGAGGTGCTGTAATGCGGACGAGTCGCCGCAAACCTTCCAACTTGACATGGATTTCCTGCTAAGCTCAGTCACGATTGACATTGGCTGGCCCATGTTTTGTAGCCGAGGAACAAGTTGATTTGATATGATATTTAGTTGTCCAGTCCGGTTCCTGGCATCTAGAGGGTATGGTCCACTGGCCTTACTGGAGCTTTTCATTCTTTAGTGTTGAACCAGAATTGATAGCGTCATCGCAGAACTGCGCTGTTGCCGGCGATAAATATGCTCAAATCCTAAATTAATGTGGAGCGTGGCAGCGAACGTGAGGACACTATATTTGGATCGAAGGCATAATTTCACAGCTTTGAAAAAGCTAATACTGACAGAGGGGATATCCGCTGGGATGTTTGATAACTCCATGCTCAATGGGAGCTGATCTTGAACCCCGAATTGAGTGACGGGAAGACTTCAACAGACATGATCACATAAATAGACCATTTCCACGGAGACAGTCCATTAGTCCAACAAAGTCTCGTTTCGGCCATTAAATTGGTCAACGTCTCGCGGTATTCTTCGAAAGGACAGGGAGCATTCGCGCACATCGGCAATCTGGGTGCCTCCTCAATGGCTGATATCAGCAATTCTGGCTTATCTTCCCGAATCAACTCTACGTAGAGCCAATATAAAGCCCATGATTCTCGGTGCAGGCTTTAACTATAACACCCAGTACATGCCTTGGCAACCCGGGATTGACATAGGGGTGATGATGCTGACTGATGACACGATTGCTGCTGGTAGAACATCAGTGCTCATGGCAACCCGGGTGAGAGCGCAAGTCGTGGGGAGGGAGCTGCTGTATTGCAGAGTGCTAGTGATTTTGTCACCCACAGTACAAAGTAGCCAACATCTCGGGCATTCGCGTTCCCCTTTGTCATTGGAATGGTGGGACATGATGGTCCTTGCGTGCGGTAAGGGCGCAAGCACTTACGACCAAAAGGAGGGCTTCACAGGCAAAAAGGTTCACACAGGGGAAAGGGTTTATTGCCCTAAAAGGCCCCACCAGCCTAGTTTGGTTTCATGGGTATCTTGTTGTGTACTCCGTACGTCGTAGTCATGATGCCGTTGAGACTGACTTTTAACCGAGCCGGTTAGAGTTCGTTTGCACTGTTTGCTCGTTATCCCCTCTCCGCTGCTGAGGATCGGCGCAAGTTGACTGAGTGCTACGGAATTACCGTGGAACGTATGTCAACTCACTCCTGGCTGATACGGCTGTATGAACCGTTTGTGAACCGCATCAATTCTCTCGTTATAGTTGATCAATTATAGTTTAAAATTTTGTTTCCCTCCTCTCTGCCTAGCGAACCGAATCTATTGCCGAGCATACGGAATGGCAAGGCAAGAAAGGAAAACTATAGTCGTCGTCGGGTGAGGCTACGGTCTTTTGTCAGGCCCCAGTTCCATTCGTAGGGGGGCAATCAACTAACATTCATGCAGAGCGGGGGTTCTTGGTCTCTCCTCGGCGCTCACTTTGCTGAAAACACTCCCTTCCTCTAAATATCAGATACTTCTTGTAGCGTCCTACTTTTCATCCGATGGCCCGCACCCGTCTTATCCAAGCACAGCAGCAGGTGCTCATTATCGACCTATCCCGGCAACTACTCCCCAATTAAAATATGAAGCCGGTCTTGCCAAGATAACATGCGATCGGTTTAAGAAGCTTGCGTCGGAGCATCCTGAATATGGCATCAAATTCATGGAAGGCATTGAATATATCTCGGGCGAAGTTGCACCAGTATACAAGGCGTTACCCCCTGAATATACCCAGCTAGATGGATTTCGTGTGCTCAATGATGATGAAAAGCCCCCTGGGGTTGACTTTGGAGCCAGATATGAAACATATACCCTTGATCCAGAAATATATCTAGCTCACTTATTACGACGATATAGACTTGATGGCGGCGAAATAAAGAGAATGGAGTTGGCATCTTTGCAGGAGGCGTTCGAGATCGATGGATATGACGTAGCTATGGTTGTTAATTGTAGTGGGATGGGATTTGGCGACCCGAATACCTTTATTATCCGCGGTATATTCAACTCTACTGAAACGCGAGATTCAGGAGTCACAAGAATAACTTCTCATGCAGGACAAACTTGCCTCGTCGCGAACACGTGCGATAAGACTATAACGCGACAAGATGCTGACGGATGGAGCTTTCTTATCCCTCGTCCCTTAGAGGGTGGCACTATAGTGGGCGGAACCAAGCAGCCAAACGATTGGAGCTCTGTACCGATAGCAAGCATACGAGAAACTTTGCTCGAGAAAGCTGCCAAGTTGTATCCCGCCATATTAAACGCTCAAGGGAAGTTTGATGTGATACGGGACATTGTTGGTCGTCGTCCAGCTCGAGAGAGAGGTCTCCGACTTGAAGTCGAGACACTCCCGAAAACTGCATCCCCAAAGCGGACCGTAGTGCATGCTTACGGGGCCGGGGGGCGGGGATATGAGCTTAGCTGGGGAATCGCGGAGGAAGTGGTAAGAATGGTGAAGGACAATCTTCAGGAGAGGCTTCATAGTCGACTATAATGTCCAAATAGTCCCTCCCATTAAAAACCATATACGAGATAAAGAGAATCAACGCAGGATTGCACAGTTGCTATGAAGAACAGAAACTGCGGGAAGAAAACCTAACTTCTACCAGCCCGGCAACGTTGACTACGAATAGAGGCTCTCGGGGTATGGGTTTGGGGGGGAAAAAAGGGAACCGCCAGGGGTCATAGGATAAAAAATATGAAAAAAGAAGTGCCAAAGTAGCATGTCTTGGTTTCGATCCAAGGTCCTCCGGGTTATGAGCCCGGCGCGCTTCCGCTGCGCCAACATGCTGTTGTTGTGTGGATTTGATGACACGAGTGATTCATACTTCGTCGAGCACTGCAAATTTCTCTGTGGGTGGGTCGTAGAGATTTTCTGGTGGAGATGAGTCACCACAGCACAAATCCGAGAATTTGCCGGCAAAAACAATAAACTGATTGGATTCTCAACGCCGTTGGATTCCTTTTTCTTTTCTTTTTCTTTGTTACTTACGAAGTACTTTCTTTCCTTTTTTTTTTTTTTTTGGTTCCTCCCCTGAGAAGGTCACTGCGTTGAATAGACTTCGAAAGACGAATAATAATGCATCGTGTCATGTTTCTAGATGCAAATTCGCTGATCCTGGCAGTGAAAAGTGGCGACGGATAACCGTTTTCACTTAGCTTTCTGGTTACTCTCGCCGTTTGATGTGAGCCAGGTTTGTTGAACTGGCTCATTGAGCATGTGATTTTTTTAACCACCATAGCAGAAATGGGGAGGATTTGTAAACCATAGATCCACTAGTCCCGATACATTTATGTCGGAATATACATTTATCCAAATCCACAGTTGTTTGGAAGTTTAAAAATATATATGTTCTGAATTCAGAAACATAGCTTCCAATCCTCAACATAGAAATCAGGAAACATTCAAACCCCTGATCAACAAATATATCTAGGAACATTTGAGATACCTTTTTGGGTTTATAAATATTTATAGTATAGAAACCATTATAGTATAGAAACCATTATAGTATAGTTACTCCAGCAGACACTGGAGAGATTTCAACTAATGCATAATACTACATACATTAAACCACCCAATTCATCTATAAAAAGAAAATACTCCAAGTACAGTTGAGAAAGATAGTTAGCAGAGCAGAATCCAGTTCAAGTCTTTCAGAATCTTTACTAACAGGTATTGTGTAAAGGCTTGATTTGCAGATTGCAGGTAGATTAATTATATGAATCTCATCCCAATTCACCTGCAAAATCAGCAAATCCAGTACCCTCTCATGCTGAATTTCATAAGCAGAGAATATGGCAAAAAAAACTCTCCAGCAGCTGCCCTGGTTATAGGTGAATATGCACCTTATTTGCCTGATCTTGGTGCCCAATGCACAAGTATACTTAACCAGATCATTAAGTTTCAATGTAGTGTAATGCACATCTTTATTGAATGTAAAGGTCAGCTTTTGAAACAATCAGATTGGAGTTGAACCTTCATCAAGCATATATTAATATGCCCAATTACTGCTGTATCAAAGTTGGAGCTTTTGCAAAAAGAAATGCATAATTAGTAGTTTGAAAAGCCATGTGCTTTGTAAATCAAGTAATTTCATGACTTTACAGCTAGCTGGTAAAGTGGGGTATGATGGGATGCCTCATCAAAGTAGGCAAGTTGGTTGAGATGGTGAGAGTGCAAGAAGAATGAAAAATCACAACATAGTAAGAATGGTAATGGCTGAGTAGTAAGAACAGAGAAGCATGCCTTAATGGATACCTAAGCTCATAAGAAATAATAGTACTAAAGAGCCTGTACTAATACAGGCAGCTCTAATAAGAAACAGTAGCAAGCTTCATGAACAAGAGATCTTCATATTCTCTAACTAATAACCAAACTAGCAATAAAGAATGAGTGTGTAGAAAAGTATAAAGATGTGTGAAGATATTGAGCAAGATGCAGGAGCTATAGATGATTTATATAGCTCAGAGATAGTAGCTGGGGGAGTTTTGTGCCTCAGACTGGAACAATCTTTGTTCTAATATGATACTGGAATCCTCACTACATTTTCTTCTGACTTTTAATGTTAGTGTCCTCTGACAACAGGCAACATATGAAACAAAATAAAGACAATTTAGTAAAGAAAATAAAAGACTAAGAATTAGTAACAATCTGGTAAGAAAAAAGATAGGAAATAAGAATAAAGAGAGTGATAGCAGTAATTTCTAATAGTGATTATCATAATTCTCTTCTTTCATCAAGTTCTCAGAAGAAGGAGAAGGCCAAACTGATACTGGATCAATGTTATTGTGCATACAATGTCAATATAATTTGTTATCAAAAGCTTTCTTTTCAATTTGGTATGTCTTGATAATGGCATCTAAAGCAATTTGTGTGGCCTTTAGACACCAGTTATTAATGAAGTTCTGAGCCTTCTTCTTTTCTGGTCCAAAGAGAGTATCAAGCTTCTTAATTATTATAGAGTTGTCCCATCTAATTCAGTCTATCAAGACATCCAATATAGCTCCTAAGCCTTGCAATTGAATAGCAGTAGAGAATTAATATGGAACTGATGCATAACAGTTTGAATGGCTGGAAGATGATGATGGCCCTGGAACTAGATCTCTATATGCAGCAGAGAGCTGTAACCAGATACTAGCTTTATTGACTTTAAGATGTTTATGGTCCTTCTGGATTGCCACATATCAGAGTAGTATAGTATACTGAACCTTTTTGCATGGACCATGAGCTCTATAAAGCAGCAGAGGGCTTGTAATTTGAATATTACCAGATTTGCAAATGATGTCAGTCCATCTAATATCAAATTTTCTTTCATCATCTTTGGTATACATTGTATTCTTAATGTGGTGAATATAGCTATCAGTAAATAAGTCTCATTCTTCAACTAGTTTCTACTAATTCTCTAGATGGTTATGCATTTCTGACAAGATTTCTATGCAGTTGCTGGACTCTTCTGCCATTAAGGTCAAGAATTCTTGTATTATGTTAACATCTCTTCCAGTAGTAATAGCATCTGAAACATTGACATTAATATGGTAAAATCTAGTTTTATCCCCTGGCTTAGCATACTTGACATAATATGGATAGGAGATTAATTTTCAAGTGTGATTGGGTCTTGTCAGCACATATTATAGATAGTATACAGAGTTCTGGTGCATGAGTTGTTGGCTGATACTATAATACATTGTTCTCAACTATCTATAATTGTCACAATCTCCCATTATTTACTGATGATGATAATACATATTATATTCACTATTGACTCAAGTGAGTACTGTAGTGGTAGTGTCTTGTAACTTATCATTTCACCAGCACATTAGCTAGAGAATAATAACAGATTCAGTAGTCTTCCATTTCTTTTAAAGATTGCTGGTGATGAACTTGTTAACTTCAGTAATTCACACATATCAGTTAGAGTCAAACATTCTCATGTTTGTGACCAGAGAGATAATTAACTGATGTTTGAATTTATAAATGCCTAAAGCATCTTCAGCTCTAGCTAGTCTATTTGCCAAACAGAACCAGAGATAGGTACTGTCATTAGTCTTGACTGAGTTAATGTTGTGACAATTTCTATGAATGTGAGTCAAACAATTGAGAAGCTTCTCTCTATTAAGTATGTGAGTCTGCAATCTGAGTTTTGAAGCTATTAGTTTTGCATGATCATAGCATAAATAGATATCAGCTTTCTTATCACTAAATGCCTTTTCTAATTGCTCCAGAATGTGAATAAGCTCCAATTCTGAACACATTTTAATACTTTTTATCTTTTACAGGAGTTACTGTTCAAATCTATGACAATAACAAGTATCAGAGCATACTGCCATGATAGATTCTTCACACTCATGTTGAGATATCTCTTCATCACTTTCAGAAGAAATAACAGACTTATTATTATTGTCTAAGTCTTGAAGAGTTTAGTGTACCAACATGACTGTAATTCTTTCACTGCAGCACTTCAGAGCTTCTGATTGACTGGATGAATTAGCCAGCATGCTGGTGAATCCAAATGATGGCTGTAATTGGCCAGTTTCAAATCCATGTGATCTAATTAACATTATGCTATATATAGAGGCTCCCAACACATTGCAGCTATATGGCATAGACATTTCACTCATTGGAATATCTCTTGATAATCTTGGAGACTGCAGTTCTTCCAGTAGATCTTGAGAGCTGCTTGCAGTGGGAGAACTTCTAGCAATATTCTGAATTGAACATTAGAAGCTAGATGACTGTGGAAGAGCCAACAGCTGTAGAAGACTGTAGTTGTTAATGATAAGACTTCATCAGCATAGAGCATCTCTTGAAGAAAGTTCACATATACAGTTAACTTCTTTGTCAGCTGTAGTATAATCACCTGACAATATAGCTAAGCTTCAGCAATATCCAGCCTCTATAGCATCTAGTCTTCAGAGCACTGTGCTGTTAATATTATTGGTGAACTTATCCCAATTCTTGTAGATATTTAAAGTATGGCAAAGCTTTTGTGCTACCTACAGGCTCTCTACTTTTAATTATATAGCATCAATCCTGTTAATATCTCATGTAGTGACAAGTCTATTCTTGATCTTTTGTATATCAATGCAACATCATTCAATATTCAGGGTAATCTTTCAAGCATCATGGAAATCAGCTTCAAAATTGGCATGTGTAACATGTTGCCAAGCTCTGAATCTTTCAACATATTAATAGAAATGGGCCACTAAGTCAGTAACCACATCAGTCACTTGCATCAGTGTATTCATTAGCTCAATCTGTAGGCTGTAGCAACAGTGCAAAGCTTGATTATCAATGTATTTCATAGCTACTGTTAGATTATTGAAGAAATGGCCATTCAGGTTGACTCTACTGTCTCTGATAATGACCAGACCTTGGTTTGCAGGTGCAGGGGCTAGAGGAGGCAAGTTGCTTTGTCCAGCCATTTTGAAGAATATTGGTGATTCAAAAAGAATTGCAAATGTCAGAATAACAAAATAGAAGACAAGAAGAAGTGTTGAAAATGTTAAATCTGTGAAAAGAATCAAGCTTGAATGTAAAAGATAGTAGAAGCTTCAGGAAAGAAAAATCAGTTTTTAAATATCTTCTGAAAAATTCAGAAAAAGTGAAGGCTTCTGCAAATAATAAAGAAAGAGAAACTTCCCAAATAAGCAAGCAAAAACTTTACTTTGCAGGCAAATAAAAGAAATCTTTCAAAAGAGCAAGCAAAAACTTCACTTTGCAGGCAAATAAAAGAAATCTTCCAAAAGAGCAAGCAAAAACTTCACTTTTGCAAACAAAACACAACAAATTAAACATCTTGTGAAGATATAACAACAGCAAAGCTCCAGTCATCTGGTATAACAGTTAGTAATTGTGTTTGCTTCATTTCTTCTTGATTATTTTCATTTTTGCTCTTACTCTGATCTTGGTCATCCTCTCTATCCAAGAAGCTAACATCTGAGGAACTGCTAGAGAGAATATTAGACTGGCTTCTTGTGGCATATTTTTGAGAAACATTCTCCATCTCTTCATCTGAATCTGCTGGACTATTACTGAGCTGCTCCATTCCAGATCTTATAAGATACTTCTTTAATCTGCCTCCTGCAATAGATTCTTTGATTTCAGTGCCATCTAATTCTTCAAGATGATAGGAACCTAGTTCTTGATTGGCAGACTTAACTCTATTGGATTCTAGCCATTAAAAGTACAGGATGTTGTTTCTAGACATATTCTGTTCTTCTTTGGTATTGTGAAGCAAGACAAGATCTCTGAATTGAAGAGAGTTGATCCAAATATTATGAGTATCATTAAAGTATTTCTTATTCTTAGTGTATATTCAGAGCTGATGATGTACTGCTTCCAGAACATCCTCATCTCATCATTTAATTTAGTGTGCATACATCAGAAGAAGATCTTCAGTTGTTTGAACATTTCATTATGAAATTGTTTGTCAAGTGAGAATCTCAAGTTTAACTGAAAGAACTGTCTTCTGGCCTATTAGTAATCTATAAGAGAAGATACCAGTACTAGCCTTAGTCATTATTCAATCTGCCATCAGAATTACAGAAAGATATTTAATTCAATTTCTTCCAGTACTATTGGTGACTTTAGCTAATTCATCAGTCAAAGACTTATAACCAACTTCTACCATATCATTTGCAGAAGAATTATAGGGTGAAATAATAATGCATTTGATGTTGAATTTCTTCAGTAAGGTCTCCATAACATTCTTATTCTCTGATTCTCCATTCATAACAAATTTGGCAGGCAGGCCCCATTAATAGATGATATTCTCATAAAGAAATTTGGCCACAGCTTCAGCTGTTGCCTTCTTTAATGCTCTAGCTTCCACTCATTCAGTGAAGTTACATCTTGCAACAACCAAATAATTTCATTCTCAACAGAAAGGCATATGTTTGATATCTATCTCAACTTTCTTTCAACAGATAGAAGCCCAGATAGAATGAAGCTCTTCACTTAATCTTTATGAATCTCTTTGTTGACATTGAGAACAGTACTTTATATAAGCAGACATGTCTTTATACATCTCTGACCACCAGTATCAAGCTTGTAAGATAGAGTATGTTCTCTCTCACTCTTTATAGTCAAATTTATCATGCATCATATGTAAAATTTGTTTATATTGTTCTTTGTTGTCCACAACACATCTTAGAGACACATCAGATTCTGCTCATCTAAATAGTTGATCAGCCTCCACCATATATTTAATTGCTTTCTTTCAGAATCTCATGTACTTCTTTCCTTCCATGCCCAATAATTTTGATAGAGTGGTTAGATACCATGCAATTTTCTCCAATTCTTCTGAATATATGAAGTCCAGTATCCTAAGGTCTTCACTATTGAGAGCTTGGCCAGCTAAAACTCTTATAGAATTCATAAAGGCAAACAGATCTTCATCTTCTTCAGATTCAGGTTGTTCTCCAGTATCTAGTTCTCAGCAAGACAGTCTATCAGCAGCTGTGTGTTTCATTTCAGGAATATGTTTAACAGTAAAATCAAAGAGACATATTCAAGCTATTCAATTAGTAATCAAAGCTTCTGGAACATCTGTAGCAGTTCTATTAAGTTGGGTGACAAGAGTTTTTGCATCAATTTCCAAGGTAAAGAGTACTCTATAGATATAGTGTTGGAATTTCTTGAAGACTTTCAAAACAGCTCTGCATTCTTATTTGCCAGCATTATATGTTTTCTCTGAATTATTCCATACTCTGGATTTATATCATGTGGAATGTTGAGCCTCTTATTGCTTCTGAATAATGCATTCTCCCCATTCTAATCCACTGGCATTAACAGTTACAGTGATAAGCAAAGGATCTTGTCCATAATTGATTGAAAGAACAATAGAGAATGAATATAACTTTTTCTTCAAAAGCATAAAGATGTCATTTTGCTTTTCAGTTCATGATCATATAATATTTCATTAAAGCAGATAATATAAAGGTTTGGTTATTCAACTGTAATACTCTGTAAGTATTCAGAAATATCCAGCAAGTTCTAGAAATTCTTATAATTCTGTAACACTTGTAGAAGTAGGTCAATTTGTAATTTTAGCCACCTTAGTTTTCTCAGATCATCATTTATTATAGTTACAGATCCATCCAACAACATTGACTCTAGACATGCAGAATTGAGATTTGATGCTGGAGATTCTAGCTCCAGAGATTTTAACAAGCCATAGAATATAGTCCAGATTCTGCAGATGGTCATAAATAAATCTTCTTATTTCTGAAAGAACTTCAGTTTCATCTTTAACATATGATCTCTTTACTTCAAGATCATTCATAAAGACTCAAGCAATCTCTGGAAAAACTTCTTGTATAATCTTCATTATCCCACATTGGGCTTGAGCTGACAAATTCATTACCTCTTGGACTAAAGTTGTATGGTAAAAGAGCCCAATAGAGATTATAATGGCTGTCATATTTCTGCTCTCTTCAGCTAATGAAAAATTATCATATTCAGAGAACAAGTCATATAGGCTAGCTATAACAAGTCTGCTGAAGTCTTCAGTGTATTCATTAATATTAGAAGAAATAAAAGCATCTCAAATAGTAACTTTGTTGTACATATGTGCTGTGTTAACTAAACAATATTTGCCTTTCTGTTTCTTTGCAATCAGAAAATAGAGGTTGATATATGAATCATGGCAAGGCTTTAATGTTTTAGCTTCTAACCTGTTCTGAATGATTTTAATTAGCTTATCATGTAGAGCATGAGAAATTTGGTAAGTCTTAGTCTGCCAAGCTTCATGAGATACTGTCTTAATAACCTGCAGAGGCAAGCATTCAGAATGAATGTCATATAGATCTTTGAATGATTACATCAATGTCTCTTCACATTTATAAAGAACTGATATGAAAAATTCCTTCTTCTAACTTGTTAGTTCAAATCCAATTTTGAGCTTCTTAATTCTCTCATTTGTTAGCTGTTCTCCAACAGGAAAAGATGCAATTCTAGATCTAATATAGTTATCAAATTTACAATTAAATATGATGTGTTTCTTCTCAGAAAAATACTTATCCAAACAAACATTCATTCAATTATCTAGGCCTTCCAGTTTGCTTCCATCAGATTTTCCAGATGCTAATGATCTTATCTTATCAGCTTTTCACTTATAAGCAGTGCACACTCTCCAGGCTTCTGAAGAAGATAGTCTAATGTCTCAGCCACTATTGAAAATGTCAACTTGACACAATTTCTTCATGACAAAATCATGATTTTTGTTCAGAGATCTGTAAATTGATTGAGCACTTTGTGAAATAGGTTTTTGAATTAAGCTGGAATTAATATCATGTGTATAATATTTGCAGTGAGCCATAATGCTGTCTGAATCAGGAAGTGGAGGACAGAAAATCCAAACTTCTGATATAAAATTATTCTTGTTCTCTGATTGATCCATTTGATTCACCAGTGTGCTGGTCAATTCAATTAGGCTTAGCATGCGTTTGGATTCACCATCACTGGAACTATATTTCTCCTTATCACTATAGTCACCAATGCCAGTACTGCTGCCAATGCTCTCAACTTCTCTATTCTTTTCAATCTTCTGATCTTCAATCTTCTCATCATTAATTCTTATATCCATCATCTTTATCACATTTTCTTCATTCTCTTCAGGCCTTGTATTCACAGGCATCTGCCTGATTAAATACCTGTTGAATTATTTAAATGATTACTGTTCAATTTATCAGTTGCATATCTCATATTGCTTGAGCTTGGCTTAAAGTCTTCAAAAACTAGACAATACATTCATTTCTTGTTATAAATTTTACAGTTCACTTCTCTGTCATCTGAAGTGTTGCATCCCCAACAGACAGCAAATTGTCAAGATCTTCCAAGAATAAGTTGCTGATCTCCTCCCTCAAATATAAGAAAAGAGGTATAAGTAATAATATCTCTGATCTGAACAGGCACTTCATCACAAAATGTGTAAAAAGAAGTAACTTCTCTCATTTGAACAATTATAGTCACTTACAGCTTATTTTCCATCAGCAGATTTAACATTTCAGCATACTTTCAAGACAACAAATTGATTTCTGAACCAGTATCAATCAATGTCATTAATTCTTGTTGGTTTATAGTGACTGGCACATATAACAAATACATTCCATATGCTGTTTTGGATTTTGGTACCATTGTAGTGGGATTCCAGTACCATATTAGGACAAAGGTTGTTCCGGTCTGAGGCACAAAACCCCCCCAGCTACTATCTCTGAGCTATATAAATCACCCATAGCCTTTGCATCTTGCTCAATACCTTTGTGCACCTTTGTACTTTTCTACACACTCATTTTTTATTGCTAGTTTGGTTATTAGTTAGAGAATATGAAGATCTCTTGTTCATGAAGCTTGCCACTGTTTCTCATTAGAGCTGCCTGTGTTTAGAGTGGTATCCAGTTCCAGAATTTCCCGTCCCAGTCCCAGATTCCTGTCCCAATTCCTGTCCCGAGGACAGGATCAGGTTGAAGCTCAGCTTAATGGGATGGGACTGGGTTGTTTAACAGCATATTGGGACAGTTCCGTGGGAACTGGGATTGGGATGGGATTGGGACCAGGATCAAAATCTAGCTAGTAGGATGGGCCCGGGACCTGACATGACAAAATGGGATAGGACCAGGATTTCAATATTGTATATGAGATGGGACCAGTAAAGTGTAGGATGGGACCAGGAACTCCAGTCCCATTTGTGTTGTCAAAAAGTAACAAAATTTGGTAATGGTCCTAACATAATTTTATCAATTTATTCAACTTCAGAAAAGTACTGAAATTTGGTAATGCTCTTTGCATAATTGGATCATATTGCAAGCTATTAGCTACTTGAGTCTATCTATTGATAATGTTGATATATTTCCTGTTTCTCATCTGAATTAAGTAGTGGATTTAGCAGGCTTGCAATCTCTTCCTGTACAATCTCTGGGGTATCTTGATCATCTTGATTATCTTGAATGACTTTCTTGACCAACTTCTCATATGATATGAGTGCTTCATCTAGCATATGCATCTTATCTCCATGTTTAAGCAGCATGATCTTCTTGATTGTAGATGCATGGAGCTGCAATTATTGATAATGACATGTATCCCAAGCAACATTGAAAATCCATTCTACTCTAACTTCTGTCAAAGATATAGCCAGAATGTCTTTTGCCATCTGAGTAACAGTTGGAAAATCAGGCTCTAGCATTCTCCACTGTTTCAGAATTGGAGCTCAAGATGATGTCAAATTCTTGTTATTTAAATATCACTCCATTTCATTTTGGAAATTTGCTTGTCTTTGATAGGGTCTCTCAAAAATCATTTGCTCAATATTCTAGAGAAGTTAGCAGAGAAGAAATCAGAATAATACTTATAACAAACATACATCATTCACATCAAGTATTACTTCTCTTGGCTGTTCATATTTCTCATAATACTTTTTGTAAAACCTCAAAATATATTGTTGATATGTTTCACACTCATCACTGGTCCAATCCTCTGAATCATATGCTCTCATGTGGCATGATGGATGGAGGGCAGCAGCTACAGCTAGCAGCTCACTCTTTAGATGCTCAGTATCACTATAGTATTTCTGGAATTTCAAGTTGGCAGCTTTAATAGCTTCTTGAATGTTCTCTCTTGTTATCAACTGTTGAGTCTTGTCCTTCTCTCTTTCTAAATGCTGGAAAAGATAATTGTATGTTGCCCATACCAGATAAATTGTTGAGTCTGTTGTTTTGGACAGTATCTTGGTAAATTAACTGAATGACTGCAACAGTTCAATCATATACTCTAGCTGCTTCCAGTCATGATCCAATAAGCAAAGTCTTTAGTATTTTGATGATAAGTTCTGGATTCATGAGTTCACAGCTTGTCAAAGCAACAAGGCACAAACACACATCTTATAGATGGAATTCTATCTTGTGTGAACATCTTGGATCATCTTGTGCTGGTTCTCTTGTTGATATTCTCAGAAACATGCAGCAAGTTGGGGGGAGATATTGATTGCATTGACAACAAGATGAATCTATTATCAAGCAAAGATTAGTAAATCAACTCAAGTATATCAAGACCATTATCAAATTTTGTTATCTTTCTAAGAGTATTTGTAAATGTGTCTGTTGATGCTAGATCATCAGTAATTGAGCTCTTATCAAAGATAGTGGGTAGAGTATTATTGTCTGGCTGAATCTTGAGATTGCAAACCAGCTCTTGAACCACAAGTTAAATTATATAAGCAAGACAGAGTATTGTTCCATTCTCTGCATTCCAATCAGTTGTCTTGTTCAACTGCTGCAATGCTGGCCTTAACTGATGTGTAAGATGTGCTTGCATGGTATCATTATTTGATGCATTGTTACTTGTAATTGCAAGAAGATTGCTCTCAAGTCTTCATGCTGCTAGTGATTATTGGAGAATTTCTGCCATATTCTTGCCAGTATAAGCACTCTCTAAACTTTTAAAATCCAGTAAATGCTTACAGTACTCCCAATTCTTTGTAATGTAATAATTATTAATTGCCATAAAGGCAAGATTATTGGGACTTGTCCAATTATCCACTGCCAGAGATACCTTGATTATTGGGTCATGGTTAAAGAGAAGATTTCAGAATAGCTGATTGTACATATCATTCATGACCTGATATAATGTTCCTCATGTGGGTATCTGTAAAGCCATTGCAGAATTGAGTATGATTATTAATGTGCAGAATGCTGGATTCTCAATAGCACAAAATGAGAGATTCAAGAATATTAATGTTTGCACAAGCTGCTGGAGGAAATTGTCTCAATTATATTCAGGAACAGGCAGATCTGAATCTGTTCAAGAATGCTTCAGAAACTGTTGCTAAGACACCAGGACCATTACTAAAATTCATTACATTTGGGAAATTAGAATCCATGATCTACCATCATGTTAACCAGAGTGTTATTCTGTCCATCATCAGTTTTTGTACAATCTTTGCTTGTTAAATGCTTCTTCAGACCACTTGTATCATTTCAAGAAAAGCTTGAATAACTGAGAAAGGTTTGGCAATGCTTGCAAATCACTTCTGAAGTGCTCTTAGAATGCTCTGCCACCTGATCAAATTTTGACCAAAAATCAGAATGGTGTTGCTTTGCCTTTCAGTTGGGGTCACCATGCTTCTTATCATTAATCAACTGAGCAGCTTCAGTAGTCAACCATCAAGTAATAAACAACTTATGATGCAGCTCCTTCCACAATACAAATTGTTTTTTTTCATGTTGAACTATGATCAATTCTGAAGAAATCTCTGTAGATTTTGCTTGTTTGCTGGCTTCAGCCATTAGATTTTTCTTTTTTTTTTTTTTTTTTTCACAATCAAATTGATTTTTCTCTAAGTTCTGTCTTAGTCAAAAAAGTAACAAAATGTGGTTAGAGCCCACACAAAATTTGACAATCTCTAGATAGTTAGTCTCATTTTACTCTGTAAGTACAGCAACCAACTACAAAATCTTCTTCTTCTACAAAATGGAACATTCTTCTTCAGGAAAATAAAACATTTTGTCAATTTAATAGTACCCCATTCTCAAATTAATATGAAAAAAGAACTAAAAACCTAACTTCCTTCTCTAGATATCAATAATCCAATCATCCTCTGTCTCATTGTCCTCCTCATCATTCTCATCAGAGAACACTACAATCTCAAAATCATCTTCCTTCATCTTCTCTTGGGCAGGTGAGCTGTTGTTGTCTTCACTCAGACCCTGTAATTGGTTCAGGAATCCTCTCATCTTCTTCTCAACCCCCTCTCTTGACACACCAACCACAGCAAGACAATCATGATTATGGGCCATGATCTTGGCCTCAAGCCTGGCTATCATTTGGCAGAATCAGGCCTCTCTATGTGCAGCAATAGGATGCTGTGCCTGGCTTGTTTTGGCCTAAATATGTCAGAACTGTTACCAAATTTTGTTACTTTTGGATTCTACCTTCTTTTTCTGTCAAGCTTCATTCTCAGCCTCTGTAGCCTCTTCTCAGCAATGCTTCTTCTCTTTCTCCCTCTTCTTTTACTGAGAGACCATGAGCTGGTGCTCATGGTACTTCTTTGACTTATTCTTGACAAATTGCTTGGCCATCAACTCTTCAATGGCTTTATCTTCAATTGTCTTGTAATCCTTCTCACTACTATTCTGTCTGCAATGGATGTTAATATGATTCAACACAAACTACTGAGAGTGCATACCACTTATGTTTTGCTTGGATTCTCTTCAGCATGTCATGACATGCCTTGTAATCTGTCTCTCCTGTCTTGAATATGTCTTTTTGATGGCCTTTCAAGACCTGACAGTGCTCCCATGCCACATGGGTCTTCTCTCTTATTGAATATTATTTTGGCCCCATCTTCACAATTATATGCAATGAGTTGAATTGCTGGCTACAGAATAATGAGATTATAGAGTATATTGATCAAGTACTTGCATAGAATGATTACTATACACATTATTTACATTCTACAGGCATATTGCTATGGGCAAGCTCAACACATTGTTGCTATGCTGGCTACAGGATAATGGGATTATAGAGTGTATTGATCAAGTACTGTAGAATGGTTACTATACACATTATTTACATTCTACAGACATGTTGCTATGGGCAAGATCAATGCATTGTTGCTATGCTGGCTACAGAATAATAATATCAGGTCAGTCTCTCTTCTCTTCTCTTTCTCTTCCTCTTCTTCTTCTTTCTCTTCAGAACTAATATTGATGATTCCCCTCTTCTTCTTCTTCTCCCTCCACCACCTTTTTATTTACTGCACTTCAACATCTGCATGTACAACAAACATATACTGCGACAAAATGAGTTGTGTTAAGAAATGAGTGCTTGCAGAATACTGCTCTGGTGCACATTGTTTACTGACAAGATGTTAGTTTTCTCTGTGCATGTCCATTTCACACAGCTGGAGAGAAGTGGCACAAGACTGTATTAAAAGAATGGGCCCTAAAGAAGAGCAATTGGCATAAAGCTAATAAAGATATTGACCTGGCCAACTTTGATCAGGAGAATCCCTGCCTCCACCCCCCTGTTCAAAATTGAAAGGCCAGCACTCATATGTCAAAAAGTAACAATTTTTGGTAACAGTCTTGATGCTAATTGGTGAAAATAGGTGCCATTAAGAAAATCTGCCACTTCCAGAGCTCTACTGAGCTAATCTTGCCAGTGGCCCTGTTCCAGTAATTGGTTCAGGAAATTACTTTGTCCTGTCATCAAGAACATGAATATTACTGGCAATGTACTGTCATTGAGTCACTTCAGAAGACAGCTGAAGTAATCTTGTGTGCTCTATTTGAGTGTAAGTCATTCTTAGTAATGGCATCAACAATTATACTGAGTAATATAGGCTCTGTTATGACAATGGTGCACTGTAAGCACATTACAGTCAATGCCAATGATATGAAGCTTGTTCTTGGTATTAGTGCCAAAATCAGGTCAAACTATTTCAGCCTGATTGATGTGCCTGATCACCCTGCCCCTGCTGCCACTACCTGCTGCCTGTGTGCTGCTTCTACCCTGCCAACTACTGCTGCCATCTCCCTGCCTTCTCTTGGTGCTGTCAGGATCTCTGCCTGTCAAATGGTGGGTATTAGAGCCTCTGTCCAGTTCACAAAGCTGGTTCTGGAGAAGCAGAAGGAGGAGGAGAAGAAGGAGAAGAAGAGAGAGAAGAAGAATAATAATGATAATGAAGATGATGATGATGATGATTAACTTGTTATTTAGGCAGTTTCTGTTTGTTTACTGGCTTCAGCTATTAGTTAGTTTTAATACTTTGTTTCTTTTAACAATCAAATTGATTTTTCTATGGGTTCCGCCTTCATCAAAAAAGTAATGAAATTTGGTAACAGTCCACACAAAATTTGATCAGTTTGACTCTTTCCTATGAATTTGACATGATGGGACCAGGAATTCTGGTCCCATCCTGGTCCCACTATGGACCCAGCCAGGATGGAAAATGGGAGTCTACCATCTCTGCTGGAATGGAATGTGGGACATAATTTTCTATTTGAGGATGGGACCAGGAAATAATTTCTGGAATAGGAATGGGAACAGAACCTCAAGCTCTTGAGTGGGATGGGACATGGGACTGAGATTTCATATTTGGGATCCTGGCTGTTTCTAAATTCAGGACAGGGACCAGGTTCAATGGGAAATGGAATCCTGTTCCAGTCCCGAATACCAGCCTACCTGTGTTAGTACAGGCTCTTTAGTACTATTATTTCTTATGAGCTTAGGTGTCTGTTAAGGCATGCTTCTCTGCTCTTACTACTCAGCCATTACCATCCTTACTATGTTGTGATTTTTCATCCTTCTTGCACTCTCACCATCTCAACCAACTTGCCTACTTTGACAAGACATCCCATTGTACCCCACTTCATTTGATGACCAAGCTGAGACCTGAAGATGATGATGTGGTGATTTGGTGGCTGCCAAGAAAGAAAAACAAATTCTGAGACACATGAAGCAATACACTATTTCAAGATAAGATCTTATGGACTAGGAATACAGTACTAATCAGGTTTTTGTTTAGGAATAAGATTAGGGAGCTTAGATTTGAATGGCTCTTATCTAAAGCTTGCCCAATAAATAGGTTTTTTGGAAAGATATTGAATCATTAAGAAACAACAGAACATACTGTGTGACATGACTAAAGATCAAGAAATCAAGAAATCAGAATCAGAATCAACTATGGTTGAAGGTACTACAGAATCATATGTGACTATGTCACAAGGTGAGGACAGGAGAATTGTGGTTCACTCCCACATTCCTATATCTTCTCCTGGCACAGCAAATGCATCTTGGTTTGATGGCAGAGATGCTATCTTGTTTATTGAAAGGTTTTATCAAATGTGCAAGAATTATAGAGTAATTGACTCTAAGAACATTATTGAATAGTTGGCTAGGTACTGTGTTACATGGATTAGAGAATGGATGAAGACCTTAGAAGACTACAAGGAAGATAATTGAGAAGTATTCTCTAAAGAGATTATTCATGAATTTCATGATCAGAACATTACTTACAAGATTCACCATCAGAATTATCTTCAAGCAATTACAAAGAAACCACATGCTTGGGATAGTAACATTCACATCTATGTTTGAGAATACACTACTATTGCCAGTACAGTACAAGCCAATGGAAGGCTTGATGAATTCATTAAGATGTCTTGATTCCTTCAGAGGCTGCCCAAGAAGCTCTGGAATAAGATTATTGACAAGGCAAAGCTCAATCTTTCAGATGATATGTCACCTATTAATTTTAGAAAGGTTGTTTGAGTGACCATGGATTTGATTAACCAGTATGAAGGGAATAAGAAGATCTTTAAAGAAGATGAAATGAAGCAGAAGAAAATGAAGAAGCTTGATGAGTGATATCAATTAGCTAACAAACCTCCTACAGTTAAGGCTCCAAAGAAAACAGCTAGTTCTGTAAAGACTGAAGAATCTGAATTGAAATCCAAAGCCAAGAGCTCTGAGAGCACTAATATTGAAGCTGCAATTAAAAAGATGACCAATGAGTTTACAAATTTGGCATTGGCCATAAGAGTACAGTCAAATCAGATACAAGAGAATTCTGATCAGTACTATATGCTGCAGAGAGAAGAGCCTCCAAAACCCATACCAAATTATACAACAAATGTGACTACTAATTCTGCAATAGTACAAGAGAACATCCAATCACAATTAGTCAATTCTTATGTGGCTTGAAATGGTTCACCAATGACAAGCTATCATTCTAGTGGCTGAGAAGAAGCTCAAACTGAAGAAATTTCAACACATCCCTCATACTTTTACTGTGGAAAACCTGAACACCATCAATCTCAGTATTATGAATACCAATCTGATGCAAATAATGGGTTCTGTCATATTAATGATGAAGGGAACTTGTGCATGGGTTCTCCTGGTCAAAACTATTGAGTTGTCACTTCTAAACCTGGAATACCAAACATGTATATTATATGGTCTATAAGAGAGGATGAATGGGCAATTCTGGAGTCAACAAGCCCTAAAAAGAAGATCAATCAGCAAGAAGAGACACCTCCAGCAAATTCAACCAGTGTGAAGGTCCAAGCAGGACAACTTGCATACCTAATGTCTGATGGAGAATCTGATTCAGATAAGGAATATGAACCACTGGAAGAAAGAACATCAGTTAATGTTGGAACTGTTGAAGAAGCTAAGAACAGTCAAAAAGCTAAGATTGCAACACCCCATACTCAGCATACTAGACAATTTATTACCTACTGGGATAATCAAGCTAGTGTTAATGACAATATCATGAAAGACATTGAACCAATCAATCAGAAGAAGCCTGAAATTCAGAACAAGACCATGAAGAAACAAAGATCAAGATATTCTGCAACAGATCATTTATCCTCTCAGATTCACAATTCAACAGGTGCCAATGAATTAATGAGTCAAATTCTCAATAGGAAGGTCAAAGTGTCAGTCAAGAAGCTTATAGGTGTATTACTGAAGCTTCATCAAGCATTCTTCAGATCAGGTTGGAATAACAGTACTAGCAAAAGCCATGCAAAGGTTGGAGTCTCCAAACCAGTTCAGCCTGAGCTAAAGATTAATTCCAGTTGACTTACATCAAAGCCCATGGTACCAAAATCCAAAACAGCATATGGGATGCATTCATTATATGCACCAGTCAGTATAAACCAACAAGAATTAATGGTGTTGATTGATACTGGTTCAGAAATCAATTTGTTGTCTTGGAAGTATGCTGAAATGTTGAATCTGCCAATGAAAAATAAGCCACAAGTGACCATGGTTGTTCAAACAGGAGAAGTCACTTCTTTTTACACATTTTGTGACAAAGTGCCTGTTCAGATCAGAGATATTATTACCCATACCCCTTTCCTTATATTCAAGAGAGGGGATCAGCAACTTATTCTTGAAAGATCTTGACAATTTGCTGTCTGTTGGGAATGCAATACCTCAGATGACAGAGGAGTGAACTGTGAAATTTATAACAAGGAACAAACATGTCATCTAGTTTTTAAAGACTTTAAGTCAAGCTCAAGCAACATAAAATATACAACTGATAAATTAAACAGTGATCATTTAAACAATTCAACAGGTATTTAATCAGGTGAGTGCCCGTGGATACAAGGCCTGATGAGGATGAAGAAAATGTGATGAAGATGATGGGTATAAGAATTAATGATGAGAAGGTTGAAGGTCAGGAGGTTGAAAAGAATAGAGAAGTCAGAAGTATTGGCAGCAGTACCAGCATTGGTGACTTCAAAAGCGCGCTAAGTCTAATTGAATTGACCAGCACACTGGTGAATCAAATGGACCAATCAGAGGACAAGAATAATTTTGCATCAGGAGTTTGGATTTTCCATCCTCTACTTCCCAATCCAGACAGCATTACAGCTCACTGCAAACATTACACACACAATATTAATTCCAGCTTAATTCAAAAACCTATTCCACAAAGTGCTTGATCAATTTATGCATCTCTGAACAAAAATCATGATTTTGTCATGAAGAAATTGCATCAAGTTGACATTTTCAATAGTGGCTGGGACATCAGGCCACCTTCTTCAGAAGTCTGGAGAGTGTGTACTGCTTATAAGTAGAAAGCTGATAAGATAAGACCATTAGCACCTGGAAAATCTGATGAAAGCAAATCAGAAGGCCTAGATAATTAGATGGATGTTTGTTTGAACAAGTATTATTCTGAGAAGAAATATGTTGTATTTAATTGTAAATTTGATGACCACATTAGGTCTAGAATCACATCTTTTTCTGTTGGAGAATGGCTAACAAATGAGAGAATTGAGAAGCTCAAAATTGGATTTGAACTAACAAGTTGGGAGAAGAAATTTTTCATATCAGTTCTTTATAAATGTGAAGGGGTGTTGGCATGGTCATTCAAAGATCTATGTGATGTTCATTCTGAATACTTGCCTCCACAGATTATTAAGACAGAGCCTCATGAAGCTTGGCAGACTAAGACTTACTGAATTTCTTGTGCTCTATATGATAAGCTAATTAAAATCATTCAGAACAGGTTAGAAGCTAAAACATTGGAGCCTTGCCATGATTCATATACTAACCCCTATTTTCTGGTTGCAAAGAAACAGAAAGGCAAATATTGTTTAGTTGATGCAGCATATATATACAACAAAGTTACTATTCAAGATGCTTTTATTCCTTCTAATGTTGATGAATATGCTGAAGACTTTGGCAGACTTGTTATGGCTAGCCTATGTGACTTGTTCTCTGGATATAATAATTTTTCATTAGCTGAAGAGAGCAGGAATATGACAGCCATTGCAATTTCTATTGGGCTCTTTTGCCATACAACTTTAGTTCAAGGAGCAATGAATTTGCCAGCTCAAGCCCAATGCAGGATAATAAAGATTATATGAGAAGTTTTTCCAGAGATTGCTTAAGCCTTTATGGATGACCTTGAAGTAAAGGAATCACATATTAAAGATGAAACTGAAGTCCTTCCAGAAATAAGAAAATTTGTTTATAACCATCTGCAGAACCTGGATTATGTTCTATGGCTTGTTGAAATCTCTGGAGCTAGAATCTCCAGCACCAAATCTCAATTCTGCATGTCTGGAGTCAATATTGTTGGATGGATCTGCAACTATGACAGACAACAATCTGAGAAAACTAAGATGGCTAAAATTGCAAATTGGCCTACTTCTACAAGCATTACAGAATTACAAGAATTTCTAGAGCTTGCTGGATATTTCTGAATACTTATAGAGCATTACAGTTGGATAACCAAACCTTTACATTATCTGCTTTGACAAAACATTATATGATCATGAACTGAAGAGCAAAATGATATCTTTATACTTTTGAAGAAAAAGTTATGTTCATTTTCTATTATTCTTCCAATCAATTATGGACAAGATTCTTTGCTTATCACTGTAGCTGTTGATGCCAGTGGATTAGAATGGGAAGAATGCATTATTCAGGAGCAATGAGGGGCTTGACATTCTACATGATACAAATCCAGAATATGGAATGATTCAGAGAAAACATATAATGCTGGCAAACAAGAATGCAGAGCTGTTTTGAAAGCCTTCAAGAAATTCTAACACCATATCTATAAAGTACTCTTTATCTTGAAAATTGATGCAAAAACTCTTGTCACCCAACTTAATAGAACTGCTACAGATGTTCCAGAAGCTTTAGTTACTAATTGAATAGCTTGAATACATCTCTTTGACTTTACTGTTAAACATGTTCCTGGAATGAAACACACAGCTGCTGACAGACTATCTTGCCAAGAACTAGATACTGGGGAACAACCTGAATCTGAAGAAGATGAAGATCTGTTTGTCTTTATGAATCTTATAAGAGTTTTAGCTGGCCAAGCTCTCAATAGTGAAGATCTTAGGATACTGGACTCCACATATTCAGAAGAATTGAAGAAAATTGCATAATATCTAACCACTCTATCAAAACCATTGGGCATGGAAGAAAAGGAGTACACAAGATTCTGAAAGAAAGCAATTAAATATGTGGTGAAGGCTGATCAACTATTTAGATGAGTGGAATCTGGTGTGCCTCTAAGATATGTTGTGGACAACAAAGAACAATGTGAACAAATTTTACACATGATGCATGACAAATTTGGCCATAAAGAGTGAGAGGGAACATACTCTACCTTACAAGCTTGATACTGGTGGTCAGAAATATATAAAAATGTGTCTGCTTATATGAAGCACTGTTCTCAATGTCAATAAAGAGATTTGCAAAGATTAAGTGAAGAGCTTCATTCTATCTGAGCTCCTATCTGTTGGAAGAAAGTTGAGATGAATATCAAATACATGTCTTTCTGTTGAGAATGAAATTATTTGGTTGTCACAAGATGTGACTTTACTGGATGGGTGGAAGCTAGAGCATTGAAGAAGACAACAGCTGAAGCTGTGATTAAATTTCTTTATGAGAATATCATCTGTTGATGAGGCCTGCCTGCCAAATTTGTTATGAATGGAGGACCAGAGAATAAGAATGTTGTGGAGATCTTACTGAAGAAATTCAACATCAAACACATTGTTATTTTGCTCTATAATTCTTCTGCAAATAATATGGTGGAAGTTGGTCATAAGTCTTTAGCTGATGAATTAGCTAAAGCCACCAATGGTACTGAAAGAGATTGAATTAAACATCTTCCTGTAATTCTGATGGTGAATTGAATGACAACTAAGGCTAGTACTGGTATCTCCTCTTATAGATTGCTAATGGGCCAGGAGGCAGTTCTTCCAGTTGAACTTGAGATTTTCACTTGGCAAACAATTCCATGGTAAAATGTTCAAACAACTGAAGACCTTCTTCTGATGTGTGCATGCCAAATTAAATGACAAGATGAGAATGTTCTGGAAGCAGCATATCATCAGCTCTGAACATATGCTAAGAATAAGAAATACTTTGATGATACCCATAATATTTGGACCAACTCTCTTTAACCTGGAGACCTTGTCTTGCTTCACAATATCAAAGAAGAACAGAATATGTCTAGAAATAACACTCTGTACTTTTAATGGCTAGAACTCTATAGAGTTAAGTCTGCTAATCAAGAACTAGGTTTCTATCATCTTGAAGAGTTAGACAGCACTGAAATCAAAGAATCTATTGCAGGAAGCAGATTAAAGAAGTATCTTATGAGATCTGGAATGAAGCAGCTCAGTGATAGTTCAGCAGATTTAGATGAAGAGATAGAGAATGTTTCTCAAAGATATGCCACAAGAAGCCAGTCTAATATTCTCTCTAGTAGTTCCTCAGATGTTAGCTTCTTGGATAGAGGAGATGATCAAGCTGAGACTGAGAGCAAAAATAAAAATGATCAAGAAGAAATAGAGCAAATGTGATTATCAACTGTTATACTAGATGACTGGAGCTTTGCTGTTGTTATACCTCCACAAGATGTGTAATTTGTTGTATTTTGTTTGCAAAAGTGAAGTTTTTGCTTGCTCTTTTGAAAGGTTTCTTTTATTTGTCTGCAAAGTGAAGTTTTTGCTTGCTTATTTGGGAAGTTTCTCTTTCTTTGTTATTTGCAGAAGCCTTCACTTTTTCTGAATTTTTCAGAAGATATTTAAAGACTGATTTTTCTCCCCTGAAGCTTCTGCTGTCTTTTACATTCAAGCTTGATTCTTTTTACAGATTCAACATTTTCAACACTTCTTCTTGCCTTCTATTTTGTTATTCTGACATTTACAATTCTTTTTGAATCACTGATATCCTTCAAAATGGCTGGATGAAGCAACTTGCCTCCTCTAGCCTCTGCACCTGAAAACCAAGACCTGGTTGTTACCAGAGACAGTGGAGTCAACCTGGATGGCCATTTCTTCAATAACCTAACAGCAGCTATGGAATACATTGATAATCAAGCTCCACACCATCACTACAGCCTACAGATTGAGCTAATGAATGCACTGATGTGAGTGACTGATGTGATTACTGACTTAGTGGCCCATTTCTATTGATATGTTGAAAGATCCAGAGCTTGGCAACATGTTACACATGCCAATTTTGAAGCTGATTTCCATGATGCTTGAAAGGTTACCCTGGATGTCAAATGATATTGTATTGATATGCAAAAGATCAAGAATAGACTTGTTGCTACATGGGGTATTGACAGGATTAATGCCATATGGTTAAAAGTGGAGAGCCTGTGGACAGCACAAAAGCTTTGCCATACTCTAAATGTCTACAAGAATTGGAATAAGTTTGCCAATAATATTAACAGTGCAGTGCTCTGAAGACTAGATGCTACAGAAGCTGGATATTGCTGGAGCTTAGCTATATTGCCAGATGATTATACTATAGCTAACAAAGAAGTTGACTGTGTATGTGAACTTTCTTCAAGAGATGTTCTATACTGATAGGGCCTTACCATTGGCAACTATAGTCTTCTACAGCTGTTGGCTCTTCTACAGTCATCTAGCTCCCAATGTTCAATTCAGAATATTGCTAGGAGTTCTCTCACTGCAAGCAGCCCCTGAGATCTACTGGAAGGACTGCAGTCTTCAAGATTGCCAAGAGATGTTCCAATGAGTGGAATGTCTATGCCACATAGCCACAACATGTCAAGAGCCTCTATACATAGCACAATATTGATTAGATTATGTGAATTTGAAACTAGCCAATCACAGCTGCCATTTGGATTCACCAGCATGCTGGCCAATCCATCCAGCCAATCAGAAGCTCCAAAGCACCACAGTGAAAGAATTACAGTCATGTTGGCACACCAAATTCTTCAAGACTTAGATAATGATGATGAGTCTGTTATTCCTTCTGAAAGTGATGAAGAGATACCTCAACACAAGTATGAAGAATCTGTCATGACAGTATGCTCTGGTACTTGCTGTTGCCATGAATTTGAACAGCAACTCCTGCAAAAGATAAAGAGTATTAAAATGTGTTCAGAATTGGAGTTTATTCACATTCTGAAGTAATTAGGAAAGACATTTAGTGATAAGAAAGCTGATATCTATCTATGCTATGATCATGCAAAACTAATAGCTTCAAAACTCAGATTGCAGACTCACACACTTAATAGAGAGAAGCTTCTTAACTGTTTGACTCACATTCATAGAAATTGTTGTAACATTAGCTCAGTCAAGACTAATGACAGCATCTACCTCTGGTTCTGTTTGACAAATAGACTGGCTAGAGCTGAAGATGCTTTAGACATTTACAAATTCAAACATCAGCCAATTATTCCTCTGGTCACAAACATGAGAATGTTTGACTTTAACTGATATGTGTGGATTACTGAAGTTAACAAGTTCACTACCAGCAATCTTCAGAAGGAATGAGAGATTACTGAATCTATTATTATTCTCCAGCTAATGTGCTGGTGGAATGATAAGTTACAAGATGCCACCACCACAGTACTCACTCAGGTCAATAATGAATATAATATGTACTATCATTATCAGTAAATGATGGGAGGTTGCAACAATTATGAATGGTTGAGAACAATGTATTACAGTATTGGCCAACAACTCATGCACCAGGACCCTGTCTACTATCTATAGTATGTGCTGACAAGATCTGACCATGCTTGAAAATTAATCTTCTATCCATATTATGCCAAGTATGCTAAGCCAGAGGATAAAACTGGATTTTGCCATATTGATATCAACATTCCAGATGCTATTACTACTGGAAGAGGTGTTAATATGATACAAGAATTCTTGACCTTAATGGCAGAAGAGCCTGGTGACTGCACAGAAATCTTGCCAGAAATGCATAATTATCTAGAGAATTAGTAGGAACTAGTTGAAGAATGAGGCTTATTTACTGATGGCTATGTTCACTGCATTAAGAATACAATGTATACCAAAGATGATGAAAGAAAATTTGGTATTAGATGGACTGACATCATTTGCAAACCTGATAATGTCCAAATAACAAGCCCTCTGCTGCCCCATGGAGCTCATGGTCCATGCAAAAAGGTCCAGCATACTATGCTACTCTGGTATATGGCAATCCAGAAGGACCATGAACATCTTGAAGTTAATAAAGCTGGTATCTGGTCACAGCTCTCTGCCACATATAGAAATCTAGTTCCAGGGCCATTATCACCTTCCAGCCATTTAAACTGTTATGCATCAGTTCCATATTAATTCCCTACTGCTATTCAATTGCAAGACTTAGAAGCTATATTGAATGCCTTGGTAGACTAAATTAGGTGGAACAACTCTATAATAATTGAGAAGCTTGATACCCTCTTTGAACCAGAAGAGAAGAAGACTCAGAACTTCATTAATAACTGGTACCTAAAGGCCACACAAATTGCTTTGAATGCCATTGTCAAGATATATCAAATTGAAAAGAAAGCTTTTGGTAACAAATTCTATTGACATTGTGTGCACAACAACATTAATCCAGTGTCAGTTTGGCCTTCTCCTCCTCCCAAGAACTTGGTGAAAGAAGAGGATTATGGTGATTACTATTAGAGATTGCTGCTGTCACTCTCTTTATTCTTATTTTCCATCTCTTTTCTTACCAGATTGTTACTAATTCTTAGCCTCTTATTTTCTTTACTAAATTGTCTTTGTTTTGTTTCATATGTTGCCTGTTGTCAGGGGACACCAACATTGAAAGCCAGGAGGAAATGTAGTGGAGATCCTGGTACTATATTAGAACAAAGATTGTTCTGGTCTGAGGTGCAAAACTCCCCCAGCTACTATCTCTGAGCTATATAAACCATCTATAGCTCCTGCATCTCACTCAATACCTTTGTGCATCTTTGTACTTTTCTACACACTTATTCTTTATTGCTAGTTTGGTTATTAGTTAGAGAATATGAAGATCTCTTGTTCATGAAGCTTGCCACTGTTTCTCATTAAAGCTGCTTGTGTTAGTACAGGCTCTTTAGTACTATTATTTCTTATAAGCTTAGGCATCTGTTAAGACATGCTTCTCTGTTCTTACTACTCAGCCATTACCATTCTTACTATGTTGTGATTTTTCATCCTTCTTGCACTCTCACCATCTCAACCAACTCGCCTACTTTGATGAGGCATCCCATTATACCCCACTTCACCATAAGCTTCAATGTAAGTTAATCAGAATTGATCTTTAGCTCAGGCTGAACCAGTTTGGAGACTCCAATTTTTGCATGGCTTTTGCTAGTACTGTTATTTCAACCTGATCTGAAGAACACTTGATAAAGCTTTAGCAATATATCTATAAGCTTCTTGACTGACACTTCAACCTTCTTATTGAGAATTTGACCCATTAATTCATTAGCATCTGTTGAATCACAGATCTGAGAGAATAAACAATCTGTTGCAGAATATCTTGATCTTTGTTTCTTTACAGTCTTGTTCTGAATTTCAGGCTTCTTCTGATTGATCAGTTCAACATCTTCCATGATATCATCATCAACACTAGCTTGATTATTCTGGTAGGTAATAAATTATCCAGTATACTGAGTATGAGATGTTGCAATCTTAGCTTTTTGACTGTTCTTAGCTTCTCCAACAGTTCCAACATTGACTGATGTTCTTTCTTCCAGTGGTTCATATTTCTTATCTGAATCAGATTCTCTATCAGACATTAGATATGCAAGTCATCCTGCTTGGATCTTCACACTGGTTGAATTTACTGAAGATGTCTCTTCTTACTGATTGATCTTCTTTTTAAAGCTTGTTAACTCTGAAATTGCCCATTTATTCTCTTCTATAGACTGTAAAATATACATGTTTGATATTTCAGGTTTAGAAGTGACAACTTGATAGTTTTGACCAGAGGAACCCATGCACAAGTTCCCTTCATCATCAATATAACAGAACCTGTTATTCACATTGGATTGGTATTTATAATACTGAGATTGATGGTGTCCAGGTTTTCCACAGTAAAAGCATGAGAAATGTGTTGAAATTTCTCCAGTTCAAGCTCCTTCTCAGCCACTAGAATGATAGCTTGTCATCAGCAAACCATTTTGAGTCACATAAGAATTAACTAATTGCAGTTGGGTGTTCTCTTGTACTATTACAGAATTAGTAGTCACATTTGTTGTATAATTTGATATGGGTTTCAGAGATCCTTCTCTCTGCAGCATATAGTACTGATCAGAATTTTCTTGTATCTGATTTGACTGTACTCTCATGACCAATATCAAATTTATAAACTTGTTGGTCATTTTTTTAATTATAGCTTTAATATTAGTGCTCTCAGAGCTCTTGGCTTTGAATTTCAATTCAGATTCTTCAGTCTTCACAGAACTAGCTGTTTTCTTTAGAGTCTTAACTGTAGAGGGTTTGTTAGCTAATTAATATTGCTTACCAAGCTTCTTCATTTTCTTCTGCTTCATTTCATCTTCTTTAAAGATCTTCTTATTTCCTTTATACTAGTTGATCAAATCCATGGTCACTTGAACAAGCTTTCTAAAATCAATAGATGATATATCATCTGAAAGATTGAGCTTTATTTTGTTAATAATCTTATTCTGGAGCTTCTCAGGCAGCCTCTGAAGAAACCAAGACATCTTAGTGAATTCATCAAGTCTTCCATTGGCTTGTACTGTACTGGTGATAGTAGTGTATTCTTAAACATAGATGTGAATATTGCTATCTCAAGCACACAGTTTCTTTGTAATTGCTTGAAGATAATTCTGATGGTGAATCTTGTAAGTAATGTTCTGATCACAAAATTCATGAATAATCTCTTTAGAGAATACTTCCCAATTATCTTTCTTGTAGTCTTCTAAGGTCTTCATCCATTCTCCAATCCATGTAATACAGTATCTAGCCAACCATTCAATAATGTTCTTAAGGTCAATTACCTCATGATCCTTGCACATTTGATAAAACCTTTCAATAAACAAGGTAGCATCTCTGCCATCAAATCAAGGTGCATTTGCTGTGCCAGGGAAAGGCATAGAAATGTGAGAGTGAACCACAATTCTCCTGTCCTCATCTTGTGATATAGTCACATATGATTCTGTAGTATCTTCAACCATAGTTAATTCTGATCCTGATTTCTTGATTTCTTGATCTTTAATCATGTCACACAGTATGTTCTGTTATTTCTCAATGATTCAATATCTTTCCAAAAAACCTATTTATCAGGCAAGTTTTAGATAAGAGCCATTCAAATCTAAGCTTCCTAATCTTATTTCTAAACAAAAACCTGATTAGTACTGTATTCCTAGTCTATAAGATCTTATCTTGAAATAGTGTATTGCTTCATGTGTCTCAGAATTTGTTTTTCTTTCTTGGTGGCCACCAAATCACTGCATCATCATCTTCAGGTCTCAGCTTGGTCACCAAATGAAGTGGAGTATAATGGGATGCCTTGTCAAAGTAGGCAAGTTGGTTAAGATGGTGAGAGCACAAGAAGGATGAAAAATCACAATATAGTAAGGATGGTAATGGCCAAGTAGTAAGAACAGAGAAGCATGTCTTAATGGATGCCTAAGCTCATAAGAAATAATAGTACTAAAGAGCCTGTACTAATACAGGCAGCTCTAATGAGAAACAGTAGCAAGCTTTATGAACAAGAGATCTTCATATTCTCTAACTAATAATCAAACTAGCAATAAAGAATGAGTGTGTAGAAAAGTACAAAGGTGCACAAAGATATTGAGCAAGATGCAGGGGCTATGGATGGTTTATATAGCTCAGAGATAGTAGCTGGGAGGGTTTTGTGCCTCAGACCAGAACAACCTTTGTCCTAATATGGTACCAGAATCCCCACTACACTGGTAGTCAGCAGTAGGCATTGATTAAGATATGAAAGAGGGTAGTAGCATATGAATCATTAGCTTTGTCAGCATTCTCATCATCATCTTGTTGCTCATTGTGTTCTGATTGCATGAGGTCTTGCATGAGAATTGAACATTCATAATGAAGTTGCTTCATCTGGCTGCTGATATAGAGTTCCAATTCTATAAGAGCTCCATCAAGAACCAAGAATATAGTGCATTTGAAGCTCTCATGAATCAGTAAAATCTTTTCAACATCATGCTTGTTGGTTTGCTGCACAAATGCTTTGTATTCATGGTGTTTATTCTTCCTGATCAGTATATTACAGTTATTTGGCACAGTATACTTCTTTGCCTGATTAGCATAGTGCACCCCAATATGCATGTTTGGTCAGTATTTCAAAGCATGTAACATCTTATCTGCTTTCAGAGCAATACTGACAGTGTTAATTGAAATGTTCTTCATCAGAAATATCATAATCTGATTGAACACTGGTGAATTCTGTCATGATTTCAGCATCTATACTGCCTGGCTAGCTAACTGTGGTATCTCAGCAGTCATGACAGTAGCATCTATCACTTTCTGAAGTATAGTTTGGGTGTTGGCAATCACACTTTTAAGTTCATTATACCTGACAGATGTCTGAGAAGTCAATAGTGAATTGCTTCTTGCAATAGCACTAAAGATTTTAGCAAGCAACAAATATGAAATGTTAGAATCAATTGACTGTTCATTAAAGAAGTTATAGAGAGCCTGCTGAACAATAGTCTGAATCCAGTCAGACTTTAAAGTAAAGCAGAGTATAATTGGGATCACAATTAAAGCTTGAGTATATTTCTGGATTTGATAGAACTTCAGATAAGTAATTGAGAACTGCAGTTGAGCTTAGTATCTCTGAAATAGAAATCTCTGTAGAGTTTGGCAGTATTTCTTCTGCTCCTCAGGTGTCAATATATGTGATATCAATAATGTATGCACAATTTTGGACAGGCCTGAAAATTCACTATAACAGGGGTCAGAGAGGAAAAATATCACCAGATTCAGTGCCAGACAGATCTTCAAAACTGGAGAACTTTTCTTGATTAATTTATAGATCTTTTACAGTGCTTCTTACTTGCAAACAGTTCACTTCATCTTAATTTCAGCCTGTAAATTAAGTAGCTAATAATGGTATCAGCTGTGTTTTATCAAGTCAAAATTTATATTAAACCTCTTTACATCAGAGACAGTACAGCTCCAACAGAAGACTATTACAGTAGAGTGTTTGATTCCAGCATTATTATTTTGCTGCAGCATGTTATCAAGATAAGTAATACAAGAAGTAATAATTCTGACAGTTTCTTCATCAGTTACCACAATGTCAAATCCTCTTTCAACTGCTTGTAAACTGGGAGCCAATGCCTCCACAACATCAGAAAAATTTGTAGCATGAGGTCTGAGAGTAATTATATATATATTATTTCATTATCTTCTTTCAGAATCATTAAGTCCCACAGAAATTATATAGAAGCCAGTTATATTTCAGTACATGTTCTGATATAGACTGAATCCATTAATGAACAGCAGAAAGAGAATGAATATAGTTCTCTTGATAAAGTTGTCTGGGCAGAGCATCTTGATCAGCATATCTCTTCTATATGCTGTGATTTCCAGTTCACCCTGGAGTGGAGTGCTAAGCCAGAGCTCTTGTACAGATAATATGTGGCAAATTATATTCATCACTTGCTGTACAAAGAATTCATTTGTTTCTGAAAGTTTGTAGCTACCCAATTCATTAAAGATGTAGTCAAGATGAACATTCAGTCAGACTAGAATGTTGTCTTCATGTCTGATGTGAGTTTTCTGGTCTTTCAGTAAGAGTAGCTTGTTCAGGCAAAGCAGAGATTTCAGTAAATGAATTCTTTTATTAAAGCTGCTGGCAGTAATAGTGTACTGAATAATAAGAATAATTTCACCAGATTTTGTACAGGCCAGTCTCCAGTTCTGATCCACAAATTAAATTCTTCTGATATGGATTTCTTGTTCATTTCAAGTGCACTTACATGCAGCATTGTTGCACCTGAAACAAATAAAATTGGAAGAAAAGACTGGTGTTCTGTTAGAATATCATGCAAAGTCATCTGACAAACATCTAATAGAGCTTCTCCAGCTCCATAATTGCTATAATTTGGTCAGATTGTCAACTAGATCAGTCATACCAATATGTATCTTCTTGTGAAATACAGAAGATCTTGCCAGTAATGACAAAAGAGCTACAGAATCCTGAAAGAATAAATTAGATGTAAGAGATATCTGTATTAGTTGCTTCTTGACAGGCAAAAGAGTTGGTATTTTCAATGGAACAGCTGGTATGGATGCCTGTTGAATGGAAAGTATAGAGAATTGAGCTCTGCATTTCTTCTTCAATGTGCTCAGCTCTAATAGTAGAGATCTCAGTGCACTGATATCTTCAGGAATCTGTAAGACTTTCTATAGTGTCTTATAGTGTCAGCAAGATATTTCTGATTTTTTGCATCTTAATTCTAAAGTGAGTGTAAAGTGATCCAGCATTTCATCAGGCTCTGCATGTGCATGAACTAGAATCTCTGATGGGTCATTTATTATAGTTAGGATGTAGATCTCAGCTGGCTGGTTGTCTAATGAATTCTCTAGTTATGAATGAAAATCAGAATCTTTATTGCCAATCAGGTGCACTGAATGTAATATAGTCTGTAATCAGAGTTCAGATTCAGACTCTTCATACTGTTGTAATTTATTGTTATCAACTGATTCTATAAGTAGAGCTGCTACTGCTTCTTATATAATCTCCTGTATTCTGATGTCTTCTGATTCAGAATGAGTGTTGGATAGAGTGTCAGGTGAAGTATTAGAAGCATCTGAAAGACTTGCTGCATTCTGTATACAGTAATTAGAATAATGCAGACTGACAGAGAATTCAAGATCTTACACTCAATTCTGACTTCTTAGTTTGATTGTTCAGCTGAATATCAGATTTTACTGAAGATAAAATGTAATTGCAATCTTGTGATTTCTGCAACAAATAAACAGACTGTCTGTATCTTTGAAACTGCAAGACTGGAAATGGTAAATAAAGTCATCTTCTCCAAAATATATAGTTCTCTATGTGCCTCAAGTACCTCAGATCTCACATGTTTGCTCAAGATTTATACACCAGTTTCTGCAGTGATTGAGTTTCAAGTTGCAGAAACAGTAAGAGTTGCTGCAGAATTACTTTGAGACAAAGTATGTAGAAATTAGAAAGAAAATTGCTGTTCAATTGGAAAATCAGACATATTATAACAAAGTTGAATGTTAGAGCAGCTGCAAAATGTGCTAACTGTACTGCAGATTAACTGTAATATTCTGATCATCTAGATCTATAATTAGCTCTAAGAAATGCAAGATCAGTAATGATTTGTATTCTTCTGGATGATCAGCCTATTTCAAAGAAATCAATCACTTAGCAGTATTGAATTTTAAAATGTAGAGAAATATGAATACAGATCTGAATAGCAACTTGAACAGTCAAATGCACTTCAAGTCAACTATATAATAAATAGCAAATCTCTCTGAAATTCAAGCATTCACTCTTATTCATTCTCAACAGCAATTCAATAGCCAAAATATTGGAGACACAGAGCACACCAGTATTAAAAAGAACAGCTTGCATCTTTCTATAGACTTAATTACACAACATGCTAAAGACTTAAGAGACATTATTCAGTTTGAATACAAGTACCCAAACTGAAGTGTTTTCTGATTATACAGAGATTGAAAAGCAGGTTCAAGTAATGGAGCACAAGATATAAAATTGGGTGTAATGAGTCTATATATTAACATTAAATACTGATCTGATTTCTGATACCATCCAGAAGATACTGAGTCTTGAGGACTGGAAAGTCAGAAATAACTCATATTTTTGTGAACTTTTCAGGCATATGTTAAATCTCTGTAAAGATTGAAAATGTAAGATCTTGAGTAGCTTGAAGATCAGAACAATATCTCTAAACTTCTAGTTATGATATAAACTGATCTCATTTGCAGGATCATGTCAGAGAATGTATTGAACTTAGCTTGACTGAGAATTCTAATTTCAGACTTCATGAAATAATCAATCAATAAAAGCTGATCAGCTATTTTGCCCAATTGTTCAAGTAGAACTAATTCTGTAAAGTCTTTTACTGGATCAAGTCATGTGTCAATTTTGAGAAGTCAGCTTCATAAGGAAAATGGTATTTTGAACATAAGTTAATGATAAATCTTAATTATCATGATTTCTGCTCTGACAGTTATGACAATAGAGATGTATGCAAATTTAGCAGCATACATGAAGCTGTATCTTAATAACAATAGTTCAAAACAGAATATATTTATTCTGTTGATTTACATCTGAAATTCTGTACTCAAGCTCTGGAACTGCTTGATACAGAAACCAGAACTGAGAGATGTTAATTCAGATGACTTCATCTGACAGAAGATTTAATCAAGAAAGCCAAAGACTGTTCATATTGAGACTTTGCCAGAAATTCTGAATATGGTCCAGTTAATATCTAGTATACTATTCAGGAAATCTGATTCATGTCTGACTCAGGCAGTGCAAGCTCTGCAGAAGCCAGAGAATAATAATTTAGATAAGAAGAATTGGAATTCTTTACAGAATATTATGGAGAATTATTTTGAGATTATAATAAATTAGTCTGTCTGTTTAAAGAAACTTGTGCCAGCTGCAACTGATTGCATGCTCTGAAAGAGATACAGATTCTAGTTAAATACATAAAAAGATGCCTTCTCAGATTAAAATTAGCTGTTAGTTTGTGCTTCAAAATAGATTTTGAGATTTAATATCTAGACTTTAATGCAATACTCTGTTATATCAATGCTTGCAAGAGCCAAATTTTGCTATATTTAATATATATCTCTTTATTATTTACTGTAATCAGCTGTAGAAGCTCTAAGCAAAATGAGTTAGTACTTAGTAATGTATAAATAGATATATTCTGATTAGGAAATTCAAAACAATCAAGCAGACACACTAGATATAATAATTTCTTTTCACACAAAATCTCTCTCTTCTTCTCTTCTTTTCTTTCTTTTCTTCTCTTGAGCTTATTATATTTCTTATTATCTCTCTCTCTCTATTTCAATATCAAGATAAGTGGTGAATTTCAGAATGAAATAAGAAACTGCAGCAAACTGAAGAATAATATATACAGAAATAGCAAAAAATGACTCCACAAACACATAAATTAGCAGCAGCTCAGAATAAGCACTCTCTAATATTTATAAAGAAGAAGCCAGAGTGAAAGCTTTCAGCTATCAAAAAAGAGCCCACTATAATAAGTAATATACTCTGTAACTGCTGTTTGATATTTATGTATATAATATATATTAAAAAGTCTTGTTCCCACAAGCAAGAAACTATAAAGGCCTGCATTAATTATACAGAAGATAAAAAAGTCTGTACTTCTGTCTCTTTAGAGCTGCAGAAGAAAGTGACAGTATTACTATCTGATCATAATAATTTTCTCAGACTTAAGAACATGATACTCTAAGAGAAATTGAAAGTCAGTATAATAGAACAGGCTGCTGATCTTAGTAAATTACTTGCCAAAATAGCATCTTTATTAGTCTGAACTGACAAATTCTTCTCTTTCTCTCTCTTTAATACTGAAGTTGGTGCTGTCACTTTAATAGTATTGAAAAAGCTCATGTTCATTCAAGTTAAATAAAAAGAGCTTGCAGAGCATATATTCTACTCTATTAAGATAGATTAAACTGATTAAATATCATACATTCAACTCATACTAATGTAGTTATATATATAAAATATTGAAAGAATCTTGACTGATATCTGCCAGAACTTAAAGTTCAATTGTTTATTTTTTATAATTAGTATACTTGATGCAATGTTGGAATAAATTAAACTAACTTTGATATTTGATAACAGAAAAAGTGAAAGACAGAAGAAACTGTCTATAAATCAGTAGTTAAGATAGACTGATTTGCTGCTGTTCTGCTCTCTGCTGTATCTGCTTCTCTCTCTCTCTTCTCCACTCTGATCACATCTTCTCTCTTTATTTAGTTACAGCTAAATATCTCTGCATCAGATCTGTCTCTAACTGGAGGCAGTGGAGCTGATTTACTTAAAAGTATGATCAAGTGGTCTGAATAGGCTCATTCTGATAATTCTTCTGCACTGGTTTTACACCCTGTCCCCAAACCAGAGACTCTAACCAGGGAGGCTCAAATTTAAAAAAAAAAAAAAAAAAAAATTCATTACAATTCAGGTTGTGCAGGTGGTTTGTAATACTTAGTTAGTTCCTAGTAATTAAAAAGCTTCCAAATCAGATTCAAAACCCTCAAGTTTAAAAATATATATGTTCCAAATTCTATACATTTCAGACCCTTTATACATGCATTGTAAATATATGGTTGATCTACAGTTTCAAGCTTGTGACCTGTGGTTCAACAGGTCGCGTTGGATAAACGTTTTCCGACGGTTGCCCGAAACGCTCATTTTTCCGGTATGGCAGCATCCGGGCCTTGCAGCTGGTCATGTCTCAATTTCCCGAGTCACTTGAAGATTCAAAGATGCATACCTCTCCAAATGCCATCCAATGGCTCCGAGATAACATACCAAAAAAAAAGGAAATTTCAGCATTTCCATACTTTCTTAGTGGCTTGAAGTCGCTTCAAATGAGCCATCCGGGCACTGTCTTATGGCGCTCATCTCTAATCTCAAGAAGCTTCCAGTTCGTTGGCATATTATGCTCAGGTGCTTTGGACGGAGCAGTCACCTAGTACCTCTGGATATGACTAAGCCTTGATTTAGCCTCTACTCCGTAACTTGCTCATCAATTGATCGAAATACTTGGAAGGGCTAACCCCGCCAACACTAACGAGCAGAGCGCGATGGCAGATATCAAACCTCCTTTTACCGAAGAAACCGCTCAAAAAAAGGTCAAGGCTGCGCAGGACCTTTGCAGTACACGGTGCATGATCCCACATCATCCTAGCTCGGCAACCAATCAAATTAGTAACGTCTGCATGAAGAGATCCATCCCGCATGATCAATGTGCAGTTTTGGTACGAGTATCGGGATGGGGAAGACGGGATGAAGTGGAAAAGATGCTATGGTCTTGAAGATTGGACTTTCGAAACGGAGGGCGAAGAGGCGGGGAAGATGAGGAAACGACAGATGAGTGGGAATGATGTTCTTATTGGGCCTGATGGCAGCGGAGAAGGGAGATGGTTCGGAGATGAGGTGGAGGATGTTGACGTTATGAAAATCGAAGAAGGACATTGGTAGTGAAGCTGCGGAATAGGTCACAGTATATCGCTGGTTTCTGTTCAACTATCAGCCATATTGGGTTGTGATATATATCCATATTGTTTACAAAATGCAATCCACCCTATTAGCATTATTTCTCACCCTGGCAAAAACCAAATGCGCGAGTTTAACGCCTTCCAAATGTCCCGAAATATGCCCGGCAAATAACAAATTAATCTTCTCTGATGTAAGGGTTAAATCTTTCAATAATATCCTCGACAGTAGGTACAGGAGAATCATCATCTTCCCCAGGACGTGGAATGTAAGGATACCGGTCATGATTGGGATGTTTTGGTGGGATCAAAACGTCGTTCAGGACATGAATTACACCATCCCTTGCAATGATGTCCGAACTAGCAACCGAGATAAAGCCATTAATTTTCATGGTTGCAAAGCGATAGAAGCGTGCGATATCGATGCTCAAGCGATGGTTTTCCAGGAGGGTTGGCAAATCAACCTTAAGTGCAAACTGTGAGCCATCGTATCTAATATGCATGGGGTATAGGATTAGGCCTTAAGAATATCTCACATGGATAGTTTTACTATCTTCGTCCTTCTTTGGCTGATGATAAGCATCTGAATATAGCGTATGCCCGAAAACGATGTGATACTCAAGCAATGCCTTTAGGTGTTTCTCCCCCCAGCGGCTGAAAAGAAATGCGTTGACTCTGGGACCAAGCTTGCGAAATGCAATGTTGGTTGGCGCAAAGAACGTGCCGCCCGTGTGGCTTGAGGTATCATTTAACTTCTCATAGAGACCAGTTTTCCATAGTCCAAAGTCCAAAGCGCTGAACACCGAAGGAACGAGACTCAATGTATCAGACGATTGGAATGGTGGGAGGAGGATATGGTCGAGGATTTGTACTAAACCGTTCTTGGCACACTAGTCTCCCATATCAGCTCGCAAATACAAAACAACACGTGCAAGTGGCTAACCAGGTCAGGCTTGACTATATGGGAGATATAATTGAGGGTGAGGCCACCGACACCAAATTGGGTGCTGATTCGCTGGTCATGATCTCCCAATTCACTTTGTTCTAGCAGAGTTCGGATCGTCCGAGAGTGGAATATCTCTCTTGCTGTCTTCGGTTCCTTTAAGATGTGATATTGAACAAACTTCTTCACATATTCTTTCGGCGGGTGGTGATTCATAGCCTTCTGCAAGGCCTTATCCCTTGGAACAAGCACTGTGTGATTTTCCTTTGTGGAATTAAGGAGGTCAACAATATCATCAAACTGGGAGACCAACTTTGCAAAAAGCTTAGTTCTTTTCGTTGAATTTATCAATTGGTATGTTGTTTTCTCAGGGTCTCCATGGTGGCCACAGAAGTTGGGACTGTTAGCATCTAAGTAGTCATGACTAAACTCATCGACAGCATTCTTCTCTGGCTTTGACAGACGGCCCGATTGCGGCTGGTAAAGTGCCAACGTAGAGGCAATTTCGATGTTATTAAATATTTCCTCGGTGTAAGATGTAGAGAATGCTATTCCCCCCTCGGCTCCGCTATCGTCCGAAACTGGGCTAGGGATGCTGGCACTATATCCTATAAAAGGGTCGAGAGAACTCTGGCCAGGAATAACGAAGCCTACTGCAATGTAAGCTGCAGACAACAAAAGAACCAGCTTCATCTTTGCGGGCTATCCGAGATAACACTGCGAAGGAGCCGTCGACAGAATCAAAGACCGTATTGAGCTTCGGATCGAAATCGAGCCCGTTGCGGTGAGCTGGAGAACTCTCAAACAGAAATCGTTTTGCACTCGCATGTGCGGGAGATATAACCGGGCGTATCATTTCCAATCATTGAAGCCAAGTTAGCCGCTCCAGGTTCCAGCAACCGCTGACGTAGCTCCCAGGAGCAGGTTTAACCAGTAAACCTCCGCTCTAGGAAGCTAAATCAGCTGTAAAGCCGTTTAGATCCGGGTTGCAAACAGGATACAACGTCATTGGGCAAGGGAATAGCAAACTCCAGTAATTCTGGTCTATACGCCAGTCTAATCCAGGCGGCAGCATATCCGGATTGCGTTGCTTGGCCACACGCTCCCTTTACCTCTCAGCGTTGAAGGTTGCTTTGATGTTGAAACAAGCGTTGTGATGATATCATCGGCTAACAAGGCAACTCGTTAGTCCGGATTATGTAACACGAGACCGTGTCTTGGCATTCATCCAACGTCGGCCACTTGATGGCTGACTTCAGTCCAGCTGGGACAAGACTGTCTTGGTTGATTAGCTTCTTTATATCCATCCTAATGTGCTTTTTGACTAGCAATCATGGAAATGGGTTCTCCCATCCACTTCGGCTTTCAGCCTCATGTATTCCTTGCTGGAAAAGTAACCATCGAAAGGACTGCCTCCAGCCCAAGCAAAGATATAAAGAGACGGCTATTGTCGCACTTTCATCCATGACAAGGCCAAATACTTGTCTGCTTTTTGCGTCCTTCTTGCTAGAATATGTTTTATATGCTAGCACTTTCTTTGCATTCATGATATACTGAATGCTTCTAGAATGTAAGTGAGAGTGATACATAATAATGGTATCACCCTCTGTGCCCTGGTTTTCTTAGGAAATTTCCTTTAGTGATTTGGCACGATATTCTAGGATAGAATGCCTTTTTATCTCAAGGGTTGTTAAAGGGGTACCTGGGAGACGCCGTGTTCTAAAACAGTTGTGCAGCGCTAGCTTCACCCTCACTGTACCATTTCCTGGTTACCTAACACTGTGGATTTTGTCACTGATATGTGGTTGTTTCCTTATCATCTATCAGGTAACCTAACACATTACCTATAGCCAACTCCTCTTGTTATTATCTTAATCCACCTCTGCAGCTAATACTTAGTTAATCAGACGCGTCTCGCGTCAAATACATTCTGTATCTGTCTGGTCTTCATCCCTGATACAACCAACTACAAAAGGTTATGGTGTGTTTGACGCCTCCTCCATTTCAAAAGATCCCACATTTCGTTCAAGAAGTTGATCATCAAAGCTCAGATTGGGTTCCCTGAGTCCCTACACGAGCTGTAACAGCTATCCCAAAGGCATTCCTTGTTCCTCACTTTTCGTTTTCTCCGCAATCTCCACTCTCGAGCTGTTGTTTATACTGAGCATTGACCACTTACATTATTTAATAGAAGCTACTTAAATATCCTCTCTAATGACACTCTTCTGAAAAGCTTATGGAGAAGGACACTATTAAGGATCGTTCGCAAACGAAGAGGCAGCCCTTTCGCGACGCTAGCAACCGGCTTAATATCGTTCATAACTCGTCACGTCAAACACGCTATGACCACGTAGCATTGTCATCCGAGAAGCAAATGACATCCTCAGATCCACCTGATGCCTTGAATGGACATGACTTCCCTCCTGCCACTGCAGAAAACAAGCGCATATCGGCCGTTTTAGACTACCACTCGGATCCGAGGCGCAATTCGGCCATCTCAACCACTTCCACCAACTCCGGGAGATCACGGCGAAAGACTCACATTGGGCCATGGCAACTTGGGAAGACGCTGGGCAAAGGATCTACTGGTCGTGTGCGCCTGGCAAAACATTCAGTCACCGGTCAGGCCGCTGCGATTAAAATTGTATCGAAGCAGTCGGCAGCACTAGCACAGAGCCAGAGTATTGCGGCTATGGATAAGAATATTGATGTAGCCCCTGGTTCCAGAACAATTCCGTCGGGTATTGAAAGAGAAGTCGTGATCATGAAGCTTATTGAGCATCCAAATGTCATCAGCCTATATGATGTGTGGGAAAATAGGGGAGAGCTGTAAGGGTACCATGCGGAAGTCCTTTGAGGGTTTCATGAATTAACATGCATCCAGGTATCTGGTTCTTGAATACGTCGAGGGTGGCGAGCTCTTTGACTACGTCTCAGAGAGAGGACCGCTTCCAGAGATAGAAGCGGTCCGTCTCTTTAGGCAAATTATCGCTGCGCTGTCTTGTTGTCATCAGTACAATATCTGCCACCGTGACCTTAAACCTGAAAATATCCTACTTGATTTCCGGAAAAACATCAAACTAGCGGATTTTGGCATGGCTGCTTTACAGCCTGCCGGTCACTGGTTAAATACATCTTGTGGGAGTCCACATTATGCTTCGCCCGAGATTATCAATGGGCAGAGATATCATGGGGACAAGGCCGACATCTGGAGCTGTGGAATTATTTTATTTGCAATGTTGGCTGGCTTTCTTCCATTCGATGGCGGTGATTTGGCAAACACCCTGAAACTCGTTAAAAGGGGCGAATACATCATACCGCCATGGTTTAGCCCGGAAGCCATAGATTTGATTCAGCGAATCTTGCAGAAGAGGCCTGAAAACAGAATTAGCATAGATCAGATGTGGCTACACCCTCTTCTCATGAAATATCAAGCACACCCCATCTTCGCTAATTCACCAATGGATTCTATTGGCCCACCACCGCCTCTGCCGTCAAAGGACTTCAAGAAAATTGTGACCCATCGCCGTGACATTGACTTGGAAGTTCTGAGGAGCCTTCAAACCCTGTGGCATGAGAAGAGAAAGGAAGATTTGATTGAAAACCTTCTCAACGATAAGTAAGTCTCCTCACATTCACCTATCAACATATTTCCAACTCTAATTTAACCGCACTCCCTCTAGACCAAATCATGAAAAGCTCTTTTATAAAGCTTTGTTAAAATTCAGAGAAGAACAGCTTGAAAACTATGAAGGTCCACCTCTAGGATATTCCTCTAGTGACTATCATCATATTTCAAGACCCCTTTTCAGGCTGCAAAGAAGAATGCCGAGCAATCATGGTGAAAGCAACGTTTGGAGGCGCTCCAAATTCTCAATTGCTACAAATTCTTCTGGCATGAGAGAAGGTTCCAGCCGTGGACCAACCTCGGCGCCGACGATTGCGAGCTATGATCCGTATAGGTCATCTCGCACGGCTATTGCCGAACCGAAGGTCGAATATGCTAATGTTACGATCCATAGACATCAGTCAAATGATTCTAGTGCTGCCTTAAATTCTAAATCATCTCCACCTACTGGAAAACTGTCGATGGATCGAGCATCCGTCAATATGCGCTCGTCACCAAATGGTGGTCCAGGGACCTCATCACGGCGAAGCTCGTTGGCGTCCTACCAATCCCGTAGCTCCGTCGGAAGCCATTGCCAGCGAGCAAAATCCAGGCACAGCTACAAGAGAAACGTGAGCTTTCGGCATTTAAGAGGGCACAACCCCAATAGAGATGATAAGAGAATCGGTATGCCTCCAGGCCATTCTCAGTATTCGCTTTGTCAAGAAAGAAATAAAATGGGAAAACGGGAATCCGAGAGGGTCAAAAGGTTATCCTCGGAAAGGTTCAGCAGTCCTTCTCTGCCTTCACCACCAACCTGTGTGCGTCCAGCTACAAATAAAGTCGGTGAACTGGAAGTGGGAGCAAAACCTCGACAATCCTATCAGTATTGGAAAGAGGAAGCAAGAAAGGTTTCGCAGGAACTGGAACAGATCTGCGAAGAAGCGTTTAATAGCTCATCCCTTTCATCCTCCTATACGATTGAGACTGGATCTAAGTACCCCGAGTCGCCTGTCACTTCAATATCTACCCCTGGTAACCTTAATAGGTATTATGGCCAGACAAACACAAAACCTGTACGGGGACAGACATTTGAGTCGTCCAGTTCTTATGCCACTAGAGAACTGGCGGAAACGCGCCGTCGCTTGATTGAGCATTCGAAAAAAGCAAGGGCCGATGGTCTTCCTTCACATCTATCGGAAGTAATTTCACATTTGGACCGCTTAATTGAAGGCAAGCCATCTCATTCTGTCGCTAAGAATGCAGCGTTAGCAGCGGAAGCTGCCAGACCACCTCATAATGTAACAAGGAATTTGCCATCTATTTTGGAGGAACGACACAGCGTCAAAGATTTCCTTTCCGGCGAAACTACCTCGAGCTATATACCTCCTCCGTTGGACCTGGATGTGTGGGAAAAGAAAACAATCCGAGTAGTACCTGATTCAACCAACAATCTCGATAATATCAGACCATTAACCATCCGAAAAAAGCGGACGACACTTGAACTGCCAACTCCTTCAAATGAGTCAACAAGCTTCAGTCAACCGCAACGCAGCTTGAGCCAGTCTCTCACCCGTAACCGATCGACAGGTCGACGAAGCAATACTGGCCGGTTCTTTAGTGGCCTTGAACCCATTGAAGAAAATCCAAAATCGTCAAAGAAAAATGAATTTCGCAATTCAGGGGACACAAGAAAATGGTCTCGGTTCAAATATCGATCCCAAAGCTACAGCGACGTTGGTCCTCCGACACCACCAAAGGATGATGTACCGTTATCTAGACAATCATCGATTTCTCACATGACGAGTGGCGCTTCTCAGGGTACTGAAGAATACCCCGTGGTTGAAGATGACAATTTAAATTGGATTAAGAAAAACAAACCAGTAGAAACGGGGAAGAAGCTTCTGAAACTTTTTGGCATGAAAAAACGCGAGAAAGCAGTTCATGAATTTGGTCAAGAAAGTAAGCATAAAGAAACATATGTATGGAATAATTTTTGAACCTTACTAACTTATTTACAGGCAACTGTTTTAATATTTCAGTCACCAGCTTGGATAATAAAGATGAGAGTGACATTTTCGGAACCAAGAATCATTTTCTCTCAAATACGCAAAACGAGGCGGGTTCCCCAACGCATCCAGCGTCAAGCCAGAACTGGTTCATGAAATTCTTCCGTATCAAGGCGGCCTCTAAGGTGATCGCGCTCAACGCACCCAAAGCCCGCGCCAGAAAGGAAGTTATAAAGATTCTCCGCGAGTGGAAAAAGTACGGCATCGAAGGCATTCGTGTTGATAAGCAAAATAGCGTGATACGTGGGAGAGTTGGAGAACTAAACTGTAAGCCCTTCACCCTACATATATGTCGCCTTTTAAAACCTTGAAACATAGTGCTAACTAAGTTAATAAGTTCTCCGCCTTCGCCCTGTCGAGTTTTCCGCCGAACTTTTTACCGTGCTTGAATATGGTCGTCACGTTAGTCTCAGCTTGATACGGTTGAAGCAAGAACGAGGTGCAGCATCATCGTTCCGAAAGGTCGTGGAAACGCTGATCGCGGTGCTGAAGCAGCGCAAACTGTTGGTCGAAGATACGGTAAAGGCGAAGAAGATGGCAAAAGTTCTCAGTCTCACAGGTCAGTAGGTCAAACTAGGAACCCAGACCCTGTCGGGTAAGTATTGGCCCTATATTTGGCTGGACGACGCAAAGCTGGATACCATGCAATGCGTCGGGTATTGCAATACCTTGTCCGACTTTGGTTCTGGCTTGGGATCGCCTGGTTCTGGAACCTCAATACGCAAGCTGTTTGTTCTCAGTTGTCCATCATTATTTTCGCTTGTGATCTTGCTCAATGTGCACTCATTGTTAACAAACCTCCGCTTGTCCTTTTGCCCCAACCTTAACCAGCATAAAAGGCAAAAAAGAAAAAAGAAAAAAACTTTTTTGATTTCTGTTGATCAACCGCGCCATGGACACGGCCGTTGTCCGTTGCCCTTTTTCCGTATTTGCTAGGTTTGCTTCCTTGTGATCCTCTGCTTAATCAATCAATATTAATGTGTCGCGTGTGCAAATATATCTTGATTCAAACCTTCAGCAACAACCATACCATACAAAAGTATCAGGAGCCATGATTGCCGCTTACTGCAACTGCGGAGGCTTCTGCATCAATACCCACGTTTTACTAATGATATCGGGGGCGCCATGGTGCGGAATCACAATATGATCACATGGCAAATTACTTCAAGTCTTCTAGATCATTCTACCTTGCATCCACAGCCGTGCATATGGATATCCAGGCGCACGGCATTATATACCTCCTCCTCTGTGGCCAAGGGCATCTTCAACCCTATGAGAAATAAGCCCATCAACCAAGAAACATATTTCTAACCCGCAAACAGGTTTCATATTAGCCTTTCGTGGTAGCCGATCACAAAGACACGCAAGCTGCTCCACAGTAAGTTACCACAGATAGTTAATATCTCTTTACTCCGTTCGATCTCCAAATTTAGATACATGCACGACACCATCATTTGACCAAACCTGCCTCGTCACTCTCCAACAGTAACATCAATACGCAAAATCCCGCAATTCCACCCAGCAGAACACCGGCCAGAAGAAGGAAAAAAAAAAAAAGGAAAAGGAAAACGAACCCTCCAACGATAAGAGGCCAAATATCCTCCGTGTTTCCGCCCCGCTCCGCCTCGCCATCCCCCGCACGGGCCCTAAAAATAGAGTGGGAACTAATAATAAGAAAATGGCCACTTAGCGTCTTGGTATGGCGGGAACTAAAGCGGTAAAGCCCATTGGGTGAACCAGCGGAAAAGCGGAATGGGGGGCGGCGGCGGCGGCGGGCGGCTTGCCGGCCGGCCGGCCTCTTTCCGCAAAACCCTAAGTCTATCTAGCTTGGGCGGCCCGAGCGTGCGTGGAAAAATGATGTTCCGCGCTGACTTAAAACTACGCTTCCTAACACGCGTGCGCATGCCCGGTTTACATGGTTCCAAGGGCAAAAAAAGGGTCAATTGTAAAAAGCTCCCAACAAAGCCAATATTATTCCCTGGTCCTTTAAAATAACAAACTTTAGCATGGGAAGAGGAAGAAGAAAGCCAACTCGACGAACCGATTAAAAAGGGAAAAAAAAAAAAAAAAAAAGAAAAAGGAAAAATGAATCAGTCCAGCTGTGTCAATTGAATTTGGACGAACCAACAACAGAGCCAAAAAAAAAGAAGAAGAGGGGGACATAAAAAAACTTGAAAAATAATAAAAAATGTCATAGCAATCAATACATCAGATAGCCGCCCACCCATTCCATGTCCTAGTATTCATTCCAGTTTGCATTCCATGCCGGTGCCCAACGTAGTCTTTCATGCTCCACCTATTTCGCTTGAAATGCAATCTATTAACAGGAACCGGAGAAAAAGGGGAAAAAAGAAGAAACAACAACACAAGGAACCGCTAAAAAAAAAAAAAAAAAAAAAAGAAAACCCACACACACACAAATCCGTAACTCGAGACGTAATGATATGTGTTTTCCCCGCTGCCATGCAATTGTGCAAAGCTAAAAATATCAGATAGCCGCCCACCTCAGACAGATCTTGCCTGTATTTAATGCAGAGAAACAAAAATAGGAAAACATGCATCGTTAAAACGGAGAGCCGTGGGGGAAAGACAAGTAAAACCGGGGAAGGAGGCAAAGAAGACCAGCGCACAAGAGCCACAATATTTGATTAGTGGGTTGCCCCGAAGTAATTTATAGATCTTTTGTCAGTTAGGAAAGAAACGCAGTAACTCAAAAAAAAAAAGAAAAAAGAAAAACCAAAGACCAGAAGAATAGAAACGGAGGTTTCGGGCCGGAATGTTCGGTATCCAGGCACAGCATGTTGACGACTGTTGAAGACTGGTTGCGAAGCTGTTTTGAGGGATCGGTTGCTCCGGGACGCGCCATGCTACCTCCCATGGCCCGGAATCCGGCTGGAGGGCGTAAATGCGAACATAAGCAAATGTCTATTTGTACGATTAAAGCTCTAACTCGTAGAAACACCCTCGAGCTCGGTTACTATCCTCGAATCCTCCAATTATCTTTCTCTCTGCGTCATGGTGTAAATCAAACTTCGGCGAAAGACGATTTTCGAAAAAGCAGGGCATTGTTGCCTGCCCTAGCCGCGCCTAGGGTCCAAGTACGCTTTTTCGAAGGAATTAGCCGCCAAACGTCACTTATCTCGAAACGGTTTCAACAAGTCGAATCCCCATTACCAGCATGGGCCACTAATCGTTAAAGACAGGCATCATACTTCTCTCTTTTTTTTTAAAAAATTTTATTTTCGTTTCTCATTTTTTCAATTAATATTGTGAGTTGCGTAGGGCTTATCTACCTATCCCTCGTCTATCAAGCGCGCTCACCATGCGATTATCGGTATCACTGCGTAGATTTTGAGGCTCGGTAGGAACTAGCATATCTGTAACGCTAAGGCCGCTGCGTCTAGTGGTAGCAGTCTGTCCGGGCGGGGGAGTCGAGCCTGAATCCCTCGCAGTGGAAGAGGGCGGGGGTTGAAGGGTTGGTAGAGTGGGAGCTGATGGATTTGTGCCAGGCGGTGGGTTGTGTGATTGATCGAACGAGTATGATGAATGAGATGACAATCTTCTCGTGTCTTGTTGCCCGGGTGGATAGAATGTGCCAGGAGCAGCGGGAGCAGGCTGAGAAGGATAAGCAGCGCCGGAGGCCGGAGCTGAGACGGGAGGTAGTGTTGGAGGTTCGGAGTATTCATATCCAGTGCCTGATTCACGACGTCCTTGGGAAGCTCGCTGTGGAGAGGAGCGGGAGGAATTAGAATTTGAAACGGATGGAGAATGGCCACGGGGTTGAGGAAGGGAAACCTCGCCGGGGTGGGGACGTTTGCGACTCACAGGATCATGATAAATAGCAGGGGCCAAAGATGGAGGCGGGCCTGTTGGTCCGGGTCCTGGTCTCCCGTAGGATGGGTGTGGCTGCTGGTACAAATTCACTGGAGGTGGCAATGTGTTTTCCTGTCCATGTGGAACGGCAGCAGGGACAGGAGGAGCCTGTGGTGGAGGCAAAGGCTGTCCATGGGCTCCATAGAGTAATACTCCATCGCCAGGTCGTCCCCCCATGCGTGCCGCCGCCTGAACATTCCGGAGGTGGGGGTACGCCGCATGGGCGGGAACAAACGCTTGCGTCTGTGAAGACACCGGCGTGAACATGCAATCTTGGTTAAACCTCACGCAATTGCTACATCGGCCGTCATGCGACGACTCGAATCCAGAGCATCGAATCTATAGGAATCGCGCAAGACATTCGTTAACATGACTGATGGATGGGGTACAGCTGTTGAGGAACTACACACCTTCCGCCTGCGACAATATCGACATGCTATCGCGGTTCGCTGTCTTGGAGCGGCGGCCGGATATACTCCCGAAGATACCGGGGGAGCGGCGGGTGGAGGAACGTACATCTCGGGGGCACGTTGATATGGACCAGGGTGGGGTAGACGATAGGCATCCGGCTGTGGATGTTGTACGGGTTGTTGAATCGTGGCCATGCCAGGGGCAGGAGGCTGATAATATGGAGGCGGCTGGGTCGTTTGAGCCTTTATGTGAGTGATGTTAGATGGGAGCTTAGAAATATCAAAGTGAAGTTAAAAGTATTAAAGACTAAAAAGGCAGGCAAAAAGAAGACAAAGAAGGCAAAGAGGCTGAGGGTATATATAAGAGGTTAATTCAGAAGAGGAGAGCAGAGGTGAGTAGAGGCGAGGCGGAGAAAGGGAGGAAAAGTATGATGGCGAGGAAAGTGGAAAAAAAGAAAAGAAAAGGAGAAAAAGAAGCATCAGAGTGGGCAGGGAGAGGGTAAAATACGGACAGGATACTGGGCGGGTGGAGGATATTCGGGTTGGCTGGCGGTCCACGGTGGCGGTGGGAGCTGTCCTTGACGGTGGGACTCGTTGGACATTTGTTGTTGCGGCCTTGCGAGCGGGAAGAGTGGGCAACGAAATCCTTCTTATATCGAACTAAATTTGTCTGCGTACCGTGATGCAATTGGGAGCAGGGATCAGCTGCAGGTCTGTCAGTCCAGCCCTTTTCCCAACGAAACGCCGCTGTTCAGGGAATGACGGCTCGAAAAAGCGGGACCGCTCGGGACAAGGGTTTTGGGCCGAAGAGAATGGCGCTTTTTCCGTTTGATATGCGATGCTGGTTTTTTATTCGCTAGGCGCCAACGATGGCCCGACAACGACGACTGGCAGTCACAATTCGTGGATCTCGCATAGCCCTTTTAGCCGAAAGTGTGTGAGCATCGAACAGACAGATGTTTCTCGCAAAAAGCGAAGTGATTGAGAGTGCAGAGAGCAAAGAGAGAGGGAGGGGGAGAGGGAGAGTTAGGTGTATGTGTGATGTGTGAGAGAGAGAGTGAGTGAGAGAGATGAGTGAGTACAAGATGTGAGGTTCGGTGCGAGGGAACGAAAGGTCACGATGCAGCACACCGGGGCAGGTGGAACACAGCGAGACGCGGAGCGGTCCCCCACTGCGGCCAGCTGGCCGAGAGCAGCTGACGCGGGCGGGATTCCTGTCCAGCGCGTTAAATACCTGAACAGCCGGGCCCTTCAGGACGGGAATGTCCGTCTTCTCTTCTCCTTTCGCTTTCTCTTCCCTTGCGCTGCCGGACTCCCTTTTTTTTACCCCCTTTCAGGAACGAGAAGGAATGAAGAAGCTCAATCCCGTGTTTTTTTATTTTCTTTTTTTTTTCCCCTCTGGCGACAGGCTACCGTCTCTTGTCTGCTTTCCTACCGAGAGCCAGTCCCAGTCCGGACCTCTTTGAAGAAAAGTCAGCGTGCTGGACCAGAGCCGGTCGGAGGAAGCGGTGAGCGGCTCGTCGATGGGGCCCAACCGGGCTGACAAGGATCGCCAGCAGAAAGAAAGGGGAAAATGAGAACACGATACAACGGACCACCTGATGGGAATGCTAAGGGAAACGAGGTGATCTTTACAGCAATCGGGCAATTTTGGGGAGTTTGGAATGCACAATAGGAGGGTTGATGGGCGCAGAGAGGCCGTTCGGAGGGGGAACCGTTTACCTTGCCAGCGATTGATACACGAACCCGAATTGGCTAGATTCAAGGCGCGAAACGGAGAACTATACGCAGCCGAAGAGGTAAGGCGAAGGACGATAGACAAAGGAGACAATGGAGAAAAAAGAAAAAGAAAAAGAAAAAGAAGAAACCCGCGATAAGGAGGAAAGGACAGGCGATGCGGCCGGGCGTGATGGGGTGTGTTGCGCAGCAGAGAATTGGCCGGGTGAGGGTGAGAAGGAGGAGGAGGAGGATTCGAAAAATTCATAGAAATATGGAACTAGTTACTTGCATTCACCGTATCCTAGCATAGAGTTGAACCAAGGGCGAAAAAAAATTAAAAAAAAAAAAAAGAAAAAGAAAGCGTGTGCCGTGCGTATTGGGAACTAGGTTCCACTCGCTCCCATGAAAGCAAAGGCCCCAAACCTAACTCTCTTCCGGCGCCTTTTTTTCTTTGGTTCTCGATGACTTGAGGGCCGTTCAACCATGGTTTCGATGGAACAGGATGGGTCCCCAGACAGCCAGCGTCCCCGGAGCCAGGATCAGCGTGCCGTTGAGCAGCGAGCGCGCGAGCGAGAGTTACGGCTCACGCAGCGGCAGCGGCAGAGCTCGAGACAACAAACATACATACATCCATACATACATACATACATCTAAAAACTACCCGGAGAGAACGCCGTACCGTACGTTACTTACCGAATGTACACGCTGTATACGGAGTATGGGGTAAGTTGGCTGGCATTGGCATCGTCGTGTCATTTTGCAGCACTCGCTCCTCCACACTCACACTCACACTCACACACACACGCACTGCCCGATGAATGGACCCTGTGCTCCATCCTGATGGAGTCACTCGCAGGTATGCTCCGGTGAACCCAGGAACCGATCGGATCGCTCGCCCTACAGAACGCCCATCTCCAGTCAAAACCCGACATCTTCACGAATCAGATCCCGCACACCCAGTGACAGGCATCACGAACTCCCCAAGGTGGACAATCATTCTCTCCTCTCTCCCCGTCTACACATTTCCACGCAAAACCCCCCCACTCGGACGATGGATCCGCGGAGGATTAAAAAAAAAAAAAGGGCAAAAGTCCAAATTTTAAAAATAAAATAAAAAGTTGAAAACAGTAAAACAAAAGAGGATGTCCCAAACAACAAATCAGAAATCAAAACACCATCGCCTCCTCCAATACGAAAATCCCTTGGGAAACTCGAGGCAAGCGAATCAGCGATCGCAGCCGGCTCGAGGAGCGGAGAGAGGGCGGAAGCCTCAGCAAGGTACCGCTGCCTTGGTCGCTCAGGCATCAAGGGTCCCGGCATGGGGGTGCAGGGCCGTCGATTCTGCATCCTGCTCCCCCCCATCCATCCTCTTATTAAGGTTACATATTATTATGATGCCTATCCCGCGACGGCCTTTTTCTTTTTTTTTTTTTTTTTTTCCCTCTCTTGCCGGCAGTTTGTCGATTCGATACAAAACAACCCCTGCGATCGACCGGGGCTTGGCCGTACCGCTGGTTGTATCGGCCTAGTTTTCCTGTATTCTGTTCCGGTCCGTTACGGTACCGAAACAGCACCCAAACACTTCTCACAAACAGCGAGGACACATCATAACACACAAGACGGAAGACATACACAGATTACACGCAGGCTTCAGGTCGGGATGGCCCTGTTTCGAGAGCGCAGTTTGACTGCTTTTGAAAAACGGATAGCAATCATTTCTTATCGATTTTCTTCAGCATGCAAGGTCAAGATCTCCACACATTGCTAACATCCCCAATTTCCTAAACCTTTGGCGGCCAAGAACAATCTGCAGCCGACTCGACATTCCTCACACCCAAACCCCAACTCTGATCCCATAACCTTGAATCCTTCAGCAAACGCTGGTCAAGGGGGGTGTTGCGTTAAAGGCATGGGTCCCTATATTTATGTGGGAAGTGGAAAACTTCACATCACGAAGCAACGGCACTTTTTCGCCTCTTTAGCCAGCTTCGTTACCCCGCTGGAATCTAAGACATCTATGATGCTTACATCGCTATATCAGAACCTCCAGTCCAAAGACGTGTCTTGTTGTTATCCCTGGCCATAACGAACCTCCTCCTGGTCAATTCCTCCTTTCAGCCCCTCCCGTGGCAATGCATCGTCACCTCCAAAACCTTTTACCCCATATTTTTTGGCCTTAATTCACCACGTCGCGTCGGGGACGGGCTCGCGGTTCTCCAATAACCTACCGGCTCCCACAGATCCAACAAGGTTGCTCACGTCCGACATGGACGACCATAGTGCCCGTCTCACACGGAACCATCCAAAATTCCAAACCTAGTTGAGAGCTTCTCCCAACCGCCCATTCAAAAGAAACGCCAGTAAGATACAGCAGCGGTAGCACGTCACCCTACGGAGGGTCGGGGGGACGTGGCCCGACGAAACCAGAGCGCATCATCCCGTAAATTAGCATATAAGCGTATGGGTAATCAGCCGGCCACTTTCGTGGTCTCCGGGGGGTGGGAAATAAAAATAAAACTAAAAATATAAAACAAGAATACAGTTCATTGGGTTGGGCGGCCATACCATCCACATACATACATCCAGCATATCAGCTGCAATGTACTGACCACCCCCTAGGGATAAGAGTTATCCTGAGATAACTTCGTTACGTAACTTCCGGGCTCCTCCTCCGCGCAAGTTCGTACAATCAATACACTTCATACGAAGTAACATGGATTAGCGTTTGCAAGAGCATATGGGGCACCGCCTGTCAAGGGTATCTGCACGATGAGGTTTATTGCTCCTGTCGTAGGACCGTCATCGTCTTTCTCAGCCTTATCCGTCAAGCGGAACATTGTGGGGTTGCATGACTATCAGCCGTGAATAATACTTTAAAAGAAAAAGAACGAACACTGGTAGCAATACGGTCTCCGTTATTATGACTGCAGGTTCCCAGGGCAATTATGTACACGTGTTCGGTACGGAGTACATCATATGGACGTACGGAACGAATTACGCAAAGAATTGCGACGGGACTCTCTTCTGTGCTACTGTTGGAAGGGAATGTCCGGAAGTGTCAAGGCTAAACCTCCCCCCCTTCGGCGGTTCCACTGGAGTCTGGATGATGATATTCTTCACCCCCCTCCAAAAAAATTGAGGAAAAAAAAAAAGAACTCACAGAAAGGATGTCAGGAGAACATCGGTGATACCCAGCGCCAAACTCGGGTGACCCAGATGAGCTCGGCAACTTTTTGCAGACTTTGAACTTTCCAGATGGGCTTAACCCCAACAAGAAAAAATAATAAAAGAAAAAAATATCTCTCGGAAAGGGGCTGTGTATTCAGGCCCAAAGGGGTGTGCATTTGGGCTTCCTCACATATCTGCATGTATGATGTATGTGCGTTAGATTCATACATGCATGCAGGACATCATTTTCCTCTCTGACCCAAAAGGCACCCGAGGCAAGAGAATTGTCAAGTTTCATCCCCCAAGACCCTCCAGACTCACTCGTGAAAACTCTGGTCCCAGCGATAGGGAGGGTGTTTTAAGGCCAAACGGCTCCACTTCGATCGCCAGACAGGCCAAGGAAAACCCACGCAACACGTTTTTTTTTCCTCCCCTAACTTAACTGAGGACCCCTGCGAAAATGGAGCGCATTTTGTATCCATACAAAACGGCTGTACAAAAGGGCGAGGTATACAATACATACGTGCAGATGTTGCACATATACGCGGTACATCCCGTGCTCCAGGTCTAGCCAGCAGTGAACCATGGATACAAAACAATGCTTTGACCCGGATTTAAGCAAGCTCGACGGCCCGCCCTTGCAGGACTCGCTGGACGGGCGAAGCGTCAACTCTGGAAAGACGGGTGGAAGCCTGGTACTGTAGGGGGAGGGGGCTGCAAGTCATACTTCTTGGAGCTGACAACCAACGAACGGAAGTGTGTAAGTGGGTCGTCTGCAGATGAAGTTCAAGTGGCAAACAGGACGAGTGGAACCTTGGCGAAAACTGAGACCCTTTCGGACGGCTTCTGTCCATCTGGGCAAACCCAAAATGGAGCAGGTTTCTCATATGTAACCGAACGTCTGGGACACTGCGGGTGTGCACGCGAGGGCCGTGGCGGAACTAGCCTTTCCCATTCTCCATTCTCCATTCTCCGTAGTCTTGTCCGATGTGTACTATGTCACAGCTCCACTTCCGGGTGTTGTCACCTGGGTCTTCACCGTCTTTATGATGCAATGCATTGTGACCAACGCGGTCCTGTTTTGCACCTACATTAACACACTTTGAGAGCAAAGTAGGATAGGGTTTCACAATGGTTCTGGGAACGGATATGTGCAGCTTTCAAGCACAATGACAGGATCGCACCACCCAGGAAAGCCGTCAAAAATCTCTCCTGTGTGACTGCTGACTGCCAACTTTCATTTTATGATTTCCCTCTGCCTTCGGCCAATGGCAACAAAGCATCATAGAAACAACGTGGAATCCAAGGATGAGGGCGGTGAGACATCGTTGTGGAGAGTTTATGTTTACGCGGTAGGTGGCGGTTCCTGGGAGCGCGGGCTCGCCGCTGGCCGGCGTCGACAAAAGGTGTTGTGGGAAAGGACTATGTGGCAAGATACACGGCACCAATCAACTGAGTGAACTTCCGTGGGTCATGAAGCGGCGCGGGCCTTGTGTCTCATGAGATGGGTGCGTGTTTGAGGTGCAGGCTGGCGTGGGCAACGGAAGAGAAAGGAACGAGGCCGGCGCCGGGCGCACCATGCGTTTCGCTGCCGGATTAGCGCGGTAAACTAATCGAATTTCAGAAAAACTGCTCGGACGGGTAATTTCTTGGGAACGTCGGTTACATTTCTACTCTGTAAGTTGCAATACATTATGACAGATTGCAATTGACCTGGAATGGAAGCGATCCTTCAGATGGATATCCTCCAATCCACGAGATAATACCGGAAGAAAGCCCAATACCGTGTCCCGGCAAAACTGTGAGATTTTCGTGCCAACAAGTACGACAGCTGTGCTTCAATTGGTAGAGTTGGTGCGAGCAGAACCTGGTTCAGTCACAGGACCAAGTGCGCCTGCGGGCGAAATTCAAATAATTGTGATTTTCGTGACGATGAAGCTGCCCTTGACGGCCCCGCCTTCTTGGATCGTATTGGCAGCCGAAGAGGCATGCAGGTTGCGGCCTGTTGTGGGAGGATGACTATGCTGCGAACCTGCAGTTTCCCAGGCTGATCTTCAGCCAGGGTTCATGGGCTCTGAACCGCGGGAAGACTTGTGATCGGTTATTAACTCGGCGGATAAGCGCGGTGTTTGAGGGAAAAAGGCATTTTACCACTGGGAGCAAGTGAATCCTCTGGCATCGAACTTCAATGGGCTGAACTTTTTTTCCAACCGCCATGCTTCATTCGTTGCGTTTTGATCATCGATTTCCAGATGGGGGCCTTGCTCACGGACAAGACATTGACATCTCGGCTTTCATACAGGGAATGGGAAAAAAAAAAAAAAAAAAAAAAAAAGGAAGCGTTTCGTGGCCGATTGGCCTTGTATTCCCGTGGTCTCCGCATCTCTCCAGGATCCCGGGAAATCTTCAGTGTCATTGCACAGGAAGATCGACTAGCGGGCCGCGGGCCGCTCCGATTTGAAACGGCGATCTCCAGGCTGAAAAGGAGGTCCCCATCTGTAACTTCACAATGGTGTAAAAACCAAACTCATTTTCACTGTTCAGGACGGATAGGGAAAAGAAAAAGCAAAGAAACAAAAATTAGGGGAAACGGCAGTGATGTTGGTAGGGTTCCTTCTTGGCTCTCGAGTCTCAGGGCCAACGACGGGCGGCTCGCTATCATGGGTTCGATTGGCCTCATGCTCTGCACTGTACGACGTCTGTGTATGCAGCAGCGGCACGTTGCATTGCGGATAGATCATGTGTCCTGTCACCGGGTATGCAGGCAACGGGAGAGGTTGTCGAAATGTGATTCTGATTTGTAGGTCTCATCCATTTTTTGCGACCATGATGTGTGTGATAATGCAGGCCAATCCTTGGTTTGGTTCACTGCATGTTCATATGCTTCGCACTGGAGCACATTATTTCTTGCCGCCGATCTTTTCATGTCTCCCACCGACTTGCCAAAACCGGCTATAAATCTATCCAGGCAAGCCAAGGAAACTCCGTCATCTTACTTGTTTTGTGAGATATTCCATTTCAAAAATGGGGCTGCATCGTCAACACTTTTGAGTCCTTGACATCAACAAAGATGCTCTGTCCAAGAAACCACGGCATCTGCAATCATTTCCACAACCTTCGCGGGGGAAGATTTATGACTCTTCGCCGTATGGGTAGAGAATAGTGCTGAAGATTGCGCGACACGTGCGACAACACTCATTGACCGACATTTTCTCTTTTTTTTTTCTTTTTTTTTTTTTTTTTTTGGGTTCTGTTCTGCTTTGAGCTTATTCTGCGCGTGATTCCCTCATCAGCTCTGATGCATCGCAAATTTAAATCCCACACCGCCTCGATCCTCGTTGCCGGTCCCCGAAGATGTCACGCCAGCCACAACAAAACATTGTTCAATCACAGTTTGGTATGCACGAAAGGCGTGCATACAGCCATGCCAGAATCCACATATGAAGTCATCATCAACATTTCGCATGCGCATGCTGCCTTGAGTTCTCGCCATGATGAACCAGATTCGACCAATTCACTGCAACGTCGGTAAGGCCCTTCCAAATACCCAATTAAGTGTTCAACTTCCCGCTTACCCGCCTTACCCACCTGCCTGGAGCCTTTAAGCTGCATGAGCGGGGGTATATTGCTCCCTCCCTGTCATGAAGCCGTTGGGCAGCAAGGAAGACAACAGCACACACAAAAAAAGAAAAAAAAAAAAAAAGATCTCGGAAAAGCGCCAATCGCGATACTTACCAGGTACCTCGTTTGATACGGCCTTTGATGTAACAGTACAATACCGTACGAAACAGTCGAAATACGATAACACTTGGCGGTTCTCTCTCTTCGATGGCCGACGGACAGACAGCAAAACCCCTGCTCGTCCACGTTCAGCCCGCCCAAGTGGTGTCCAATAGCCAGCTCCCGGCGGCATGGGCAGGAGAAGCGGTGATTTTGAACACCAGCATCCAAACAGTCACATGGTGTGGGAGGCTGGACTTCGCGCCAGCTGACACGCATGGCCCCCGTCCAGAGCGGCGACAAAAACGTGCCCAGCGCCTCGGACTGGCGAAAGGAACGGGCTAATGACATATGGGCGGTTCCGGCACTAATGCGAGGCTGTCACCGCCGGTTGCGCAAATTAAAAGCGCGCGTCGCCCGAATTGCGAGGGTGGGGCAAGGCCCATCACGGCTGTTATGCTTTGCCGCATCCCTGTCCCTTCCGCTTGACCCGCATACGCTGCTGGTCATGTGCTCTAAGCTCAGCCAATCGCACCGCCGCATCACCAGCCCGGGCGCCCGCCACCTGCTGCGTGCCAAGCCTCGTTTTGATCCCGGCTGGATGGGTCATGGTCCTCCCTGGATGACGCTGCGACTCCATGGCGTTGCCGGCGGACGGTCGACCGTGGACGGTAGATCTTGGGGTCGCTACTGTACCAGCTCAATCGAGCGGTTCGCCTACGCCATCCCAGGGCTTTTCCTTTCGACGCCCGCTCTGGCGTCAACGCCCCCCTCCCCTATCCTTCCCCCTTTGCAAGCGCCGTGATATGCAATTTCAGACCCATCATGGCCATGTTCCAATGAATATACTCACCTGCCTCATCACAGTACCTTTGCTCTCATGATGCGAGATGTGTTGAAAAGGGACTGTATTTCCTTCTCCAGGACTAGCATGCCGGGATTCAACAGCCACTCCTGGACCTGAGGTCAGGCCGCTTGCCCCTCACGCCTTCGCGCCCTCGTCCGCCACTCCTAACTCCCCAAGGTCCATGAGATACACATGTATGCACCGTGCCATATGCATTGCTTCGTTGGCGATATCACATTTGCACAGCCTTCACCTGTCCTGTTGCGCGCACATACATACATCCACTCCCCCTTACATTCATTTCTCCTTTGCTATATCCAGTCACCACGTGTCACGACATGCTGCGCTGGTTCTGTTCGGCGATTATAGTCCATCTCTTCACCTCGAAACTTGGGGGGGAAATTCGCATCCGCTGCGAGAACATCGCCGCCTTGTTGGGCACCAATGCAACTATGATCTCATCCTCGCCTTTTTTTTCTGACCTTATTTCCTGCCCATTGGGGCAACCGGCCACTTGTGACGCCAAAACAATACAGGTCCTTATCCGATTGCCACCCCTCGGAGCACAGTGCACTGGTGTGTTTCCCTTGAGCGATGCGTTTTGATCCGGGCTTAACAGACGGACAAACAACTCCGAGATGCCATTCTTCAATCCCCATCCGTTCAAGGTATTCTATTCTGGCCCACTGATCCTCGCGCCCGGGCGGGATTTAGCCCTTGCCGACGGGCCTCATCCGGAACGTATCTGGATATGGGAAAAACGTGCATATGGAGTGCTCTCATCGGATTTGCGCTCGCATTTGCTGTGTCAAAAGGCTAATGCCTGCACAGGCCGTTTCGGCTATGCTGTCTCCTTTTACCTGACATACAGTTGCGACTCGATACGAGCCGTCGGCTCGACATGCTCACTGCATACCCGATCTCTTTTTGAAGTTATGCTCACTCCAGCACGGCATCTCCTTTATTTACTGATTCTAGGTTTCTTTCACTTTGCGTCATCTTGTATGCGTGTATCATACAGTGCATCTATGCCCACACACATACATCCATTCAGCAAGCCATATATAGCTAGGAGATTAAGGTACATAGAGTCACCAAGTTGATCTTGCAGAATCGATACTAAAATCTAAAATATACTAACCTTGTATACTCTTTCAACCGAGGCTGGCTAGATTTTGAGACGAATATATTCTAGGTGCAGTCTTCATCCTTTTCTTCGGGCCGAACCTAGCAGTAACCCTTCCCCTGTATCTCCACCATTCATCACCAGTGCTTAATTCCAACCGTTATGCGGATCGATAGTAAGTCGATTGGCGGGAATGGCTTGAAACCAACTTCCTCAGCCGAATTATCTACCGGGTGACTCGCATAAACCCCCGCTTTATATCTCAAACAAGGGTGTATATGCATGTCAAAGCAAGTGCCCGAATTACACTCTCGTCCGCAGACAATAACGTTTGAATATGCATTCTTACTGCATGTATATACGTACGTACGTACGTATGTGCATACATACATGGAGCGACAATATCACCATCTCCCAGTTGACCCTGTATCTTCGATTAACAGGGTTTTCTATGATACTTCCAAGACTTTCCCAAAGGCCCAAAAAAAAAAAAAAAAGAACCAAACTCAAAAAATTTTCTTTGAAAGAAAATATTGTAATCTTTTTTTTTTTTTTTTCCAATCCGAGCCAGTGCTGATGAGCAAATGACCAGAGAAACCGTAGGGAGAAACTTCTCGTGTTTCATGATGCCCGGAGGGGGAACACGGTCTCCATGTCAAATCTCCGAAACCGCATCCGCAAGCCTTCAGAATCGGTTCTATGGTAAACTTTGTTCCAAGCATCTCAACTTCCCGCTCAACGAGCAAAAGGCTAATTCCTTCCCACCCATTCCCCCGGCCTACATGTCACGAAATCGAAACACCATCGCTTGGGTTGGTTCTTGGTCGAGCGATGCTGGCAACGAAGCTTTTTCAAAGCCGGGGGTCCCGGCTTCCAAATGTTTCCTCCCACATCTCCTGATATTGGTCTCTAATGTAGTTCCAACAATTGGGCATGGACGCTCAAAAGGAAATGAATCAAGCACAATAAAGGGGGGGGTGTTTAACCTCACGGCTACATTTGCGTTATTGGTCGAAAGACTTTGCGCGTAAACCTGGGGAGGTTGAACTGCAAAAGTAGATATCTGGCTGAGTCGTGTCCCCAAGCTGACCTGGCTCTGCCTACGAGGAAGTACTGCCTCCATCCGGCTCCTCATCGTCATCGTTTTGCTCGTTTTCGTCCAGATCAGGCATCACAACGCTGTTCAAGTATGTGACCTGTCCAAGTGGCAATGCCAGTCAATACAAAGCATTAGAAGATGGTGGGGTTTGGCAAGGTGGGCTCCACAGGCGATAAGCGTGTCCAATACGCCTTATTGTTGCTGCTGCTGAAGATGCCACATCATACGTAGGGAGAGCGGGAGATGGGCTAGTGCACGCAATGTGAGACTGGAGGGTGGTCCAGTCGCCTGAGGGCAGGGGTTAAGGAGCAGCATCTTTCGGAAAAAGGGTCCAGATGTGGACACCCAACAGCTGCCCAGGACTGAAAAGGTATCGGGGCATCCCGGCCAAGCGACCAACAAAGCTGATCCCTTTCTTTACCCGGAGATATGCAAAAAAAAAAAAAAAAAAGAAAAGAAAAAAACGGGATTATTGGGTCTATGGGTAGCAAGACAGATGAAAGTCAAATGCTGATGTGCCCAACCTCCCCAGCGCTTGCATCAAGAGGTGGGACGGCAAGGGTAAAACGGAGTGGCAGGGTCCGTGCAAAATCGAGACGGTTGTGATGTTGTGTAAGGCCGCAAGAGGGACCAAGGGAGACGAGTATGGGATATGGACTTACGAAAGGAACCATGATTCCGATAATACTCGCAATCCTGTCCAGCGCTTCTGGGCCCAACAGATCCTCGTCACGGAGTTGCTTGTTGAGCGTGAAAGAGCGCAGTCGGAGTAGTTCGATGTTCTTGTTCTCTGAACTGTAGCCCTAGAACCGAGGAATCAAGGTTAGCGCATTGAAGGCGGGAAGGCTTCTTTGTGTAGCGGAATGGGAGCGGCACAAGGCCCGTATGCGTTGCAACGAGAGCCCACCGCGAAATGCGGTACAGAGGGCAATAGTGCAACCAGATATCGTAGTGTGAACTCTGATCAGGGCTGAGGTTTCAGGGGGGGGCCTCAGTGTGGGAGAACAGCATGGAACCGAGCCAAATCCACAAAACAGCGCGCCCTCTTCGCAACCCCGTCGTCCGTTCTCCATGAACACGCTTTTCAAAATGACCTCAGGACTCGTCAAATAAGCAGTCAAGCGTCGACAGCCTTGTTGCTCACATCGTTGATGCCTTCATGGCGTTGAGACTTTGCACCAACGGCGGCGACCAGCCTTCCAAGCGAAGCCCCATGAAGACACACCGTCTAAAACGAACACCACCGAGTCAATAGCATCTACAGCAAGCTTGAAAAGGCCCGCAAGTAAACCTACAAGGCCTTCCTCCGCAAGATATGATGAGACCTGATGAGATGAACCAGTCGGCTCGTTTCTGTTTACACGGCGACACGCGTTTTCGGCTGTCTCGGCCCAGCCAGACCGTTCGCAACACTCGCCAGCTGCCCGATTTTACCTCTATGATTTCATCCACGGCAGTATGGAGGCATTTGAGATACAAGAATTGATAAGAGAGTGATTGTTGCGGCCCAGTTGGTTCGCAACATCAGGATGTGTTGGTGATGTCAACACTCGGTGACCAAAGAAACATTCCCTTACCTTCGGTTTGGTTTTCAAAGCGGTTTCTTGATTTTGACTGATGAAAGCCTTCACTACCTTCTTTTCTTCGTCAGGAATATCGTCGAAAATTTCCCTTCGTATGTCGGAGTGGCCCAAGACGCGCTTGATGCGCTCCGATCGCCCGTCGATGTCTTGCCTTAGAAGGGCCAGTCTTGCCGCCTCTGGCATCCATAGACCCGAACCTAGCGAAGTATAATTAGACAAAGATCTTGCTGAGGCCGCTTCGATCTGCTGGAATGTCTCGTCTCGTCGATGCCTGAATTTGTTGACAGTGCTCCTTGGTGGATGTGAGATTGCCATATCACTAGGTGGTTGGTCACACAGCACCCGAGATACCGAGAGCGATCCTCAAATAATTTAAATGATATGGGTATGAAGGCTTTGAGAGACCTTACCAACGAAGCACTTCCCTGGCTCCAGGTGGACGTAGTAAGCCGCATAAGGTCCTTTACGACCAGTCCGGGACCTATAATGATATGGGTCAGAACCTTGTTCAGCTTAGAAGGAGGGATTAAAAGTTTCTTGGCTTACCATGCCGCTGAGAAGTGTGGCTGAATGTTGTTAGCATGTCATCATCATGCGGCGTGAAGACATCACGGAAAAGCGAAGCGTCGTAAAGGGTATCTGGATTGGAACAACACCTACCTTGTAAGGCGTAGGGTCATTGGTAAAACGGACATCCCTATATATACGAAACACCTGGATGCGTTGCCCAGTCCATCAGCATCTAGGAAACCGCCTTGTCCGAACAGTGCAGCACTTCAACCTACCACGTCCTTCACCGGTAGTTCAGGAATAGTACTATCCTTTTCAATAATTTTCTCGGTCAATTTCTCCACGAATGCCTCCCAATCCTTCTGTGACGTGCGATAATCCGAATCATGCTCTGAACGGTTATAAGAACACGTCGAGTAAACGCAAAGATAATTGTAGAATCCAGAAGGGGGGGCTTACTCTTCAGCCAGTCCCTGTCATTGTTCGCTTTCAAATCTTCCAGGAACAGCAATGTATTCGGATGAATCGTGTGGTCCTCATATGGCGTGCTTCCCGGATCTCGGGCCTGAGGAAGTTCTATATAGACTTCTTTGCCTGGGCCCAGGCCCGTCCGCACACCCTCTCTCCATAGGTCTGTTAATTTCGAAGCTCGAGTCTGCTCCGGCTCCCTGCCGCCTTTGCCCTGCGATATCCTCTTGCTCTTCTGCTTCCCTTTCCTAGCTGCTCCGCTACGTTTTCGACCGTTGTCATCACTCTCCTCGTCTGTATCGGGGACCCAGGGGTCCGCATTCGTAGAATCGGGGCTAAGAGGCGGGGAAGATATGGGCGTTGGGCAATACTCTGCCTCGGAGCTCTCAGCATCTGCAGGCAGGAAGTATTTGCTCCTTTTCGGCGTAGATTTGAGAGTGCCGTCTTCTTGTGGCAAACTGGCCGCAGTTTTTTGCCTTTTCCCCGGCCTTTGTGCGTCGGGAGAGGCGTCGGCTCGCCGATTCTTTTGGCGCTTGGCGGACGCGTTGGGGGCAGTTCGGCGACGTGCAGCGCGAGGCATGGCAGTATTGTGATCGTGTCTGATTCGTAGATTTCCTGGGGATATCGATAAGATAGGGACACCGGTTTCGACCAATTTGGCTACTTGGGATCGCGGTCTTTTTCCTCGAAAGCCTTCAAGTAATCCTTCTCTTCAGAAGCAATTCCGGCTCTATATGAAAGACGTTGGAACTGGCCCGAGCTACGGAGAAGCTAAGGAGCAGCTAAGCTTAACTAGTTAACTAGAGTTCGTCAACTGGTTCCCAAGATAGCGCCGATTCTGCGCCCCAAAGCAGTTGGAATCATCCTCTGAAGTATTTTATGATTTTATTTCTCAATTGTACGGAGTACCATAGAGCGTTATCGAATTCGTCTTCAAAAGTCTAACTAATTTCTTGCCTGCATTGAGTGTCAGCTGCATCCGTCCGTCTGCCAGTTTGGTGAAAGCAAGAAATCGCCCTTCTCGTCGGTATCCTTTTGGCGATTTAAGCAGAAATCATTTGCAACAAAATCCCGGGAACTGAAAGCCGCTGCAGATCGGTGTAACTGGGTTTGACAATAGGTTCACTCATATTTGTTTCACTGAGTAGTCAGCAGGAAACCATTCATGCCGACGCTGATGGGACATTGCTCCGGATCTCACTTCCAGACGATGACATCTGCACGGTCCTTTGAGGCTAAGAAGCTGAAGATCCTAGGCTCTCTATCTCTCCCTGACGAAGAATACACGGATTTGTCACCCAAGGGCTCTGTAGATGTCGGCATTAGAGGTTTAATTCGGGACATTAACCGGCTCCAAGGACTTGTGACAACGAGCAGCTGCGCTGGCCGGATTAGCGTTTTCCTTGAAGGGGCAGGGTTGAGCGCAGAGCCGTCGTCGCAGGACGGTGGGGAACGAGAAGAAGAAGAAGAAGAGGTCGGCGGGGAGTTGTCGAGTGCTCAAACGAGACAATTTGCCTCGACTGGCGGGAAAGGCAGCGGAAAATGGCAATTTGTCTCGCATGATCCTGTGAATATCGACCGATCTCGCCACTCCTTCCACGAGCTCTTCGGCCTCCAACCTGGAAACGGCTCAATCAAAGCGGGAAAAAATAGAGAGATGCAGCTTGTGCGTTTTCATTTTGAGCCAATGGTGAGCCACATTGCCTCCCATAAGCAGCAAGTGTTGTGGAAAGGAGTGTGCATTGTTGATATCTATCTAGATCCTCCATATCATGGCAGAGTCCCTCAAACATGCCCAGCCTGTCCTGGCCGCAGCATCAAGTGCCGGCTTTCGCGAAAGCGGCATCCAAGGCCTTCGCTGCCTTGATGACTCGAACGCTTGCCCCATTGTGGCCGTGAGGTCATCTGGATTGGCGTTGGAGTCCATTATTGGCTACGTAGAGAAAGGGAACTCTCCGGAAGAGTCCACTGTCCGCAGTCTTGTGAGCGAAGAATACCTCCGGATGCTCGTTTCTATCGCCAATGAAAGGTTCCAAAGCAACTACGGTCGAATGGACAGATTTCGGACCAAATTGTTATCCCTATCTTCAGGATCTCCATCCAACTTATCGTCCCAGAAAAGGGAGTGGGAGGATGCCGACCGAAGGAGGGAGAGGAAACGTGCTGAAGGACTACAAAGGAGAGAAGCGGCAAGAAAAGCCGCCAAACCGAATGATAAGACACCCGAAAGCGAGGATGAGATGCCCCTTGATTTCCCTGACGCCCAAGGGTGAAATACTGGTAAAAGCCATTACGTCGCTAGTTATACGGTAGCAAAATGGCCGAAATTCCTTTTTGTTATTTTAACTCCTCTTTTACTTTTTGATTCATACATTATTCTTCCAGCCAGGCATATTAAGGGCCTTTAACCTGGGCTAGTAACAAGGGGAGGGCCCGCCCCGACAAAAACAGACAAAAACAGAACGCAACAGCCTTTAATACCCTTGCCTTAAACACCCTAGATGGACTTCCCAATCTGTCCTCAACTCCTTGTCAACAATACTCTGTACCAACAGCCATCTAGGGGGTTAGGGCAAGGGAGTTAACAAGACGTTTAAAAAAAAAAAAAGAAAAAGAAAAAGAAAAGGGAGAGGGAAAGGGCAAGAAAAAAAAAAAGAAAGAGGGAAAAGAAAAGAAGCAGACCCAGGGACACGACCAGAGCCATCTAATGCCCGAAGGCACAAACAGTACAACTAATAAGGGGAAACCCCCAACGAAGCTCAAAAAGCCAGCCCTAGGGCCCCATTTCCCAGCCCCTAAGGAGCCAGGGGCGCCCTTGCGTTTCTCCGTGATGGCGCCTCACGGATGGCCTTAAGGCCCTCTGCGACCATCCCCTGCAGGACCTTAGTTTCGTACTGGACGGCCATGTTCCACTTAAGATGAGTATGGCTAGCCACAAACTCAAGCCGAGCAGGGCCAAAAGGAGACATTATTCCAGGGCGGGGAATCCAATTGTTTGCAAGAATCTCTGGTCCTGGATTCTTGCGTTCTATACCTTTGGCTATCAGGCTAGCAAATTTCTGAAGCATCACTTAAGTTAGCTGAGAGAATTTAAACAACCCCTGGAAAGGTAAAATGTAAAGACTCACGTTCACATTGTCTTCAGTAGCGTTAGACTTCTGAACCAATGTGTCGAAGGGCCAAAATTTTGTTGTCTCTGGGGTAGCCTTATATGAGGTCTGATCATTGGCAGCAGAGTAGAGAGCTGCTTTTTGACACTCAGTGAACGTTGGGCAACGGAGTCCAGCGTTTAATAGATCCAGAAGGAGACGGCTATCTAAACCAAGTGTCCGTTTTTCAGAAGCACGTGCAGCTAGAGTCTGCAGCTGGGAAAAACACGCAAAATGAAGCGCATTGCGATCTTCGACGCTGTAAAGGGTAGTTGCATGCCATGGAAACTGAAGCAGAAAGTGCAGTAAGTAATCAATATTCTCAAAACTAAGATGTGGAGGAAGCTCACTTTGTAAAGTGTGCTAATCAGAGCTTCGTAGGTACGCTGAGGGCATTTAGTAGCGAATGGAGCCTATTTCCTATTAGCTCACCTGGACAAGCTGGTGTCAAGCGAAGCGAAACGTACTCTTCTGGGCATCTCCGCATTGCGGATCATACAAAAAACCTCTTCTGCAGTGAGAAAGCTTTGGAAGCCAACAGAATAAGGGTCATTGTTGCGAGTCAGAATTGGTTTCCCATCTCTCCAGACAATGCATTTCGCGCGGGGGAATAATTCTTTAAGAAGCTCGTCCTGAGAACTTAACTCGACATCGATGTGGCGATCACCAAGACGAGGGGGAGCTCCAGGTAGGCCTCTGTTCAACCATTCAAGGGTCTCTTTCGCATTTGCTGTTGTGAGAAACTCAACATAGCAATCCATTGTCTTCGCAGTGGATCGGTCCATGATGATGTGAACTGCAGTTCCAAGATGTAAGGGAAGCAACTTTGCTCTGCGGCCCATAAAGTGGACAACCTCTTGTTTAGAGATACCATAGGGAATCTTCATCAAAGTCAGTATTATGACGCGTTGGAAACAACAACTCAACTTGAAGATGCCCTGAAAGTTGCAGAGTATATCAGGGTGACACTTACATTCATGAGTTTTAGAACACCTCCAGTGGGAGGAGAACTGTATCTTGCTCCATCATCAATAGGAATTTCAAATGGCTTTCCTTGAATTGTGATAATGTTGTTTGCAACTGAGATATCTTTCACTTGAGCCAAAGCATCTTTATTGTTGCTAGTAAAGGTGGTTCTTGCCAACGGTGGTGTAGCAGGTGCCAGTGTAGTTTGTGATGTTGGTTGCTCTCGAATAGGCTCCATTCTCCTGTGAGACTCTTTCTGAGAAATTGCAGGGTGAATATTTCCACCAAACATGGGGGCTGGTTTCAGGGACGGGGGAACAATTAGGGGACCTCTATAATCTTGCTGGTTTGGTGCTGCGGAGCTTTGGAACGAGTTATGATAAGATCCAGGGTTCTGATAAATCGGGCCACTACGAGATGGGGGGCCGATTGGAGGTTGCATTCCATGATCCTGATTCCCACGAGTGAAATTCGCGTTGAACGGGTTCATACCTTGATGGCTGGCGTGGTGTTGAATAGGCGGCTGAATTGGCAGCTGATGGCCTATTTCTGGACCACGGTGAGCCTGAGTCGGCGGAGCATAAGGCCAGTGCTTGTTGTTAGAGTTGTTTCCTGCAGAACCAGCCATTGACACAGAGTAATATGGTCCAGAAGGAAGGTTTGGAATGACAGCTGCTGAGAATGAAGGCCAAAAAGAAGGCATGCAAGAAGAATATGAAATTTCAAATCCAGAAGCGTAGGGCTGAGGGTTGAAACGTTGATGGGTGCATGGAAACGGAGCGGCAGGAAACGTATACACAGGGGGATGCGAATGTTTTGTGGGAAAAGGAATTGATCCTTCTGTGGGAACTCGGTTCACTTGATAAGACGGAGCCTGGACGTGTTGTTTTTGCTGCTGCTGTCGTCCCTGGTAACTAGGGATAAAAGGAGGAGCCTCTGGGTTCATGTGACTTTTCCCAGGGAGATATCCGTGATCTTTACCATCTTGACTGTTGATAACATTCCGGGACCCTTTCGGGAAGAACTTAGGTTGTTTTCCTTCGTCAAAGGTCGGCCGACGTTTGAAAGCCGTCGCTCGTGAAGTCCAAGCCGGCATATCGATGGTATCGACAATAGACAACGAATTCCCGCGGGCTCTATTCCAGCCTCTTCGGGGACGGAACGAGGAGGGTCTCGCCATGATGTCTTTCCTTAGGGTACACGCAGGACCAACTCAGCCCGAGCAGGGTGCCAGTTACATAGAGACGAGAGCGTCTTTCTGCAACAGGTCAAATGCCGAGATCAAGAGCGGATACGCAAAAAGGGTTATGATTAGAGGAGTTGAAACAAGACAAAAAGCTTGATGAGATTGAAGAAGACTGTGATTAAATGAAGAGAAGCAAAGAAAGAGAAAACAAAAATTGCAAGCGACAACGACAACTCTATAGCCTAGTGCCGCTGAGTCGTGCATGATTAGTCGGAATGTTCACAAGACATGACGCCGAGGGATACTTTTCTCATATTGATTGCCATGCAGCTCTGAGTTGTGAGAGAGAATCCGCCATCAAGCACATTGCCTGAGGGATGGCAAAGAGAACTGAGGTACTATAAGAAGAATAAATAATAGAATGGCAGAGGTACATGAGCCTCAAGACTATGCTCAGGAGCTGTTATAGTTCTTGCCAGGGTGAAAAACGATTATATCTAATTGATATCACAGTATGCTTGATGCTGAGAGAGGTCTGTGGGTATACAAAAGGGACTTCTTTGACCGGAATATGTATTAAAGGTCAAAGAATTGTGGTTAACCAGAGGATAAATCCGAACATTCTTAGAATAATGCCAATTCTAGTTGAAAGTGTTGGGAAAAGCCGCCATACTTGTGCAAACGGAGCTCTAGAGCACTGCGTTTGAGAAAGTTCTATCTATTTTGATAGAACTGCACTTTAAGAAAGACATATGACTTATGAAAGGTTGAGCAGGAAGGATGTGCCCAGTCGCCAAAATGGCCTATACAAGTGTGGAAGATTGCCCCTGGTGATAATGTAGCCGGGAGAATGGAAAGCCGAAGATATCAGCTTATCGAATATTTTGAATTTGGTACTAGAAATTTGACATGGGATCCTGGCATTATTGACCAAGCGGTTCAATAAAGGACATAGTCAGAGAGATGTGGCAGATCACAGATATCGGTACCCGGGACATCTCTGCCCGGACACTTATGGTTGCATAAATTTCCGTGAATATTTGCGCTGAGGTAGTAGCTAATCATAAAAATACTAATCGAACTGCAAAGATCTTAGTATCTATAAATCGAGGACTTGAAGGGAACACTCACTGGTGTCAAAAAGGACTCTGCGACAAATCTCGCCCTTGCATTTAACTATGAGTTTATTAGCGGACATACGATACTTCACAGCTTGAGAATTAAGGAGAATGCGCAACAGCGGTTGGGTGCGTACAAAAAGTTTCATCTCGGAGATTTCTTTGTCCACTTCTTCCATAAATTGTATGATGAAGTCTACCAGCTTATGCTTTAACATGGCTTCGGTGTGGAAATTCGTTATCAAGAAGGATATATCGTAACCCTATATGTATAGAGTTAATGGCTTGCCCTCGTATAGGTCCTTCTGGACATGTAATACCTTTACGGGTTTTCTTCGCAGGATAAAGAACGCCTCCGCTCGCTGCGTTAGGAAACGAGTGAACTTGTGTACTAAGATGTGCTCAATCTCATCGGCCTGTTTAATTCGAATGCTGACTCGAACGCTATTCACACTAGGTTCGATAAGAACTTTCTCGTTCTCGTTACGTGCAATCGTTAGGGGGTTGAGGAGAAGCTCCGGCGAAGTAGCGGCTTCGATTTCAGGGACATTGTGCCTTTCTGAGGTCTGTGAGGCAAAGTTTGATACAGCAAGAGCGGCCGTCAAGGAGGATCGAACGCATTGAAGGTATGGCCGTAAGGATTGAGACTAATTTACGGTTAATCATCCGCCCGATGTTATATTTCATAGGTGCCTTACCATCCTGCTGGAGGATAGATGCGTGGAAGGGCCGCGTTCGCGTCGTCCACCGAATCGAAGAGCTTTATGATAACCTGGGACTTATCTTCTTATGTGTGGCATAGAGCAGTGATCAGCAAATTATGGTATCGAGTTCGTTTATCAATGCAGCTTGTAATCAATAGGAGATGGGCATGCTTCTGGCCTTGCGACTCCCGCCGATTGTCGACGTTGGATGCCGTGGAGAGTTTGCACTGTTTGCTTCTACCCCCACATCGATCCGTCTGTTGACCTGAACCTTTACCACGAACGGCGGTTATGTAATGAGGCAAAACACTTTCCGGTGCTGATATCCCGCTATTCTATCGACCTTGCAGTCTTCTCCGCGAAAGAGTCTTGAAACATGGCTACCATACCCGGTGAGTGTTTGGGTTTTGGCTGGACTAGTGCCGACCTTCTGCTGACATGTGCTCTTTCGTAGTTATCGTGAAGCATCAAGGCAAGCGGCTTGAGGTCGAGATCGACCCTGCTGCGAACGGCGAGACTTTCAAATTCCAACTCTATTCTCTCACAGGAGTTGAACCAGAACGCCAGAAGATCCTCGTGAAGGGTGGACAACTCAAAGATGATACAGAACTTTCCTCCCTTGGGGCAAAACCCGGCCAGACCTTCATCATGATGGGAACACCAAGTTCAGGCCAGGCTGACCTAACTTTGAGGAAACCGAAAGAAGCGCCTAAATTTCTGGAGGATATGACAGAAGCTGAAGCTGCTAAAGCTGAAGGCGCCACACCCGCTGGCCTCCAAAACCTTGGGAACACTTGCTACTTGAACTCGACTTTGCAAACATTACGAGCTCTTCCGGAGTTGCAAGAGGAGCTACTAAAATACAAAGCTTCGCGACACCCTCAGCCCAGTATATTTGGTTCCAGCACCACAGATCTTACGGCTTCACTCCGAGACTTATATAAGCAGATGTCCGAGACACAGCAAGGATTCCCTCCAATGATGTTTTTGAATGCCCTCAGATCCGCGTTTCCTCAATTTGCACAAAAAGCCAGGGATGGCCGGGGTTATGCGCAGCAGGATGCGGAAGAAGCTTGGTCACAGATCATTACTCAACTCCGCCAGAAACTGGTGATCAAAGATTCCAACGCCGAAAGCTCAGACAAAGAGGTGTCTTTCGTTGACAAATATCTCTCTGGGAAATTCGATACTATACTTGAGTGCGATGAGCAGGCTGCAAGAGATGCGGGAGAAGTTCCAATAGAATCTACCGATGTTTTCTTCAAATTAAACTGTCATATTGGCAAGGATACGAATCATCTCCGGGACGGCATTATGGCCAGTTTAGAAGAAAAGATTGAAAAACATTCGGATGTACTTGATCGAAACGCCATGTATACCAAAAAGTCACGAATTTCTAGGTTGCCGAAGTATCTTACAGTCCACTTCGTGCGATTCTTCTGGAAACGCGACACACAGAAGAAAGCAAAGATCATGCGCAAAGTCACTTTCCCCGCTGAGTTAGATGTAGTTGAGTTTTGCACAGATGAACTAAAACAACATCTTGTCCCCGTTAGAGATAAGGTTCGGGAGATTCGGAAAGACGAACAGGACATGGAGAGAGCTCGCAAGCGCCAAAAGAGAGCACACCAGGAAGAAGAGCAGGCGGCTACCATAACCGCAAGCGAACCGTTGCAGAAAAAGAAGGAAGCGGAGTCAAAGGCATCCGGTGAAAGTGGAAATGACGGCGGCCCACCAGAGGTTTACAAAACTGATGCTGAATATGAGGCAGAGAAAGCAGCGTCGCTTCTCGCCGCGAAAAAGGAGCTATTCAATCTAATTGATAAGTCTCTGGCTGGCGATGAAGGGGCCAACAAGTCTGGACTCTACGAGCTGCGCGGTGTGATCACCCACCAAGGTGCTAGTGCAGATAGCGGTCACTATACGGCCTACGTCAAAAAGCAAGGAAAGTTTGTGGATGATCCCAAAGCTCCCGGCGGAAAAAGGCGGGAAGAGGATGGCAAATGGTGGTGGTTCAATGACGAGAAGGTATCTGAGGTTGGAGACGAGAAAATTGAGACCCTTGCCGGTGGAGGTATGTTCCAATTTTCGTCCGTTCTGGGCTGCTATTTTCCTTTTTCCATTTTGATTGTCTCCTTGCTAATCCATGCGAACTTTTTAGGTGAATCCCATTCCGCCCTCATCCTTCTTTATCGTGCCATTGACTTACCCACTGCTGAGGAAGTCCAAGAGTAGGATGGCCGTCAGCCCATATCAAGCCCATAGATCTCTTTGGGGTAAATCATGTCTTTCTGGCCCAAAAATTGGTGATGAGAAGCACGAACTACTGTTACATTATCATTATAGATAGCCTACTGACAAGTGAATGAAACAAGTTTATGTTCACTGTGGAATCTAAATTCCATCATATAGGCCTACTCCTTGGACCTGGAATTAGACCATAAACTTTAGGGGTTCTTGTTATGATATTCAAACCTAAAAATGCTCTACCAGTCTTCCAGGGTGCCATGCGATGAAGGGTTTGTGAATGCCGCTGGATATGTATAGTTGTATGTGACATTCAAAATACGGAGGTACCTGTGCTCCATTGCCCCAGTTACATTCCCCATACTAAGATTATCAATCTGCCACCGTATGCTCAGTTTAATGCAACATTTTGCAAGCCAACCAGATATTATGTTTCTCTACCACAAAAGAAATTGGACACAGGATCATAATACGCCCCAGTTATCGCTATGACAATCGAAGCTGTCGGCCCAGAAGATTCCGGCGCATTTTATCCTATTACCGGGAATCTGCCTTAGCCTCTCAGCTGTGATGATCGTCGGGATGATCCAGCTAGCATGTCTCTGTATCTTTTCCTTGCACTGTTATGAAATGCAACACTGAGCATTACATCTTGAGTCTCACTGGCTTGGGCTTCAATTTCTTTGGAGAGTGACACAGGAATATTAACACCTCGCTTGTTGGTTCACAGGTTGCCTTTAGCAACATGATGACTCTAATGTTTGCTCTGCTTGCCGTTTTTCTTACAGTGGTGTCTGGTTTGCAGACACTTCCCCAACCGAGTTGACAAAGAGACCTGGAAAAAGTCTCTTTCTTCGGTACCAAAAACAATCTACATTGACTCCAGCTTTACGCAAATAAAGGACAAGGACGGCTTGACGCATATACCACCCTCGGCATACGAGTTTGCTGAAACGTTCGCCAGCGATCTTGAATGGATTTCTCGTACCTCATGGAAACTGGAGCGGGTTGATCGTATTTCAAAATGTGGAAAAGGTATCTATCTCGGCAAATCCGCCGGATCTGCGAGCAAACTCATTTATCAAAACGGAGAAGTTACGGAAGAAGCGTATGAACTCGAAGTCCAAAACGACCGCACCGGTGCACGTGGCATGTGGTGGGGAACTAGAACACTGTTGCAGCAGCTTGTCCTTTCTGGTGAAGACCGGCTAATGGTAGGCCGTATTGAAGACGCTTCCGCCTATTCACCACGGGTTATATGCTTGACTGCGGTCGCAAATTGGTACTCGCTGTTGTTTCTCAAGGAAACGTGCACGTTCGCCTCGTTCTTCAAATGTCCGAGTTTCGATATCATCTTATGGACAACTATCCACTTAACCATGGCCCTAATGAGACTTGGAACAGGGTGTACTTGCACTTTTCCCCAAGGCCTGAAGATCCGGAGTTGAATCCTCTGGTGGAGCGACGAAATGAAACCCTCTCGCGACGAGAATTCGAGGACCTCCAACGGCATTGCGTTTCGCGCGGCGTTACCGTTATCCCAGAGATCGAGGCACCTGGCCATGCTCTCGTAATTACGAGATGGAAGCCCGAGTTTATCAATTTCACCGCAGGCAAAGCCGTTCGGATCTGGGGAACTTATGAGCCAGCCGAACATCTGTCCATCGACAAAAAACTACCATCGTTCAACACTGGCAGTATAACCAATCCCACTTGTACGAGCTTGAACCAGCTGGGTATAAAATCATTAACTCTGAGGATTAGGTTTTGTATACGTCCATTAAGAACGATCACACTCCTATACTTTCCGGCCCGCTACCCTCAGTTCTACAACGTTTCGTGATCTTTCCATTTCTCAGACAGGGAGAACTTGCAATGGGAACCTTCTCTCATTGACCCATACAACATCGAAGAGCAATTAGATTCCAAGTCCAAGGGGCTCAAAGGGGCGACCATGGCTGCCTGGAACGACAATGGATACGATGCCAGTACTCAGCTAGAAGCATATTACACCATGAAAATGGGTATTCCACTTCTAGCCTCGAGATCCTGGAGCGGTAGCCGTGGTGTGAAACTCGACGAAGCAGGCTCTACCGAATCTCTGTGGATTCTCAGCGACATGGCGCCGGCTCAAAGCTCAGAAAGGTGGCTGGCAGTTGAAATGAATGGCATTGATCTTCCAGATTCCCTAGTTTCTTGGAAACGTAGCGATTTCGACCAAAAAAAAGGCCCTCTCATCATGGGCCTCGGGAGCAAGGGTATCGACTACCCACTGATGCTCGATGTCACTGGACCATTTACCCTTTCTTCAAGCGATAGTATACTCCTTTTGGATGACAGTGGAAGCCTATGTTTCTTAGCCAACGGGATTTCTTATCCTTTGTGCCACGTCGACGAACGGGATGGTTTTGATCCAGGTCACCCAGGCCGTATCTGGATCAATGCCAGTAGCTCAAGTCACGAACCAGTCAAAGTGCCTCTGAACGCAAGTATTACGATTAAAACAGACATATTAAGCGGCAGTCTCATTTGATGGGAGGTTCGAATTCTTCGTTTGTGGAGAAGAAATGCGCTATTCTCTTGGAGTCAAATGGCGTTTGCCGTGCACGTTCGGAGGAGCTCAAGGGTGGCATAGATAGCATTTCCTTAACAGAGTATAAGCCCGATTCGAGCACGCCAGCTGAGCTAAATGAAGGAGTCCCGTCTTCAACACAGAGCACATCTGGTGCAACTTCGATTTTCTGGTGGAATGGTGGATTCAGCCTCGCCATGGTTGCAGGTGTTTTTCGGCGTGTTTCGCAGTGAAAATTAGATATGATAACTTCATATATATATAATTTTTTTTTATAAACAACACGGTCCTATGTTACTCCGTGTACTCCGCGTGTAGCGCTCTAATTCAGGATATCAGTGAATGAATCTCTATGAAGTGGTCAATCTTCCAAAAATATGTGTAGAATCTGCTCCGTAGCTAGGCGTGATGTTGCCCGTCAAGCTCCCGAGAGTAGTTAACTAATTGGCCCATAGGCGTGCCTCGGTCAATCCCGGTTGCTCGCCGCTTTAATTATTGAACCAACTCGAGGCGCTGGGAGAAGTTAGAACTCCTTAACATTTGCAACAATCGACTCTGTCCTGAGATAATGACGACAGCCATGCCTCGTTTAAGCGGAGTGCGGCTCTCATCCCCTCTCTTTTATATCTTAAGAAGACCGGCTTCTACCTCTCCCCTCCGGCTGGCTGTCCCTTTACCCGCGACACGCTCTCTCACGACAACATCCTCTTCTCCTCCGGGACGAAAACCCGCCCAATGGCCTCGACATTTCCGTTCAATTCTTTACGCTATAATATTCGGCTTATTTGGCTATCATAGCATTGACCGAATTGTGGATCAGTTCGCGGGTCCTGTTTACCAGCCGGACACACCAGAAGATCAGGAGGCGCAGAGACAAATCCGTGAACAGTTTGACAAGTTGAACATTGTGAAGGAGTTAAGAGAAAACCCGGAATTTGTGGAATGGGAGGCATACGGGAACTTTTCGCCTGAAGAGAAGAGAAAAAGGCTTACAACCGGAGGGCTCAGGGGTAGTAGAGCCCTCTCGTCGCAGGTTAGTGGGTTTCCGTAGTATATCGACGTTATCACTCAGCGTTTAGCTTGGGCAATATTGGTATCAACTCTACCGTATCAATAATTCCTTTAATTGGACGTTTTCTTTTTCTATTCTCCTTTTTTTTTTTTCCTTTCTTTTCCTTTTTTCTCTCCTCTCTAAGGCTCACGCAAGGGGAACTGATTTTTTTCTTTTTAGCGCGTATTTTGGAACGAAAGGGACAAAACCGCCATATCTGTCCTTTTCCTTGGTAATGGAATTGACGGATGGCCCGGAGTAGTCCACGGTGGTGCGCTGGCTATCTTACTGGATGAAGGCATGGGTCGAGTCGCTCTCCGCTGTGTTCCAGCGCGCACCGGTCTCACTGCCAATCTTAACATAGACTACCGCAAACCAGTTCTGTCAGGCCAATTCTGTACTGTAACTGCTAAATATGTCCCAGAGAAAAGCAACGATCGGAAGGCTGCGATAAAAGGGGAAATCAGAGATTCAATGGGCCGTCTATGCACCGAAGCGAGCGCACTGTTCGTTGTCCCACGCACCCTGACCCTGAGAAAGCTTGGCGATGGCTTTTGAAGTAAGTTAAAACGATTATAAAAGGTTTGCATCGCTTTGAGTGGTCTTTTCTGGGCAATGTTTTCCAGCTAGAAAGAAATACTGGATAGCAACACAAATCGCACGGCACAGTGTATGAACCCCATGGATCTTGCGCGACTGCTGCTGGTAGCTTACGACATTAATTTTTTTTAGAAGAGAAATACTCCGTACTCAAGATACAATGCTGCACTTCTAGATGACAAATTGTCATCATTTCACTCAGTGGAACTGCGGCTAGATCAGACTTACGAACTCAATGCCAACATTTAGGGTGAAAATGTCGGCTCTTGGTCAAAAGATAGAAAGCCTTAATAAAAGGCCGTGAGATCCCAAGATCACGTCCATCCTTTTTAGGGAGTTCAGACACTACTTTTTCATTTTGTGCGTACAATCGTGCGATGCCTCGTCGGTAGAGGATGGGCGCAATGGCCCCGGCCAGCTCTTCGTCCTACAATAGAACAAGAAGTCGGCTCAAGATTTCTGCAGGCACTTGATACAAAGTCAACTTCTCACGCATGATGGTATCAAAGTGCGCTCTTGTTTCTCCACATCTGCCAGACATGCGAGGGTAGCTGGGTTCAAGGTAACCCTAACCTAGTTTGGCTCCATCACCGGGTTAGTGAGCAGAATGCGATTCCTTGGTATTTATACCCAAGGTCAAGAATGATGGTCTGAGAACAACTAGAGAAGGTCGATGCAAGTCGAGGCACGGAGGCGGTGTTCCGTCGATCCCTTCACTTTGGCCCCAACGAAGATTCTTAGTAGGATTGGACTCTTGGCCATTGAAAATGCATTGTCCACGGATACACAAACAAAAATATTATTTTCTGGTTCGTTGAACACTACGGAGTACGGAGTACACGGACGAATTGCGTTAGCCATTGGTAAGGTAGTTCACCACTAAACGAGCCACACCACTAAACGAGCCAAATCTTCCACCACCAACATTCCTCCAATGTTCCACATTCAATATGCAACAACATGGTCAACAACACCTTAATTAGGCTTGCAATTGAAGATCTTGAATCACAAGAGGCCCCAAATTACACTGTGGCTGCAAGAAAGTACTCAGTCAACCAAGAGACCCTGCACCAACAGCATAAAGGCTTGCAACTTGCTCAGGATGAAGCAGCCTCCTGATATAAGAAAAAGCTCTCTGATATACAGGAGGCAGAGCTCCTGAATTATATAAACAAGCTCTCTAGCCGCGGCCTTGCCATTACATCTCAGATTCTACAAAATATTGTACAAGAGATGACAGGAGAGGATGTTGGAATCAACTGGGTTAATCAATTTCACAAGCAGCATAATAACAAGATCAAATGCATTTATCTCAAAGCAATTAATCAAAATAGGCAGGTAGCAGATAACTATCAGTGCTTTAAGCACTTCTATATGCTTGTAATTTGATGATTTATTTGATTAATTGTGATTGCAGTTGTTGACACTGGCTAACTAGTCTACAGTTGGAGCAGAAAATCAATCAATATAACCTTGAGCCCTCAAACATCTACAACTTTGATGAAAAAGGATTCCTCCTAGGCTCCTGCCATGCCTCAAAGTGATTAGTCTCTATTGAAGCCCTATGAGCTGGAAAGAATACTGCCACCCAGGATGGTAGTCAGGAATTCCTCTCATTACTCTGCTCAGTCTCTGCTGAAGGAATTGCACTACCTCCAGCTCTTATTTACCAGGGTGAATCACAAGATCTCCAGAATACATGGCTAGATGATTATGACAGAAGCAAATGGGCCTACTTTGCAGCTTCAACAAATGATTGAAGCAATGATGAATATGGGGATTATCCAAGCCAGTAAGCAATTTGCTCTTTGTAATGAACTGCTGGAACATGAGAATCAGTGTCTAAGTTCAACTCTAGTGACAGAGAAGCAATGCTGCAAGCAAGGCAAGCCCCTAGGCCTACTCAATAGAGATAATCCTAGTCAAGTGCAGTTCTGGTCTCCAACAAAAGTTCTTAAGGCATGCGAGCACCTGGATGAAATAGAGGCCAAAAAAGCTGATAAAATTGCTCAAACACAACAGGCAAAGCTTTAATGAGAGCTTCAAAAGGAGCAGGCTGCTAGGGATGCTGAAGAAAGATGGATTGAACAGGAGGATGCCTGTAAAAAGACCCACAAGCAATGAGAGACTGAAAAAATCAAATGTGCTAGAGAAAGAGAGGCACAATGTGTTGCTTGTGAGGAGAAGAAGGCTTTACAACTAGCAGAGAAGAAAAAACAGGCAGTTGAACATACTACTAAATGCTGGCAGTCAGGCATTCAAGCACCAGCTTCAAAGCACTGTCAGAAGGACTCCCCTACTAAAGAGTCTCATTACAGAGAGCCTATACAACCTTCCAAAAGGGGAAGTAAGAGCTCTACAAGCCTCCCTAGCAAGTCATTAGGCTCCCTAGCCAAGAAATCTACTGTTGACATTCCTTTGAATTCTTTCCTATCTACCCCCCGAATCTCTCACTCTGGCCGCAATATTAGGCCGTCCACCTGTTTATTTTCCTAACTACACTAATTTCTATGCTTCAAAGAACACATTCATTTAATATTTAATAGCTATTTAATAATAAAGATCTGGTTGTTGAGATATTTAATAAATTCGTTGCTTAGAGCATTTGGCAAAATTTGGCTTGTTTAGTGGTGTGGCTCGTTTAGTGGTGAACTACCTTAACTGACCCGAATCTCGGCAATCAACATGCTAGCTACCTCTGCAGGCATCACATCCTGGCAGTAACAGCTGACTGTTCGCCATTAATGCCGCCTGCTTTATTTTTACCGGGCGTACTGGTGCGATATTCTCAATTTGACTGTTAAATTTTAACCGCAGCTGTGGGATTTGCGTCCATGACCACACCCTCAGCCCCGCCTTTCCCTTGACCTTGACACGCGATCGTCGCCATACAGCCCAATTGACACTCAATTGATGATTTGTAAATTGTGCATCCTGGCACACACTTGACGATTTTGTTTAACCTGAGCTGAAAACTTTGCTCTTCAAACCCTTTCTCCGGAGGCGGTCGAGTTACCACATTCTGTCCAGCGTGTTGTATGACATACAGCTAACTGAACCTATCAGCTCTCAGAGAAACACTGATTTCAATGTCAGCAACACGCCCAGTGGAAGTATCTTGACCGCTGCGTCGCGACTGACAAAGGATACCACAAGAGATGATCTTCTTTGTTGTATATATACACACATGTACGCAACAAAGGCTCTCATGCCCGCATGTTCCGTATCCGCGATAAAACCCTCAGATCTGTTCGACCCCATGGCTTACATGATTGGCTGTGAACCATGCAGTGTCGAGATCCTTTTTCGAGTGGCTTGTAATTGCTGTTTCTCACTTCTTTTATCAGACCCCATTGCATTGTTCGCGGACAATGCTAGGACTTCCCTCTGAACCCACCCCAATCAGAACCCGTACCATATTTGCTATGCCTTATTCTTTCCTATTTTCTTTTGGAAACTATTATTTTCCTATTCACTGATACAACTATCTTCCTCTGTCAACACACTTTCCTGGGGTTGAGTTTCTCCTTTCAATTCAGCCTCAGTTTCGGGGGAAGCAGTTATTCAGCTGCTAGAGTTGGTCGCACTGCGATACTACCACTACACAGCGTTTCAAATGGGTTCTAGCACAAAATCGAGATCCATCTCCCCAGATGAGGAGAAGGGTGCCTCTAATGTTTTGCCTGCCAATGCCCGGGCATCCGGACAGGAAACCCAGGAGCCTTCGGTACTTACTATCGACCTCCGTATCTGCGAGCTTATACTCAATTACCCATATAGATGACCGCCCGGAGATTCATGAGCTTCGTAGCCATGGCATTCCTTTGGACTGGCAGCCAGATTCCAGTATACTTGTTCGGTTCGTCATTGCACATATGCGACGACTTGTCTGTTTGCCTGCAGATACTAAATACTCAAATCTACTTCAGGTGGTTGTCCGCCCTACATTTATGGGGATATTGGAGGCAGTGACCGCTGGGTGTGGTTTGTTAGTTGTTCGGTCCCGACTATTCATCAAGCTGTATACTAAGCACCAATACTTGAAAGGTTCTCGCGAACCTTTTGGCTCTGGCTGGCGTTTGCCCTTTCGTCGGCTCTCTATCCGATTTAATCGGCCGACGCTGGGTTGCCATAATTGGCGCATCACTTGTATGTTTGGGTATGATCGTGGGCGGCACTGCAAAATCTATGAATATTTTCATTGGTACGTTATATCCTTCCTTCCGGCCGCAATACAACCGTTTCTTACCGTATCTTGAGCAGCTGGAATGGCTTTTGCTGGCGCTGGTGCCGGCGTAAATGAATTAACCGCTCTCGCTGCGACGTCCGAGATGGCACCAACTAGACAGAGGGGAAAATATGTTGCTATTTTGATTTTCACCATTCTTCCATTTGCCGCATCTGGTCTTTGGAGTCAATTGATTGCATATTACGCAGGTTGGAGATACATTGGCCTTTTCTGTGGGGTTTGGAATGGCCTTGGTCTTGTTGTCACGACCATGTTCTACCATCCGCCTCCCCGGGTTAACTCTGAAGGTCTTAGCAAGAACGAAATTATAAGGAACATTGACTTTATCGGCGGTATTTTGAGCATTGCTGGCGTAATAATCTTTCTGGCTGGTCTTCAATGGGGTGGATATCAAGTTTGTTTCTCCTTTTTTGGATGATTTGTAAAGGGAACGCTAATCAAGCGACAGTACCAATGGGCCAGCGCACATGTCCTCGCACCTCTTATTATTGGCCTTGCTCTTCTCGTGGCATTTGTTTTTTGGGAAGTATACGGTGCAGAGCATCCGATTTTGCCCCGGCGTCTGCAGCAGGAGAGACGTACATTTGCTCTCACCCTGGTGATAACTTTTATCTCTGGCACCAACTTTTTCTCTCTGATTATGTTTTGGCCATCGCAGGCATTCAATGTATATGGCCATGACCCCTACCAAGTTGGCATTCGAACGATTCCCGTCGGATTTTCCATTCTCGCGGGCGCTTGCATTGTGCTCTACTTGCTCAGTGTCTTGAAAGGTAGCAATAGAGAGCTCCTTGTTATTAGCAGCGTCTTTATGACCGCAGGTATTCATCTATGTTGCCCCCATATCCCCACTTCCCGCCTTTATGACTGACTAATCGGGTTATCGCAGGCTGCGGCGCCATGGCGAGCGCTAACGTCGACAATATGAGCACACTATGGATAATTCTCATCATCGCTGGCCTCGGAATTGGCGGCATCGTCGTCCCGGCCTCAATCATAACCACAATAATATGCCCTGATGTACGTTATTCCCGGCTAAAATCATAGGATTATAGAATTATTAATCTCCAAAAAGGACCTAATCGCAACTGTTGCTGCTGTAACCCTCTCTATCCGCGTTGTGGGCGGCTCTATCGGTTACACAATCTACTATAACGTTTTCATATCCAAATTTATTCCCAATGCCGTAAAGTACATCGGCGGTACCATGTCTCTCAAACTCGGAATAAAAGACGAAGCCCTGATTGAAGAAGCAATAAAACTGACCGGAGAATCACTAATTAACGATCTTAAACATATCCCTGGAATTTCGGGAAACGAAACGGCTTACCAGATGGTAGTAAGTGCAGGCCAAGTCGCATTTGCGGAGAGTTACAAATGGGTGTATTACACGAGCGTTGCATTCGGCGTGTTAAGTATCATCGCGGCTTGTTTCCTGGGCGATATTGAAAAGTATATGGACGACCATGTTGCTGTGATAGTGAATTGAGATATTGTTTAAATTGATGGGTATAGAGAAGGCTATTGCACTGTTTTCATATTATTACAGAATACATTGTGGGTATCTAACTCCCACATCTTTTGTCATGACCTGCCTAAGGGACGATAATAATCAACACCATAGGTGAAAATGTTTCCAGAACTCCACGCTATGCAAAGGGGACAGGACAAAGGAAGTGCTAAAATGAGTCAAATAAGCCACATATGATAACAGAATAAAAGGGCTCATCACGACATATCCATCATCAACTCCGCCAAGTCGTCTTTCCATCGCCTCGTAGTGTTCTTCGGATACCCACGCTCAAGGTTAACACTGCTCCGGCTACGAGTTAGGGAAGGGAAGCGCCTAGATGCAGAACCCCCGACAGATTCCTGCTCTTCGTAAGGATTTACCTGGGCTAAAGGCCACACCGTATGCCTAAGGTCAGCAGTACGATTGCGCCTCCGTCGAGTACTCTTAGCTTTGTCAGGTTGTGCTTGGGGTTCCATAGTGACCGTTATTTGTGGGCGCTCAGGGAAAGGTACATGAACTGTGATATGATCGGAACACCTACATCCACAACCAGCAGGGCAGGCAGGGGTTGAGCCACGTTGACAATTCTCACTGAATATAAGCCACTCTTCGTGGCACTGACGACAGCTAATGTGCCCGCAAACCAAGCATGGAGAAAATGTTCCGTTTATCAGCCCACCGCAAACCGTGCAAGATAGCCGCTTTTGTTGCCCTGATTTGCATTCGGAGCAGTTTAGGCCTGACTGATCACCAGATGTCTGCCCTCTTGATGGAAGCTTTCTGGGTTCTGCCTTGGAAAATACTGACATGCGTAAAGGAGAGCCACATGTAATACAATGTCGTTGTAATCCTAGACCATTAAGTTCGCTTGCCACTTTGGGCTTTAGATCGAAGGATACAGCGGCCAGGCAAGGGTCACGGTGACTCGATTGGATGGATGGCAAATGCTTTACTCCAAGCACTTCTTGCTGGGCAATTGGCAAGTCCCAGGCAGAAAGTAGGTTTGCGTATGTGATACGATATGCTTGATATAGCGACTCGCGAGTATGATCCATTAAAGATGGTGCATGGCCTAAATGATCGCTGTCAAAGTCTTCTTGATGTTTGAAAACCGCTCGTATTTCCTTTGAAGACTTTTTTGAAGGGTTCGGTTCGGGCGACGACTTTGCGGAGGATTTGGTCGACTTTTGAGAGACCCATGTTTCGACTTCAGTATCGGAAGGTGCTTGGGACGGAGGAGCAGTAGATGCATGCATATGGTCTGGTATTGCAGAAGGTGGCTTGCCAGGAAACCCATTTCCTGTCCACCCGCTAGGGCCAGCAGTAGTTAAACTTCCAACAGGACTGGGTCGCCTTTTGCAATTTCCACTCATAGGAGAGGACACAGCCAATGGCTCATTGGGTAGCGACCGAGATAACGACGATGGAAGGGTAGACACGATATTTAGATTTCGGGGGTCAGAAGGCTGGTCTGGGGAGCCAGAAACTGGTGTAGCAAGTCTCTGCGCTTTCCGTTCGAGATCAGATTTGCTACTTCGCACGACTGTGGGCGGAGTGGCTCCCGTGGAATACAACGGAGGGGTTTCCGACGGCCATAGGTCTGTAGACGAACATGCTGAACCGTAGGATGCTGAAATGAGAGGTCCCTCTTTTACCGGAGACACGAAGAGGCCCCCTGAGCTTGAGTTCGCTTGTTGCATTAGTGAAGGTGGCGATATATACTCTGCCGAAAACGAGGGATTCCCGTGAGAATCTGACAAGAGGTCTTCGTGGTCCATTATAGAATTGGAACCATTCACGTTTGGCTCAGTTATAAGACATGACAACATGCCCAACATCTGAACATCACCGAGTCGTTCAAAATGATCAAGCCTGAGCAGGCTGGTCAGCAACAGGATTCGCATCAAACTGTCCGACACGCAGATTACACTTACAGGGCCGGTAGTAACCAGTGCACTCCGAAGGGATGTGAACCCCAAACAATCCCGCCTGTCATGGTGTTCATGCCGTTGCCGTAAGCGAGGTCTACGCCACTATCTTTCCTTTTGATATGACCCATCGACAAACAAGCCATATGAAACATATCCTCTAGTTGCGCGGCATCATCAGCCTGTGGCTGTTCCTCTATCAATAGTTTTAATAGACCCCAAGTATGGGCAAGTTCGAGATTCCCGAAGTTTTCTGCTACCGCCATATTGTGAGAGCATATCTCTATGCCGTTTCCATGTGTGCGGTACTGTTGAGCTAGATCCCGTCTAGCCGGAAGAAGATCGGTAAGTTTGTGGATAGAAATTGTGTTATGTCGTTTGGGGTTTGATGACTTCATAGTAGAAATACCGGTAGTAGATTTTTGCGAGTTGTCGGTGGATTTTGCACGGCCTAAGCCTAGGTGACTTGTTCTGTGGACATGGAAATGCTGTGGAAGAGCACCTAGTAGGTCCGAAGAGCCAGACGAACTTGAATATTCATCGGAATTATCGGAATAATCAGAAGCACCATCATCAGTCAAAGGGCCAGTACTAGCTCCGGTCCCTGTAATGTTCTTTGGGCCAGGCGATTTTGTTTGGAACCTGCCAAAGGCCTCGAAAACTCTGTTAGAACGTGATAGTCTTGTCATTTCCCGGAGACCTATCGAATCCAAAAACGAAGCGACCTTCTCTTCTTTAGGTGGAAAGAAACACACAAGGCGACCGTCATTAGCCCAAAGTGCACCACAACTTCTTCTGACAGGCACCATAACATTTGCATTCACGGGACGAAGCAATTCAGACGAGCTCATAGTGAGATCATTGCCCTGATACTGGCCAACATCCTCGTCTTCATCGCTTGACTCAACATCTTCAAGAATATCGGGTGACTTAAGTGCCTCATTTAGCTCCTCTTGGATCATGGCTACGATCTCCTTGGGAGTGTATTCACCCAATAAAAACCGAAGGATGCCCTCTAAGCATCCTCGCTCTTTTGAAAGGTATGCTTCAGATATAGTTTGTAAGCTCGACGTCAGACTTTTCGTCAGTTGCGGAGTTACGGATGTGGTCTTTTGCACATTGAAAACCGGAGCAGCCGCCTTTGGATATTCCGTGGGAAACCTGATATCAATGCGGAGGAAGACACTGGCATTTTCAGGGCCCCAGGGCCCATGAAGGGAAATTGTGACTTTTCTCTGGCCAACGTTGACAGACTCAAAGGCAACTCTCGTAAATCGTTCACCAACATGAGTAATTTCATCCCCAAGGGTTTCAACTTCCCATCTTGACACTTTTACACCCCGCATCCACGATATTGGGTTCATGTCTGCACGAAGAGGCGATTTTCCATGCGCGCCAAACCGGACCATAGGCCCTCCTTGTGTCCATCTACGGGAATAAGGCATAGAAATACCGCCCATCCCAGAGCCCGGTTGGCGAGATGGTTCCAAATCGCGGTTAGAAGCAGTGTCAGGCGGCTCAGAAGGCCCGATTCCATGTGGTTCATCGTGGAAAGACTTATAGACTGCCCCTTTGCGTGTGAGGTTAAGGGATGGGTTGAATGATCTCCCTTTCTCATAGCCTACTCCTTTCAATACTTCCGGGTCCACTCGGTGCAGGCGAAGCTCCTTATCCGTTCCCCATGATACCAATTGAAATTCCCGGTGATCTAACCCATCTATGACAGTTCCACGAGGTCTCCAGAGGAATTCTTTGACTTGCCCTTTGTGACCTGGAAAGCTGTGGACTAGCGGGACGACATCAACATCTTCTAGTGCATCTTTGAAAGTACGACTGTAGAGATGTAGGTCGCTATTTCCACGCTGAGGCATGGCGAGAACTCCCCATCCGAACGGGGTGTGTCTGGCGCGCCAGACCGGGAAAGGGGTATGAATGACTTTCTCTGGAATATCACTTTCGACTGAGCAGTCCCAGAACTTTATCGTTTTATCCAGAGAGCATGTTACCACGCCCTCCGGACGCATCCGGTTCCAATCCACCCCATAGATTTTCGTATTATGCGCCTCTATTGTACGGATTGGTAAGGCGCCTTTGCGGTCATCCCAAATATGCAAAAAACGATCATGGGAGCTGGCAATAACGTGAGAATCTTGTCTATTCCATTTCACCTGCGTAGCGCCAGCGAACCAATCCGAAAACGACACCACAGGCTTGGCCGGTATTCGTAAATCCCAACAATGTACGAAACTGTCAACTGCACACGTTGCAAGAACATCCGGATGATGCGCAGAAAAATTAATATCCGTAATGGCCCTTGAATGGGCATGCAGAACATGCTCAATTGGGTTCTCCCACGACCGCATAGCAAGATTCCACACCAATGCTTTTTGATTGGACGTGCTCACGACCCACGAGTCACGAGCAGCAAATGGCGACCATTGGACATCGGCAACTTCCCATGGAGTTCTATGGGAAAGGTAGCGTGGGGGAGAATAAGGATTATCCAAGTCTATAACATGGAGACCCTCCTTTCTATTGACATCCTTCAGTTGAAACCATACTAGTAACCAAAGGCATTTCGAGTTGCTTACGAGGCGAGGACAACATCTCTCCCACACGGGGAGATTGACATAGATCCAACAGGTTGCTCGACATGAAAAGAGCCATCCTCCCCGAAGGTAGGGCTATCATAGGCCGAGATCGGAGCCCTTGACACCGGTGGGCTTGACATTTTGACTCTGGAAAGTGGCAATTCCGGAGCCAGAGAACGTTCGGCAAGGAAGATTAGCGCTCATGTGGGAGTTATAGTTACTGAAGATATCAAAGGAAGGCTGGCTCGTAGAACTCAGTTTAATAATACGTTGAGGAGCTACTCCTGGTCTCATCCTGGCATGTGGCCGCTGTTGCAGTGAACATCGAAGAAGAATTGTCGGATAGAGCTTAAAGAAATTCGGATGCTGCTACACGAATAATCCCATAACGGAAGCGCATGAATATCTCGAAAACGCAGCTCTTGAAGGCATGCTGCCGGTTGAAAGGATGTTGACAGGAGCAGGGTCCGGAGTAAGTACCTCTGTCGGCCTTCCACAGCTCTATTCCCGATATGGCCGATTTAAATCACGTGACAGTCAGATGACCTACTCTCAACCTTGCACGACCTGCCTTGGCACTGATGGCGGGGTCAGTTTGTATCACCGTTTGATATCCAGTCAATACTGAAGTGGTTCAAAGTTTGCCGGTAAACTAGCTGTGTTCAGAGGAAATCCCTTGGGTTTACCATTTCCCAGTTGTTGGTTTTTGCTCCTAGCCGGCTGCGTCGACGAATTATCTCGCAGCTGCTCTGAACCTCAGTAGCTAATTTTCACCACTTTTCGTGAAGGGCCACTAAAGCAGTCCCCAAGCCAACGCATCTTCTCATATATTTCCCTTGTTATGATAGCTACGAATCAATCTGTACTAGGAACCGTGACTTTCGGATTTGTTTACGAACTACAACCCGGACTTGTCTGGTCGGATCGCGATTCTTCTCATTTTTCACTCAGCGAATATGGCACTTCCGAAGCGAATAGTAAAGGAAACTGAGCGCTTGATGGCGGAACCGTAAGCAATAAACGGAAGCCTCATTAGTTGCATGCCTATGCTAACTTTGAATTGTATCTTAAAGTGTTGCTGGCATCAATGCAGTTCCTCATGAAGATAATTTGCGATACTTTGACGTCAAAATACATGGTCCTTCTCAATCTCCATATGAAGGTAGTTGCTCTCGAAGAAACTTGAGCTCGGTGCAATACATTAATGCCGCTTCAGGTGGTATTTTTTCGTTAGAATTGTTTTTGCCGGATGATTATCCGATGACTCCTCCGAAAATCCGGTTCTTGACAAAAATATATCACCCGAATATAGATAGACTGGGTAGAATTTGTCTTGATGTATTGAAGAGTGAGTGTCGCCCTCGCCCCGCCACGTTGTTCCTGTTGCTAATAGCTGATTCTATCGTTTCAGACAATTGGTCCCCTGCCCTTCAAATCCGAACAATCCTCTTGTCTATTCAGGCTCTATTAGGTGCACCGAATCCGGATGATCCACTAGCAAATGACGTCGCTCAGCGGTGGAAGGAAGATGAGCAAGCCGCTATTGAAACAGCCAAAGAATGGACAAGAAAATATTCTACTCCAGCATAGATCTTTGGCTAATAATAGAGTTAACAAAGTCCAAACGCGAACTTCGCAGAAACTTCGAATGGGATATCTTTTAAACCCTTTCTGAATAACATGGGACCCTTATTTTTAATAACGAGCCGTGAGGCGTTGAAGCCCAGGTGCATTGTGTTAGATAGCTTCCGAGATTAAACTCCGGATAGAGCGGATACATCATACTAATTTCTTTGCTATTCAACCCGATACTCAACCTGACAATCATGGTAGTTGGAGCCCAACATCAACGTGCCTCGCGGCCGGGTATCGTGAGATGAAGCAAAGTAGGTAAACACCGTCTTCCCTTAAATTATGCCGAGGAAAAAACAGCCTAAGCACCGTGCCTGGTTCCAACGTTTTCAGCTTTGGAGGACCATCTGCCCATTTCCCATGATCTAAAATTGGTGTACAGAATCCATGCCTGTAGCCCTGTCCATTGCAATCGAGGCAGCTTGGGTCCCCATTGCGAGGTCAGTGGGAAGCCAGATGCAACGAGGACGGTCAGAATTGGTACTTGAAGGAGGGGACATTGGGAAATTAATAACTCAGAAGCCTTATTGGCAGTATCGAAATGTAGCTATGATCTCTCTGATCTGGTGATGGTCTCTTTTGCAGTGGTTCTGAGCTGGGAGTTACCCGTACTTTTGAGGGCAGTCGAGGTCACGTGCCGCACATTAGCGAAAATGGTACCACACCAAACAACCTCACCTCATCGAAGTTGGCGGGCCCTTGACGCAACGAGTAATTCGACGACCAACTCAACAGCTTCAACCTCGTTCACGACCGCTGCGCATCCCCACGATCCAAGATGCGGACCTACGACGATACCTTCAGCGGTGAGAAGATCTACCCTGGAAAGGTACGTGAAACCTGCGGCCCAAAGTCCTTAAAACGAGCGAACCGGCGCTACACTCCAACTGTGCATTGGGTCCAATCGAAGAATTCGGGCCAATTCGAGAAATCTATGCGCATATGAAGAGAGAAGCTTACATTTTCGGTATTTCATGATTATAGGGTAAATTGTATGTCCGTGGAGACAGCAAGATCTTCAGATTCCAGAATGGCAAATCCGAATCCCTCTTCCTTCAACGCAAGAACCCTCGCCGGATCGCCTGGACCGTCCTTTACAGAAGACAGCACAAGAAGGGTATCTCTGAAGTTAGTACAACCCGATCCCTTGAGCATATGGATGGGCTATGCGGGAAAATTGAGAGTCGCGAGTCACGCTACATTTGAGGAGGCAAACAGATTACGATATGGAGAACAAAGAAGGGAACATTGAAAGAATGAGGACTGGGGCTAACATAGTGCTTTTCCACAATCTACAGGAAGTTGCCAAGAAGCGTACTCGCCGTACCGTCAAGCACCAGCGTGCTATCGTCGGTGCTTCCCTCGATGTGATCAAGGAACGCCGATCCATGCGCCCTGAGGCCCGTCTCGCCGCTCGCCAGGCCGCCATCAAGGAAGGAAAGGAGAAGAAGCAAGCCGCTGAGAAGCAGAAGAGAGAGAAGGCCCGCACCGCCGCCGCCGCCTCCAGAGGTCAAACTTCCAGAATCCAGAGCAAGCAAGGCGCTAAGGGTTCAGCACCAAAGGTTGCCGCCAAGACCCGTTAAGCATGGGTGAATATCGGTAGTGAAATGGGATGGTGTTACTGTTTCTTTTGACACAAGGGAGTCAGAAATCTGGTGTTTGTTCTTTATTTATGAGCCTGGCATGGTCTAAATAAAACTGGATTTTAATTCCTCTGCAAAAGGGCACCCGTGGGATGATGAATTCTACGACTTGAAAGATTGGATCATGATTCTCTTTTTGCGAAATTCGGTTCTCGATGCTCCTTTATGTTGTGTAGCTTAACACGCTCTTGTCTCGCAAAGAAGAGGACTCGCGCATTATCGAATTCAGGAAAAGAAATTTCCAACGGGCAAATGAACCCCGAGACGCTCTTGTTGAGTACAAGGTCCGTTAATTGATAGATGCCATTATCAATTATCAGTAATATCATTCTGCTTCACTCCTCTGTTCATTCATATTCTGCGAACCAAAGAAATTATCTAATGGGATTATAAAATCCGTTTCGACAGTAAAAAGCGCGATCCCATTCTCAGGCGGTAGCTACCATTGCCTATCCCCGCGGTGAGACTTCCCATCGTAAGGTCGCAGGCCTCGAACTGGGCTCCATCTAGACGCCATGATGCGGCTGCGGAGAGCAAAAGCGGTAATAGGGCAAAACCCTACTGACTCATCCGCTGACTGTCAAGGAAGGTCTTGGCATTCGCTAAACGCCTGATATTCAGAACTCTCGCTGTCGCCTTCAAGAGAGAACCCCATCCAGCAGTTTCAGCAACTCCTCGAACTTCAGAAAAGCCGTGAGTACTACCCTGTTCATTTCATCATCTTCTTGTCAGTGTCCAGGCGAGCAATAATTGCGTTCGTAAAGGCGTCGCACTCGCCGCCTCGCTTAACCGCCTTACCTAAGCAACCCAACGAGAAAGTGGCGCTAACTTCTCGATCCCCATCTTCACACAGATAGTTCGACAACCGCCAACTTCGAAGAGACTCCCACGTCGTCGATAATTCACAGTTCCATCGACTACCTACCGACCGCACATCATGGGTAAGGTTCACGGTTCGCTCGCTCGTGCGGGTAAAGTCAAGTCTCAGACCCCAAAGGTTAGTGGTGAAATCCTTTCTGGGAAACGCTCGCACCCATGTCTCTCGCCGGCATCTATCGCTTAAAAGCCTTTTTTTTATCGAGAGGTTTTCTGGAAGAAAAACGACGAATACGAAGCTGATTTCGGCCGCGACATAATGGAAGCGGGAGTTTTGATGGCGATTTGAATATATGCGGGGTGGGCTGACGGAGATGATTATCGAATATAGGTTGAGCCTCAAGAGAAGAAGAAGACCCCCAAGGGCCGTGCTAAGAAGCGGTTGCAATACACCAGACGATTTGTCAATGTTACGATGACCGGTGGCAAGCGCAAGGTACGTGCGATTCCGATGCCGATATTGAAGATCGGAAATTGGGAGCTACGCCCATTTGACTTAAATCGGATCTATTTACCTAACTGAATTACTTTCGTATTTCTAGATGAACCCCAACCCAACATCGTAAAGGCCGTTACGGTGTTTTCCCTTTCCTTACGTTTTCGTCACGCGGTTCCGTTGATTTGATTTGCTCGGGAGACAACCATACGCACGGAGGTGAGAAAAACGACCTCTACGGCGAAACCAGACAGGATGCTGTTCTTCAAGGCGGAAGGAAATGGCGGGAAATGTTGTTTATTGATATACACATGGAATCCTGGTCATGGGGAGGGCGTATTGTCATGGGATATCATGAATATGATTTAGTACTTCTCTCTCAAATGCTGTCGGGACGCATACGGAAAGAAAAGATAAAACAAAATATTCCATTCTCGCAGCAAATCATAAACAGATCCGGAATTCGAAATTCGTCGAGGAAAGGCCTTCTTCCTGCATGCTCTTCTTTTTCTTGTCCTTTGGAATGAATTGATGTATATGCGAAAGATATTGCTAGCATGGGTATGAATTTTGTTCCGCTTGTAGATTTATTCATGTGATAATAGTGACATTCGTTGTAAATGTAAATGACGTAGGTCCCTCCGTGAGGCCTCTGAACCCTGATGCCTACTTTCTTCTGATTTGAAGGGGCTTACAATGTGAGCAACAGTAGCTATGCGGTGAGTTTTATAGAGAACGCATGAGGTTAGTTATCTTGTTTGTGTGTATTTGGTATTGATTGTAGATGTTACCTATGTGCATCACACCAGCAGAGTAGGTTCTAAAGAATACTTGAACTGAAATCACCCAGTCGCAACATCTTGGGACGAAAAGAAGCCACCCTATGAGTTCAAAACCAAACACCTTTGCCAACCCTAAAACCGAAGAAATGATCATAAAGTGGACCAGGGTGCAAACCACAATTCCTCAATGAATCTAGTCAGCAAGCTTGCTTTGTAACATTTAAAACTCCGACATGCCCTTCGCCGCAACCCATTTTTATATCAGAGAGGAAATGGCTTGGTCCAAATTCAGCCGATGATTCAAAAACGAATGACTCCCAGTGTTTAGGGGTTTAGAAAGCGACAATCGTCTGCTGAGATTCCATAAGACTGAGCCAACGGTCAGTGGATGCGACAGTCAGGGCGAGAGTAGCAGGTCAGGGTGCATCTCAGACATTATAGTAATGAGCCATTTCAAGTCCGGCGCGTTTAAAGCCGCACTTGACGTAGAAACCCTCGTTGGCCTCCGAGCAATCAAGGATACTCTGCACGTCCATATCAGCAGCTGCACTTATTTGGTGGATCTGCACTAAAAGAGAGTGCAAAAAAATAAAATAAAATAAAATAACAAGACATTTTCATCATACCTTGTAGCATCCAACCTTCGCCGCAACGTAATCCAAGGCATTGATCATTCTTAGTCCCAGCTTCTTGCCCTGCTGGTTTTTCTCGATAGCAATATCCTCAATATGTCCAACCAGTCCAAGAGCATGGATAAATTTGCGCTCCACGATCAAGCTGCCGGTCCCAACGACTCTTCCGGTCTCGTCACAGATGACAAGGAGATAATATTCATCGTTTCGCTTTGCCATCCAATCGTAGCGTTCACTCCACTGTTCGAAGGAAAACTCTCCAACGGTGGTCAAAACGCGGAGGACTTCAAGGTAGCCATTAGAAAAGTCTGACTTGCGGAGAGGACGGATGGTGTAGCCCTCTGGGAGTTGGGCAGCAACGTCCGGAGAGATGAGTTTCATCGGGAAGAGGGGCTGCTCGTCACAATCAGCAGGTAACTGCAAATCGTGCTTGACACCGTTTGGAATGACCATGACGACGAGTTATCTGAGTTTGGATAGGAATAAATTAGTCTCGAAAGGCACCGCTAAAAGAAGAATCAAGCGAGTGTCGAAGCCGGTTTGCCCAGAAGAAAGGAGCTTCTTAACAATGGGAACAGGTGGAAGAAAATCTTCTGAACACTGAACACCTAACTAAACGAGAGGACTGGACGATATTGAATAAATAATATTATCACAACAATAACAACAGCAACAAACAACCCAACACAAAGCTAAAAGGACCAAAAGGAGAGGAGGCTCAACTCGGCGGCCAACTTTTCTCCCCTCCTGATCTGCACCCTGCTGGTTGTTCCTGGCGTAAGGCAGGGGTTATTGACGCCTTGCCGTTCTAGGACTAGTGCTTGAATACGGTTGCTATTTTCAACCGCTCAGCCACGGCTTGGCCCGTGGGGCTCATGATGGGTGGCTTGGGCGCTTTTCACCGTCACAAATGACGTACGTTGGCAGTTGAATGCATTTTTCAATGGGATTTTGTGAATGGGAGGTCATGTCTGTCTATATTCAAAAGTGCATGGGGTACATGCATGCTTGTCTATGCATACAAAGGAGATGCCAGGATCCCCTCCAAATCGGAACATGCTGGCGAAGCGCCAGACTTTCTACTTGGTTGAGCCAGCAAACCAACAGTCCATCTATTTCTTCTCCTTGGGGCTGATCATCAACTCGGGGCGTACATATTTATCGAAATCTTCCTCGCTAAGGGCCTTAAGCTCCATCGCACTCTGCTTCAAAGTCAACCCCTTCTTGTGTGCGTTCTTGGCCACCTTAGAGGCCATATCGTACCCAATAACGGGGTTCAAGCAGGTAACAAGCATCAAACTGGAGAGCGAGGGATGAGATTAGCACTAAGTTACGAATTGGCACGTCAGACGACCACTTACCTTTCATGGAGAAGAGATCCAATTCTCTTCTCATCAGCTTCGAGACCAACAACAAGGTTTTTCTCGAAGGATTTCATTCCATCGCCCAAAATACGGATGCTGTGGAGGAGGTTGCGGATCATCAGAGGTTTGAACACGTTCAATTCGAACTGCCCATTCATTCCACCAACGGTGGTGGCAACATGGTTGCCCATGACTTGGGAGCAGATCATCGTCAGAGACTCGCACTGAGTAGGGTTGACTTTTCCAGGCATGATGGAAGATCCAGGCTCATTCTCAGGGAGAATCAATTCGCCGAGACCGCATCGTGGGCCAGATCCAAGATATCTGATGTCCTGGGCGATCTTAAAGAGAGAGCCGGCAAGAGTATTGAGAGCGCCGGAAGCCTCCACAATAGCATCGTGAGCAGCAAGCACCTCGAACTTGTTGGGAGAGGTCTTGAATTCAGTGCCGGTCATCTTGGTGACTTCCTCAGCGATAGCTTCATCAAAACCCTTGAATGTGTTCAATCCAGTACCGACAGCGGTACCACCCTGTGCAAGCAATCGCAGGTCGGGGAGAGTATTTTGAACGCGCGTGATGTTTCGGTCAAGCTGAGCTACGTAGCCAGAAAATTCCTGTCCTAGAGTCAAGGGAGTCGCATCCTGCAAGTGGGTGCGACCAATCTTAATGATCTTATGAAACTGTTCAACCTTCCTTTGCAACGCATCTCGAAGGCTCTTAAGAGCCGGAAGCAAGGTTTCTTCGGTCTCGAGGACAGCAGCGATGTGCATGACTGTAGGGAAGGTATCGTTGGAGGAAGCAGACATGTTGACATGATCGTTGGGGTGAACAGGCTTCTTACTACCCTTAGTTCCACCAAGAATTTCGATGGCACGGTTCGAAATAACCTCGTTAGCATTCATGTTGGATTGAGTGCCAGAGCCGGTTTGCCAAACAACAAGAGGGAAGTGGTCAATAAGTTTGAGGGATGCGACCTCCGAAGCAGCTTGCTGAATGGCTTTTCCGACGGTTGGGTCTAGATTATCATAAGCTCCCGATCACCAATGTTCCATAAGGCAAGGAGGCCATACCGAGCCCATATCTCATGTTGACAGTTGCCGCAGCACCTTTGAGGATACCAAAAGCTCGCACAATCGCTGGTGGCATCCGGTCTTGCGGCTGGTTGATGTTAAAGTTGCCCAACGATCTATATCCTCACAAGTCCATGTTTAACATCCAGCCACCATCTCTTAAGATATTCGATCTTGCGTCTCCTCACCTTTGCGTCTGAGCACCCCAGTATTTGTCCGAAGGGACCTACACAAGGCCGAGTCAATATCATCGGAACGGTTGTCGACCGAACGGAATCCTAAGACCAACAAACCTGAATCTCACCGAACGCATCGGTTTCGGTACGAGTACCAGACGACTATCAAAGCCCAGTCCTATTAGCAAGTGGTATTTCCCAAAAATATGGCCGCCACCTTCCGCAAACCCACCATGTTCACTGCTGTGCTTCCAAATGCTCTTGCGCCAAATCCAGACTTCACAATGGAAAACGACGATGATGGACGATAGATGGTTGGGCGGAGAGAACTAATGGCGCGGCGTGATTGACAGAGCGTCGCAAGATGAGACGAGGGGCTCCATCGGCGTAGTGTCGAGGTTTGGGATCTAGAAGCATGTGGCAGCGATGCCGCTGCCCGGAGGGAGCTGCGGGATGTGGAATTAAGCATGGCGTGAGGGGAGGAAAGTCAAGATGAAGGAATTCAAAACCCTAAATAGCGAGACAAGAACAGATAAAAAGGTAGAAAGGTCTAATACAATATCAAGAAGGTCTAAGGATATCTACAATCGCTTTTGGCAAATGCTGGAGAAGAATGCAACTGACAGAGAGAAAAGTTTTGGCCACGATGAGCGATTTCCATTTTGTGTCGCCGTTGGGGAAGCTCCCAGGTTTTGTCCCGAGTATTCCCGCCGGTGCGGATACGGTATCGTTTGGTAATGTCCCCACGCACTGCCGCCAATTCTTCCACAGCGCCACCAATAACGGGTGTAATGATGTGTAACGCAATCATACCGGTAAAACGATCTTCCATGCTGTCGGAGAAGAATTGCCCTTTTTTTGGCATCAAACGGCTATCTTTTGACGCATTGTCATCCCTGAATGCCAGCACTAAAGCTCTCACTAAAAGGTGCATATTCAAGACCAGAATCGTTTCAAAGTCTTCTCTACCGGGTGTTTGTACCAGAGGAATTGTTACTAGTGGTGGCGCATAGTAACGATCCATTTCACCGCCCGGTACCTTTTATCCCCCGATGCTCTTTCTCAGCTCTTCAACACATTTTCGACGGAACATCTTTGCGCTTTCCAATATCTCGTCCAAGCCACTGAATGTGTGCGGAACGCCTGGCACACGAATCAATTCCACTTGAACTCCTGCAGCTTTCATTTTCGCAGCGTACGCCTCACCCTCGTCACGCAGAGGATCCATTTCCGCAGTCCAAACCAGTGCGGGAGCAAGGTTAGCAAAATTAGGCGCAAGGATCGGAGATATCTTCCAATCCTACGTGGATAATGTTAGATTGGATGGCCACGACCCATGTGAATGACGAAGTCACATAACTTCATCCCAGGCATACTTACATCGTCAGATTTTTCAGGCCGCAGAACACCGAGCCAGTGCCTATGAAAATAGGCCATCCTCTCCGCAGGAAGGGCAGGAGTGAACTCCATCTCGCGATAAGACTCGTACGGAGTGTTTTCACGGTCAAATTTGCCATCAGGTGTGAAGGAGCTGTGCATATCCGTCACAGGTACCGTGAGGATTTGAAGGCTAAGTGGAAATTCATTATCTCGACAGAGATGGGCAACCACGGCGGCCAAGTGGCCACCAGCGGAAGCTCCTCCAACAGCCATCCGGTTGGTGTCAAGGTTAAACACTTCGGCTTTCGAGCGTACCTGAACACAGCGTTAGCTGGCCGCTTTTATGTGCGAAGGAAATCTTCGAGCATACCCATTGGAAAGCAGCCCAGCAATCCTCAATTGCGGTGGGGTATTTGTATTCAGGGGCCAGACGGTAATCTACGTCAAAAACAACAGCATCTCCCCCTAAATCATGCACAATGCGTTTGCAGGAATGATGATCTACGATGAGACTTCCAAACACCCACCCTCCACCGTGGAAGTTGATGTATGACCCTCGCTTCTTAGGTTTGCCGTCAGCTCCTTGTATTGGCTTGGGCTCAAAGATCCGAATCGTGATTTCTCCTCCTTTTACAGAGCATTTCTGCTCTGTGATCTTGTATATATCTGGTGCAGCGGCGCGGCCGTATACAATTTGGTACTTTTGTGGGTTGGCTCTAAATTCTTCTATCGGAATCTGGTGTGTATGGAGCCGGCCAACGTTGTAGCGATTATAGTGCTCGACGTACACAGGATCAAATCGTGGGAGTAACTGGGGAGGAATGCTATTGAGCAACGGCTGATAGACAACCCCCGGTTTTAGCTTGTGCAGAGCAGGATCTCCTGCTGGTTGCTGATTGCCATGTAAGCATTTCGTGAGTGGAGACTCTATTTCAGCACTGTGCATTCTCACCTGGTCAGTTGCCGTCATATTCAAGGTGGTTACTCTGTATCTTTCGCCCAAACTGAGGAGTGATAAGCTGTTCCCAGGCCTTGTTTTCTGCAAACAACTATATATTCTTGGCCCCGCAGCAGCGTCTCCGATGAACCACGTCCCTCACCGGAGAAACGCCGGAGGGTTTCTCCGCCATGTCATCGGCATTTCAGTATATCCCGCGGGACCAAACGTGGACGCTTATGTAACTAACTGACTGACTGTTCGCGCACCCTAACCCTTTTGGGCTTAGCGCGCACGTGACATCACGTGATCATCTCGGTCCGACTCTTTTCCGCTGCCAAGCTCCATCTCACCATAAGAGATGAGATCTCGCTAGCCCCTTTTTGTAGCTAGAACAATGCAACCGAGTTTTCCATGCTCCAACACTGACAGCCTCCCCAGCTGGTCACCCAGGAGCTAAGCTCAGCGTCAAGGAAAGACTTCCGGATCAAAAAAGATTGACTATGCAAGCCATGTGGAATCAACCGTCCTGTTCCAGAGTACTCTGTAATAATGATGTCTTTAGGAATTTAGATGCCCTCTCTTTCAAAACGAACTGGTATCGCCATTCAAAAGTGTTTGAACTGTCAGTCTCAAACATGTTGCCTCAGAGGTTGGTGGGATATCCCTTGGAGTCTTGTTCGCAAAAGCCTACCAGGAAATTCCCCTTGGTATTGGGATCACTGCTTCTATTTCCCATAGGCTTTGTCATTCCTCTTCTGGCTCCATTGATTCTCTCATGTAGTGTAGATTCAACAAATCCTAGGAGCTTTTTCGTTGGCTTGTGGTGATCTATACACACACCCTCCTCAAGCCTGAACATCAAAGCATCTTTTTCCATTTGATTGATTTATAGTGATGCGTTGCTGGAGGACGCAAGCTTGCATGTTATCAGAGGATGGGTAACTTATCGCCAAAAACTGAATCAATGGTATCTGTTCTCACTGGTCATCATGCTTTTGAACAGAATGCATGCAGCTCAAGAACAGACTGTTGTATTCGTGATATTGAATTCTATCCCTGCCTGCACGCTCTTTGAGAATCCGGCTAAGTCTTACCAGGGTAACTCTAACTACCCTGATGTTGGGAAAGAGCCCCTTTCCAACCGCCAACTCATCCACCCGTAGTTCAGCAACGCGAGCCATGTACTTTCACAGAGATCTATTTAGGTATCCTTATGCTTGCCGGCAATTGCCCGGACGCGCCGAGAGACCTGTGATGTATCACATGGGAACGATAAGACTGTGATACTATTGTGTCTATTGTGTCTGTGACGATCTGACTTCGCGTCCCTCTCACCGTCTCTTTCCTTACGAACCAGCACCGAATAAATGGCTCCAAAGGTTGCAATCATCGGGGCCGGTGAGAGATCTCCCAAAAGGATATCCAAAGACAACGGCACTAACCGCAACCAGGTCTCTCGGGACTTGCGTCCCTGAAACAATGTCTCGAGGAGGGCTTCGATGCCACAATCTTCGAGGCTCGTCCTGTCATCGGAGGCCAGTGGTGCTATGAGGAGCCAGATCCAGTTACCGGCGAAACATCCTCTTCGATGTACGAAGGAGTCTTGTTGAATTCTTGTCGTGACACCTCGACTTTTAGCGACTTTCCTATGGACCCTAGCCGCTATCCGGACTACTTTGGTCACAAGCGCTTTTTGCGATACATCGAAGAGTATGCGGAGTATTTCGGACTCAGAGAGCATATCTGTTTGAACACCGAAGTCGTTTCCTGCTCACAAGACAAGGAAGGGAAATGGAGTGTCGAGACAATCCAGAAAGGAAGGTCCCCCGTCAAAGATACTTACGATGCGATCTTCGCGTGTTCAGGTGCGCTTGCAGACCCAGTTATTCCCATGTTTGAGGGACTGGAGAAATTCAAAGGTGACGTTTTCCACAGTCATATTTACAGGCGCCCAGGCGCACTTGAAGGAAAAAGAATCGCCATCATCGGTTTCGGTAATTCCGCCGCAGATTTATCTTCTGAGTTGAGCTGGCAGGCGAAAGAGCTGCATCTTATTACTCGCAGAGGCGGATGGATCGTCCCTCGCTTCGTTTTGGGCAAACCGGCGGAGGCATATGACAGTGAGTTCACAGCGCCAAACCGTTCTTGATAAACGCTTACCTTTACGCAGATCGTGTCGCAGAAACAATCTTGCCATCCAAGTTTTCCCAGTGGATCCAAACGCAGCTCTGCAACCACGTTCTGGGCAAGCTCCCGGACGTCCTGCAGCCAGAGCATGGCCTCATGGAAGCAAATGTCACAATGCGAAGTGACCTGCTTGAAAACATCAAAACCGGTCGTATCATCCCTCACAGAGCTGGAGTGAAAAGAGTCTCAGAGACATCTTTGATTTTAACTGACGGTACATTCATTGATGTCGATGTTATCATCTGCTGCACTGGATATCACATGAGCATTCCGTACGTGCCCGAGGAGAGTTACCGAAATAACCATAATCCAATCCTTAACACCAACAATTCGATGGAACTCTATAAATTAGTCGCATCTCCAACCTTCCCGAACGTGTTTTTCATCGGCTTCGTTGAGCTCGCAGGCCCTCTGGTCCCGGTCTCAGAGACACAGGCAAGATGGGCGACTTCGGTACTTGCCGGTAGGATCAAGCTGCCTTCCGTCAAGAAGATGTATGGATCGATAGCCGCGTACCAAGCGCGCCTAGCTGCCGTGGTAAGTTGACCCGTTCAAGCATCGACCGGTTTCGCCATAACAACAACTAACCCAGAGGCCCGAGATGGTGAATTCCGATCGACACACTGTCACCATTCGCTACCTACCTTACTGCGATGATCTCCTGAGGGATATCGGCGCTAATCCGACATTCTGTCGCCTGTTTTCTAAGGTCTTCACCTCCAATCCTGTCACAGCAGTCAAGCTGCTCAAGGCAGTGTACGTTGGAATAAATTCTCCGGCACAATATCGTCTATTTGGCCACGGAAGTAAGCCCATGCTTGCATCTGCCACGTTGTTAAGACTCGCCGACGAAGCTCCGGGACTGAGCGAAAAGGAGAGACATATTCTTTGCATGAGCCAGCCTGAAGGATAATAAAAAACGGAAGCCCATTTGTTTACCTGGCGAAAAATCGAGATACCTATCTTTATGATATCCCCTAGTGATGTACCTAAGAGAAACATTCCATGATCCGCGCACTCAACTAATCAGCCCATGTTGACCTCACAACTGTGGCCTGATTGCGGAAAAAAGCGCTTGGCCTTTTCATAAAATTAGGGTCAGATATCCTGTTCTAGCCAAACTCGTGATCAGAAGAAACGCTCTCGGGATACTCTGTTATTTCGCGCAGGATATGACCTGCATTTGTAAGCTGCAAGCCGTCAGAACTTCATCCCGGATATCTGCTCAGAGATTAGCTGCTTTTTCAGCTTTTCGTGCTTCAGAACCAACAATCCCAGAGTTCCCCATAAAAAATAAAATAAAATCCAGAGGAATACCCGTGGCCTTGTACACCGTTCGCAGCAGTCATCTCACAAGCCATTTCTCCATTATCATTCATAACGAAGTCGTCCACACCAACCCTTGATCAAGCATTCTTTAACCACCGCCAAGGACTCCGTCCTGGTTAACTGGGGATTTTCCTGCACAAAATGACACGACGTGAAAGACCAAGGCTCGGGCCAAGGAGGCAGATAAAGCTAGGCCTTGCGTGGTTACATGCATCTTCGCCACCTGATTGGTCATTTCGCCGCCAACGTTGAACGACTTTCCACCGTCCTCGTTCTATGGAGGACACATCACCCGAGGGTAGTCTGGCACATCCATGACTTCAAATTTACAAGCCTCCCTTTATTATCCCGTTTTGGAGGATGATCTTTGCGGAAAAAGTTGTCTTTCGGGTCAAGTTAGCTTGATATTATCAATAATATGATGGATTAAAAATCTAGGCACCCCCTTTTTTGCCTGGGATGTCACGAATCAAAGTGGTATGAGTTGTGGGTGGTTTGGTGGGGAGAGAGAAACCATCTGAGAGGTCACTTTCAGTGGGGATGTCATGTGAGAACTAACTTGAATATTGAATAACAGAAAAAGTAGTTCTCAGAGGCAGGCCTTCGGGTGGTTTTGAAGCCAAGCATGATGGCAATTTGCGGTTAAGGAGGATTGCCACCAGAGAGGAGAGTGCTGCCTATCATCAAGCAGCAGGCTGATACTTGAGAACATTATGCTGTTTTGGGCTGGGGATCACGGCTTGGTGGCTGAGCCAGACTGGACAACCAGCGACAAGATGAAACAGTCCCTCATGCTGACATGGAGAACAAAGATCTAAAGTTAGTAGTGTCATTGAGGTAGATGGCTAGCTATCTATACTAAGGTTAATACGTTGTTAGACAGCTAAGTCTCATGCTTGTTTGTTGTTCGTTCGGTTCGTCAGTCAGGGTGACCAGTAAGCATGCAGGCAGGTACGTAGATACCTAAAAGATGCCACAGGTATGCTATATACAATACGAAATTGAGATAGTAGCATCTCATCGTGCCGGGGAATTCCTTTCAGTTCCATAGGGACTCCCATACTCCTTCATGCTCCTGTGTCCGCTCACTCACGGCGCAATGATTCTTGCAACTTCATTGAGAGATCACATGGCGAGAGGAACAAATAGGGAAAAGATACAAGGGGGGAAAAGAGGGGATCGAAACAAAATGCTAGATAAAAGAATCAACACAAACAAGCAAACCTTCCATAAGGTTTACGAAATGCTCCATCATACAAACACCAAAGAATCCAGGGAAGTTGGGAAACAAGGTTACAGATTAAGTGGAAATGTTGTACCTTGACCATCAAGACATGCCATCCCCATGGATTAAACAAGCATCCACATGAAAGCAGGTGGATGGATAGACAGGCTTGGTCTAGTCCACCATATCCACCACACTCTCTGCTGATGCACTGCTCATACCCCAGGGAACTTGTGTTGCTTCTGTTCCACAGCATGCACGCTTCATGCTCCCAGTCTCCATAGGGAACGACAGTGGCAGGGGAAACCGGAGACCACCAAATGAGCATCGCGCAGGGGATTGCACAGCTTTGGGCTGTGGAATTAAGAACGAGTCAGCAACCCGATTGTCCGGGACGACATAGATGCTAACATCCTCGTCTTTTCTGGCATCCAAAGATATGAGGTTACGAACATGGTGCTGTAGAACCATCCCAGTAGAGCTGTTAGTACGTCCACGCTTTCGGGACATCCGGTTAGGCGAGCTTGAAGCAGACAGAGATGGAGTGGAGCGAGGAGCGGCGGCAGAGAGCTCGCAAAGGCTCTGAGCCGCTTCATGAGCCTTGTCAACTGGCGTGCACAGAGAGAAGTTGGTCAGATCTGGAACGTTGACGCTGGAAGCGGACATAGGCTCGGGTGAAGTATAAATAATATCCTGGTAAGGTCCTTCGTCGATTGGCGACCCGATAGCGAGCGGCTTCCTATTCTCCTTGTTTGCCCCGCGACGCATCGCCCGAGTAGCCAAGCGAGGCAGGGTGGGCGCGCAGGTTCCCGACGCAACAGAAGAAATAGAGGAGGACCGAGAGGATCGGCTGGACAGTGAAGAAGCCAAGGATGGAACATCGGATATCATCGACTCCGGAGACGACGTGGAGGAGCGAGCAAGAGACGAACGCCGAGTGCTGAGAGGATACGACTCGTAGGAAGCTGGTTTATTATTAAACGCACGTAACGGTGGTCGCTGGTCGAGAGTTGTACGTTGAGCACACCTCTGTGCTTGTCGCATGGCGCAAGTCATAGACGGCCCACGAGGAGTGAATGAAACAGCACCCGCTGCAGGAGTGCTGTAGGAAACGCTCTGTGGGCTCATCTGTGGGGTTGGAAGAACACCAAGCTTTGGGAGAGATGGCAACCGCAATTCCTGTGCCGACTCCACACCCAGAGTGCTCTGGACACCGCGACTGTGCGAATAAGTCGGAGTTTGATCGTATGTCGAAGGTTGATATTGACATCCAGAAACGGGAGAGCGACTTGGAGATGGGGTCGTAACGGGGGAGAGCAGATCTTGAATTGAAACGGGCCCGTTCCGAACAGGATCCAAATCAATGGTATCAAGCTCAGGGGTGAGAGACGGGATGATGGACCGCCAAGAAAGACCGTCACCGTTAAAAGCACCATCGGTAGAAGAAGTATAGCGTAGGACGATATCAGACCACCGCTGAAAGACAGGCTCCGAAATATGTAGTCTCCATGCAACTGCATTGAGGAAAATCAATTCGTTCTGATTGATTTCCGTGGTACTCAAACCGGAAATCTTGCTCCAAGCCCGAGCGGAATAATTTCTATCCTGGAGATACTTTGAAGCTAAAATGAGGGCCGAGAGAAACATTCGTCGCCCACACTGCATAGCACGTGAGCATTGCTGGGCTCCCGACTGCTCCATAGTAAAGTCATGCGTTGGGATGCGTGGCTTGATCAGGATAAGATAGTATAGCGCGACTTGTAGCGTAGAGTAGCTGGTGCGAGAACGGCGGAGAGTCTCCTGAATAAAACTTCGGAGGGGTAGGACTCCTTTGCAGCCAAGAGCGGAGTCACTACGGGCAGCCACGACGGAAAGTGGCCATATGGTTTCGACAATTTGCGCAGCGGAGTCTTTTGAAAGAAAAAGAAAAAGACAGAAAGTCCCAGTCAGACAACAACCACAACATAAGCAAGAAGATAGGAATGGTTTTCCCCCCCACTTACCGACAAGGTGATCAACAAAATTGACTCTCCGCTGAGATGCGCGTGTTAATGGAGGTGGTGGTCGAGCACAGCGCGACCCGAGTGCTGATGCATCAGAGCGATAGCTCCGTCTGGGATGTTGGCGAAGCTCAGGCGCCACCAAAGTTTCCGTGGCCTTAACAGCGTAACTCTTTTGACCTTGAATGCAGCGTGAACCAGACTCAACTTTCACTCCTCTGCATTTTGATTGGCTGGACGCCTCATTCTCCCAGATGATGTCGACCGAAGAGGTGGAAGACGAGATTGAACTCTGAGAGGAAGAGAGGCTGTCGAAGGAAAAGACAGAAGAGGAGGACGAGGAGGCGGAGGATGCTATTGACGAGGCGTAAGGGTAGGGCTGTTGGAAGGAATTTTGAATGCCTGGATTCGCAAACTTGAAATCCAGGGCGTCCATTACTGATATATCCGACGCACGGCCGCGCTCACTCTATATCAAACCAACAGAGGTAAACGCGGAAACGGGGGATACAGAGGTAACGGACGATATATAATCCGGGTTAATTTTGCCGGGGGGAAATAGACCGTTTGGATAATAACCGTGAAGAGGCAGCGAGGGGACAAGACCCGTCTTTATTTAGTTATAAAGGCGACGGGGAACCTTCTTAAACTCAGCAGATAGCCAGGTTTAATGTGATGACGACGGATGAAAGTTTATGTAGATATAAGGGATGAGTCACCCTATGATGGGCATGGAAGGATGAGAAGGTAAGGCGTGATCGTAGCTACCGGAGTGCGTCAGAGGAGCAGCAGGAAGGCAGTGAGGTATGTGATGGCGGAGGCGAGGAAGAGGTAGCTGAGGCGTGTTGAGCTTGGGTAGCTTTGTGGAGGAGGCGGCGGAGGAACGAGAAGCTAGTGGCAGGGGAAGGCAGAGAGGATGGCTCCGATCACCACCCGCGGGGATTCCAAGAGTAATAAACAAGACAACGAGGAAGCAGAACAGGCGAGAAAGAGAGAGGGAAAGGAGATGACTAGCGTCAGGGGACAGGGTCGGTATGCAAGGTATCAAATTCACAGGAGAAGGAGAGGCACAGCCGGTATTAATGTGGAGGAGCGATGTGGCGTGGCGGCGCGTAGTCAACTCCGGGTTAGCAGTGTGACTCCCCTTCAGGTGCGACGGAAAAGAGGTCCCTCTAGACGCAGGCAGTCATCTCGACAACGATATGAAAAGCAGCAATCTCGGAATCTTCGCAGGTGGTGATCGGATCGTGAGCAGGCTTCCACGCAGGGTACATCATTGCTGAGACAGGACGAGGTGGTTAGTGAGGGAGGGCCAGGCAGCACCAGCTAAGCGACGCGCTTATCCAGGCGGCTGTCCGGAGTCGATCGGGAGCGACAGAAGAGAGGAATCGAGAGGAGTATCGGGAGGATGGCGAGGAGGAAAGGAGTGAAGGGAGGGAGGATGATGGCGGGTGTGTTGAGCTTCCACCCCGACGACGTTCGGGAGCTCAATGACACATTCGAGGCAATGCCACCAACACCGGAAAAGCGGGAGGAGTCAGAGGCAGCGGCAAAAAGGCAAGCTGAAGAAGTTTAAAAAAACCCACAACACTGAGTAAGTTAAGTCAGCCGCCCAGAGCAAACTTTAGTAGTTCAAGAGCAACGATGACTCCTCCATTTCTCAGGATGGGATGTGGTAACTTTGCACGGGCTCTGTGCCAACAGCCGTTTACTTGGGTAGTGGTGACAAGGTGGTGGCGAGGTGGTGGCAAAGGGGGAAATTGGCTCGGGGTCCACGCTGGTGGAGTGCTTAAGGCGACAAAGGAGGGAGCGCACACGACGACGACGACAACAACAGCAACAGAGTGGTGGTTACATACCTATCGGTCAGGCCGGCTTCTCTGAGAAGTTCTGCCGAAAGGATATCGGCCTTGAATCGGCGCACTTGGGGGATAACAAAGGAGTGGCAGTTATGAGTGAATCACAGCAAATTCATCCAGTGTCATCACAACAGAACAAAGGAACAGCAAATCAAAGGACGGGAATTAGTTATAGAAGAACACAATAATAAAAAAAAATAGATAAGTAGGATGGAGTGGCGAGGGTGAGTAACGGATGTCTTTCAGATTTCGATTTTTTACAGTGATAAGAGAAGTAAAGAAAAGCGACCGAGCCGATGTCGAAGGAGTGTGAGTTAATATTATAATGGAGAGCAGGCCGTTATGCTGGCCCTCGACAATCCCCGTTTTTCTCTACTGCAAGTCCTGATAAGCCCATTTGTTAGTTCAGTGATAGGCTGGGACAGGATGAGTCGAACGGGGTTGGGGATTTGACGCCAGTTTTCTTGTCGGCGATGATTAGTTATTCACCACACACACACACACTTGCTCTCTTCTGCTGCCCGGGCGGGTTTTTTAGGCTTCAAAGCGTCAAGGGGGGTGGGGGCTGGGGAAAAAAAAGCGCAGCAACCTTCGCTCAAGATACGGAGTAACTCAAACAAATAAAATATTAATCATCTACGGAGTACAAGAGCATGTACTCCAGTGCTTCGTAAAAAAAAAAGAACAACGAAAAATCGTCCAACTAACACCAGGTACGGGCAGAGTCGCTTGCTAGAAGGCAAACATGGTGGTCGAGAGAGGAGAACGGCTCAGGTTGCCATCGCGTGCCTCAAACCAGACGCCAAATAGGCAGCGATGCATTATCCCAGTTTCAGCGCCGTGAACACGGGCAAAATGAGCCACAAGGGGGAAAAAAAAAAAAAAAAAAAAAAAAAAAAAAAAAGAATTAATCAAGAAAAAGAGATTGAGAGCGAACCCGCTCGTGACATACCTGAGATCGTCTGACAACTCCTGGACCTAATTTTGACGTGAAATCATCAACCAGCCTGACAGAGCTGAACCGTCGGGTGTCAGAAGGAAGTTTGATTTTCGGACGAAAAGGTGACGAAATATCAACGTCAAGAGTGTCGAGAATACGTGCATCAATTAGGTATTTACTCCGTAGCTAAGTTACTAAGTGAGTCCGTTGGTTATTTAAATAGTCGAATGGAAAGAGATGAAAATAGATGAAATGGATCTTAACTGGCAAACGAGCAAAAGAACTATCTCTAAAAGAGAAGCTCAAGCCAATGATATTTAAGGTAAAAATTAAAAACAAAAAAGGAAAAGAAAAAAGGGAGAGGTAACTGAGAAAACGACCAGAAGGATCAACATGGTTTAGAAGACCAGGCTCCCCCTTTCGCCATGATCCTATGCTTGATGCTCCGCTTCGCATTCCTCCATCTCAGCAGATGGCTGCACCGCAGCATTGGCATTTGGGGCCATAATCAAAAGACCGCACTGCTAATCCCGCTGCAGCAACGTTGGCCGATCCTCAGCCACGTCGCGACATCTTCATCGAAGAAGACATCCTACAGTTTCTGAAATCTTTGCTTTCTTGGATGGATGACAGAGTTTGCCAAAGCAACTGATAATAACTGTATAACAAGGGGGCTCGATATACTCCATAAAACTACCAAACCTTTCCCCCTCGGCGCTTTTCGCTTTTCACTTTTCGCTGGTAGAAGTCCCCCCGTGCCGACGGATGTGGCGGACCGAATGTGAGTCATCGCCACCACCCCAAGCCAAAGCATAAAAAAACAAAGAAGAAATTGGTGGACTGGCTGAACGAGGTCTCATCTCCCCTCCCCCGCGCGCGCGAGAAAAGAAATAAAAAGGACGACGATGGGAGGCTCGGCACCATCCTTCCAAAAAGAACGCAAAGTGACAACCCCCAGGACCCCGTCAACGCCTCTCTGCGGACGTGGAAGCATTCGAGACCTGAGCAGTTATTATTAACTCGGCTATCGGGCTGCGACTCTGCACTTCCCACCTCGCCCAAAGGGGTTGGTTGGATTTTAAGCCCGAAACAGTCCCCGGATTTCCGTCCGTTTTCTCCAGGCGGCGAATATGTGAGTATGTATGTAGTCGAGACCCAGGCCGGATGGGAGGAATGAGAGTGGTAGGATGAGCGCGCAACAAGGTCCCAGATAAACAGCACGAGTGGCCACCCCTCTCCCTGTGTCACTTCGGCTTCCGTTTTGGAGACAAGGTCGCCTGGCGCTGCCTGGCAGTACCACAAGAGATCCAGCCTTTGCCAGCCAATCACCAAAAGCATGTATGTACATACAAAAAAGTAAGCTTTGTCATAGTCGATGTAGAAATGAACAGCACGTATCGAGCAGCTTGTGTATCACACATGGCAGGCTCTCCGGTTCCAATAGCAGCCTCGAGCGACAGCCCAAGTTCCCTTCCGTAGAACTTCCTCCCGACCCCTCCCAGCCGCATGTCAACGTCGCATTAAGCATTAGACATTAATCGTCAAAACCCCCCTAGCCGCGCGCGCGAGTCCAGCTTTAATAAACCCATTTATAAATCCCGAAAGAAGAGGAGGCGATAAGCCACTATGTTCTGATAGTTCTGCAGCGCCAGTGCAGAAAGTATAGACAGCAGGCACGTTCGGTGGCATTCGGTCCTCGGGCGGAAATACATTGTACAGAAATAAGTTGTACCCGAATGGGTGTCCAACGAAAAAGGAGAGAGAGAAAAAGAAAGAAGACATCGCGATGGTCACGAGCCTTCTAAACCTTGGACCAAGTTTTCGAGGAACTCCATCAGAGATCGATCCTTACAGTTAGATATCCCTTTGGCGCAGTCTCCGCACACGCGCAGACAGCAGAACGTACAGCGGTATCGAGGCTGCTGATCAGCTTTGAGGCACGTCATACAGGGCACCGAGTAATACGCGTTTTTTGACACCATGAACGATCGATGAGACTGGTAGCAAGAGAAGTGGACTTTGGTGAGTGGCGGCACGGCTTCGACCTGCACGATCGGCGGAGGCGAGCACTCCCTGTGCTCCTCGTCGGACTCCGTTCTGGACTTTTCGTCTGTGTTCGACGTTCCGGAGTTCTGGCTGCTTCTTCGCTGTCCGTGTTTGCTGTCACTCGAGTATTCACTGCCGCTCGGCAGCGAGGGAGATGATGGTATGTCTTGCGGGGGTCTGGCATCCTCGCGACGCGCATCGTTCCAGTGTGGTTCTCGTGAAGATATTCGCCTTGGAGGCGCGGGGTGAACGCCGTGCAACGTGTTCTCCCATTGTCCATCCATCTGGGCTGGCTTCATCATGCGGGGCTGCATCGTGTGAAACTTAGGAGAACCAAGGCCTTCACCTCGCAGCACCATCGTTTTCCCTGGTCGATTGCCTGATAGCTCAACAGCGACAACCGAAACATCCGGGTGGTCCATCTGCCAGAGAAGGTGAAATGTGGCGGGGGGGAAGGGAAAATATATAACTATATGCAGGGAACAGGCAAGTTATTCAAAACTTCAATAAAAGAAAATATTGCCCGCTCCTGGTGAGCAATTGACGGGAGCCCCTAGATTATATAGAGCGAAGGATGGAGTCGCACCAATGCAACAAAATCTCCCAGGGCCAAAAAAAAAAAAAAGGGAAAAAGAAAAGAAAAGAAATAGTTAAGGAAATGAAAAGCAAATAAAAGTCAGCATTGAAGAGAAGCAAAGGTGACAGCTATCATGGTGGCGATTGAAGAGCTGTTATATTTTCTGCCCTTCGTATTTTAAGAAAGAGATAAGAGGCACCGCACGCCCTCACTCTGGCCATGCCAGCCATCGATCAACATGAAGTGGGAACAGGCACAGAAGAGCTTCACTGGCTCCCGTCTCCGTCCTGGGCAGTAAGCCATCAACCAAGTTCTCAGCTCCCGGGGATACGTGGGACCAGTCAAAATCGTCGAGATTGAAGGCACCGAAAAGCCACTGGAAACAGCTAATTGATGGACTAGGAAAAAATGAGGACCCCTTGCCGCCTATCATTGTGACATGTTGACGGGGGTTTTCAGGCTAAGAGTGTGGGTTTGGTGACAAAATCATGTAATTTTATTCCAAATTAGCCAGGACGAGTTCTCCGGGCTCCGCATCCAAGGCACGAAATCATAAATGCAGCCCCTCAACAAAGTCTGGCGTCATCGGAAAACTTCGACATCTATTATCTGTGTAGCTGTGTCATCAGCCGCATGATGTTCGAGTCTGTTGATGCACCGGACGGAGGGGCTTCATTGTCGACTGCTGAACGCGTGGTTCGCTCGCTGTCTGGGAAAGGCCAATTAAACGTGCCAGGCTTTGTGACCAATCTTTTTCGGTGGCTTGCTGAAACGGACTTTCATTTGCTCGGAGGACGGATTCATGGCAAGGCAAATTCTTGGGTCCACAGAGGACTTAGCCAAAAAAAAAAATAAAAGTAAGTAAAATTAAAAATAAAAAATAAAAAGTGGCTGCGGATCAGAGTGTATTCTTTCTCTTTTCACACCGCATTATCTTGCATCATGCCGATGGGGTGCGCGCAAGCTAGCGAAGTTAACTTGAGCGAGAGAATTCCCCATATTAGTCGACTTGGGGCCTTTGGATATGGACGCTTCATGAAGCGACTCGCCGCCCTCTTTGGTGGCGATCGCATTGTTTAACGTGTTTGCGTCTCTAGTTGCTCCACCTGCATGAAATTAGATCTCCCCACCAACAGGAGTGGAACCATGGCTCGCGCGGAAATTTTTCTCGAGGCTTGTCTTTCGAAAGCAGGGAAAAAAAAAAAAAAAAAAAAAAAAAAATTCCCGTTGGATGGAGGAAAGATGCAACCTCTGAGCAGACTAGCTGCGGACCTCGATGGTGGGGCTCTCCTCGGGCTCCAACCGGAGCATCCTGCTGCAACGGGGCATAGTCAGAAATAGCATCGATGGGTCTGGTAAGACCTGGTCCACCTCGCCCGGTGTCAGTAATTGCTACAACGGTGATTGTCGGGGCCAAAGCGTTGCGCAGAAACCATCTGGTCAATGTTTCGATGACCTTTCCTTGACGCGACGATGCAGGAGCCGTTGTCAGCAAAAGAAAAAAAAAAAAGTGACGTGACGGTATGTTCTCTTTCATATCTTTCACGCATGTGGTTCAGCTATCTTCACCCCAGGTGCACATGGCCTATTTTTCTTAGAAGCAGCCCCCAGGAGTGTTGCAAGACCCTCTTCTCAAGATCTGAATGGGAGGGGTAAAAGAGGGAAAAAAAGGGAAAAAAAAAAAAAAAAAAAAAGGGTGTCACCATCATTATTCCCAACCGGCCGCCCGCCGCTCCGGAGACACTTTGCTTTACTCAACTCCACTGGTTCCGCGATCTTCCTCACAGCCTCACCGTTGACGACGAGCCTTGGATGCATCGAGCAATGATGCCACCCATGATAAACCCCGAGAAACCCGTCTGTTTCGGGAAAAAAAAGAAAAAATGGGGTCCTCCCAGTGGATGGACAAGGCGTTACAGTATCTGGCTGCCTCTGTGTGATATGCTGAGAGCCTGATCGTTTCGAATTGCACATCTACCCCTCTTCGTTTAGCTCGCTAGGACAGCGCATCCTCTTGCCCGGGTCTGCACGATCACTGTACGGAGTTTTGGCCACCTAGGTAAAACACTTAAAAAAGGACAGGAGTTCGACGATGATTATGAGAGCGAATCGGATTCCAATTTGCGGGAGAAAAATTGCTGCCATTTGTCCAACAAGTAAGAAAGGGATTGACTAGTTAAGCTGGATGGAGTAATCTGTAACTACAGGCACGTCCAAAGCGGTCAACCGCGTTGATATGCTACATGTACTGGGCCGTTCGACATACTGTAGTTCGCCATCTGTGCTCTCGACTGATGGGAGAGCCGTGAATACTGTTTTTAGAGAACCCAGCCTACGGATTTCACCGTTCATGCAGGCATCCCGGGGATTTTAATACTGCACATGGCAGGGTTACATTCCCGCATCCTCCTCGAAAAGAAAAAAAAAGAGGAAGCAAGGATGGAGCCTACCAATATCGTGCTTCTTCCGAATAGTCATATTGTGTAGCTTTCTGATAAACTGCACGATTACCTGCTGGACCTTAACTGATAGCAGAGGTTGTGGCTGGCAGTAAGGAGTAACTACAGCGGATGGCATACAACTCCAGTATTCCAGCGGCCATTTAAGTAGTTAGTTATCCAGAGAGATTCAAAAAGCAGCTTCAATCCACGATGCGCAACCAACATGGGCTGCCATTCCGTTTCGGTCCGCTCCCAAGCCCTCGTTGGAAAGCGCCGACCGGCCAATCGGAACCCAAAACAGGCAAGGTTCTGGTCGTATGATCTTATCTGATCAAATCTTATCTGATGATCATCTGTTGCCGAGCCAAATTGCAGTGAATTCAAACTTGCTCCTGCTGCGCTCGGCAAAAGTCGCTCCCGGTGACATCGCCCGCAACGGATGGCCAACGCCCGCATGCTGACAGAATGGGCTGCTTCTCCGCAGCCGCCATCTTCACCGTTCCCCCTCTGCAATGGGAGTCAGCCGAGTCGAATAGTCAGGCTCCAAGCCCGCCCGACGCCGCGCTTTTTCTCGAGGTTTCCACGTGAGGCGAATTCCCTAGAGTATCCACAGTATTCCTTGTGACGTATTGCATAGTTAGTGGGATGACTAGTTGAGCATATAATAAACAGTGTTTGGATCCCCGATTCCCTTTGTTGCTAAATCCACGTTTCTCCAGACATCGTCTGCTAACCATTGGCGGCGCTGTCCGAGACAGTATTCGACCAGCCATGAAGCTCCTCTCCCTCTCCACACTCCTTTCCTTATCCTTATCCCTCAGTCTTGGGGGTGCATCTCCCGTCTTTCCGGGAGGCGATAAGAGAGATGCGCTGTATCAGAAACCCATTGCCCCAGCCGGCGAATTTCCATTCGACTCGAGCCCACCTGAAGCGCGCATGACAATTCCTTATGCCGATAATGAACCGGACTCCAGTCTCTCCATCCCTTCGTGGCCAACCACCCACCTTCTGGCTAGAAGACTGCTAGGCCTCTCCACCACGGGAGTCCTATCCACCGTATTCCCAAGGACTAACCGGGACCCAGCCCTCGTCGGCGTCCCAATCGGTCTGCCAGATTACTTTGCCAATTGCGACGACAATTCAAAGCTTCAGGACTTCTTGGGCTCCGGAAACCCCCTCGTCCTGGCGTTGAATCTTGGAACCTCTTTTCGAAACACCAAAGCTGGCTCCAACATCTCCCTGTCGGTGGATTGGTGGCAACACGCCCCGCCGGATGAAGATGGCGACCTCGACAAGGCACCAGCTGCCTTCCCACGCCTATCCTTGATCGGCTGGCTCGAACCTTTGCCCACTCCCCTCCCTGATGATGCAAGGCATGCGATCGAGCAATGTTTCTTGACTGCTCATCCGGATGCCAAATATTGGCTGCCCGGCGATCCTAACGCTGCCCACAGGGGATATTGGGCACGGTTGGTTGTGGAGAAAGCCCTCTGGATCGGAGGATTTGGCGACCGGGCGAGGATTGGATGGCTGGACATTGGAGACTGGAGGAATATCAGGAAGCACGGGAAATCGGGCGAGCGAGGATGGGCCGATGTGAGGCTTCCTGGAGAGGAGAAGGACTAGGTTGACACTGGACATACAAAAGAACCTTATGTACATAAAAGTGAACTGGCTCTTTAAGTGCCTTTCTCTAGCATAGTTACCTATGAATTACGCCTTGATGAAGAAAACGTTTCAAAAAATTGCAACCCTTCGAATCGTAGGTGCAATGTATTTGTGTAGTTACTGTAGTTACGAACATGCATCTATCCAAAATTACATCACTATTGAAAAGTCGTCCGAAAAATTGTGTGTCGAAACAGTTAAGAAAACGATGATACATTATCCCAGGCTCTTCTACTTATCTTATTCTATTAACCTATATCTTCGGTTTCACCACTAGGTCTCTTGCCCTCATCAGCTGCAGAATGCGAGTGATCAAGTTTGGGTGACTCAAAACAACATATGACTTAGACCCTCCTGGCGATAGCGAATTCGAAACGACAACTTGATCAGTATAATCACCGAATTTTCTCTTGCGGTGATGCATACCTACATTGGGATGAACCGGGTGGGTTCCGTTCCACCCTGTTCCCTTAAATACTTCTTTGACGCGACTCCTGTTTTCCATTTAAACGCTGGCTTGAACCTCCATCCTGGGTAGATACACCGTTGTTTGAACATAGATAACCGTGTCTAACCTGTACAAAACGCCTACACAAGGATATACAGCTGCGTACGCTTGCAACTTCGGCCCGGCTCTCCATTTTATCCCCTATAAAGTTTGCTGTCGCCGTTCGAGAGCCTCGTTGTCGGATGAAGCGTTGTTTGGGGTATCGTTTTGCATGTCATGCGTAGATAAGTGTTGAGCCCCGCGCTCCTCGCCTCGTTTTCACCAGTAACACTATCTCTGACAGGGGCAGAAACGGTCTGTCTTTTTTTTAAGACAAGGATTTTGGACTTGACATATTCTGGCCTATCTTGACGCTAAGCGAACGGGTAAGTGGCTCCTCGCCAAAAATTCGTCCGTACGGATAGATCGTGGGCATTTGAGCTAGCTAGGTCCCATATTCTTTTAGCACCGATACCAGGGGTGCTTTGTGGGCATCCACTATGGTCATTGTCGGCTAATTTTGTACAGGTGTTTTTCTTGTCTCCTCGTTGCTGACCTTGTCGCTGGATTGGCCTGGCTTCAAATTCAGATTGTGGCTTACTCCCTTCGTAGCTCGGGTCACATTCGGTATATTCCTGTCAATAAATGAAGAACCCCTTCAGGGTGAAGACTTAAATAGTTCGGATGCGGTTTTGATTAACGGGCAACCTGGTTGCCAAGAGTTATCACAACATTTGAAAGGCAAATTTTGGCTTTGCGCTGAACACATCGACGCACGAACGGAAAGATCGATGTCCAGGCCACACCAGGCGTTGTAGCCTCCGGGGCGCATGTTATTTTTCACATATAAACCGGGTAGAATGTTTTCTGGCTATGTATCTCTTCGAACCAACTATACATGCAGCGTCACGGCCTCCTTCGACTGGCTGAATATTCCACCCCAAATGGGTCTTTTGATCAGATGAAGAGAAAAGATGTTCGGCTTGATATGGATATTTTGCACATCCCCCTTGCAAAAGCTCTTAAGGAGCACCTCGATGTCGTGAAGGTATTTGAGAATAGCTTTCCCATAGTCGTTGTTCCGCAGAGTTATACGAATTATCATCATCGACCTCGTACTCTCCGTACCGAGTCTAAGATCCTGAGCTATCATCAAGAACCCAAACTACCACATAATGAAATTACTGCGCCGCTTTATGGAGAGCACCGAGCAATGCCGCCAACTATCGCTTCAAGATACCGGCATCGGTCAGTGCGTCTATGGTCTCAGAAGTCCATTCCTGGCAACGCCTAATCGGCTCTTGCGGAAACAGCCGATGCGGGCCTTCAAATTGCTTTGTTGGGGGTGATACACTGTAGCAAACCCTCCTGAACGTATCTGGATGCATTGCTGCCTCGACAGTGCCAATAAGAACTTTCCCTAGAAAGGATGGATCGTGTTCCGGTGGGAAAGCCGTAGGCTTGTCTTCATACAGCATGCCACCCTGGATATTGCCAGTGACCTGATAGATATGGCCGCAACCGATGGCGGGGTTGTTTGTTTCGATGAAAATAGCGTGGTGATCGCGCGGCATACCGGCAGAGGACACACGGTAAACATTGTAAGACATTTTAGCTTTAAGGGGAAAACGTAATTCAGTGAGAAGTTGTTTGCTATCAAGATATTCGGGGTAGTTTTCAATGTTTAATGGCGTGCGGTGTCACTCGATGGCGTTGGGTCTCGCTGGGCGGACTGTCGATGTTTGCGGCTGTTGCATTGACGCTTTTCCTCTTCCAGACACAGAGAAAGTGCGCTTGCGAGTCATCCTTTTCGCTCGGAAGTCTCATGGGACATGATATTGGTGCACACATTGAGCAAACCTCGAAACGAATGAAGCAACGAGGTTCCTCGAGCTATGCTTGCTTGAACCAACATCGTGTGATATACAACTAATAGCATGAAATGATTACAGAAGGGAGAGGATTTTCTTCATCCCCATCTGCAGACTAAGAGGTTGAATATAGAGCCCGTAGAGCCCAAGGAAGTCAGAGCCATGATATGTGGTTGTATGCCTGGTGGGGGCGGATTTAACGCCGAAATGGTATCTGAGTTTCGGTTTTTTTTCCAAATCCCGAGCACGGTTTGCTTGCTTGCTGGCCCCTAGCCTTTCCCCCAGGTAAAATTCACCCCTTATTTCGGTTTAGGAGACTCATGGTTGCGGGTTGTCAAGGCCAACCTCGTGTTGTTTTTTTCACAATAAGGTCCCGATGCATAAGCACACATGTTCGAACCTGAGACTGGATTGGAGCTATATTGGTTCAGCCAACAACGTCGAGACATCGTGATTAAACCGGCCAATCCATTGTGAAGCCCACGAAAAAAGTCATCCAGCTGACTTTAAAATTTCTACCAACAGACTAGCCCCCTTGTCTGAGTTCATCATGATGGAGCTTGCTGATTTCTAGATTCCTTCAGAACCTTGCTGACACTAGCTGAAGCACGTCCGATTTCACCGCCATCTTTCTTGGCTGTGTCGATTCCTCGTTGCACTGGTTGCTTGAATCTCTCAACAAAGATTCTCAATCTATCTTCACGAGACTCATACATTTCTCCCTCCTCATCCTTTGGTCGGCCAAATAGGTTGAGATAAGCAAAGGCAGAGGACTTCGTAGGCAAAAGATGTTGTGATGTATGGAAAAGGGGAAAGGGAACACTGGACAAGTTATTATCGCCTTGTTCCGCCCCATCCGTCGAATCTAAAGCACAAATTCCGGCACGCAGAAAATCGGCGAAGGTCTGTAGTATTGTAGCTATTGGTTTCCCGTCGCTACCAGCTTTTCCAAACGATGCTCTGTTTGAAGACCATTTTGCGGACTCTTCTGTATGCCAGCCAAGAACCGAGAGGAAGCAGTTGAGAGTTTTAACCCATCCTCCGGCACAGGAGACAACTTCTTGGGCTGCAACCGATAGCAGCCAGGAAAGTATCTCTATCGCGGAGAGCCGGATACCAGCGGCAAGATGTGTCATTCCCGCACGGATATATGGGAGCAATAATGATGCATAGCCTTCAATGTCTGTCCCTGGAAGCGCTCTTAGCAGCTTTAGCAGCTGGGACCGCACCCCGTTGCTACCATCTAAGATCAACGGAAGCAATGATGGCAACATCACACTGACAGGCTGGGGCAATGGTGAGTTGACTGGACGAGAAACAATTGCAGTCGTTAAGTTAGCCAGCGACTCTTTCCGCTGGGTATCTGACTTGGAGTTCAGAAGTGAGAGAGAATGAGAAAACTGCGACGTTGCAGAGGGTGCGATTGTGGAGAGAGACTGTTGGTTGAGAACGATAGCTGCAGTTAAAGAATAAGCAAGGTTGAAAATAGATGCAGTCATCATTTGCAGCGGGGTCCGTACATTTGGATTTGAAACTCGTGTCTGTAAAATTCGAAGCTTTGGGCTTCTCTTTGCCGACTTTCAGTTTTGGTTTCTAATGCGCCCTAGTTAGTATGAGCTGAAAGTGCGATGGGGAGTCAATGCAGCTTACCTGAAAGTCCTTTTTCTTCTCCTTCTTCCTTTTTTGGCTGGAGCCCATTGTGAATTTTGTGTTTATGTATTTCACGGCAATATTTGATCCTCTTTCGTAAAAAGTTCGCGATGCTCATCAGCAACGGAAATTTTTGATGAGTCAGCAACACCATTCGCGACCCCAGGCGGCCGGGTTTCTTTGGAGAATGAGACCCGGCAGGCACAATATGCCAACTTGATTATATTTCACGTTCTTTACGTCGGGATCCACAGGACATTAGCACTCCCCCCTGGCATCACCTTCAAACCCTCCTGAAAGCTCAAATATGACCGAAACGATACCAGTTAGTCGACCAGGGGTCGTACCCCTTCCAAAGCTGATCTCCTTTTGGCTGACACCACATTGCAGGCTTCTCAAATTCCCCAGCATGTCGCTGCCCAACTTGCTCATCTTACATCTCGCCCGAGCGTGCAATCGACATTGATACTATCACGAAAGGATGGGTCCATCATCCAAGTCACAGGCAAATTAGCTCCGCAATCAAGTCCGATTACCAGCTTAAATCCGACGCCAGGGCCAGAAGTGCTCTCGTCCACAGAAGAGACACCGACTGCGCCGTCGATAGATGGGGAAGCAACAGCAGTATCAAGTACATCCATACCCAACGCCCCGTATAAACCCAGTGAGGCAGAGACGTTAGCATCGCACATCTACGCCTTTGTTTCATCAGCGTCAGCATTAAGCGCAGTCTTATCCGGTCCATCGGCCAAGGCGAATAACAACGAGCCAGATTATGGAGCTCAAGGTTTGCAAGGAAACGGAATGGACATGGAAACCGACACAGGGAGGCGAGAAAACCAAGATAAGGAAGCTGGAAACGATCGTGAAGACGAGGACGAAGTCAAATTACTCCGGCTGAGGACGAAAATCCACGAGGTTATTATCATTCCGGACCGGAGATATCTCCTATGCGTCGTGCAGGACGTTTCCGTTAGTGGGGTTAGTGGAGGCGGAGGATCCCATCGCTGATTCCGGGGGCGCATTCCATCTCGTCATAGAGACACCTTTGCATTTCAAAGCGTTTTTTTTCGTATAGAGTCGCATCTAAAAGCGACGTGATGATACAGCCATTGTTGAATTGATACCCAATCATGAGCGAGATATATCAAGATATTAATATACTGGCTCTTCATGTTTCCCATATGTTGCCTCGTGGCCTGGTCATATTTCGAGGTCCATGACCCCGTTGAAAAGCTTCGGAGACACTACTATATGCTACATATAAGGAAGCAAGGGAGCACCAGGAACTTTTACTTCAGATAACGGTATTAACCATCTTATTCCATTATTCGACATTGAGCTAGGCCGTATCTCCACCAACGAGCACCAGCATCCTTGACGAAACGAGCGTCCAAAAGAAGAACAGTTGATACGGCATGAAGCGTTTACTTCTGTTCTTTACAAGCTATCAGCGCCGTATTTTTGGTACCACGCCATTTATCACTTACCACCACCCATTCCCATGGACTTGGACATCGACTCGGTCGCTTTGCTAGCGGTCTCCTTGGCTTGGTCCATGACTCCCTGGGCCTTCTGCTTGGCGCCCTCAGATCCGGACTTCGTGCTCTCAGACAGTCTCTCGGCGGTGTTCTTGGTGTCACCTAGAAGTTGCAGTTAGATACAACGGGAACGGATAATCGTTGAAAGCTGTGGTTTGACGGACCAGGCTGCTGGCTGCCCGGAAATTGTTCTCCTTTATCAGCCATGCTTTGTCTAATGGAAGTCCTGTGCCTTAGAGGAGCAACATTAGCATCACTTCTTGTTCTTGGAATGAGCTCTAAGTGGGACATAAGTATACCTTGAGTAAAAATGCTAATATGTAATGGAGTAAAAATTGTTTTTTCTGAACTTGATGGATGGTAACTTCCGTCCCGTCTTGTCGCACTTTATATAGTAAATCGTCCGGTGACAGGTATTGTTCTGGTTCCACTGATGTCATCTTCCACGCAGCAACCCTGCTCGTTACCCCGCAATCATCATAGATCCGGGTCAAATGTAAGATCAAGTTTGGAATATTAAGTTGCTACAGAGCCTTGCGAAAGGAAAACTATATTCTTGCTGGATTCTCATTATTCTCATAAAGTCGTACGTAGGCCGAAATGGTGGAAAGACAGATGAAGTGCAGGATAGAAAACAACAATTGGGGTAAACCTAGCCCTCTTCTGCGCCTACACCTCCACCATCCAGATAATCTTCCTTTTCTGCAGCCTCGTACTCCCCTACCAGATCCATAACCACAGCTCTGGCTTCGTCGAACTCGCCTAATCCATCCGCAAATGGCGCTTCTTTTTTGTATGCCTCTAAGAACGCATTGCGCTTTCGTAGTCTATCGTATTGACTTACGATCCTCTTGAACAAGGTTGCAACAGAAGTATGGTTTGCAAGCATCAAACCGCTAACACGATGGGTGTTGGGAAGGTATGGAGACTTTTTCGGAATCGCGACCTGGATACTGGCAGGGCCCCATGGAATGAAGGAGGCAAGACGCCGTTCACGAATACGGAGCAAAGATTTGTGCACGTCAGTTTGGTCTGCTTCACCCTGGATGATGTTGAGGATGCTGATGTAGCAACTTGATTTGCTGGGGTTTATTGAAACCATGCGGTTTTTAGGTTGAAGCAATCGACGCATAACGTCGAGAACAGTGGTCTTGCGAACCGTCTTTGCTTGTTCAACATTATCCCCGGTGAATGGCGTATAAGAGGTTATAAGGAAATGGGACCTTGGGATGGGAATGAGAGAAGCGACGACGCTGCCAAGGTCATTGTGCATATAACCTGGATAACGTAGGGTAGTCGTAGATGCCGACATTACAGTAGAGACCTGATTGTCGTCAGCAAACAAGTGACGACGGCTAAATAGCGATCCTAAAGACTCACCAATTGGTTAGTTTGTTGGAAGGAGGGTTCTTGAACATGGAGTCTGTCCGCTGCAATCCTAGACAGAGCGCCGTTATCAAGTACCACCTGGGGAGAAAGTAAGCATCTACAAATTAGCAGCAGAGGCCTCCCAACGTACCACAGAGTCCGCATTCTGCGTCAATCTCCTCATAGCTAGCAAACTATTATAAGGATTGACAACAACATCTGCGGCTTGGGTATCAGGGAAAACGGAGTAAGTGTGGATCAATTTCTTCGGAAATCTGTCATTCATTCGCTCAAGGAGAAAGCTCCCGAGACCAGAACCCGTTCCTCCCGCGATGGAGTGTAGGAGCATAAATCCCTGTTCGTCTTGTAAGCAGAGGCTTGGAACTACTTCAGGGCGTTTTATACGCACTTCTAAGGAATCACTTCCATCTGCCTCCCTATCTATCATGTCGAAAACTTCCTCATGCACGGTTTCTCCGGTAGAGTACCCCGCTGCCCAGTTGTTCCCGGCTCCAATACCTTGCTTCCCAACAAAAAAGTTCTCCGGGTTGTATATATTGCTATACGAACCGGTTTGTATGGAATTGAGGACCTGTATCACAACAAGGCCAAATTAGTCCGGTTGACCCTGATCAAGTCCCATCTTTCCAGGGTTTAAGCTGCGTACCCTAGGCTCGAGGTCGAGGAGGATTGCGCGAGGGATGTATCGAGTGTCGTCGCTCTACAGAACATGCCAGTCAATATATTGAGAACAACGAAGATCGGCTTCATGTCATTCCCATACCTGATAGAAGAAAACATCTTTGCGATCCCCTCCTTCAGTAGCGAACTCCTCTAGGTTTCCGTCCTGGTTGATTCCATGTTCAAGGCATAGTTGTTGCCAAAATTGTACGCCAACTATAACAATAAGCGGTCAGTTTAAGAAGCTCCGAAAGGTGCTTCGATAGCCCGGGTCCGAGCTGCTTCGAGGGACACAGGTCGAGGTCGAGTCAAGGACCTGCAAACATATCGGTCCAGGGTCGGAGGTAACATACTGTTATTGCCGCATTGGCCGGCCTGGATGGTGATTATCTCCCTAGAACAAAAGACATTAGCATCCCAGAAGCTATGGAGGGAACTCCGTGATCGCACCTAGGCATTGTGTTCAGCTCATCGTTGAATGCAGTCTAGTTGGACCGGGGCAGAACGCGTCGTCGCGTGGTTGGGTGGAAAGTTTGTAGTTTAAGTAAGTAGTTAATTTCCACCACTGTTCGGACTTTTCCAACACATTCAACCCTGTACCCCGTGGCACAGCTGCAATCACCACAGCGCGACTTTTCCGCGCCAGAACGGGATGTCAACCAAGCAGAATGACCATTGACTACAATTGAAGCTTGTCCTTTGGATGATTTTGTACGGAATGCACCAGTAGCAGTTTCCTTGTGATCGCCAACTGAGTCTTAGCTACGGAGTACTCCGTACTTTGGACCCATAGTGAAATGCTGAAGGTTCATTATTCCAAAGGCCAGAATCGATGGACGAAAACAGATGTCAATTACTTTCCTTCAATCGAAGTTTATGGAGTACCTAGTTTACAATGTGCTGCAACTTAGTTGGTGAAAGAAATACCGACGGCGAAATAAAGAGGCAAGCAAAGCTGGTTCGATTATACTGATACCGCTTGAAGTGTGTCGGAGCATGGATGACCTCGTTTAGAACCTGGATAAGCAGCGTAATACACGCAGATGGCGAGATAATTTCGCCCCTTAGATTTTCTGATGCATCCAGAGGCTAACAGGGAAGAAGCAATGATTTGAAGTCAAATCAAAATTACGCAATTATATACAACAAAAGAACCAGCCCGAACTCACTTGTTCAATGTCTTGCGACTATAGCAAAGCGTAAACAACCGCGATCAACGAACCGGCAACAGAGGGGTATCTTGTATCATTTTAGAGACGCGACGAGAGCCACGTCCGCAATCCACCGTCTTGCTGGGTTGTAGATTTGTCGCCGAGCATTAGGTAAATGAAAGGTGCGACGTGAGGTTCATCTTGGCCAACAATATATGTGACATTTGGAAGCACAGACTATATTTCCAGCACTATGAGTTAGCAGCGGCTTCCCCTCGGTTCAAATACTGGCTTCCAAAAGGAACAAAGAAGTAGAGATACCGGATCGAAGAATGTGAAAGGGGATGTGCGTACCTTCAACTTCTCAACAAATTCCTCGATACAAGAAAGCAGGATTTCGTCAGAGCCCGCAACGATGAGTAAATCTCTTGCCTTGATGTCCTTCCACCATTCCGCTGGGGCAAGAAGTGGCTGGTTATAATTGTCTGTCTCTTGGCCTGCAAGGTAACTTGAGCTCCATCTTTCGGCAAGCTCAGGCATGATGATGTCCTTAAGCGCATTCTCCTTAACGGAAGGGAAATCCTGGGAAAATGAAACCCACGGGGCAATCGTGAATGCACCAGCTAGCGGACATGAGATTTCCAGCGGCTTAATATCCTTATGCGGGTGTGAGATGTGGGAGAGGACCGCGAGTGTGAGATTTCCACCAGCAGAATCACCTCCGATGACAACATTTGAAGGATCGTGGCCTGCTTGAATGACGTGGCGGAGGGCTTCAACCGCTTGTTTCACCTGTGTTGGGTATACGGCATGTGGTGCGAGAGTATACGTGAGTACAAAGATAGCAATATCTTTCCCTGCAGCGTTGAGCTCCTCCATTATTCCCTTTAATACCTGAAAGTATGCGGTACCGGCTGAGATGGCAAATCCACCGCCTGGGTAAAGAAAAGGGGCATTAGCATGATGTGAAAGCAAGCAACTTAAGCTGCGAATTCGCGTGTGGCTGTTTTAACTTACCATGATAATAGACAAGGACATTTTTTGCATCCTTATTCCCAAGCCAATGGCCCAAGCCACCATAATTTAATTGCACGGTTTGGGCTTCGATCTTGTTCTGCCTCGCAAATATTTCATAAGCACCACTTGTTGAAGGATTTGTTGCTCTTTGACGTCCGTTTGTCAGTAGCCGATCAGATAACACGCGCCAAATATCCAACTCAAACGACCGACATACTGATTTTGTCTAGTGGAAAGCCGCTGCAACATCTTGCGAATAACAGCATAGTTAATGTGTTTCATATACGACTTGGCCCCTTTTTGCCCTCGGAATATACCAGTAATGGCTGCGTAGATCGCGGTTGCGACGAGAGAAATGTTTGCAGGGATCAAATCAAGCTTCTCGAGCACAGTGAGCTTCGGAGGAAAAGTGTTAGCCATGGCGACTTTTTGTAGCTAGTTAGTTAATTCCCGGTGGCCTATGTCCGCGTAAGCCAAATAAGGTGGTAATTCTTGACCAAGGAATAAGATATCTATCAAAGATGGTTTCTTTCGTCAACGGGCAAGTAAGAGAAAGCAATAGGTCAGAAGAAGGAAGAAAGAGGCCCATCTTCTGCATTAAACGACGAAAGTGCTCTTTAAGCGCTCCCCCGCAATGATAATAGCGCCATGAGCATGGATCCGCTCATTTCGGTATTTACAAAGGGATGTGACTCCGGAAATTGGTTCCAAGAGGGAGCCAAGTAGAATCTTTCCCAAAAACACCCATCATTTTTGGGGCCGAGACTCTTTCACCCAGAGGGGCCGCCTAGCTGGATAGCCGAGATACGACAACAAACAAAACTGGCTGCGATCAAAACCCAAGCCTTCCAAGGGGAGCTCGCACTGGGCGCCACCTACGCTGGATGTCACCGAGAGTGACATGCGTAGACCAAGGGAACCCTGACCGTATCCTGCCGTGTAACCAGCATTTGTTGCCCTGTACTCCGGAGCCGGGGAAATATGAAGCTACATAGTTAATTTCTCTTGGGTTCGTGCTGATCCTCGGCAAGTTGGGTGTCAGCGGCCGCGACTCAGGCAGTTCAATTTCTTGGCCCGGACTTTTGTAGCGCCGCCCGCACCGTCCGTGGACGGGTGCCCAGACCTGCAGGCGCCGCGCTCAAGGCCATGGCTAGAAGAGCGACATGTAACAATTTTGGACATCGAGAGCCGTTACTTTGTTTTGGGATAGGTCATATTAAGTATTGTATATCGCCGTGTCTGGCAATCTAAGTAGAGCTGCGTACATTCTTTTTCATCGTTCTGTGCAAGATTCGTTATTATAAGGATAGATGTATCGTTAAAGAAAAAAAATCATCATCACGTCATAGCCAGCATCGGAGCGCATCGGAGACCATAGTCAAACCCTTGGTCTCAAGCGCCTCCGTCTTCATCAGATCCTACGGACCGATCTCACAAAACGCCTTGAAGGTAATCATTGGAACGTCTTTCCCTTCCTCCCCGGTATTCTCAATCACGCATTCTGCTGTGGCCCCGACGAAGAAAACATAGCCCGGCTTTACATCGACACACTTGGCATCTCCAATCCGGATGCGCCCAGTGCCACTGGTGCAGATGATGACGCTTGGTCCGCTAATAGGCTCGAAGGTCACTTTAGCACCAGCGGCGTTCAGGTCGGTTTTGATCACGCTGAACTCCTCGATCGGTGGATCATAGAGCATCGCCGACGATCCGCTCGTGTATGAAACCGTATTAAGTGTCGCGTATGGATATTCTGTAGGATGCATTTTCTGTTCCTCAATCGGCGCGTATGAGTAGGTAAGCATGCTGGTCAGCGTCGACACATCCTTGAACTTTGGAGTAAAACCGGCACGGACGACATTGTCGGAAGAAGCCATGCATTCAATGATGTCTCCACTGATATAGGCATGAATGTCGTCGGCCTTGAGGAACATAGCCTCTCCGGGGCCAAGCTTGATGAAATTGAGGAAAAAGAGAACGAAAAGCCCAATGTCGTCTGGAAATTGGCCATTGAGCCTGACAACAAGCGCTGCCATTTCGGCCGGGTCACTGGGATTCGTAGACGGCGAGGCTTCGGATACGGCAAACGTGTCGGGTGATCCTTGAGCGCTATCAACAAGCTTCTTTGTTGCGTCTTTGATAGCGTCCGGGGACGATTGCATCAAGGTTGTAAAGAGAGCCCGTAAAGCTGCCTTGTTCTTGTCGTTCACGTCGGTGTCATCACCCTCTACGGCTGCTTCAAAATCCTGCGCTGCCTTCTCGCCGACCAGTTCGCGGAATGGTTTGACCGTTCGAAGGAAATGAACAATTTCAGCCAAGGGACGGAAACCACACAGTCCTTCAAATGGAGTAATAGCGATGGTCATTTCAGGTTTATGGTTGTCATCTAACAAAATCCAAGTTTAGGTGCTCGTTCACACAGTCTCCAGGAGGACTCGGGGGGGGTTAAAGACTGACCAGGATAATTCTTGGGGTCGCGCTTATGCAACACTTCAGCGAGCTCCTTGTTGGGGTGCGCTTGAATACTGAGAGCTTTTCGGATAGACAGAACTTTGAATAGGAAAGGAAGCTTTCCGCTGTATTTCTCGTATATCTCTGGGCCTAACAAAGCTTGATTTGACTGGACAAGATCCAGGAGCGTCCGGTCGGTTTCTAAGTCTTTGGAGGGGAGAGAAGGATGAGTCCCCATCCACAGCTGGTTCAAGGAAATATCAATCAGCACACTACATAAATCCCGGTAAAACTAGAGAGCAAGTAAAGCAGACCTCAGCGTAGGGTTTATCATTTTGGACGGAGAAGTCAGCAGCAGCAGAGGCGGCAGCAAACTGTGCAGCAGCGGATTCATTTCCAAGTTTCCCTAGACAGAGAGGGATTGAGCAATTGGTAATCGTCAGAAAATTTCTGGGTTCTCTATACGTACCCCAGTCGTAGCTGTTCACTCCTAAAAGCGTGCAAAATAGTGTGTAAGCTGACGGCAGTTCTCAAGCAACTCATAGCAAACAGCTGGACAAACTCACCGCACTGCAACCTAAAGAGTGGCACCTGCATTCTGAGTGTTATTTACAACCAAAGATGAATGGAAAGCAGAATTAACTAGTTATATAGAGGGTTGTAACCACCACTTTGCTCTCCTGATTCTGCAACTCTTTAGTTTTGATCAAGGGGGCGAGCTTCAAAGCATCTCGGTGATACCCAGGTCAACCCCGCGCTAACACTTTGTTCACCCCCAACACACCGTAACCAAACTTGATCAAACCCCTGATTCACGTGCAGCCCTAAGCCCGCACCGGCAGATGGCCAATCAGAGAAGCGGAGATGTGGCGCCGCCAGCACTCGGCGACAGAAGCACTGGGTCGGCCCGTGCACCGAGCAGTGCTGTCTCCCCAGCCACCGGATCCACGGTCCGCCGGGTGCCCGAGCTTGGGGTGGGTGGTCTCGGTTCCGGAGCGACATCGTCATCGACCTCGACGTCAAAGCTTCCCCGCAGGCAGAAGCAAGACAAAAGGGCTCAAGAGACACACCGGAGTAGCGATGTTCGTGTCACTCCAGAGGCTGCTTCTCGCTTAAAGGAACCACCGGAGGAGCCTGCAGGACTTCACACCCCTCTTGCGCTGAGCACTCGCAGCAAGAAGCCTGCCATCGTCTATGACAAAGGGCATAGATGGGAAGCATATGAGATAGAAATGTCGCGAAACCGACCACGAGGCGCCGCCAGGGACAATGGCCAGGCCGCCAACGAGGAGATCGATATGTGGAACAAGATCGTCGCCGACCTGACCAAGGCGAAGGAGAAAAATGATCGGCAAAAGGTGCTCAGCCAGAATATTGGGGCCTTGAACGAAAAGATTGGGAAGAACGGTAGTAGTAAGTCGCTGTTCAGAGTATTGCTGAGTCTTCGCCTCGTCTCCCGTATCTCGCTACATCCGTCTTCCTTTTTTTTCCTCCCTTGTGCTCCCCGGGGGCGGTTCCTCATTGCTCGTGTATTCGACCCCTCTTTACTGAGAAGCAAAGGATGTCGCTCTGCTGCTTTAATCATTATTCTACTCTAATTTTACTCGGCGACTAACTCTTGGTGGGAAGAGCCGAGCATGGATGAAATTGACCAACTCGACAAGTGGCACCGCGAGATGATGAAGCTGGCCGAAGAAGAGAAAGACATACTCACAAACGAGCCAGCAGATGTTATCAAGAATGTGGAAATCCTCATGGCCTTGCGCTCAGCGTCGGAAGCCGATCCCCACAGTCGTGCAGCCTCTGGGAAACCCCGGAAGAGGAAAACCGACCTTGACAACGGTATTCCGGATTCCCCAGGGCCCAGTACGGGTCCCGTTTCCGAAAAGCTAAACCGCCTCAAGAGCAGTGCCCAGCGAAGTGCAAGCGTGTCGAGCGCCCAAACCCGCGAATCTGCTAAAGGTGATGAAGTCACCGAAGGCATCAAGGGCACCAAGGGCACCGCCGCTGAGAAAGGAGGGCAACTGTTCGTTGGCGCTGAGGTGGTCTTCAAGCATAACAAGAAACAGCAAGGCGTTGAAGGTGAAGGCATCCAGTGCATCATCAAAAACATTACCGGGGACGGGCACAAGAAGCGGTAAGAAGCCGATCTACAGCATCGACTTACGAAAGGGAAAAAAAGAAAAAAAATTATTCTAACCCTTTGCTTAGGTATGACGTCCAGGATCCGGAGCCGATTGAAAATGGAGAGGAGGGCGCAGTTTACCGGACAACTGCTGCTTCTCTCATTCCGATTCCACAGATTGGAACATCTCTTCCCGTATTTCCGCCTGGCAAGCAGGTCCTCGCACGATATCCAGATACAACCACTTTCTATCGAGCTGAGGTCATGGGCTCCAAAAAGGACGTCTATCGACTGAAATTTGAAGGCGAGGAAGATGATAAAGAAATGGACGTCGACCGCCGTTTTGTCCTCGACATTCCCGGGAAATAAGGCTGTCCACATGGTATTGTTAGCCTCTATTATTATTATATGTATTTTTGACATTTGACCTGATGCGTTGGCGTTTAATATGTTTGGGATGGTGGGAAATCAAGTTGATTTTTGGTGTTGGTGGCTCGGTGAACGATAATTGCTGGTAAAAATCTTTTGGATAAGCATTGTCGGTATCCTTTGTTAACACCCAGGTGTTTTTGGACCATACCTAACTAATTAAGAATGTTAAAGTGATAGACGGCGAGGTGCTGACAACCTATCTATTATCAATGTAAAATCATCATACTCTATCAGGAGAGGGGGTGAAATCCCTCAGCAACCGAAGGCTACCATAAACATTGCCATGCTCACCAAGGGTCGTGTTATCAGCTATAGGGATTGACGAGCATCGCGAGCAATCACTTAGACTGGCACAAACTACATGAAACCCAACGTTAAGTGGTTTTTGACTACATTGACGGTGAGTGGTGGTGGTGGTGATTCGGACACTGGCAGATTCAATATCGGCCGGTTGTTGACTACCTACTCAGCTCGTTTTTAAGAACATGTCACACTCCAAAGCCCCATATCAGTCAAAATGCACCCGATTGAGCACTTTCTGCAAGTTTAGGTTGTTATCTCCACAAACAGGGACTATTTATTTAATTATGTTGTACGGAGTACTCCGTACACTCTACCAATTCAAATGGGAGACCATCACAGCTACCCCCACTTCCACCTTCAATTTCTTGTACATTTACATTTAGCAATATGGTCCAGTGTCTGGTGTCATGTCAAGTTTGCATTTCTCCCTGTTGAGATCAGACAAGCTATTCTCTTGGCTTGCGTCCGTTACTATCTCATCGACAAGATCTCATCCCGCATGGGCTGTGATTTTGCTCTCTCCGTGGATCTCGCTGATATCTATGGGTTTTTGATGAGATCGGGTAATTCCGCTTTCCCCCTCCTTTCCGCAGCCTGTTTTGAAGATGGTCACACAGCCCCACACCGTAGGGCTGACCAATGGTAACGTGATTATTATTTCGATAAAAGTCCATATAAATACCCCCCACTCGCCGATCGGACCTTCTTTGTTCCGCGCTCAGGATGGATGGATGATTCCAAGGCACCTGCTCAACCTGGCTGGAAATGACGGGAGGAGCACTCCGCGGCGCAGGGTGGCTCAGTATCCTGACTGCAACCAATGTATGCTATCCTACCAGGCAATCAATAAATTCGCAATCTGGGGACATGTCTGCATATGTCGGCATGCTTGCCCCGGTGGAGTTGATGTAGAGAAGGTTGTGAAAATTTGGAAAATATAGATCTTCTTGCGCTGAAATTAATCTCTAGGCTTTAGTTACGCAAAACAATGTGTGAAGCTTGTTTCGTTTCTTCAGGATCAGTTCGGTTCGGAGAAGATGGAACATAAGCCTTTCTCCCTAGGAAAGAATCAATGTAAAAACACGAGTATTTTCGAACGCTGGAGGTCGTGTTATGTCAATTTCAGTTGCCAACAACACTCGCTATAGCTCTCCCCAGTCGTCTACACGTGTCGAAGCGGTCAGGTCGAGCTTGTTTCCCCAGTACTCCACTCCATCAACAGCATATTGATCCGGTAGGTATCCGGATATGTCAAAGAATTTTTGGAGACATTGCTTTTTCAGAACTTTGCCCGAGGCCGTCAGGGGGACTTGCTCGTGATCCCTGAGAACTCGTAAAAGTGCAGGTAGCTTGTACGCAGCAATATTGGCGGCGGCGAGGTCTTGGCGTAGTTTTTGGAGGGTGATATCGCCATGTTCTTCTGTGACGGCGTTCCGCTTGCGAATTCGAACGAGCGCGGACACCAACCCGCCAGCCTCGTGATCTGGAACCGGAATGACGTGAGCCTCAGAGATGTATCCAAGGTCCGTCAGGATTTGTTCAATCTCCAGGACAGATATCCTGTACTCATGGAACCGAACCCCTTTACAGTCGTTGTTAGCTTTGCCCTAAATGAAAGTCTATCATTCAGGTCATATAGAAGGCACATACAATCATATGAAACTCTGCCATCAAAAAAATAGTTATCTCCAACGCGGTGGGCATGATCACCAGTTTTATAGAAGCCTTCATCGTCGAATGCAGCATGTGTAGCGGCTGGGTCATCGACGTAGCTACTTTGAGTGTAAGTGAAAAGCCCTGCAACGGTGTAGCAACATCAACACCCGTACCGGATGAACATGCTGGGTTTCTTAACTAGGATTTCTCCGTGGTCACCCTCAGAAAGCTTTACTGTCACCCCGGGAATAGGCGTCCCAATGCATCCCTTGACGGCAGTCAGCGGTCAATAGAAGACAAAGGATCAAAAGAATTCGGGACGTACATCCAGTAAGGCCGACTCAGCAGAAGTTACCATTAAGCCTCCACCCATCTCCGATATCCCGTACGCATTTCTGATAGGCATGTTCATCAAATCCACAAAGAACTGGCGAGTCGCCGGATTAAGGGCTGAGCCGCTCGAGTATACGACTCGGAGACTCTGAGCGCCACTAATGTATGCGTCGCGATCTTCAGTCGGCAGATCACGGATATGCTCGTTATAGTATTCCATCAATGTCCTTAGGAGTGTTGGACATGCGCCCATTTCCGTGACCTTACCTTTCCGTAAAATTTCCCAGTATCTCCTAGGCTCAGGTCCACCATTAACGATATGTATTCTTTCCCCATTAATAGCGCTGAATATAAGCCCAGTTGCGCCTCCTATCCATTGTGGCTGGCTAGATGAGAGATAGAGGCCGGTTATGGGCGGTATGTCTTCTATCTCGTAGAACAGCTGACGCGGAAGAAGAATCCCTTTCGGAAGCGCAGTTGTGCCAGAGGTAAATAGGATAAGAGATCCAGCGTTAGATGGGAAGCACAATTCCTCATCAATTTCCAATTCTAGGCGTAGGTTTGGCCGCAACCCCGCCCGTGTTATGGGAATTATATGCACCTTCTGACCATTCTGGTTTCGGGCATAAGCTCCGATGGCTTCGGCCGTTTCAAGGGTATCTGCATCTGCGAGGACGCAGGCTGCCTTGCTCTTTTTCAAAAAGTATAACGCTTCTTCTGGGGTGACAGTTTTTCCTATCATCGGCTCGCATCAATGACTTGTTTATTAGCATGAACATCTTTTCGTAACCCACCCAATGGTACACATACACCTCCTAATGCCGCGATGGCCAGGAAGCTCACGATAAAATAATATCCAGCAGATACAACGAGCGCTATCGAGGCGGCCTCTTGTCGCAGACACCCTTTCTCGTCGAATGAAGAACTTGGCAGTCGATTTTGCAGTATTTTTCGCATGTGCATGACGTCTCCTACCAAGTGATCATAGCCGGCATCTATCCCAGACTCGTCATGGATGATCACACCGGCATTTTCTATGCACCGTCGGCGAAGTCGAGTGAACATGGGATCGTTGGGGAACCCTTGGGTTGAGAACATAGCACCACACCCCGAGACGGACGGTATATCCGGTGACGGGGGCCACTTACGGCGGAAATAAGATGCCAATGTCGATATAAGAAAGGAAAACATATTTAACAAAACACTTTTCATTGAGTGTTCTTCGAAAGGTCACCCGTGAAAAAAAGCGTCTCATACACTCATGTGACAGTTCCAACAAAATCAAGGACATTAAGCGCAAAGTAAAAGGTTCCAAAGGCCTCTTTAAGGATTGCATGATGGCATACCTTGGACAAGGAAAACGAAAGGGGCTTGTGCAGAGGCCACTGCTCAGTCAGCCTTCGAAGAACTGTCACTGGCGTCAGGAAACCTTCGTCGATGAATGCAGGGGATACCTTGGTCCGATTTGAGACTGGAAGGATCTTCTTGAAGGATCAACGTGAGCACCAGAGAGGTAAACAGTTAGCTGAAAATAAGTATCAACATGAGATTAGCGCCTCGTAAAGAGCGCCCTATGAGGGCACGAATAGTGTCTGTGAGCGGCATCACGTAGCTGTCTGCGGCCCAGAGTCTTCTCCTGGCTTGGAGATCTTCGAAATCCACTCCATTTAATGGGTTGACCTTCTATGACATCTCTCTACGACGAAACGAAGGTTCAAGGCTACTGAGAGAGAGCGCGCTACGGCTTCGGTTGCTGCTGATCGGTTGAACCTTAAGCTCTTGTTCGCTGCGTGCACCAACAGCCACTGAACCTTCCTCAACCCTTACCCAATTGGCAGCGGTGAAGAGCCTTCAGCGAAGGTAGAGGGCAAGGAGTAGGATATATGAATCTCTACGGAGTACTCCGTAGAGAAGTTCTCCTTTAAAGGAGTACCAACCCTGAAATGGAGCGAAGAGCTTGTTTTTCCGGCTTTGTTCCCGCAGAGTCGCCTGGTGTGGAGTGGCGCGGAGACCGCAGCCGGGGGGGGCAATATGTATTTCCGTTCCGCTGCAGAAGAAATCTCCGCAAGCATTACTCAGCTTCCGGCCGAGGCTCGCAGCTCCCCGACTCTCTCCAAGCGGGTTTGCTATTTTGGCAGAAATATCAATATACCAACCCTCTTTTTTTAGGTCGTTTAGTTCATGCAAGTTGCTACCTAATCCCTTTTGTTTTTCCTTGCTGCGAGTTAGTTGTCTAAAGTGGCCGAGATGCCCGACTTCCCTTCCCACTCCTCTTCATACCTCGCCCCGCAGCCAATCCATCCAAAGCGACAATTCACAGAATTCGCCCTACCAACCGACTCTCCCGCGTCCGCCCCGACCTCTGGCCCCAGAGATGCACCTCGCAGCGTCAAAGACGATGAAATAAGTAGAAGTAGTAGCCATAATGCCGCAGACGAAAGCGACGCCTCCACCGCACCTCTACCCGCCTCCATCATCTCTCCCGCCCAGACTCCCCCCTTGACCCCCGGCAGCTTGCTTCCTTCTCTCCTATCTCCGCAACCCGGAACGAAAGACCGTCCCCCATTCACAAAACCTCCGAAGCTTCTGCCCAGACTACCTAATGTCGAATGCATCGTTCGTGCTCGCATACCCACCACCAGTGGCTCGGAGATGTTTTTGCACCTCTATCAGAACGACGTCGATAATAAAGAGCATCTAGCAATCGTGTTTGGTAATACGATTCGGAGTAGGAGCCTTGATCGGGTTAGGGAAGGGGAAACAGAGATGGACAGGATGATTCGCGGGGCATATGTGGGGAGATTACGGCCAGGAAGAATTAGCAGTCGGTACGACGACGACGATTCGGCCGAAAAGCCTTCGTCTGCATCCCCAAAGATAAAGGATCCAGGAGAGGAAAACGAATCGTTACCGGAAGAGAGTGCAAGCGGGGAAGTCAAGGCCCCGTTGGTCAGGATACATTCTGAGTGTTACACCGGCGAAACGGCCTGGTCGGCTCGCTGCGATTGCGGCGAACAGCTGGACGAAGCCGCAAGATTGATGTCGGCTGACCCCACGGGAGGCGTGATTATATATTTGCGACAAGAAGGTCGCGGGATCGGGCTGGGAGAGAAGCTCAAAGCTTACAACCTGCAAGATCTTGGTTCGGATACCGTGGAGGCTAATTTACTTCTTCGACATCCGGCGGATGCGCGTAGCTATGGTCTGGCGACTGCAATGCTTGTCGACCTTGGATTAGGCATTGATTCTGAGAACGTTGGTATTCGATTGCTTACCAACAACCCCGACAAGATTCGGGCGGTCGAGGGCCCGAATCGCGAGGTTATTGTGAAAGAAAGAGTGCCAATGGTGCCATTAGCCTGGAGCACTAATGGAGAGAAAGGGATTCGGAGTACGGAAGTAGAGGGATACCTGAGGACGAAGGTAGGGTGCCCTTACAAAGTGTCCTTGAGTGTGGTGCTAACAGCTACCTTTTCCTTAGATTGGGAAGATGGGCCATTTATTGAGCTAATATTCTTCTCCTTCTCCTTTTCCTTTTTTGAGATGATTAACCGTGTGCGATTAAGACCTTGTTTTCATTTGACATGACACTTTGATTGTTCATGTTATGCGGATAGAGCATTTCTTATTATTCGATGAGAATTAGCTACTTTGGTGATTTAATTTCAGATATTTCTTACTTCACCCTACATACCTCTTTCTCGCGTCTTGGGTGTTGAAGTATTATTTTTCATCATGACACGATATTCCTCCCATGTTTCTGGCTTTCCCTCCCCTGTACACTTACATATCTTGCTTAAGAGAACTTCACGCCTTCCGTCCACGAGCAAAAAACAACTGTTTTTTCCCACCCATTCGTGGGGGCATTTCAGATTCCTCTTTGTGCCAGACATAGTCCACATCCTTGCATCCTGCTTCGTTTAACAATTTCTCCATGTGGGCCTTATCAAATCCGTGGTGCGCGATGGTATGTGCCGCCGGTGCATCATCCAAGACCCACGTCTCGCCCTTTTTTGCGACGTCAAAATCGATAATAACTAGCGTTCCGCCGGGCCGGAGTCGCTCCATAAGCCTATTGATTGTCCGCTGCGGGTCTTCGATGTGGTGCAGAGCTAGAGAGCTGATAGCTAGATCAAAGTCAAATAGCTCCTTGTTTTCAATCAGAGATGGAGAGATCTCGGCCCCCGTGAGATCACCGAGGACTGCGTGCATCTGGGATTCGGGGATGCCCGCCTCGCGCGCACGACGGTTATATTTGTCCACCATGCCTTCTGCAAGGTCGAGGCCGATGACTTTGGTAAAATGGGGACGGAGAGCCTGGCTCAGAAAATGCCGTTAGCCGCAAAAGTGCCTTTTGTCTGCAACATGCCATCGGACGGTTTAAATGAAAAACAAATATCAATTGGTCATACATGTGAAAGGAAGCCATCTCCACAGGCAAAGTCAAGCATTTTCCTCTCCCCGTCGTTCTTGGCATCGATGCCCATCCAGGACAAGTTCTCCTTTAGATGGCTTTCAATCTGAGCCGCAAGGGCCCGAACCCAGTCGTGGTCGAAGGCTTTCTCTGCATTTTCGCTGCTCAATTTGATCAGCAAAGTCCAGGTCTTCATGTTTGGGCTGTAATCTCTATCCGGGATGTTCAAGGGCAGACTTTACGAAGTCTCTGGTTGTGACGGTCATACCTCCAATATTCCTTATTCTTGGAAGCATAGTCTCCTGTATTTCCGTGGTGATGATGGTGGTGGTGATGGGCCATGATTATCGTCCTGGAATGTCAAGCGTGGACGGAGGAAAGTTGTTGCTTTTTTATACTAAGGGGATAGATGTAAATTCAGAACGATGCTTGGAAAAGTCGTTTTTTATGCTAAAGAACCAGTCTGATTCAACGGGAAGTCAAGCCATATTTATAGCTTGCGCTTCAGGTATTATTTGTCAAGTAATGGCCACTTCGTTCAGAAGGGATTTCGAGATATCTCCTGCTCCGGCGGCAATCGCGGACACTTTGCGGAGACATATTTACTAGTTAATGGCCTTTGGACCTGGATTACACACCATCCATCGCATGCGGACCTTGTTAAGCGTCATGGCGGATCGTCCCGCTCCACCCTTGGAAGGGAACGTGCTTGACGATGAAGTGGATTATTTCTCCTTCGATGTGTACAGGGATTTCGGGGGTATGGAAGTGCTTTGGCCAATGGGGATGTCCGGGGTGGCGGACTCCGCTCGGAGCGGGGCAGCAACAATGTAATTATCATGTCATGGGTGCTACTCGCCCGCATAGACTGATGAGGCTGTTGCCTAGGCTTCTGGGAACGATTATGACTGCTTGGTGCAGCTGGGGTCAACAATAGAAGCACTATTTCGGTATTTTGGCCATTCACGGGCCCCATATGGAGTGCGAGAAGCGGAAACATTTCGGAGAGTTTACGGGAACATTATCAAAGTGCTTCATACACTTGTCCAATAGTCCAGGCTATTGGAGGAGGACTGAACAAGATGCAGTTGATGCTGTGTGTTGGTTCGTACTAAGAGCTGGGAGTGACAGAGATATCCACCAATTTTCCTTGGGTTTCTCAGGGGTTTGAATATATTCTCCTTCAGGCTCATGGATGATGCCAGGAATCTAAATATATATATATGGTCGGATCACATAGATACCCCCGCCTGATCTGCTGGTCTAGTCAAGATGGAGGGGTTCTAAGTATCTAAACTTAGGACCAAACCCGCTGACAATAACTCGAAGGCTCTTACGTTCATATCAATCAAACCACTCCGTGTCTCGGAGGACGGGCGCCGAAGCGCAACATTTCAACCATGCCACCCAACAGCGCAGCGCTCCAGACTGATCTTCAACCTTCAAGTTCGCAGTGCAGAGATCTCGGACAACCCAAGAAGTTCTCAACCATGGTTTGGATGGGCAGAGAGAGCATCGAGGGCAGCAGGGTCCTGTGCACGGTAACTGGTCGCGGTAGGCCACACAGCAAGCCAGGCGGAAAACGCCAAAACCGGCGGAAGAGCTGGCTGGTGCCAAGCCACGTCACGCCGCAAGCGCCACACTGCGAGAACAGCGCTTTTCCTCTCTGGGACCGCGGCTCTCCGGATTCGGCGATGCTCTAACCGTAACGGGACTAGCGTTCTGGTCGAGCCTCGCCTTGGCACCAACCGACGCTCGAATCGGCCAGGCCTTTTCGCTGCTGTGGCGTCTGGGAGAGTCGAATCATGCACGACGGCCAATCACTGCGGCCAGAACTCTCCCACACCTCGAATCAACCGCCTCAGTCGCCCTACCATGAAGTTTCAGCGGGAGCTTTTCCAAAGGTCATCTGGGGTGCTGCTCAGTCCACCGGTCCGATAGCAATGTCTCGTCGACGATGAATAAATGAGCCACATCAAGGTCCTGTTTTCCCCTATCCGGACCTTCATCGGAGCTCCCCGCCCCCCCTCCGGCACCGTATTGACCCCACGACTTTGGCGTTGACGTTTGTTCAATTGGCTTTTTTTTTTTTCCTATTTATCTTTTTATTTATTTTTTTTAATTTATCTCTCACACGGCTGTTAGATGGCAGCTTGATTAGGTGTTGCAAGTTTCCAGTGCCCGGAACTGATATTCGGAAGCCGGTCACTTGCCACCTTTGGCTGGCAAGGGCTGATCAGGCCTGCCCGTCTACTCCCCAGATCACAATGGACCATGCGTTGCACACCTCCCCCCATGCCGCTCAACCGGAACCAGCTTCGACGGTTACTCAGCAAGCCCCCCTTCGCAATCCTGCCTCCAACCTCCAACCTAAGATCGATCCCCCGACGAAAGATGAACCGCCGTTGCGCTTGGTTGCCGGGAAGAAGAGGGCGGCCACGGCTACATCCAGAGGTGTCGCCAATCTTACCCCTGAGCAGTTGGCCAAGAAGCGCGCCAACGACAGAGAGGCCCAGAGAGCCATTCGGAAACGGACAAAGGCACAGATAGATGCGCTTCAGCAGCGGGTTCAAGAATTGACCTCCCAGCAGCCCTATCAGGACCTGCAGGAGGCACAGCGCCAGAAGGAAATTATACAGGCGGAAAATGAGGAAATTCGCAGGCGTTTGGGGTCTGTCATGGCTATACTCCACCCTATCCTGAGCCCCACGAATTTAGCCACCAACAATGGCCTGCCCGTTGATACAAGCGGAACTTCAAATGAGTCGAGCCGGCCCTCGGATCGCCTGGGGGTGTGGGCATCGCAGCTAGATTCGGTCGTGCATTCCCCTGCCCCTCAGTCGGACACCTCGTCACAACGGCGAGCCTCGGTTTCACACACACAAGAGCATTGCCTCAGAACTCCTGCGAGTCTCGAGTCGTTACCTAGTGGTACAACCTATACCGGGTCGCCACGCAGGGGCCAGAGCCCATCTCCCTCACTCCCGGGACCAATGCAGGGACTCAGGCCGAACTGGCCACCGACCACTGCAGCTGCAGCTGCAGCTACAAATTTCACTGAACAGGCACTACCAAAATGCAACGCATTTGATTTTCAAAAGCGTAATCTTGTTCATGGGCTCGAATTTTCCGGCTCAGGTGAGAGGTTGGGCTTGAACTTTCTCATTGATTCTTCTCGACAGGGCTCAAAGGTCCACGAATTGCGCCCCAGCGCTCCATCCCCATCCCATGAGGGGCAGCTGCGCTATCAGCATCAGGTGCAGGTAACCTCAACGAATATTTTCGATACTACTATGCCACCGTTTGTCATCCCTATCCGAAATGCAGAGCCAACGTGTCCGCTCGATTGTATACTTCTCAATTTCCTTCGCAGCCGTCAAAGAGAAGCCGCTGAAGGTGTATCCAAAGGTCACCTTGTGGGACCCCCTTATCCAAGTGTCTCGTCACTATTGAATCCAGAGAAAAGCGACAATTCCCACCCGCTTTCCAAGGTCTTCACCGATATAATTAGCAAGTTCCCTGACATAAGGGACCTCCCGGAGAAAGTTGCCGTGGTCTATGTTATGTTCCTACTTATGCGCTGGCAAATTTATCCGACGCGAGAAAACTATGACCGTCTTCCGGAATGGATTACTCCGCGAGTCTCCCAGCTTGTCACCCCTCATCCACCTTGGATGGATTATCTGCCATGGCCACGCATGCGAGATCGCATGATTGCATGCCATACGGACTACGATTTTAGTAACTGGTTCATCCCTTATACGACAACTTTGAGTATAAACTGGCCTTACTCTGATTCCGACGCACTAATAGCGATCCCAAACTCGGAAGAATATGTGATCAATCCGGTCTTTGAAAGTCACCTGCGGAATCTGAACAACTGGTCCCTTGGGCCAGCATTTGCAAAACATTACCCTGATCTAGTTGATACATGTCGGATAAAAACTGATCCTTGGGACACCTCCACAAACGGAGTTTGACTTTCTTACTTTAATTGTCTTTCTTTAGTATCCTTTTCTTTTGTTTCTCTGGCATATATTAGCGCACACATGGGCGTCGTCCCCAAATCTTCAGCTTGGTTTCCAGGGTTCACGGCTTTTTGGCGTTTTTGTTCTCTGCGGGAAAGGCCAGAGGACACATGGTTTCTTGTCTTTGATTTGATCTTTGGTTTCAAAAAGATTTTTCTACCTCTTAGCATAAGTGCCCAGTTTCTAGATATAGCCAAGTCATTGCGGTTCTTGTTGTCAACACTGCTCAGGATTAGGGGAATCCTTATTTGATTTTTGATCACAAGGATAAACATGCCAGGGTAAAGATTGAATGATAGGATAGTCGCTTCCCAACATGCTGGGTTGCAGACTTTGTCTTCGTGAAGATGTTGGTTCGCTGTCGAAAGTTGCGTTTGCACTGAGCTCGGAAGCTCTGGGAACGGGCAAACCGTCACTCCCTCACTAAGCCCCATTGGGCGACGCATCATCACCTCCAACTCCGCCGTCGACTTGTATACACTTGCGCCAGCTACACAACACCGACGTAAATTCCGCTTTCTATAATCCTCTCCTTTCTTAATTCCAATTATCATTTCAACCTAAATATCCGATATACCCTAAATATCCCCGAAGATGGCGGCCGAGCCTCCGATTGGTGTGTGTGCCAGCTCATCTCCTTTGTCCCCAGTTCACTGCTGACTAGACGGCCCACCTGGCTCACAGTTCTCGATGGAGGAACCGGTTTCTTAAAAGTCGGATATGCAGGACAGGCACGTCCCCAGCGCATCGATGCAAGCCACCATGCAAGCTAACTCGAGCTGTTTCCGCAATTGCAGAACTTCCCAGAACATCAGTTCCCCTCGATAGTGGGGCGTCCGATTCTCCGGTCCGAGGAGCAGGCAGGGGACATCGTTGTCAAGGATATCATGTGTGGCGATGAGGCTGCTGCGGCGAGATCGATGTTGCAGATTAGCTATCCTGTATGCTGAATCGGCTCCAGTTGTTTTTATCGGGGCGCCTTCCCCGGGGGTGATCGTGCGTGATGTATGATGGGAATTCCGGTGCTGACCCTCTTGGCTGATGCTAGATGGAAAATGGAATCGTGAGGAATTGGGATGACATGCAACATCTGTGGAATTATACGTTTTACGATAAGATGAAGATTGATCCCACCGGTCGCAAGATCCTCCTCACTGAACCACCAATGAATCCGCTGAAGAACCGGGAACAGATGTGCGAGGTAATGTTTGAAGGATATAACTTTGGCGGAGTTTACGTTGCTATTCAGGCTGTTTTGGCCCTCTACGCGCAAGGTACTTTCATCAGTGACTCCTGCATAAGACGAGTGTTCTGTAGCTTCCATACTGACTCTCGCTAGGTCTAAGCAGTGGTGTCGTAGTCGACTCCGGCGACGGCGTAACACACATCGTGCCCGTCTACGAATCCACGGTACTAAACCACCTAACCCGCCGTCTTGACGTCGCCGGGCGAGACGTCACCCGCAATCTCATCGCGCTCCTCCTCCGCCGAGGCTACGCCCTGAACCGAACAGCCGATTTCGAAACAGTCCGGCAAATCAAGGAGAAGCTTTGCTATGTTTCTTACGATCTAGAGCTCGACCAGCAACTGTCCGAAGATACCACCGTGCTCGTAGAATCATATACCCTCCCCGACGGACGAGTAATTCGGGTGGGAAGCGAACGATTCGAGGCCCCAGAATGCTTATTCCAGCCACACTTGGTCGATGTAGAGCAACCGGGAATCGCCGAATTTCTCTTCAACACTATTCAAGCCGCGGATGTCGATGTGCGCAGCAGTTTGTACAAAGCTATCGTTCTCAGTGGTGGAAGCAGCATGTACCCCGGATTACCGTCCCGGTTGGAGAAGGAATTGAAACAGCTATGGTTGACCAGGGTACTAGGTGGAAACCCTGAGAGATTGAACGTAAGAAACCAACTCTCTTTTATGCTACAAGGGATGCTAACGATGACCTATAGAAATTCAAAGTCCGCATCGAAGATCCTCCCCGCAGGCGACATATGGTCTTCCTTGGTGGAGCTGTGTTGGCTAATCTTGTAAGCGGACATTCTCGAGCAAACGTGAAATTCATTTACTAACAAGATCCATCACTGCTGCAGCTCGCAGACAAAGACAATATGTGGATATCCAAGCAGGAATGGCAAGAACAGGGCCCTCGAATCCTGTCGAAACTTGGTCCTAGATAATGTCTCGATTAGCATACCATACATGAGCCTGAGCTTACCGAGTTTGACAATATATGATATCATTTGAAGGTCGTTGCACCGCATAGGTGTGTTTCGTGATATTCGTTAGAGACTCCGTTTAGCCCAACTGTCCATAACGCGGACCATAGAATTGTCACCACATACATAAGTCCTCCGTATAAAAAGGCAGAAATACATTCCCTCAATCCCCAGTCTAAATCCCACCAGTGACTCTTGCCCAAAGAAAATAGGAAAATAAATAAATAAAGAAATAAAGAACTTAAATCATCGGAGTTAAAGGGAAGAAGAAAATAAGTTTATCTTTATCAAGAAGAAACCACCAGATGCAATACCGTCCCAGAGCCGACGGAAAGTAGCTGAAAATGCAAAATAGCAGGAGAGACATGCACCTTTTTCCACATAAACTCGCGTATCTTTGCAAAACGAAAAGCCCCCATGAAGAATGAAACCATGGGGCCTTAGTCGTCGGTCTCTGCATCCGACCCCTCCTCCTCTAATCTTCGTCGCCTCTCTTCGTCCATCTCCCGATAGGTACTCCAACTCAATAGCAAGAATGCAATGATGATAAGGATTCCACCTGTTATCGACGCACCACTGAGTTCTTTGTTGTTCCACTTCCAATCGACAAGAGCGACGAGGAAGATGGTCAGGAGGGCGGCGACGGAGGAGAGGACGGGCGATGTAAGTGAGATAAGGACAAGGAAGGAACCCGAAAACGCTAAAAATAGTAAAATAAGGGTCAGCGTCTCGGTACAGAATAATTATTGAAGAGAGTTCGGGTGCCCGTTGGCGCGACGTACTGGCATTAGAGATAGTTGAGATGAATAGAAGCCACCTTGCTTCTCCTTGTGGCCATTCAAACGTCTCCCATCCGAATACGTGAAGGATCGGCAGAGGGATCCAAAGCACGAGGAGCGTAAAAATCCCGATTAAACTTGCGAATGTGTTCGCAAAAATGACGCCACGTCCGGGACTGGTGCCTTCAGGGGGACAGGCCAATCTCTTGTAGAGAACCTCGTAAAGGCCATACAGCACACTTCCAGCGCCGATGATAAGGTTCCCTAGAGTACGATTGGACGCCTTTTCGGCTTCCGTTTCGGAGGGTGGGATACCGTCGGGGTGACCGCCGCCGTATGCGACGATTATCACCCCGATTATGGCGACACCGACCGAGAAGACTTTATCGAAGCGCAGCTTATCGTTCAATAGGGGAATCGAAAACGCATATGCGAAGAAAGCAGAGCAATTGTAAATCGCAGTCAAGTCGCTCCCCGTGGTCAAGTTGACAGCAACGTACCACGACCCTCCGGCAACTGTGAGAGCCGTGGTCACGATTGCAGTCGTTCTGATTATATAGGGAATAGGGGACTTGTGAGATTCGCGAGAGGTAAGATGGAGATCCTGAGATTCTACCATCTGTGCAGTGGTCCGTAAAAGATAGACGTGTCGACGCCAGAACGCAGCCCATGACAAATGTCGCTTTTGGATTCGAAGGATAAGGAGTTGCACCGGCCATAGGCAGACCCAAGAGCCATGCGTCATGTAGCTATTATTTAGATATAACGGATTAAATCATTGTCCAAATGGGAAACGCGGAGGGAAGGGAGGAGGCGAAAGGAGCCTTTTGAGTGATCCGTGACCGCGAACTCACAGCATGCAATATGGTTTATCCCATCCGAGCTCCTGTTGAATGAACACGGCTGTCTGCGTTTGAACAGTGAAGCTGATCAGGCTCAGAACGAGAAAGAAAGAAGCAATTACGTATTTCCGGCGAGTGGCTCGCTCAGAATCGTAGTCTGGAGTTTTGCTTCTGAAGGAAGATCTCCTGCTCGCGTTGGAAACAGCCCTGCTATCCGCTCCTCTAACAAATGGTACATTCTGCTGCCGCCCACGACGCTCATCTTTCAACAACGGCACGTTGCTCCGGCTCTCGGCCTGGCGACTTATCGACGGGCGGGCAAGAGCCATTTCGTCGTCTGTCTGGTCGTCTCCGGATAGACTTGTACGGAAGGCGTGGCGATTGTCGTCAAATTCTACACGGTGTTCCGACGAAGTGGACAAGGAAGCCGCCCTCCGAAATTCCTCCTGGGCTGAGCTACGTCGTTGATGCAAAGAACAGCCTGGGCTTGGCCCGACAGACCTGTCTCTGTGAATCCTACCAATATCACCCTCGCTGGCCGGAGTCGACGTCATCCATGCGGGAAGAAGGGTCCGAACTGGAGCGTCGAGCGAACGAGTCTATTGGACGTAAACTGGCCTTGACGGCACTCAACCTGTATCGGAAATCCTTGCGCGCATTTGTCGTTACGCAGCAGTGTGAATGTCGTCGGCTTGGCCGGATTGGAGGAATGAATACTCTGTACTCCGTAATGTGATTAAATAATCTAAACGCTGTGGGTCAAGGTTGGATACAGAACACGAGGGCTTTGATAAAGGTGTTTGGGAGGAGTATTGGGGGGAAAGGAACTGAAATAAAGTGGAAATGATCGAGGGCGCCAGTTTATTGGAAATGTTGCAGGGAAATATCAAGATTCTCTCCCACAGCCCTCTCTCTGGTTAAGAAAAAAAAAAAAAAAAAAAAAAGTAGCTCCTCCGAACAAGTGGTGAGTGGCCTTTGGACGTCAGGGGTAACTATCAAACCAGCCAAGCCAACGATTATGTCATTGCACTCCAGTCATGTGACTTGGGTAGATTATGTAATGTAGATAGGTATTAGTCAGCAAATGTCGTGTGCGGCTCCGACTAGCTAACTAGTTAACTAGCCGTCCCCAAGCGCAACGACCAGCCAGACGGATGGCCATCGCGACGACAGCAAGCCCCGACCGGGACAAGGGGGAGGCCAGCAGGGCGCTTCAACTGGCCGCCTTCATCCCACCATCCAGTTTGGCTAACTCTTTCGAAGGACAGGGCCTATTCTTTAGTACCATGATGGTCTGACATTGATCGTCCCCTTCACAGAGATTAACGCGGCGGCCGCTCCGACGAGGCAGATCTCCCCGCTTCCTTCAGGATCGATTTACGAAGACCTACCCCATATCCTTTTGTCTTACCTATACGGTCTGGCCTGTGGAATGTCTATGATTGTTCGGACGCCTCGCTCTATTTCTCGAAACACCGTTGGACCTGAAACCCTGGTATGTTAAGGTCTATATCCTCGTTCGATGGTTTTGGAGGAGATAGTACTGGATTCCTGGCGGAATGGATACTAGATTCGAAGTCGTTGATTTAATCCAAAATTGGCCACGGAGCCGCCGTTCATTGTTTGCATCCTTTGCTGCCAAGTTCGAAGTCGTTTATACCCCTGTAAAGTAGCCACGCCATCGCAACTTGAGCAGCTATATTGAGGTTCATAACATATTTATCTGCTAGCTTGGATTGAGAGAGTCATTCAGAGATACGCAATAGGGAAGCTGTGGAGCCAAAGAGATCCGATGTCTGATTTGTCCGCCAGAGCCGCAAGCTGGTCTTCAGATACCGCCAATTGAGCGCAGACACAATCCCTGAGAAGCCGTGGAGACAGCTCATGAAACAGCTGTGGTGGACCAGGAAACTTCCCACAGCCGTGGGGGTTGATCGTAATCGCGGGGCAGACCAAAAAGTTGGTGACAAATACTCAAAAAAAAAAAGCTTAGGTTGGCACGCGCCGCAAAAACACATATAAAGTGCGATTTACCCGGATCGAACGGGTGACCTCATGATATTCAGTCGATTAATCAACCACCGAAGTTGAAGCTTCAGTCATGCGCTCTCCCAACTGAGCTAAAACCGCTGTTGGAATCGTCAGGCCCACTCTTCACTGTATCCACCGCTGGTGCCCTGTTGTTCACCACGGAGACCTCTCCATTTTTGCCCCTCTTTGAAACCGTTTGTCGGAAACCAAAAACCGCACCCTGAGATCTCTTAGAAATGCCCCTTGTCGTTCCTCACTCTGGGCCCCGGGTCATCCTCGGGTTGATGACCTTTGGCCCCGATGAGAAGGAAGGCGCGCGAATTACCTCGCTCGATGAATTCAAAAAGTGCCTGGATTGCTTGACGGCCAATAATTTCTACGAAATCGACACCGCGCGAATCTACGTTGGAGGCCAACAGGAGGCGTTCACTGCCCAAGCCGGCTGGAGGGATCGAGGCCTCAAGATTGCTACGAAATGGTATCCGCGCAACGCCGGTGACCACAAGCCCGAAGTGATCCGCCAGAACTTGGAGAAGTCTTTGAAGGAATTGCAGACGGACTGTGTCGATATCTTCTACCTACATGCTGCTGACCGCTCCGTTCCGTTCGCTGAGACCTTGGAAGCCGTTAACCAATTGCATAAGGAAGGGAAATTTGTAGAATTGGGCCTGAGCAACTATACCGCCTTCGAAGTGGCGGAGATTGTCACAATATGCAATGAGCGCGGCTGGGTGCGGCCAACGATCTACCAGGGCATGTACAATGCAATCAGTAAGTGTTACCGGGTTAATGCCAATTTGTGATGGATCTAACCGAGACATGGCAGCACGATCCATTGAGACCGAATTGATTCCTTGTTGCAGGCGATACGGAATAGATATCGTCATTTACAACCCACTTGCTGGAGGCCTATTTTCGGGCAAGTATAAGACTGCAGAGATTCCAGCTGATGGGCGATATAGCGACGTCAACGCACCCACTGGACGCTTGTATAGAAGCCGTTATTTCAAGGATGCTACATTTGATGCCCTCAGAATCATCGAGCCAGTTGCACAAAAGCACAACTTGACTTTGATTGAAATTGCGCTGCGCTGGGTCTGTTACCATTCTGCTCTGAACATCAAGGACGGCGGCAACGACGGCATTATCGTCGGCGTTAGCAGTCTCAAACAACTGGAAGGAAATCTGGCAGACATTAAGAAGGGCCCATTGCCTGAGGAGGTCGTTGCTACGCTGGATGAAGCATGGCTTGTGGCAAAACCCACGACCACAAATTACTGGCACAAGGAGCTTAAATACACCTACGATACGACCAAAGCTCTTTTTGGTCCCAAATAGATGATCAATCACCATCTAGAAACCCATAGCTTACCTTAACAGTTGCCAATCTCTCAAAAGAATTGCAACTTTTCTCTCCTTAATGCTTTTCGTCCGATTCATAGTGGTTCGTCGACTACGGATCAGGGAATCCCGTTGAGTTTGAATAATGACGTAACGGAGCTTATACCACGTTTGCCAAATATCCAAGCTTAATTTGGATACGCAAAAAAAAAAAAAAAGTCAAGCCCTAGTTGAAGCAGGTACTGTAACCTCATTGTGCTTTTCGCCTGCTTTGTCGTTAAACCAATGTCTATTGAACTCGCCAACCTCTCAAGAGCGCATTCATCGAGAACGCGAGCTAATGGTTCCCATGCTGGCTATCCTCCTCCACCATCTGCCACCGTGATTAACAATGCCTCGATAACGGATCCAGAATTCCAGCCTCCTCTGGGCCTGGATGTCGACAAACATAACAAAGGATGGCGGAAGATAGTTCGAAATTTTACGCCTTCGTAAGGCTTCCCACTGCGTAGCTGGCGATTGAAAGCCCCCTTTCTATGTTGCTGTCGTTTGATTCAATGAACCCTTTTGGACCCTGGCTTACTTTTAGCGTGACAACGCCCAGGTGGTTCACGGTAACGATGGGAACTGGCATAGTTTCCATCCTTCTTTTCAATCTTCCCTATAACGGCATTTGGCTGTATTGGATCTCAGTCGGCATCTTCGGGCTGAATACCCTCCTATTCTCCCTCGCGCTAGTTATAAGTATATTGCGATACACGCTCTATCCTGAAATATGGACGGTTATGATCAACGAACCGTTCCAGTCCATGTTTCTCGGCGCATTTCCGATGGCATTTTCAACGATTATTGATCTGATGATAGACATTTGCACTCCGGCTTGGGGATCTTGGGTTACTATTGTTGCATGGGCTTTTTGGATTGCTGATTCGGTCGTTGCAGCGTTATGTGCGTTGATCTTGCCATTTCTTCTGTGAGTGATCATAAACCTTAGAGTCGTGATATCAGACTGTTTCGCAAGGAACTACTCTTATTCGATCAGAATGATACCAGGAAGACAGATTGAATTACAATCGGTGACTGCGGTTTGGTTATTACCTGTAATCAGCACCATAGTAGCGGCAGCTACGGGATCTATTGTCGCGGAAGCTCTCCCCGATCCTCAAATGGCCCTCTGGACAATCGTGACGAGCTACATCCTTTGGGGTATGGGTATATGTCTGGCGGGGATTATTCTGGCAACCTATTTCCAGCGTCTGGCACTGCACAAACTCCCCGCCAAATCTGTGATTGTGAGCGTTTGCCTGCCATTGGGTCCAATGGGCCAGGGAGCGTTTACGTATGTGACTCTCTTTCTATGATATCTAGCAAGGGAGACATCCGCTGACAATCTATCTACAAATAGAATTCTAAATCTCGGTGTACAGGCCAAAAGAGTCTTTGCGATAACTAACACTCTGCAGCCATCTACTGGAAATATGCTTGAGTCGATTGGCTTTGTGACTGCGCTCGTTTTGTGGGGGTTTGGACTCGCATGGCTATTCGTAGCCATTGTCTCCCTAATCCGGTGTAGGCCATTCCCTTTCACGATCGGTTGGTGGGCCAGTGTTTTCCCGTTGGGGGTGTATTCGAATGCCACAGTATTACTATCAAGGGTGATGCCATCCAAATTTTTCAAGGTGCTTGGGACGGTACGTATTGATATGTTGGTTTTTAAGTAAAACTCCCCCCCGACTAATGATGTGATATCTTGTAGATATTATCAGTTGCGGTTGTGGTGGTATGGCTCACTGTTTCTTTCGGCACCATAAGAGGCATCATGACCCAGAAACTATTTTATGCACCGTGTCTAAGCGATTTAAGAGTTAAACCGAAGAAGCAGCGGTTCAAGTTCCATATTCCACGGCGCCGGGTGAAGTTTCGGCTTGCATAAACTGCAATGCACACCGCTGCATTTGTATTTTGAAATCATGGAGAAGAATCATAAGAGACCCTTTTCGTCATAGGGACAGCTCTGTTTTGAGAGAAAGAGATGAGAACAGCCGATATAGTCCTAAAAACTTTCCTTCGAGAACATTCTAGAGTCATATCCGGGATATTCTGGAGGGGATTTTAAAGATGAAAGATACACCAGACTTTGAAGCTCCGAAATCATTTAGTCCTACGGAGCACGACACACAACAGATGTTTGAACAAAAATATTTGTGTGGATTTCCGGGCCTTGTTTCATGGGCATTATTGTGTGCTTCTCGGCTTTCCTCTTCTTCTGCTTCTCCTAAGTAATATGCGACGTCAAATTTCAGAAGCATTTCTTTGTTGTAGGCTGTGCAATATACTTGTACCACTTTACCATAAGCTAACACAAGGGTTTTGTGTTACTATCAAGATGATGAAGCGTGACTAAACGGCTGTGATACCCAGGCGATTAAAGACCATTAAAAGGCGCTTGTTGAGATATTATCCTCACAATGCAATCAATCAATAATCTTGGTGATAGAAATCAGGTATATCAGAGAAAAATGCTGGGGGAAGTACTCTGTACAATATCTATGCATTGCGAGAAAGAAGAGAAAAAGGGAACGCAACAATCGATGCCAGCTAAAGAGTGGATGTGCACCCTGACCGCGTCACCATCTTGCCGATATGCAAGTCAGGTGGCAATGGACCTGGTAGTATTCCAGATAAAATTGAGGAAATAACCCATCACTGTATTAGCTGCAAAACTGCCACTCTACAAGTCAGACTGTGTGACAGAATGCGACACGAGAAACTGCAGCTCGTGCGTAGTAGGCTGCTATGCCCTGTAAGAGCTCCCCTTTCAGATTCACTTTCGGTTCATTGCTTCAGACGTGAGGTCCACCGTCCAGCGTCCGGGTTGAAGGGTGAAAGCAAACAGAACTAATAATACCCAATGGAGCCGCGGCCCGTGGAAATTTCTCGAGAACCATTTTTACAGAGCGAAAAGGACTTCAACAGATATGATCTATCGAATCTACTTTCAGCTCGACTTCTCCCCGCTTTTGCGGCATGTTCCCGTTTGCAAATTGAACTTTGTTCACGGAGCTTTGTCGTGTGGAGCCTCCCCGCAGGCTGGATCGAGTGCTCAGACAAAACTCCCATCCCCAAGTCACCATCGTGGAGTTGAGCAAACCGATGCAGTCTGGTGACTCTGTTGAAAATCGAGGGCCACATCAAATCATTTGAACGAAACTCGATCAACTCCACAATAAAAAAACGCACTATGACAAACTCGAGCCCCGTCCCCTTTTGATAGAGGCCGTACCGAGTCGATCTGTTGCCGCAGAATATCTCGCCTTTTAGCGAGTTCTTTGAGCACACACGCGCTCGAAAATTGCGGAGGCCCTTTCGCCTCCATGGTTCCGCCTAGACTGGAAGTCAACTCCCGAGAGGAAACGGCACCTGTTCCCGGTCCTTGAGTCACGGGCTCGGCAACTGGATTCTTGGGAATGGCCTCTATTGACTAGTCCAAGGCGAAAAGAACGAATCGTTCGTTCCGAATTATCAACTAGCCACGACAATGTTTCGCCGACAATGAGGGCATCGCCGAGTAAATGGGGAGATATTCTCTGACAGCGAAAAAGTCCTCAGCTTCTATGTGTTTGCCATGAAAAGGCAGGTAATATGTTTATATTGAGGTGCTATGCGTGTAACGAGTTCACCATGAAATTCTTGGCAGCATGCGTACCGATGGATGCTCATGTGCAGACATCCCTGGCATGGATGTGTTCTGTGGCCATGGGCTGTTCCTCTAATATTCTTCATTGCAGGGACTCGCCAACCAAAAAAAAAAAAAAAGAAAAGAAAAGAAAAAGAGGAAGGGAGGCAAATCGGCGTTTATTGGCAGAGGGCTTCTAAAAGACAGAAAACAAAAAAATGCTTCTTTTCGGTTGAAGCATTAAAGGTAGCGCTGTTTACTGGGGCTCCCTGGCCGGGGGAATAGTCCAGGGTTCAGCGCTCAGTACAGATGCTGAGTGGCTCCTCGCAACCCCAAGGTCCGCTGTTTTGTTGCTTCCCCCCTGTTGTCTGTCAGCAGTCGAAAGTTTCTCCGGTTGCATTTTGCATGGGTCATGCGACTGCTGGTGCACAGATCTTTTCCGGTCTGTGTTAGCATTGTAACGATTTCATGGACTAATTCAGGGAACTCCTGGATTCGAAGGCTGCACTCCGCAGATCCCTTTGGATTGGAGGACAAATTTGGTCTCCGGTGCGCAGGGAGCGTCGGGCAAGTCAATAGAGATTGTCGAAAGGTGAGCTCATCCGCCCGCTGTCAACCTGGTGATTGATGAGCAGTAAGTACGGAGTACTCCGTGCAGAGTAATGAGGGCAACAAAGCAATGAAAGAAAGACAGGCCGAGAAAGTAAATACTGATGAACTTCACCAACCAACCACCAGGGCATCGAAGGCCAACTGCAGTTATCGAGCTTCGATGCTCGATTATCCGACTTTATCCATATCCTGATTGTTTTCGACCACTCATCCGGAGTCCCTGCGCAGACTGGTAACATCTACATATCCCTTAAGAGGTGCCCATTGGGCATTTTAATTTATTTAATTTTTTTTTTTTATTGACTTTTTATTTTGCGGAGTACGCGCTTTTGGGCAAACAATAACAGTGCTGAATGCAGGAGCCTCCGCCAAGGATCCTGGGCAAAAATGCTTGCTTTTCTTTTGTCCATGAAGCCAGAAGTTAAGTCAACCTCTCCTACATCAATTTCTGAATGGAATCCGCTGCTGCATTCTTCTACGCCCATCGACATTGGAATGAAGAACCAGTCGAGAACTTACCATAAAGTCGAATATCACATCTTCCACAGAACCTCCTCATGCCGATCCCTCTCTCCACTTCCCCAGAAAATCAACTGGCCTAAAAGGAAGTTCAGCTACGCCAATCATATCTTCATCCTCAGATCGAACCTCACCATTGACAGGACATACCCGGAACTCACAAAATCGCTTGCTTTACCTTCAAGCTTGTTTAGGTCGTTGGATTGAGACCCTCCTTGGTCAAATGTGCCGTTTGATGGCGGCACCATACCCCTAGAAGTCGTGTCCATTTTTAGAGCTTCCAATTCAAGCTCGTATCATCGTATTGAACGCTGAAATAATTGGCACATTGTTGGTTTGGAAAATATTGCAATTCTAACTGATGAACTGGGATCCATGAAGCCCTGATCGCACATTTGTTCGCGTTTTCGAAGAGGTGCAAATCTCCAACTCGAGAGTCGCTCGCAGGGTTTTGGACTACCTGGAAGAGGGAGATGCCTCAGAAGGCAGGTTTGCACCCAAGTGCCCGACAGACTCGCCAGTAACTAATGTGCTCCGTCCTCCGTCGAGGAAGTCTTAGCGAAAGACGCCGGGGTGGAGTGGGTCATGCCGAGCAACGATCGTCAAACCTAGAAGATGATCCAAATATGGAGTTTGATATGTATTCACTGCTTTGTCGCTCACAGGTAGGAGTGAGCCTGAGGGGAAGAGTTTCATGCAAAGCTAAGCGGCTCTAAAGTGCCTGTCCGCTCGGAGTTTTCCTTGAAAATAAATTTCCACAGAAAACAATCGCCCCGGCTAGACAGGCACTTCCTCCATCCAGATGTAGGGGGTTTCAACTGTCGATTCGATTCCCCAGGCTGTGGATTCTTCCAATCTTGAATGAACTCCCGTCCCGTACGGAGTATAGTTAATCTGAGAAAAGACGATTTGATGGCGGAGGTCAGCGACCACAAACTTAGCCACTCGTAAACTCGTAACGCTCGGCTTGGCAGGACTGGGGTTACTTTGGATGTCCATGATCATGGACACATGTCGCTAATCTTGGGATTCGTTCCAGAAGTTTGCCGCGTTTGGAAGAACTGGAGGAAAAACCGGAGAACACAACGGCCCCGACCTCGGAATGAATTTTAGCCGTAAGTTGGCTAGCTTGTCGGGTAGAGGGAGATTCATAGAAATCCAAGTGGCCAAAAAACGCCGGTCGAGGTTAAGAACCAGGACAATGGCATGATTCCGCCCGGGTTCTTATCGTGATTGGCAGGTATGGCCAAATGAAGTGGCCGATTGGATTTGATAGGTTGCGCAAATCTGAATTCTCAAAGCCTAGGTCCACCTTGCTGTGCATCACCATGCGATTGATCATGAGTCTGAACGGTTGGCTACACTAACGGTAGTACCCTTGCTGGGTTGCGACATAGATGCTGACATGAGTTACTGATTGCTGGGGGAGCGGACCGCTTGCGCAACAGTTTCAGTCGGACGTCGTGGTCAGTCGAGCCCCGAGCACCTGCATGGAACACTATTTGCATGTACCGAGGACTTCGACGTCTTTCAGGGCTGAATTGCCCGGGAAAAAAAAAAAAAAAAAAAAAAAAAAAACGGTTAGGAGCAGCTGGATGATCAGAGCTAGGATGACTATGTTTTCGATATCGTTCTCAGCAAATGACTTTCGGCTCGGAAAGCGTCCACTCGGACAGTCAGTCAAGTGCTTCTGAATGGCTAGTAAGAATAGCACCTGGCGGCGCATGTACTCTATAGTTTGCGAGGTAAGAAACTGTCAACTAGCGTCACACAAGCAGGCGATTCGAACTAAATGAACGAGGCAGCCGACTCGTGGAGATCCCCCGGTCTCCTCTTTCACTTTGATGAGCTTCATCCAATCGTGTGATTTTCAAATCCCAGTCGGCCGCGTACCAGGTTCTGCTATGAGACCACTCTGAGTACGGGGGTCGAATGTTCGGGAAAAGCGAAGTAAAAATACCGCGTAGGGATGGGAGCGTGAGGGGAAGCGGGTGTTGCAAACGTGGAGAGGAGCCGTTTTTGCCCCCTTTCAGAGCGTGCAACCCACCCACCCTCCTCCGTGCCGACGCCAGACCGTAATACAAAGCGTAAGCAGGGAGGTACATATATATATACTGATGGCGCCTCCTGTTGCCCAGGCATCCTACTAGAAGACCTCTTGTTTCCTCCCTGCTGCGCAATTTTACCCACTCCGCCCCCGTGTATACATCGGGAGACAACGATCTGGTGTGTGCAAATCAGGGCGATTTTCGAGGTTTCCAACAGTCGTCATAACTTCTCCTGGGTGCATCTCTCATCATCTTCTTGAGGTGAAGCACCTCCAATCGCCATGGACAAAGGGCTCGATCAAGCGCCAGCCTACGACCAAGGCCTGGAAAAGGAAGTCGACGTCAAGGAGTTGAGATATGGAGAGGCGACCGACATCTATGGAGACGTGGAGACCGCCGATCGATATGGCTATGTTGCTCGAGGGTAGGCGTCCAATATCTTGACACTGTTTGATGCTGTAGTTAACTCGAAGATACAGATTAAAATCGCGCCATATTCAATTCATTGCCCTTGGTGGCACGATTGGTACCGGTTTATTCTTGGGTATCGGTCGAGCTCTGACTCAAGGCGGTCCCCTCAGTTTGCTACTTGGTTATACGATGACTGGCTGCGCTATCTTCGGCATGGTAAGACATGTGTCCAGTATGCAGTCACTTCTAGGAGATAGTTGACCAGGTTCTAGATGATGTCTCTCGGCGAAATGGCTACTTGGCTGCCTCTGCCCGGTGCCATTCCTCAATTCTGCGCGCGTTATGTAGACCCAGCTATGGGTTTCGCCGTTGGCTGGAATGTGAGTCTAACGCCAAAGCTGGGTAGATGCAAACGAAAAGCAAAGAAGAGAGACTGATAGTCTTCTAGAACTGGTATCTTTCCGCGATCACTCTCTGCGTCGAAATTGCAGCCGCATCGGTCATAATTCAGTTCTGGGAGGGCGCGGTGGATATCAACGTCGCCGCCTGGATCTCCATTGTCATTGTCCTGGTCCTGCTGCTCAATATCTTCGCCGTTTCGGTCTATGGTGAAGCGGAGTTCATTTTCGCCAGTATCAAGATTATCACGATTGTCGGATTGCTCATCTTGTCTCTGATCATCGACCTCGGTGGCGTTCCTGGCACTCCACGGCTCGGATTCCATTTTTGGAAAGAACCCGGTGCAATGAACGTCTACAAGGGCACGGGAGACAAAGGCCGTTTTCTTGGTTGGTTTTCAACGCTCGTCAATGCTGCGTTCTCCTTTGGCGGCGTGGAGACAGTGGCATGTGCTGCAGGAGAAGCGGCGAACCCGAGACGCAACATTCCCAAGGCTGTTCGACGTGTGTTCTGGCGTATTCTGTTTTTCTACGTCCTTGGGTCCCTTGCCCTTGGAGTTTTGGTCCCGTACGACGATGAACGCCTCTTGGATGCTCAAGAAAAGAACGCTCCTGGTGGTGCCGCCTCTCCCTGGGTCATCGCAATATACCGAGCTGGTATTCCGGCTTTGCCCTCGATTATCAATGCCGTGATTCTCACATCTGCCTCTTCGTCAGCTAATGCCTTCTTGTACACCGGAAGTCGATATCTCTATGCTCTCGCCCAGAACGGCCATGCCCCAAGATTCCTACTCAAGTGCTCCAAATCGTAAGTATTGACGATGATAGTGACCTGGAGACGACACGCTTACTAATGGATATCTTTTTCGAACGTAGGGGCGTCCCAATTTACTGCGTTTTAATCACAGCATTAATTTCCTTGCTCACATACCTGTCCACCACCGCGGGTTCAAACGTGGTGTTTGTATGGTTTCAGAACCTGACCACCATCGCATCCCTTTTCACTTGGTGCTCCATTTGCGTGGCTTATATCAAGTTCCACAATGCTCTCAAGGCCCAAGGTGTGGATCGCGACACCCTGATATTCCGAAGTCCATTCCAACCCTATGTTGCCTGGATATCTCTGATCTTCTTCTCCATTATTATCGTGTTTAACGGATTCTATGCCTTCCTTCCATTCAACACTCGTTCATTCATCACTGCATATGTCGGCATCCCGATTTACTTTGGTCTTTACGTATTCTGGAAAATTTTCAAAAGGACAAAGGCCGTGGCAGCCTCCGAGGCCGACATCTTTACCGGAAAAGCCGCTCTTGATGCGGTTGAATGGCCGTCGGAAATCCCGAAGAATTGGATCGAAAAGATTTGGTACTGGATCGCATAAAATATTGTACAGCGTAAGATCGCATCCCTGAGCTGAATGGCTTTTCCGTGTTTCTGGTCGACCATAATTATCGAAGGTCAATGTTTATATAGCCTTTGGTCTGAAAGTCTCACCAAACATGAAGGCAGTGGCTGTTGCCTGTTATCTTTAAACATATCAGCTTGGTTATCATTAGATCTCAGAGTTCCAGGAATGATATCATGACTCACACGATTCTACTCCGTATTGACTTCCGCTAAGTTAAAGAGGGTTAACTTTCGTAGATACCCAACACCCCACAATTGCTTACCGCTTTGACACTGAAGTACCTTGAACACAAGTCCTCTATGGCAGGCTCAGACAGCAGCAGGATGGCATATTTGTGTTCCCTTTTCACATCAAATCCAGGTGCATACAGGCAAGCGGCTGGATTCAACAGATAATTCTGCGCGGGAGTGCCAAAAATGTAGGAAGTACTACGTACAGTAACGATCTTCGACGTTGGCCACTCAGCTGGAGGCCAATAAATCCACCAAGTGCAGGTGTCCCTTACCCAAAAAAACTCCCTTTTTCCGTCCGATCGGACAGGGGCCTGTGATAAATTGGACACCAAACTTTGCTCTTGCCTATTGATACAGGTTAAGAAACGTTGAGAGAGAAAGAAAAAAAAAAAAAAAAAGAAAATTGAAACGTTGTGTATAGTTGCTTGCCCAAAAGGTAATTGAGCAGTTTGAGCTCCAATCCCGAGGCTCTTGGGCTTTCAGTTGGGAGCCATCATGGTGTAGCGTACATGAATTCCGGTCGATAATGCCGGACACTCCAAAAATTTGGCACTGGGACAAGCAGATTAGAAGGAAAAAGGATATCATATAAGGATTGAAAAGAGTGAGTCCCATAGGGGTTGCTAATATGCATTGTTCAAAACTTATCTCAGAGCTGGTATCAATTGGGCTGGCTGCAAGATTTCCAGGAGGGTGACTGATTTCATTCATAATCAGCTAGCTGCAATTAAAAGGAAAAAAAAAAAAAAAGGTAAAGGAAAAGGAAAGGGAAAACTATTAGCTTAGAAAAGCCATCCAGTGTAAATAATGCATCCAGACCGTTGTATATTCCCCAGCAACAAGTGTTAGGATGACACACGACTAAAAGAGAACATACAATCAGATTCTTGAACCTAGCAAATTGCCTCCTGGCGCCTGATCCATAAATCGCCCGCCATCCTGCCATGCTCAAGGGGTATCAGTTCATTGTAGCATAAAAAGAGAAGGTGCCCTAAAACGCCGCCTTAAACCCAGAAATCTAGTTTGCCCAGCCTGGAGAGATTATGGGATGAGACAAAGATGTTGTGTCATCTAATCGACGCCAGGTGGAGCATCCTTGAGAATTTCCCAGCCATATTCTTCTTCAGGATTTTCAGGGTCCAGACCCAGCGCGTTACGAAGGGCGCGCACTTCGTTCTGAAGTCCCGCAACGATTCGAATGGGGAGCACTTCCTCCTCGCAGCGAAGGCGATAAGCAGTGCGGATCATCTCAGCACATCGCAAAGTCTGAGAATGCCAGTAGTCGCGCTCCAAACGGCTCTGGAGATGGGCGTCCTTTTCCTCTTGAAGGAGGTCATTGTAGCGGCGCTTCTGAGCGAGGAAGTGATCATTGACGTTGCAGCAATAGTTGCGAATCTGTTCGGTCATGGTCCCAACAGCGGTTTCGTATTCACCAATCAACTTCATATTTTCCATCTGTTCGTATTTAAGTATATCGATGACACGTTTCTGCTTGGCAACTTCATTCTCGAGATCAGCGATGCGAGCGGCTAGGGATCGGTCAGCGCAAACTGTTTCTGATATTGCCGGTACGTCGATACTTACAAGCAATCTCTCCGTTAACCTGCTGCAGATTGGGAGCGGTTCCTTCAGCAGCAGCACGCCTCTAGATTAGATGTTAGCGCCAATAAAAAGTATAGTTTCGCATGTGTGGATAAAGATATTTCTTTCGGCTAAAAATTGCCGGAAAGGAGCGCAAAATATTACAGAACGGGAACTTACAGCAAGTTCCTCACTGGCCCGGATGATATTTTTTGTGGTGTCACGATTGTGCGCGAGAACTTCGCTCAACTCCGTGATCATTTGGTAAACATAGTTGAGATCCATTTCTTGACCTGCATTCATTGGCATTCCTGTCGCCATTCCTGCCATTCCCCCGGTGGCGCCGTTCTGACTGCCCGCCGGGCTAGGTGGAAGGGGGATGTGGTTCGGCCGCGGAATGTTAGACATGCTCGGGGTGCTATTATCGAAAAGGTTGGCGAAGCCGGGACTAGAGTCGGTGCCTGTAGCGGGTGTGCTCCCGTTGTTTGGAGTCGACATCGTCAGATTGGCCAATGCTGCATCCAAGACTGGAAGCTGCTCCTGTGCTTCTCGTTGAGCCTGGATGTCGCGCAGAGTTTCGCGGCTAACGCCCAAGTATCCCGCACGAAACTGCTCGAGGTCGTCCTGAGTGACTGACGCTCGATTGCGACGATGGCGCCGTTGGATAGGCTGACCCTCAACGGAGCTGTCGGACGACTCCACAGCAACTTCGGAATCGAATGGTGGAAAAGCTAGTCGCGACACAGGTCCATCATTTGGTTGTCCAGAATAGGAGAAGTGAGGTGGAATGTTGATGCAGAGTTGCTGCCAAGCGTGCGCTCACCTTCACAAGGCCCCATGCTTTCGGACATCCTGAATATCCGATCCGGGAGCTAGTTAACTTAGTTATGTAACTCACTATCCACCAGGAGCCAACCAAGGAAATGATTCTGGCGTATGGAGAAAAAATGTTCCGAGAAGTCCAATGAGGGGCGGATTGACCAGAACGTGAGCCAGGATAGACTGGATAATTGAAGGTGATGACGAGCAGCTTTGCAAAGAAAGAAGATGTAGGAGAGAGAGCAGCAGGAAGAGAGCAGGAAGAGAGCACGAAGAGGAATGCGATGTGAGAGAAAGTGCCGCATCGCTGACTGTACGCCGTCCTGCTAGCAGCATTCCCTGTTTGGGCAACAACCACCTGTCACCATGTCTCTGCATTGTTTTGTGCTTTTGTTATCTAACAGGGTGTCCTTTGCTGTCTTCTATCAACTAGCTCCCTGAATTGCTTTATAGAACACTCTATCTAAGATTCCAAATCCAAGTCCGCGCCTTAGAGAGACATTTACCATGCAATCGTCCCCCTGGCTGCAGGCCCCCCTCCCGTCCACATACAGCTGGGTCCGATTTGAGGGCCTTTTCCTGTGGGAAACCCCTACCCACAGTATTGAATGCACCTGCGTAATTTTCATGTCTGCAGCGTCATAGCATGGCCTCTGTAACAGTAGTCCGGCTTAGGGAACCATCACAGGTAGAAACGCTGTACATATGGCGGCCGCTATCTGCGTTGGCATTATGGATACACCAGCATTGACGGATTGCTCGGAATGCGAGTCCTAGGTAACATAGGGGCTCCATACTTAACGGCTTTTAGGTGATTTGCGGGGAATTGAATGACCCTGAGCGTGCTCGAATTGATTTCAAGTCATATCCAGGATCTTCGCTAGCCTGGTATCCATATCTTCCAGCGAATTGGGCTCTTCTATTGGCACCCCATCTCGTTGTTGGCCGACACGGTTGACCCTGTCGGCCACCTTTGCCAGAAGCATTCTCATTCGGCCGAGTTCTGAAGCCAGCTGGCTATCTTTACTGACAAGATTTGGTTGGATATTTGTTCGAGGTTCGTTGAATGGTTCCAACAAAGTCTTCAGCTGCTTGTACTGAGCCAATCGCTGTCGCTGTTTATTCCGCTCGGCATCGAGCAAAACAAGTTGTTTGTGCAACTGCATATATCTGCGGTATCTCGTCAGGCTGCATATCTCTAACGCAAGGCAGGAAATACGATCAAGATGGGGGTATATACCGTTCCTGGGCCTCTGCAGAAACATTGCTTCCCATCCATTCGTCGGGAAGCCGCTTGATACTCCTGCGTTAATGTTAAACCAAGGGAAGATCAAAGAAGCTGGATCCATTCAAACTCAACATACTCAGGACTTGTCAGGTCAGCACCCTTTTCTACCGTATGCCTTTGTGCACTACCTCCTCCCAAATCTGGGTCAATCGCGTTCAGATACAGCCGCTCAATCTGTTGGGAAACATGGTGGACTGCTTGGGTCGACAAGACGGAGCGGTTATGCTGTCCGAGTATCGAGTTTACTGTTTTATCCATGAGCCTGTCGACTAATACGGAGAGCCTCGCATCATGCTCTTACGTTTCTGCAAAACGCCGCCCACAGCTTTGTCCGAGAGGTCACTTTCGACTTCCGGGCCATAATCTTTCCAATCCTCTGTTGGGTCTAAAGAAGTGGATAATATTCGGATTTGATCCCGAAGGAAAGCTGTTTTCAGCTCAGCGACAGTCATTGAGTGAGCCATTGTCGCGTATTAGCTGCCTGTAGGGAGTAGTTCACCCAGGCTGACATCACATCAACATTCGGCCTTTTATGGTATAAACGGCTTGGCGTGAGCTTTCACGTGACTGACCGCTTCGGCACCTGCACCATCGGCCAGGCACTCGGGAGTTTGATCGGACCATTGGGTGGTGATGCAAATTGCGGGAGGCATTACTGTTGCAAATTTCCAGAGTAGCTTGCATTCTTCTGTTGCACGTAGCCGGAGCCATTGTCCCTATGTATCTAAATGCCAAACTGGCGCCATTTTCGATTGGGTTTAACCTCGGTAAGATTGTGCTTATCGAACAGCTCCAAAGTGACTCGGGCCATGATAAAACTGTTACTGTTCCCAGTTACTGCACCTCTGGTTAGAATATCAAATATAATAAACACCGTATACTAAAAACGGTATATTCGAGAGATATAGCCATCCCCAAGCAAGAGACCCTGGACTTCTTTCGCGAATGGCGACTAATAACCGCCCGAAAGGGCTGCTTTTTGACATCGGAGGCGTCTGCGTATGTCTCTGAGCCCGCCTTATAAGACGTTACGATTGCAAGTGCTAATATATACTGCCTTGGTAGGTTGTCTCTCCGTTTCAAGCAATTCTGGACTACGAGATCGCAAACAACATACCTATTGGATGGATAAACTACGCCATCCAACACACCTCTCCAAACGGCGCCTGGCATCGGATCGAGAGAGGCGAGATCAAGCTAGACGCAAACTTCTTCGCGGAATTCAACCGCGACTTCCAACATCAGCATCTGTGGGAGGCTTTCCATGAGCAACTGAAGAAGAAGAACCCCCAGACCTCGTCGCCATCGTCCACGACGTCTTCCGCCCATCTTCCACTCCCCAAGGTCGATGCGGAGTATATGTTCTGGGAAATGATGCGCGTATCACGAGAAGCAGACCCTTACATGTTCCCGGCCCTCAAGAAGCTTAAGGAATCGGGGCAATTCATCCTAGGGGCGTTGTCGAACACGACCATCTTACCTGAGGACCATCCGTATAGCAAGAGATCGGCGATGCATGAAGTGAAGCAGATGTTTGATTTCTTCATTTCCAGCGCACATTGTGGACTGAGGAAACCGGATCCTAGGATCTATGAACTCGCGCTGAAAAATATGAGAGAGGAGGCGGCGAAGAAAGGGTTTGGTGGGATTGCGCCAGACGATATAGTGTTCCTGGATGACATCGGCATCAATTTGAAATGGGCGAAGAAAGCGGGTATGAGAACGATTAAAGTAGATCTGGGTAAGACCGATGATGCTGTGAGGGAATTGGAGAGATCTACGGGCATGAAACTGCTCGATGACTCGGACAGAGCGAAATTGTAGAATTGGTTGATTGCCTTCTCCTCTCGACGCTTAGATGATTATCGGATAGAGCTGTACGCGATTTGAAATATCAAAGACAACAAATACAATGTCAGTGTAATTATCTGAAGTATATGCAGCATTAGTTATTTATGTCCGTTGGTGGTTCGAGATTTTTGTGCGGGCGGTTGTCCCTCCGCGTGTCGTCGCCAACCCTGGTTTCAACAGGAGCTTTGGGAGATTTAGCGAAAGTTCGCCCACACAAGGTTGAAATTCCCACCACCGACAGTCCTTTTCCCTTCGTTCATCAATCGCCCAACGTTAAGCAAGCAGATCTCGCCAAATCGACGGGTAGTATACAGCCGGCAAGATGGTAAGTCGAATTCGCCAACATTGGCATCCGCTCTACTATTTTGCCCTCCCCTCTTGAGGTCCTCCGAATTTTCCCCACCACAACCTGTGGGAACGCAAAAACGAGGGCCAGCCGAGTCTTTGCAAGATGCTTCGGAGCGAGGGGATTTGAATGAATCTGAAGCGCAAATTGCTGACTCGATGGTTTCTGTTCACTAGCCTTTCACCAAGCTTGTTAAGAACAGCGCTTACTACAGGTGAGTTCCTCTGATGAACCCTCTATTACGATGTGTAAGAACCGTGACTGAAGTGCGATCCTAGCCGCTACCAAACCAAGTTCAAGCGTCGCCGACAGGGTAAAACTGACTACTATGCCCGTAAGCGATTGATCACCCAGGCGAAGAACAAGTACAACTCGCCCAAGTACCGTCTCGTCGTCCGCTTCACCAACCGTGACATCATCACCCAGATCGTCACCTCTGAACTCACCGGCGACAAGGTCATTGCCTGTGCCTACGCTCACGAGCTTAAGCGCTATGGCATCAAGAATGGTCTTACCAACTGGTCTGCTGCTTACGCCACCGGTCTTCTCCTTGCCCGCCGCACCCTGAAGAAGCTCGGCTTGGATGAGGACTTTGTCGGTGTTGAGGAACCAGAGGGTGAATTCACTCTCACCGAGGCTGCCGAGACCGACGAGGGTACCCGCCGCCCCTTCAAGGCCTTCCTCGATGTTGGTCTTCACCGCACTTCGACCGGTGCCCGTGTCTTCGCCGCCATGAAGGGTGCTTCCGATGGTGGTATCTTGGTTCCTCACTCCGAGAACCGTTTCCCTGGCTTCGACATCGAAACCGAGGAGCTCGATGCTGAGACTCTCCGCAAGTACATCTTCGGTGGACACGTTGCTGAGTACATGGAGGGTCTTGCCGATGACGACGAGGAGCGCTACAAGAGTCAGTTCCAGATGTACATCGACAACGGACTCGAGGCTGGTGAGCTCGAGGATATGTACGCTGAGGCCCACAAGGCTATCCGTGAGGATCCATTCAAGAAGGACGAGGAGGCTGGTCCTAAGAAGAGCAAGGAGGAGTGGAAGGCTGAGAGCTTGAAGTACAAGGCCAAGAAGCTCTCTCGCGCAGAGAAGAATGCTCGTGCCCAGGAGAAGATCCGGGAGTTGGCAGAATAAACGAGCGACCAACAAAAACCCAAAAACATCTTTGCCGTCCCACCTTTCTATCTATTAATCAATTCAATGTCAAAAGAGAATTTGCAATGACTTGGCGTGCTGTCCATCAGTAAGGGGTGCATTAGGATTCAAACAAGGCTATGTATTTGTTTTATGCGGAGTTTTCAAACTATGTGTTTCTGGCCAAAGGGAAATGAATAATGTCTTTCATGTCTTCCAAGTGAAGGGGACAAAAATCAAAAAAAGAAAAGAGAGGAAAACAAAGGAATCTTCGCTTCGATTATCTGATAGCAGGGCCACATGGCCTCTGTACCTCACCTTGATGTCCAGGTCAACACATTGCAAAATATTCTTCAAAGTTTGCACGGTACTGTAATTGTGAAAGGGACATTTACTCAAAAAATGTATCATGGACCAATAGAGATCTCATCAAACTGTACCAACTGCAGTGCCCGCCATTTTGCATTTCAGATCGAACAGTATCCTTTGTCAAGTCTGCAAGCAAAATAACGAACTTGTTAGGCAATACGGAGTATTCAAAGGGCAAGCGGTCATGCGATTGCTCATGCAGGGATCAATTCCTTCAAACCGCCACGACGGGGGGCCAAAACCATCCGGCGGCCAATGTACTTCCTCGAATGGCTGAAGTTTTGAACAGAGAATCCCCTAACCCAGGATCATGCCTGACCCCTATTTCTTCAAAGAAAAAAGCCAATTTTCAGAAGTCGTTGACCGCTAAATAGTCGATCAACGGTAATGAATATCAATTATGCACGAGGGGGAAAAAGTGACAAAAAGGTTGGAGAGCTGACACCCCTCACTATACCGAGTCCATATGTACAGGGTACCATACATACATAGCGCAGAGTACTCCGTACTCTTGTACTCCATACATGCATACATTTCATCAGTTCATTCTTTTTGCAAACGTCCCGCTGCGGCAGTTCGATTCACCGTGCTGACACACGGCTGGCTGCATCGTCCAACGCGGATCAACTGTGGCACCGTGCAAGTGGCGGGGTTCGGGCCAATCAGCTTGCTCTGTGCGCCCAGATCCATGTGGCTTCTGTCAACGCACTGGTCCATAACCGGACTAGTTAGCTGGGGAATCGCTGCGCATTACATCATCCGCGGTGGCGGCGTCTGGTTGGCCGGGCTGTCGGGATTGGGAATCGTGAGCGAAGGGCATGAGATATGAATTGTTTGGGTATTTAACGGAGCTTGGGATGCGGGCTGGCGTGGAGGCCGGCAGCAAGTTGCAGTCGACGGAGTATGGGGTGCGGAGTACTTTACGAGGGGATAAAAGACCGATTTCAACAGTCCACAATAACAAAGAAGAATTGGAAAAAAAATAAAATAAAATAAAATAAAAAAAAAGAATAAAAATTATTAACACTGCAAGGTCGATCGCAGCAGGCCAAGACTTGTCATTCCGGTCATGCCCGCCCTTCCAACACGCAAAAATTTCGTTGCCGGCCAAAAAAGGCCCTCGAAAAGGGTCTTCGCGTTCCATGGCTCACGGGCGTTCGACGGAAGTTCCACCAACCAGGACAACCTATGTAGTTATTTCGCATCCAGTGCCTTATTATTAAGCGTGGGAAAAAGGAGCCTGGGCTTTGATCCCAAAAAGAAGCTTTTCGAAAACTCACTTCCCCCAACTAATGAACTAATTTCCAAGGAGGATGTTGCGGCTTCTCTCGCTTTCCATCTCATAAAGAGCTCAGGGCCTCGTTGATCCTTTTTTCAGCCACAGCCCTCCCGCCCACTAACAGAGCCCTGCCCAAAGGCATCATATCTTCACCCCAAGGAATACGACTAACCTTCACCATAATGTCTTTGGATCCTTGTGCCGCTTGTTACTTGCGATGGATACATAATTACGATACTCCGCTCGCGATAGCAGCTTTGTGCTGAGAACTTCCAGTGCCCGACAATAAAGACCCCCCTCCGACTTACGACTAGTACGCTGGAATCGTGGCCTGACCGGTTGCATTATTCGCTCTGCCGGCAACCCCCTGGAGCGTCATCGACCTCGGGACATCCATCTCATCGCACGGGCAGTTCTCCCGAGAATCTGAAGGATTTGTGGTTGTGTGAAGGACGTGAATCTCCAAGATGGACGGCGTTGATACTGTTGATGTGAGCTGGTTGCATCATTCCCAGAAAGGTATATACCGATATATATATATATTCCCCGGGAAGTTTTTGTGATCGCAGAACCCAACATGCACTGCTGCCCATGAGCCTTCAGTTTCCTTACCTTGACCCAGCAAGCAATCTCCAAATTGCGACCAAGATATGCTCAGGAGGTCCTCTTCTGTGAAAGTGCTGATTCGAATGACTTTTCTGTCTTTTCTTCTTAGATAACCTTGTCCGAACCAAGTCTGCATCCTCTCGACCCTCTCCCAAGGCCACCCCTCTCCCACTGCCCCCGGCCGCGGAAGGGACCCCGAAACCACAACAGGGAGGAGAGGTCAAGGACGGCACATCCCCGAGTTCGACCGCCAAAAGTACACCGATCCTCGTTCGCCAGCCTTCCAAATCAAAGAAAGATAAAGATGCTCCGACTCCAATCGACACTAAACCGTTGCCACCCTCGCTTACGACTCCTATCCCGATTGGCCATAAGCCTTCGAACGCGAGGCCTACCGCTTCGAGACGAAATTCATGGATATCTAATTTGAGCTCCAAGTTCAGCTCCGGCTCAACGCCTCCCGTGCAGAGCCATATGAAAGACGCCCCCAGCAATTCCAGATTGCAAGCACACAGCCCACGTACGGAGTCACTGAACCCGTTCGGAGCTGCGTATTCACCAAAGGATAGCGAGAGGGAAATTCAGTCAGGCTCGTTCGGCTCCCACTCCCCCAAGAATCCTTCGTTCTTTCATAATGCGTTTCGCAAACTTGCATCTAGCGGTGGTGGATTGGGCCGGATGGCCGCCCATGGAGGGTCTATCTGTGAACGCCGGGTCATGAATATCGATCGCGATCGCGATAGGTGCAAGATTCCGGAATTAAACCAGGCAAAGCTACGTCGCGTTGCGTTTTGCGTTGATGTTGAGATAGCTGGGGTCTCTCGCCGCGCTGACTCCGACGAAGATATCAAATCAAAGGCTGGGAAAGGTCAGGTGAATGGAACCGAGTCAAGCAAGTCCAGTCAAAAGAAGGACGCCAAGGTAGCTGAAAAAGCTGAAGGTGTGGCTCTTAAAGCTGCACAACATACACCACCCTCTCCGTCGTTAAGTGGAATGGATGACACCGGACCAGTACAAGATGGTGGGGGCAAGTCTCCGGCCAAGGAAATGACGAGAAAACAAGAAAAGAAGAAGAAGTCGGAAGAAGAGCGCAAAGAACGAAAAGAACGAAAGCGGCGACTAGCAGAGGAGAGTGGCAGTGTTCCTCTGCATTTTGACATGAGCGACCCTGGAAACTCGTCGTCTCCACATCGCTTCCAACGTGGTCAAGATCAGCCGACTACGGATCCTGTGAGAATCTATCGCCGTTGCTGCCAGTTGCGAGAGACTGGTATACTGAAAAAGCTTGTTGAGCAAATCTCCTCACCCTCGTCATCCCTTGCAGAATCTCCGGGCACTGTTGGCGTCCTAGATCTTACTGGATTCGCAATGTCCTTTCAGGACATTGTTACCTTCAGCGATTGGCTTGCGATTGTACCTGTCCGCAAGTTGATATTACAGGACTGCGGGCTAACTGACGAGGCCGTTCGGGTTATTCTGGCGGGTTTATTGTCTACAAAAACCGTTGAAGCCGCCAGACTTGCAAGAGGCTCTAAACGCAGCAAAAAGACAGATAGGCTAGTGAAAGAGGAAAAATTTGGCGCAATCGAGAAACTATCGTTGAAGGATAATCCCAAAATCGGCCCTGAGGGCTGGCGCCATGTAAGCCTTTTCATTCACATGTCTCGCTCGCTCAGGGGAATCGATCTCTCCAGAATCCCGTTCCCGTCGCCACCACCGCCAAGTAACAGCCCGACATCCGTGTCGAGGCCTACCGGTCCGTCTGCCAGTATTGCGACAGTGTTTTCTCGGGCGCTAGCAGAACGACTTGCGAAGAATCGTTTGGAGGAACTTGTTATTAGCGAATGCTGTCCTTCCACCGAAGATCTGGAGAAGATTTGCGATGCCGCCAAGACTATCGGTCTTCGAAGGCTTGGCCTTGCAAACAATAATTTAACAAGGGAGGGTCTTCGGCACGTCATTAAATATTTCAATGCTGGACATTGCGAAGGTTTGGACTTGGGTGGCAACGACCTGAACGACCATTTGGACCTGCTCACCGCTGCGTTCCAAAAGACTATTCCGCTCACAGCGCTCAGTTTAGCGGATTGCTCACTCGTTCCCAAGACTCTCGCCAATCTCCTTCAAGCGCTGATAGTATTGCCTAATTTCCGATTCATCGACCTATCGCATAATCAAGAACTATTTACTATACAACCCGACTCCCTTGCGACTTTACGGCGATACCTACCGAAGCTCCCAGAACTGAGACGCGTGCACCTTGCTGATGTAGACCTTACTTCCGAGAAAGCAATAGCTATAGCTGAGATTTTGCCCGATTGCCCCAAGCTTTGCCATATCAGTGTCCTTGAAAATTCGGCGATCGAGGCATTAGCTGCCGCCAAGGATGCTACTACCCAAGAAGAAGCCTGTGCTCTTTACGCCTCGTTCATGGCTGCAGTTCGAGTATCAAAGACTATGATTGCAGTGGAGATTGACGTTCCTACAGCGGACAATAATGAAATCGTCAAGGCGCTAGCTTCGCAGATAGTCGCTTATTCCCTCCGTAACCTCGAAAGGGGCGAACTTGCGGAACAGCTGTCATCCGCAGCAGACGGCCAAACCTCAGAGAAAGACGCTGTCCCAATTCCAGATGTCCTCGCCCATCTTGTTGGCCATGGCGATAATGAAGAAGCTAACGGTACCGTTGACGACGCGAATCTTGCCCCTGACGAGGATTATGTAATTGGGGGTAGTGGCGTCGTGAAAGCTTTGGGAGTTTGTTTGGGAAACACAGATTACGGTGGAGTGGAAGCCATTGGCGACCTGTCCCCTCCACCCAGCGGAGCATCGACCCCGCTGCGTCGTCTCAGCCATGTCCGTGTTAATAAGAAACCGCGAGATATGTCCAAGAATCTTCTAAATGCAGCGAGAAGGATACGCGTGCGGTTGCAGCCGGCTCTTGTTCGTGAAGACAAGGCCGGCAATGATTTGAATTATCGTAAGTGCTTTGTTGCCCTCCAACGTTTGATGAGGTTTGCTCTTTAGTAGTTAACTGATTTTGTTTTGTAGGACGTCTTCTATTCCTTGATGGCACGCTGCAAAGAATGATTCAGCGGTTTGAAGACGAATTCCCGGATACACGTCTCCCAGCCGAGATGAGTTCGGGTACAGATGCCGGCCCTGCTACTGAATTCTCCCTCCCGTCATCCGACCAGGCCGATAAGAACTCCGACGTTGACGAAGGAGCTGGCTTGAGCCAGAGCCCAGAGAATGGCGTCGTTGAAAACGATGACGCCGATAGATATGCCGTCCGCTTATCGCGTACTAGTTCCAACACGTCTCTCCACTCTCGGGCCTTGACCTCCGAAGAAGGCCGTGTGCTTCGCCTAGGGCAACGTCTTAGTCACGACGTGCTCAACTCTGAACTAGACAATGGCGATGGAACCATCTCACGATCGCCGCCGAACATCGCTGAGCTGCAGAAGAAACTGGAACAGCTCCGCAGCAGCGAGTCCGATCCGCAATTGGCACTACATATGCGTGAGGGTTCGTACGAGGGGCAGTCTCTCCGAGGACTGAGGTCCGCTAGCCTTGAAGACCTGGTGGAGTTGCAGAGACATGACCCCGATGCTCTTGCGGAGTTCAAGGAGGACCAGATTGTGGCGTTGATCAATGCAGGTATAAGGAGTCGTGGGGATTGAACAAGATGCTGGGATGAGTTGGCGGCAGTGAAATTCTCTTTCTTCACTCTCTATATTGGTGATTGGTAAAAGGGGTTGTAGGAATCTTGTGTAGGATGATTTATGATTGCTTTTATGTGCCTAGTAGCACTGAATTATTACCCCCTCCTTTTTTCTTTTTTTTTTTTTCTTTTTTTTTTTTTGGTTCCTGCTTATGGATTGGTGCAAGCAGTCATGCCTAGCTATAGTACCTCTTTTTTGGCATAGGCTTTTTGTGTGAGCGTGGAGCTTAATTTATGCTCCTTTTAGCTGGCTCCTTTTATGGCTTTTGATGCTTGGTCAAAAAGCATACTGCGCCTTCAAATTGATGTCCTTCAGTAGGGCTGATACAATCCTGTCTACTAATAATGGCCCATGGTGGTTTGAAGTGTGTAATCATAATAAAGCAGTCAGTAAAAGCATTATTTCCAAGGTGTAAGTAGGCCAACAGGCCAAAGCTTTCCTAAACTCCTTAGAAAACAGTCATAATCTCCAGGGTGAAGTTCACCTCTGGATTTCCTAGCCCAACCCCCTTTGACTTTCCTGTAAGCCTTAAGCAAGAAACTCTTGTAAATAAGCCTCCATTCTTAACTGCCGTATACATATGCCCTTCTTCCGCCTTAATATCTTAACCGCGGCTCCACGAAGCGATTTGCCTGCGCATAAGGATGCGCAGTCCGTTCCGGGTGCTTTGTTATGAGATAGTCGATAAGCCTCTCGACGGTCTTATCACCCCTGTACTTGCTCCATTGAACACGGACCGGCAGCAGGCGCACACCTTTCTCCCTAAACTCATTAAGCACAAACTGGTTCACCTCTCTAACTGTGGCTATCATGCCTGTGTCGTGAATCTTGACTCTCTTCGGGTGATTACCCCGAGCTATGTAATCATAAGTGGACCCTTCGATGAACACTTCACTGGTCGGCGTCATTACCCACAAGGAGTCATGATACGAGATCCTTTTGAGGCCATGGTAGAAGGTGGAAAAGTTTTGTGGGCGCTGTCGACGTGGGCTGCCTGCAAAGTACTCTACAAAGCGTTTGATGAAGTTTTTTGGGGACATTATCTCAGCATTGTGGACGGGTCGGTTTGGGTTTGGATCTGGGGAGCTTATGTAGAAGAATACCGACTGCAAGCGGCTTTGTTCGAAGAGTTTGTAGATGGTGTGCTAGAAGAGAGAGGGTTGGTGGTCAGCTTTATATTCATGACAGCGGGAGCAACAACATGTGACGCTTAGTCGTTCAATCACATAATTGTCGCATGATTGGACGGGATATGCTGAAATCTAGTTGCACTCACTATGCTTGACGTGTAAAGCATCATACCAAGCTCTTTAAGACCAGTGCAGTTCTGGATGATAGCCCCAAGGTCTTCCATGGCATGCTGATTATGGGGCAGAAAGATTGTCCTTAAAGTGCTCCAGTGTCGGGCACATAAGGGGGAAACAGCCAGGTTTGTTTCGACATATTGCAGGAACAGCTCCCTCAGTCCTTCAAAGGATGAAAAGTAAGCTTCCATTCCCTCCCCCTGGTGGTCAGCCATAACAGACTTCAATTTAACCCCACGTTTGTGCAGTTCACTCCACACTCCGGAAGTTTCTGAAAAATCACCCCAGTGAGGCATAAAAGTGAAGTGTTCAAGGACTGAAACATCAAAGATATGAAACAAGAATGTAAGGTCGACCTTTCCGGATTCATATATGCCTAGTGCTTGGAGCTGCCTTGGCTGGGGAGCCTGGCCAAGTTCACCAAGAAGCCACGCAGTGGCATCAAGTGGAGGAATATCCTGTTCTTTGTCCCTGGGGAAAGGTAGTGAGAAATGAAACTGAAGGTCTTTGAGTTGGCCTCCTGCATGTCGAATTAGTCGAGCTATGAATCCAATGCTTTCGAGGTCATTGAGGTTGAAAAGGCGCAGAGACTCGATTCCATCCCAATCAAGCCTTTGAAGGTTCAAGCTTGCATAGCGAAACATGTTTTCTTGGACATGATAGTTAACCATCAACCCGGCGTTAAAGGAAAGAGATCTTAGCGGACATAGCGACAGTTCCTCGAAGATTCTGTTCGAGGGCCGAAATCCTGACAACCACCTGCAGCAAGGTTCAGTCCCCTACTCAGCGACACTGAAACGGGTACATCGTCGCAGACTTACTCTATGTCGATCAACTGGGTCATCTTTGGGAGCGCCATCTCCAGCAGGAAGTTAACGAGAGAGGATACAGCTCCTTGAATGTTTTGTGACCTAGAGGAAACTATGGTTCGATCGATCCCATGCTTTGACTTATTTTCTCCGAAAGCGTACTCTCCGCAGATAGTGAGCTTATGCACACTCTCACATTGCTTTTGTGAGTTTGACACGAGTCCTCTAAGAGCTTCCAGCCAAACCTCATAATTGGGTTGGTCTTCCTTAACTGACTTGTGATCAAGTGAATCGATCTTAAGTACTGTGTGAAAGTATAGCCGTGGGACTATAAAGGCATTGAACAGCTTTGAGACTTGAGTAAGAGCAACCAAGTCCGACGGCGTAAGCTGGAGCAGACAAGCAGGTTATTGGCAATATGAAACACAAACTGGGGATAAAGGAAAGCCTACATGGTCCAGTATGCACTCAAACAGATCAACTGGAATGTTTGGGAAGGGCATATTGGCGTTGGCTAGTTTGCAACTACCGTGTGGAGCAACATATAGGTGAAGGAGAGGATTCTTGAAAGGCTTATAGGACCGAACCAAGAAATCAATTGTCAGGCTAAAAACTTGAAAACAACAAAGTCCTCATGAAGGAATGAGAGCAATGCGAGAAAGGAAATGTGAAAGAGCCCGATGAGCTCTGCGAAAATATACATCTGTGCAGCACGTGACAAGGAGGACATGAATCAGGCCAACAAGGAGACCCCCGAGCCCTATGATCTTATATTGACAAACACATCGAATGTGAAGAAGCATATAAAGGGTTGAGATCGTCGGCTAGAGCTAAATTGCCTGGCACCGTGAACTGAGAAGCAAAACCTGCCGCTTGAGGCATATTTATGTTTCTTCCCAGCATCAGCAGGTAGAATAGGAATGCCCCAGCAGCCAATTCTCAATCTCTAGCTACCTCTTTCAAACTGCTACACGCTTACCATAAAGGTAGCCCGTTGTCGATCAAGCTTTGTGGACTGCGGCAGGCACAAGAGAATTATGGCCGCCAGACGCTGCTAGTAAAGCAGGTAATAATCTAGGCCCAAACAGCAAAATGAACATACTAGAAGAAGAGATTCTATATTTGCGGCCATCGACCGACAACTTCTTTGAACTCTTTATCTATCTTGAATCAGGTACGCAGAGTATATGAAGAAAGAAGACACAGAAAGCAAGGTCTCAATAGCCGGGTTGAGACAAGATGGCTTAGGCAGATTCATCGCCAATGCCATATTTCCCAGAGGCAGAGATTGCAAGGCCGCCAGCCGCATCTAGCGGCCATTCAAGGGTATTGTGTCGTGCAAAGAGCTCTGTGGTCTGGATCGTGGTACGGGTTCGGGGAGCTGTGACGGGCGGTTGAGTAGGGCGTCAAAGTACCATTTTAAGGATCATGTCAAAATGGAGAGACATGATCAATTGCGACCCTGCTATGCTGCTATCGCAAGCGGTGGCCCCCGTGGTCAGTCGAGATGAAGTCTGCTCTCGGGATGAAGTTCGCACAAGCTGGAGCCTCAGTGGCTCGGCGTTGGTAGGGCTGTGGCTTGTGCACGTGATTCTGTCTTATGTCAGCAAAATCGGCGATCCTCGGCTCAGCCAAGAAAGGGAAGAGCCAGCTTCACATGCAAGTTTGCGACGTTGCTGGGCGGCGACATGGTTTGAGGCGGAAGCATCGAAATCGGTCGCATCTCCCAAAAGCACTGAAAGATGGCCGGCCATCAGCCTCTTTGATAACCCTCGCCTGAAGCTGGTGCTGTGACTTAAATGATTTGCTGATATATCTACGGAGTAGGTGTATATTATTTCGTTATACTCGTACATATAATTCCCACTGCTCTCCTTGCCTTACGTCGTCGAAGATAAAGATCGATGTGAATTTCATTGGACTGGCTCGCGGGATCAATGAACGAACCTGTTATAGAGTCCGTTGCTGCCTTGATCCCGATTTCATTTGTCTTACAACAAGTTGCGACATCCCCTACGCTTCGTTTCGTACAACATGATCTTGCAATCTAAGCCCGTGCTCTCCGAACGCGCAATCGGGCGCGCGCTCTCTCAGCTAACCAGCAAATACCTTAAACATCGCAAAACAATATCCCGTGGTGTCTACTTGACTCTTTTCCTTGCCCTCATCAAGCGTGTCCACAATGCTATTTCGGAACAGAAAGCGTCCCAGCGACAGGCGGAGATTCGGGAGCGGCCGAGCACCCGGAGTTATGATAGAGATGCATCTGGCGGCACAGAGGGCGTGCCACGGAAAAAGATAGGATTAAACAGGGAGTTCCTGAGAAATTTGGCGCGATTGCTCAGAATTGTGATTCCGGGATGGAAGAGCAAAGAGTTTAGACTCCTGCTCAGTCATTCGGTTTTCCTTGTGCTCCGGACTCTTCTAAGTCTCTACGTCGCCGAACTTGATGGAAAACTTGTCAGTAGCTTGGTCAGGGGCAAAGGAAGGGAATTCCTACTGGGTCTGGTCTGGTGGATGACGGTGGCGGTTCCCGCAACATTCACAAACTCCATGGTACGATGGTTGGACCTGGAACTCCTTCGTTAAAGACCGGTTGCTAATAATCATTTTCTTCAACAGCTATCGTATCACCAGTGCCAGCTTGCCTTGCAATACAGAAAACGCCTGACCGAGTATGTTCAAAATGAGTACCTAACTAATATGACATTTTACACAATTTCAGCGCTTGATGATCGAATAAAAAATCCGGATCAGCTTATCACGGTCGATATAGCACGATTTTCAAACAGCCTTGCAGAGCTATACTCGAATCTAGCAAAACCAATCCTCGATATGGCTATATATAACTATTCCCTCTCAAAGAGCGTTGGTGGAGAAGGCCTTTTTATTATGTCGCTTCTCGTCCAATTATCCGCCAATGTTATGCGAGCTCTTACACCACCGTTCGGCAAATACGTTGCCGATGAGGCGAAGCTCGAAGGAGAATTCCGTTTCCAACACACGCGATTGATAGATTATAGCGAGGAAATCGCCTTGTATCATGGTCATGAATCGGAAAAAGACACCTTAGACAAGGGATACTTTACCTTAATAAAGCATGTTAACCGTATTTTACGGAGGAGGTTGTATCACGGATTCATGGAGGATTTCGTTATAAAGTATTTCTGGGGTGCCTTGGGCTTGATACTCTGCAGTTTCCCCGTGTTTTTCAAAATCCCTGGCCAGGTTTCGTCTACTATGGGCGACCGAACTGAAAGTAAGTCTGATTGCACTTCCTGTTCGACGAAATACTTATTGTGTGCCTAGGTTTCGTCACGAACCGCCGAATGCTCCTTTCGTCCTCCGATGCATTTGGCCGCGTAATGTTCTCCTATAAAGAGATCTCTCAGTTAGCCGGCCACACCACTCGTGTCACTTCCCTTCTCGAGGTCATCGACGATATATCAAAAGGCAGGTTCGAAAAGAAGCTTGTTTCTTCGGCATCAATCGAAGGTCATGCTGCTGTGCTAAGCAAACGGGGTACAATTTCTGAAAGCGACTCAATTGAATTTACCGACGTCCCTATCGTTTCACCCAATGGTGACATTCTTGTTGAGAAGCTCTCTTTCTCAGTCCACCCAGGTGAACATCTACTTATTGTTGGGCCGAACGGGTGTGGTAAATCATCTTTGTTCCGCATCCTAGGTGGTTTGTGGCCTGTATATGGAGGGACTGTTAAAAAGCCAACATTCGATCAAATTTTCTATATACCCCAGCGCCCGTACTTGTCCCGCGGCACCTTACGTCAACAGGTTATCTATCCTGATGGCATGAAAGAAATGCATGAAAAAGGAACAACCGATGCTGACCTTTATGATATCTTGTCCATCCTCGAAATCTCATCTATTGTCAATAGACCAGGTGGTTGGGATGCTGAAGAAGAATGGCGTGACGTGCTTTCAGGCGGTATGCAGCAGCGAATTGCAATGGCCCGACTGTTCTATCATAAGCCAAAATATGCTATTCTAGACGAGTGCACGTCATCTGTCACGCTTGAGATTGAGAAGGTGATGTACGAAACGGCGAAGAGTTTGGGAGTTACGTTGATGACTGTATCGCATCGACGGAGCTTGTGGAAGTACCATAAGAAGATCCTGCAGTTCGATGGACAAGGTCATTACGTTTTTACGGGCCTGGATTGGGAGAAACGACTAAAACTTGAAGAGTATGTTTTCTTGAAATGCTCAAAGCAATTTTGGGCTTTTACTAACTTGATTCGACAGTGAGAAGGAAGAGATTGACCTTGAACTCCGCGCGATCCCAGAGATAGAGAAGAGAATTGCAGAACTCACGACAGCATGATAGTATTACGAGCCTGGCCCATCCTGTGGGCGTTCTCACTACCTATCATCGGCGCTACTTGTAGAGGACTCCCTGTGTACGAACCGTCTCTGACCCCACCAATCTAGCTGATAGGTCCTAATAAAATCCATCTAATGATGTTTCTGTATATAGTGTAATGATGTGGATGGCAGGAAGCGAAGAAACCAAGTTTTACCATTGATAAGAAACATACAATTACAGTTGATGCGAGGATTCTATGAAGCGATATCTCCTTCCTAACCCACTGCAATATTCTCCATCAACTCGAATTTTAAGATTTCTACGTAGCTAGGTAGGGAGGAAAAAAAGCTCGAGCGAATGCTTATGCATATAGAAGTAATGCAACAGATCCAGAAATATCGATGCAGGTAATATAGTGCCACATTCTCGAGTACAAATTGGATAATAAAGGTTCAATTCTCCTTGCGTTAAAACAACGTTGAAAAGGCAAAAACGTATCAATTGATTTTGTGATCAGTCCCGGTCGACCTCTTCATTTGCCCATGTGCTCGACAGATTGGGATTCTTTCATAGACCACGAGTGCCTTTATTCGTTCACCTCTACAGGTTCAACGTTCCAAATGCTTTCAGCATATTCAGAAATAACCCTATCCGAAGAAAAGAACCCCATTCTCGCAACGCTCTGAATGCACTTTTCAACCCAGCCATCCTGGTTTTTATATGCGTCATCAACGAGACCTTGTGTCTCGATATATGAATGGAAATCATCGCTCACGAGATAGTAATCTCCATGGTCAACGATAGAGTCGATAATCGCTGAGAACTCCTCTGCGCTACCAAATTTTCCGGAGAGGATACAATCGAAGACGGCACGAAGGTCTGGATCGAACTCTATGCTCGACGGATTATAGACGTGGGCGTGTCGTAGGTCATCGACATCTTCAGCTAGATTACCAAATAGGAAGATATTTTGCTCTCCAACTTCGCGGGTAATTTCGATCTGTATTTATCATTGTTAGTGAACTCAAAAGGGCTAGAATCTGGCAAGTAACATCCTTACATTCGCACCGTCACAAGTCCCAATAATAAGTCCGCCGTTTAGCACGAACTTCATATTGCTTGTGCCACTAGCCTCCATCCCAGCAGTTGATATGTGCTCGCTGATATCAGAAGCTGG